ACGGACTGGTTTCGCAGCGGTCACGATGGCTAGCGAGGCTGTGTATCTGAATGAGGATCGTGGTGTCGGCCTACAGCGCCATACGTGGCTGGAAGAAGCTCGCCTCAAAGAAGCCGAAGATCTGCAACGAGCCTGGATCGGGTCTGGGCTAGGTCATGACCGGTATGACCAGATTGGTGCGATCGGCCTCGTCCCGGTCAAGGAAGGTGGTGCAGTGACAGCCAACGGGTTCTCAAGAGAACGTGCGGCGCAGAAAGTCCCAGCTGCTCAAGGAGAAAGGGTTCTTCGTGTGGGCGGTGTGGGAGCCGGCGAAAGGAGTGCCAGATGGACCATGGCCCTTGGTCTCTTCCTCAACATCTGCAAAATTTTCTTGCGCATTGGCGCAATAACGCTTCTTTGGATTCTATCGGTTGCAAGAATACGTGCTCAGCCAGCAGCTTTACTTAGGCTGGCGCGCAGGCAGGCCTCGAAGGATGGGGAGAAGTATGGCGACGCCCGGTCAGGAGCTCGTGCTGCTCCAATACGAGACGGCGCTGGGGCCACCATGAACGCACAAGATATTGAGTCTGAAATTACTCGACAGAGCGAAGACCAAAGTCCCGAGGCAATTGACACAAGTCTGTACGAGTACTTTCTGAAAGGTGGATGGTGGGGGACTCAGGACGAGAGTGGGGACTACCAACCTGATCAAGTCAACGACGACTGGGACACAACAAGTGTCATTTCAACATCAACGACAAGCGAGCACATTGATGACGAAACAGGTTGGGAATCCGACATCGACGACGGCCAACGGACCCCAACTCAGCACTCTCCTCATGGGGATCAAGCCCAGCCCTCGCTGGTCGACACACCATTTTCAATGACAGACCTTGCTCGCTTGCTTCAGCCCCAAAACCCCGAAGAAAGAAGTCATGCACAGGCCCTGGTGGCACACTTTCAAAGTGATCGGATCGTCACAAGATCCCATTTTCGACGCCTCGAGCAGCTGCAACGCACTCGCATCCTTACAAACCCCGGCAGTGGTATGGACCATCTAGGGAGCAACGCGGGAAGTGCCACTACATCCAGACACGCAAGGCTTACCCCTGAGGAGGAGGAACACCTTCTCGAGCAGCTACTGCTCAGTCGCCGAAATGGACTGGCGGCATCCCGAGGTTCCTCCAACGCGGGCCGAATGGGCGAAAACGGACCACAATGTGTTGTGTGCCAGTGCTCTCCTCGATCTGTCATTGTCTGGCCTTGTCGGTGCCTCAGTTTATGTGACGAGTGCCGCATCGCGCTTGCGATGAATAACTTCGACAAGTGTGTATGCTGCAGGCGGGAGGTGATGAGCTTTAGCAGAATATTCGTACCTTGAGGTGGCTGTGGGCGCGTCAAGCCCCTGCGCTTTGCTTGTTCAACTAGTTGGGAGATGCTTTCGCGCGTGCAAATCATGTAGCATCAGCTTCAGGGGTTACGGTGTACATGTTCAGGTCAAATTACTATCGCATTTTGACAATTAGGTGCGCAATCATTTGGTCAAAGTTTGTTCTTGGTCAAGCTGGAAGCATTTACATGCCTGCCCATTCTATACTATATGTTCTGACATTTCCTTCATCACTTGACGAGCTAGGCTGATGTGCTTCTTCTCCGCCGATGAGAAAGGCTTTCTTGACGGCCGTTGCAAGTCTACCGCCTTCAACCACGTCGATTATCGGGATCTCTTCGTCCCAACCACATTGATTGGCCATGTAATGGGCGTGAAAGCGCAACGGGTCCCCAGGGTAGACGCTGTATCGCGCACCGAAGCGCAACCCTGGTGTCATATAGTATCCGTTGTATTGCAAATGCCGGGCCAGAGGCGCCTCGGGAACGTTCAGACTACCGCAAACGACATCCATGTTGGCGTTGAGAAGTTCCTTCGTTGTGGTTGGCGTCACAGCAAACAGCTGATCATCGGATAGCGCCTTTGGTGAGCGTGATGATGGGGTTCCATCCACGGAAACATTGTCCAATGGCGCAGAGTCGACATTCTTGGCCTTCCTTTGACCTTGGGCGATTTTATAGGCATGTTCAGCGCTTCGTTGGGCGTTTCTTTCAGTCACAATCTTCTGTGCCGTCTGCTTTGTTTTCCTCATTGTTTCAATGTAGGCTTTCCTCGGATGGTTATGCATCGCAACTTGATGTGCTGCCGCATCGTCTACGACATGCGCTCGTCCCCGTTGCACGAGTGCCTGCGCCTCTTCCGGACGAAGTTCAATGGGAAGGCCAAGAAATATATTTTGCGTCGGCTGCTGGGGCATTGTGCCTACAAGGGTACCGCATGTATTACTATCCCGCCTCAGAGCTGCCACCCCTTCAGGGTCGAAGACGAGGTAGCGACCGGCGATCAGCGATATGCGCACTGCGGGCGCTGGAAGAGAAGCGGAAGACGCCATTATCTACTGGAGATGGGGTTAGCCATTGCAAGTCTTTGTGTGCGGGCACGCAAAAAGTTGTTTGAAAGACAGGATCATAAGTCGTCTTCGTAATAATGAGTTGTGTCATCACGGAAAATCAGGGGATTGACAGATTCAAAGGAATAATCATACTGTCGAGGGAATCATTATGGGAAAGAGAAAATAATGGCTTACCTGTTCATCAACTTCACAGCGCGTGAGGTTTTGGATCACCAAAACGTAGCACGGTGAGAGGAGAGAAGGGAGGAAGGAAAAAAAAAACTTTAGCCAAGCTGAGTGAAGAGGTGGTTTGACCGCGATGTGCCCCGTGATTCGTCAGACGTTTGGCGGGGCCGCCAACGGGGCCAACTCACTTACCCTGTAACTCCCAACGTGCAGCGGTTGCCAGTCTTTCGACAGTCTTCAAAATTCCAGCTTTTCTTTCTTGTCGTCTGAGGCTTTCGCAGGACCCGAGGCTTCATCTTCCTCACCCACAGGAGGCAGACTGTATGGCGTAATCACCAATCCACTCGATGCGCTAAGCTTGAAGGAGAGGTCCTCCCTGACCCAAGAGCCCTCGAGCCCTCCGCCTTTCTCATGAAAGATTGGCAAGCTATGTACACGCAAGAGGCCCTGTGACCTATCCTCTTTCCCAGGCTCTAAAGCCATCTGACTTTGGTGCTGAAGAGGGACCAGCTCGAATACGCCATCGAAGAGGACTTCTAACCATCGCGTAAGGCCCGCGGAGCGTGCGAACAACGTGATAGGCACTGTCACGATTGTCGTGAGCTGGGTCGGGTATCTGCGTAGGAGAGCCCGTAGGCCATGTATAAACTGCAAGACCTCCCGTGGTCGACGAGCCGATGATGTGTAAAGTGTCGGTGACAAGAGGCCAGGGCACACGACACGATGAACCGTGTTTGGTTCCATCGATTGGACCTTAGAGGAGAGCTCGCCGAGGAATTTCCGTAACGGGGAGGCTGTTGCCTTGCCGAAGGAGTCATGAACCAAAGTAGTATGTACCTGCCCTTTAACTTCTGCACTTTCGAGACGTCTTGTGAGGTCGAAGGAATGGCAGAAAGGGTGCTCCCCATGGTTTGGCAGTGATGATGGTGATGACTCTGGAATTACAAGTTAGTTTGGTCAAGGGCCGGTGGCACTGGGGAAACTGTCTTACCCCTCGCTGGACCGGGTCTCTTACTCGAGTTCCCCAAGGTCTCATATCTCCAAGCAATTTTCATCTTGTCATCCGCCGCTGTCGAACCCTTCTGAACGGATGACTTCGACTTCCTCTTTCCGGTTTCTAGCCCGGGTAACTCTTTTCGCCAAGAGTCTTCATATCCGAGTACATGGACTTGATGTCCTTGCACCAGACCCTCTGCTGCGTAATATCGGAGCAAAGTGCCACCAAAATCCGTCGTGCCAGCCTCTTGAACTAAGAGTGAGGTACCCAAAGGCAGGCCGCCATGACCGGCAAGGAGCTGATCGAGAGAGGAGGTTCCGGTCGATGTAGTTAGTCTCCCATCAAGAGGAGATGGTCTTAAACCGACTGCCAACGATTTCCCTTCGCCGCGGGCTGCTGGCAAGGCACTAGTGTTGTTTGCGGTTCCAATTACAACGTTGCGCTTTCGAAAGGACATTGTTGCAACTGCTTATAGGAGAGGGAAAGATGTTCTGATTTGGCGTATAATGAACTATTTGAGCTCACAGAAATTACTGTTCATTGTAACATCAATCGTCGAGTAGTAAAAATCGATTTGAGATGCGACGGAGTGGTGGTGGGGTCTAAGAACGTGCAAACATTTTGCCTATTGTGGAGGTGACCTCAGTTCTCGTTCTCGGCGTCAGGGACCTTTTTTTTTTCTCTTGGTTCAATTCGAACACGAAACCAGTCCACCACTCTCCCATCACTCAAGGCGTGCACCCAAGTCGAATGTCATAGCGATCCGCCGCGATGTCCGGTTCAAGCAGCGATGCAACCCTTTTTGAAGAGGCCTTTGTGGTCAACGACTACGACCAGTCGAAGTACGATCGCGTCGCGCGCATCCAGGCTCGGTCGACCGACGAGCAAACTGCCATGACGCTCGACATCAATATTGAACTCTTCCCATGCGCTGTAGGAGAGTCTCTACACCTCATGCTTGCGACCACGCTCGCTCTGGATGGGAGCCAAGACGACGACAAGGGCTGGCGCGACGTGGGCAAGGCAGGAGATGCGCCCAACACCCTAGCCGACCTATACGACTATGTATGCTATGGCAAGATCTACAAGTTCGAGGAGACTTTCGACGGGCGAAACATGTACGTTTGAGCGGCGAAACTCAGAACATACTGCTGCTAACAACCCACTGTAGCAATGCCTACATATCTTTCGGAGGCCTACTCATGTCCCTTGAGGGCCCTATCAAGAAGCTCACACCCTTGCGTGTTGACAATGTCTATTTGCTCATCAAGAAATAATGAATTAATCATGAAGGAATGAAGACATCCAAAATCTCCAACGAAGATCGACCTTGTCACCCAACATACTCTCTCACACAGCGTCAAGACACAAATTGCTCGCTGCTGTCCCACCCCGCCTTACCATTTGAACGAAGACACCTTGTGCGGCCCCGGAAACGGCAAATCGCGATGAATCCTTTTCTCAATGCTCACGAGATCAGGCTCGTTCTCTTTCGTCAGGATGCCGTGTCTGATGAAGAAAGCTATCACCACCAGGGCGCAGTTAGGCTTGTACTCCCCTGCTGCCAACTGCGCCTTGACCTCGCTCACATCGCACAAGCAGAACTCCTCGACCTCGCCATCCTTTGGCTGGGGGATGACGTCTATCGGTAGCTCCAGATCATAGACCCATTGACATTCTGGGTAAATATAATCGGCCTCGCCCACGCGCTCCTTCTCTGTGATGTACATGTACGTGACAACGTCGACGTGCTTTGCGCGCGACCGGACAACGTTCCCGGGGAGATCAGCTTCCTCATCTGCTTCGCGGATCAGGCACTCGAAGGGATCTTCGCCTGTAGCGAGGCCGCCGGCGACAGTGTTGTCGAGCATGCCCGGAAACGTGGATTTGTTAGCCGCTCTGCGAGGAACCCAGAACCGGATACCGTATGGAGCCGAATCGTCCTTGATGTATGCAATCATGTGCACACCATACCGCATGGCGCCCAAGAGCCCCACGGCTGTCCTCTCCATACTGAACAGTAACTCGCCTTTGCGCCCGTACACGGGCCAGAGCTCGTTCCGCCAACCTTTCAGAAGGGGAAAGGTTTCTTTCTGTCGCCAGTAGCCCGTGAGCTTCGCAATCTGCTGCGTCCTTTCAGCCTCGGGTTCTACACCCTCCAGCAGCCGGATTGTTCGAGCGCGTTTGTCCCACGTCAGGGGACCTCTGACGTCCTGGGGAGCCGCCTGAAGCTCGGCCAAGACGCGATCAAGAATATAACCAACAGGATAGAAGCCCTCGTCATCACGCCAAAGCAAAGTCCACAGCGTCTCCTGCTTCTGCTGCAGCCTCGCAGAAGTCTCATCTGAGTATGCGAATCTGATGGTGTAAGTGAGAGACTCGGGCCAAATGACCGTCCGAGGGCCTACTTGTCAACCTCCCCAATGAGTTCGATATTAGACTTCATCTTTCTGACTGTGTACAGAATCGCAATGGACCTGGATGCTTTGGTCGATAATGGAGTTTTACGGTGGAGGGGTTTTGGAGGGGCAGCAACGTAAAATTTGTACCCAGATCCTATGACTTACTTAGTACGAGAGATTTGTTGATATATTGCCTAGCATACTTCCTACCTGGCCTTACCTTAGACCGTGTTACAACGAGCTGAGCGCTCGTAAGGAACTACGGCGCTTTGATGAAATTGCTCGACCTTCTCATGCGGCACTTTGCGACCACTGCGATATCGATTCGTTGAGACAGAATATGGTTCCCCTTACGGAGTATTGATGCCCCACATCGACGTCAACTCCAGGCTTTCAACCGTGACATGGCGAAGGCATATCCAGCACTGACAATGAAACCTAGACTCCCTCGGATTCTGCTACACGCAAGTATATTTACCTTTTGAACGCATTTTCCTCCACGCATACTCCTTGTGGCCAGGGCTCGGACTCGCTGTTCCATGGACCATCTGTCGGCCGCGAAATCGCACCACTCGCAACCACGATCCTCCTCACACATCGCCATCCTTCACTCATAAACAAAGTCAACAAGTAGCTCGATCACCACCATGTCAGCTCCACTCTTTGGCCTCGTCCCAACGGGCCATCCTCTGATCACCGAGCCTTCGTCGACACCTTCACCAACATCATGCTTATATGCACTCCCCACTACGAAACCATTCACCCACGTCACTATCCTCCTCTTACCAAATGTCACCCTGCCACCTCAGACAGCAGCCGCCATCTACGTGGCTACAGCTTCGTCGGTAGCCTCAGGCAACCCTAATTTCAAGTTTCTAGGGGGCATAGGCCCCGGCAAAGAGAGCGCCATGTTCAAGGTCGGAGGAGGTGGTGAAGGTGATGGGTTGGTCATCGGCATCGACGTGGAAAGTGAGGAGGAAGTCGGGCGGCGATTGCAGGAGCTAGCGGCCAGCAAGCCCAATGCACCCGGGAGTCAGCCCTCTACTGTCGTGCTGGCTCAGCGCATCATTCAAAATGCATTCAACTTTCTCACCAGCTTCAGCGGAACAGCCGGACCTGGTGGCGTCGAGGTCGTGCCACTGAAAGCGTTCGAGGATTGGTGGAAAAAGTTCGAGTCAAGAGTCAGGGCAGACCCCAGTTTTTTAGAGAAACAGGCCGACTGAGATTGTTTTGATGGCAAAATGACGCGCAGAAGATTGTTGCCTTTGTAGAAATATCCTATTACAGACTACCAATAATTCTTCGCCTTGTGTGGGGCCTGTAGGCCACGAATGTGCCAATGCTTATGTGATTACTTACCTAGCAAGATGCAGAATGAAACGAAATTCCTGTCCAGAACCATGTTTGAGGCTACCCTGACGCCGTGGCCAATGATCCCAATGTTATACTGTGCTGCCGTCCCGTCGAACCAACATGTGAAGCTAAAAGTGCAGCCTATCGAACCCGCGCGGCTGATCTTCAATGAAAAGACATCCTCCAATGCATGTTGTAAAAACTACCCTAGTCTCGATCCATGGGCGAAGCTAAAGGGCTCTTCTGGCGCTGGGGGCTCGCTGCTCTGCTTCGTCGACCAATTGCACCCATGCGCTCTCTGCTCTCCGTCCGGACGGCGAGACCTCGACGGTCCAAGGCGTTGGGAGGACGGAGCTCGCTATTGCAGTTGCTTTCATCTTGCTTTGATGAGGCCAGGGCGGATTTCTGCCCCTTGGATCCTTCGCTGCTGTCAGAGGCATCGAATTCGTCCACCTCGGCACCGCCTAGCTCCATGTTCGTAGCGGCCTCGCCCTCTTCCATAACTCTCTCGTATTGATGGTGGCTTCTGCCAAAAATCTTATTCGCAAGAGTGAGTGCTCGGCCACCCGATCCTTTGGGCTTGCGACCTGAAGAAGAGCGACTGCGGCGGCGTGCCAGATTCCATAGACGCCTTCTGCGCTCCGGCCGGCGGAGAACAAAGAAAATGATAATGATTAGGAATATGGCGCCAAATATGATGGGCGCCAGGTTCACCTTCCTCTTGGGAGTGGGCTTGTGAGATGGTGGCGGTGGCCGGTAGACGGGCTCATCCGTGTTGATGTCTTCATCCTCAATCTCATCGTCCAGCCCGCCTGTGAATGGCATCTGTGGGATAGAGCCAGCGTGCTCAAAATCAATTGGCGTCCCTGTTGCCACGTTGGTGCCAAAGCCGACGGGTAAAGGTTCTCCTATGCTCGGTACCTGGCCCGCAGCGTAGAGTACAATCTTGCCAAGCGTCCAGCTCAACTCCACTCCGTCAATAGTGTCCACTGGCTGAAAGGAGCCGTCCATGTCGGTGGAATTCAAGATTGGTGCCTCCAAGCCGACGCGTGGAATGCCGATGCCATCGTAGAGCATGTTGATGAGCCAAGAAGCCTTGAAGCAAGCTTCGCGCGCATCTTCGGCTTTCCTCTCCGGAGACTTTTTGCGCTTCTCTAGGTCATCCCGCTCAATGTCCGACCAGTCGCGGCTGCAATAATCCAGTACGCTATTTTGGTACGCCTCGAGGTCGTAAGGGGTATCCTTGCCTCCGAATACGCCGTGCGTTGTATGCCAATATTCGGAAACGCCCACAAAGCGATTGACTTTGAAGTCGAGTGCAGGGACATGCTTGCCATTGATGAGACAAGGTTTATCGTCGCACGGGGCATCCATTTCCAGAAGGGGATACGTAAGACGCAGACATTCGTCGAATTGCCCAATCCCTACCAGAACCTGTTCGCCCTCGGTCGGCTGACCGGCAATCGGATCACCTTGCATGTTGGTGACAAGGCCATGCGGCATACATGGGTCTGGTATCTCATTCGTCTCAGGGCTGTACTGCGCCCGCAGGTTCTTGACGAAGCGCTCGCGAGCCTGATTCGCGCCAAAGCCTAGCCATGTTGTCGTAAAGACGCGGTACTCAGCCGGGCTGCCATCGAGATGTCGCATGCGCACAAGCTTGAGATCGTCTGCGTGCTTCTCCGCCTCTGTTGAGTTCGGGGCGAAGGCGATCTGAGCCGAAGCTCCGCCCATGTCGAGGAAACCATACGTATGGTGGTGACTCTGGCCGAGGCCGATCCCCTCCCCTTGCGGGTGATTGAAACCTCCAAGCAGATAGTTTGCCGCAATCCAACCGTACAACCCCTCAGTCTCGCCCTTGATGACTTGAACATGTGTACTGCAGTCCGGCAGATCGAAGCGCGTGTTCTTCTGAAGCCATTGGCAAATGTTGCCGAGGAGCGTTCTTTGTTGAAAATCTGGTAGGAGGCGAACACCGGCCGTCGCGAGAAGGAAAACAGGTGTCTCAGGGATCTTATCGGCGGGAATCTTGTTGTAGGCCACTTCGAGGAGTTCTTTCAGGTGATCTTTGCCAATAGCACTGGGTCGCTCTGCGAAGGACGAGACGCCAGGGTGGACTTTTTTGCTATCTTTTAGTTTGATCTCGGGCAGACTGCGAAGCTCTTCCTCGGAGGACGCCTTTGCACTCGCTCTGGCAGGATTCTTCCACTTGTACACGTAGACCCGGGTACCGGACGAGCCGGCGTCAAGGATGACGCCGTATTGTGCTATCACAGATATCAGTCTCTGGTGCGCTGCCAGGAGGGAACGAAGCGACAATCAAGGGATTCACGTACAATGCTTGCCCATTGTTGCGCGCGCACCGCGAAGGACGGACTGTTTATTTCCGCGCTTTGGGCAGTAATCGCTTCGCAATCTCGTATCGCAGTTCGATGCCAAGTCGAGTGGCGGGGATATCGAGGATTAATTTAGCCAAGATGGAGTTCTTGAGACGGGTAGAAAACTCTATCGAGGGCGACACGGGCCTCAGTCAGCCTTCGGATGTCGATTTTCTCCTGGTGCTCAGGAGACTCGGTTCCTTGCAGGGGATCGGCGGGGAGGCGAATTATACTAATTTTAGGCGCAGGGTTGATGCAGCGCTCGGAAGGACGAAACGACAAGAGAAAAGCGAGAGGAGTCGATGTTCAAATAGGACCGGTAAGCATCCCCAGCCAATTGCTTCAGTCAGTACCAAGTAGCGAAAGAAAACGAGCGTTGCTCGGCGGAATCGGATGGATGAGCTGCGATCTGGAAGCGGGATGATCCTGATTTACAGGTATCCTTCCCCAGGCAGCTGATAATAAGGGACCCAGCCCATTGCGCTTCTGGTCCGGGGCCAGAACCGTTTTTGTCGGAACATCGTGCACTAACAATGGTCAAGCTTTGCACGCCTGCTGCAGGCGGGTCGGCTGGTTTCAGCAGGGAAGTTTGGCCGAGCAGACCAATGAACAATCCCGCTTGCACTCCAGGCCTGCAATTAGAGCCACGGAGCATGTTAGCGGGAGTTAGCACGAGACTGAGTACAGGCACGTATTGTGTCAGCCAGCACACGGATGAGCAGCGGTTTAAGTAGTAGGTATGTCAGGCAATAAACCCCTTTCCAATTCATCAGGGAAAGACTTCCGGTCGCTTAGGTTCCGCTTCAAAATCTGGCGACGCGCACCTTTGCTATCGATGCTGAGCTGTCCACGCATTTGTGGAACGTCAATGCTAACAAATTCATAAGGTAGCCACTTTGTGCCGAGTGGCCTTGAGAGTTCACAGATCTTCCAGACCTCAGATCACCGGAAGCAAGCTCTCAAGATGGATAGGAAACGGATCTTCCGTTTCAAGACTCCGGTCTGATCGTGGCAGTGACTGCCCGACACCCTCACAGACTGCGGCCCTTTCTCTTTGCAAACTGGTGAGCCATAGTCGTGCCCAATCACGTGCTGTTCCTTTAAATCGGCCGATGTCGATGATCGGGAGCTCGAGCAAGCGCAATGCAACACGTTTAGCTTATCATCCTCCTCAGAGATAAGCTCCCGATCGCGTCGGGCAGCCGACACAGCTCCGTGTAGTTGCAAAGAGGGATGCGATGACAGTGCTTCTTCTCGTCGGCCAAGCTTCTCCTTATCGAATGAGATGAAAGACGAGGCAGGAGGGATGAAGATCCGAGCCTCAATCAGAAGAGTCTGAACGTCTTGGATCTGCCTTGGCGATGAAGGGGTCGGGATGATCTCGCAAATACTAGCCCGTCGGCTCGTCGGCGTGGATATAAAAACTCGCTGTTCTCCGCGAGGACTAGATATGGTTCGGGATCTTTGGAATATCATTGAGAATCTTTTGGTCGGGTGGCTTGGATGGTTCTTGCTTGTTGATTCCACAACCACGGCACCGATGTCGACGATATAAGTAAGTCAGGATAGGACCAAGCGCGGTCGACCAATGAGGATGGACAAAGAATTGAATATCGTTAATGACTGTATTGGAGGAAATCTGCACGTCGACACCATGTTCCCTTGCGACGTCTTTGTCAACAATCACGCGTTAATGTCTTAGTTTGGTGAGGGTGCCCAGCAATACGACAAAGGGGGTCACGGTCTGTCCTGAGTGGACCAACTGGGAATGCCTGTGCATACCAGCACGCGCCCTTGCAACTCTTCAATGCGATTTCGCTTATCCTATTGGAATTGTTTGAACCCGGAATAGCTCGGTGATCCAGGGCAACAGTTGGAGCCTGCAGATTGCTGTCAGCGCCCTCGCATGTGAGCATCAAGGCCGGACGTGCTAGCCGGCTGGCTGACCTTCAGACCTGATGTTAGTCCTACGCCAGATAAGCCTGTGCGGCTATTGCCGAACTTAGGTATATTGCCATCCGCTGGGCGCCCGCTCAGATCATGTCCATTCGCAGAAGTGCCAGTGTAAGTAGGATATTCGAGAGAACCGTGTCCTGCTGGTTGACCGAATCTTTGCCGCATGGTGCTTCGATGCGCTGCTCCTACGTTTTCGTCTGTGTCCCTTAGCGCAACCTTTTTCACTTTGGCTTTAAGTTTTACCTATCTGGGGTGACATACGCTGTGTAGCCCATGTACGATTCCCAAACCCTAGTCCGAGATTGGGGGCACGGGATTGTCGAGAGTTCATTGTGCTGGGATGATCAGGGGCTTGCCCGGGCTGCTGCTGAGGGCGGGTATAACTATGTGCGTCATACTTCTGCGTAGCTTGCTGAGCGGCGTGTAGAATCGAAGAGTCGACGGCATTGAACGCTGCCTTTTCAATCTCGCCGACTTCAACTTTCCTCTTGACCTTGTCATACGCCTCCTGCAGCTGTAGCACTTGTCGGGTCTTGTCTCTGTACTGCTGTACAAGTCCCTCGTTTCTTCGCCGCATGCCCTCGCACTCCGCGATCAGTGCTGTGGCATCAGGTGAGTCGAAGGCGCTCATAGAAAGCATCCGAAAATTGGCTTACTCTCGTGTTTCTGGTGTAGGCTCTCGAGTTCCGCGTTGGCATCGTTAACCGTCTTGTCAAGTTGAAGATTGAGCACCGAGTATTTGTCGGTCAATGTCTTGTATAGATGGCGCTGTTAACAGATTTCCTGGTTTATTTGGTAGGTCCAAAAGCTGAGGGCACGTCCTGCGCATTCCATGATGACATTTGGGCTTAGACCGCTGAGCACGCTCGTTTTGTAGTCTTCACTTGGATTGAGCTTGATGATGACAGCATCATCGGGATTCGATAATGCTTCTCTACAAGCGGGACATGTACGTCGATTTGAGCTTTGAGCGGTGATGCCGAGTTGCTGTGCACAATCGAGACAGAAGATGTGGCTTGGACAAGTAGCTTGTGAGCAAAGTCATATCGAACACCACGACTGATCCATTTACCTGCACGTGGTGACCAAGGCCTTCTCCGCCAGTTCAGTCCTGCATCTCAGATTATTGCAAGTCAGTGTGTGCTCCATTTCGACATGCCCGCTTGCGAAACTGCCAACGCAAGTGCTGATCAAGGGGAAGATGAAGCGAAGCGAAAGGCTGCAATGATTTCGAGGCCGAAGCCAATATTGGCCGGGAATATGGAGTGGCATAAAAATACAGTGAGGTGACCCGTTGCCTTCCTTCCGCAGTTACGATGCAGTTGCGGTGCTCTTGGAGGCAGTCGCGGCTCGGGATTTCATTTTTGTCAAGTATAGCTGTATCTCGCCATGACAAGAACACACCGGGTGATAGCCGGGCATGTAAGTGAACCTATCATACAGCTACTACTGAGTCTATCCTGCTTTTGCTGCTCGAAGCTGTTCACTCGTGCCCTGCAGCAGCTCCATATCCGTCCCGGTCTCGGCAGAGGGAGCACCGTGACGATATCCACGGGCCGTGAGCGAAGAAGTCTCGGACTGTAATATCAGCTATTTCACACAACTACAGGAAGCATTCAGAAAAGCGTTTCGCTTCGCATGGTGCCCACCGAGTAGTTGTGCCCGACCAAGTTGCGCACCGTGAGGTCATCGTCAAGCAAGGGTGTGAGTCGCGACTCCAGAGTCAGGAGACAAAAGATTGTGGAGTCATCACTCTAAGGGTCAGGTGGATAGCACCAATCCGTACCTACATCTACCATCACGTATTCCCGCGCATGTTCATCATCTTACATGTACGTTCAAGTTGGCTAATAATCAGGCTAAATGATGGCCACGTTCAACTCTCCAGCCCCCATCCCATCAAGTTGGTCAGATGCGCTGCACGACGTCGCCCTCGGACAATAGCCCACGATTCTGGTAACCTGCCCCGGCATTAAGTTGCATCGATTATGGACCATACGTGACACAAGCTAGGGTTGATGTTGCACGAACAAATGCCGAGTGCTCCTCTGCTTGCTAAGATTTCAGTCAGACACACGAAGGACAGCCTGGACAGGACCCAGGGCCTACCATCATGACCCCGTACGCAAACCGAGTAGATTCGGTAGTGAGGCCCGTCGATCCAGATTGAGACCTTAAACGGCAGATGAATACGTTTCGGTGCATGAGTTTCCCCATCTGCAACGACCCTGGCGTGAAACACTCGCCTTGTTGACTGCGCTAATGAAACAATCAGCGCAAGAGGAAGAAACATTTCTCTTGAGGTCGCGTTTCCGACCCCCTTGCCCCAGTGACACCGCCGTTTCCAGTCGCATGGACTTGACTTCGGCGAAACTACCAGACACAAAACGACTGCGTGGGTTGATGCGTCACAAGCCTCGCCAAATTCTCGGTGGCCGCCCTTAGGCTCTTATCCGGCATCAGTCGGGTCATACCCAGCCTGCGTAACCTCATCCGCCCTTCAGGAAGCCGAAAATCCACAATGTGCGTTTCGTCCTCTCGCCCTAGCATTGGACGTACCAAATGCTGTCCCACAGCACTGCAGGTGGGCCGTAGTCAAAGTTGCGTCTACAAGTCTGTTTTTCACGCGGTATGGCTTTCATACAAGAGTCATTGATGCAGCTTCAGAAAGGTTCCCGAGATGTTAATCGTTGCTGGGGATTCTTTCATACATCCTACTCTGCCTTGCCGTACAATCATAGTAGTCGAAAGTTCACTGCCCCTAAAAGCCACCAAGACGCGCCGCTAAGTATGCCGCCTCCCAAAAACTCCCAAGTAGTCCATTGTGGCCCCCCTAGTCCATGCTATCCAGCGCCTGCTAATTTTCCGTTGATGCACCTTCATGTCCAAATCATGCCCTGCGCCGATACTGTACCCCGATGGTACATGCTGCTGCCCTGAATCACTGCACGAAGAACGCAGGGTCCATCATGTGGTCTGCGTTGCCCATGGCTGTATAGTCCATACCCACCATGCTTTCGTTGAGGTCGCACATCCCGCCGTCGGTGGCTAGTGGGCCCTGGTTCTGTGCCCAGCACATCCCGTCAAGGTCCCAAAGACCCTGTTGCTCCATCAAGCCCATCATGTCCCCCGACTCCAGGCCGATTGGCGACAAGTGGAAATCCCTGTCGTTCATGACTAGTCCCTGGTCGGTCAAGATGTGCAAAGCGGGAGCCCGAGCATTGTCCTGCTTGGGCGTCGACGCTGTTTGACGACTGGACTCGTACATGCGCCATACGACTTCTCGGCAGCGGCGAGCGGCCATGGACCAGTCTTCCATAGCCTCTAGCAGTTCGAGAACAGTCTCAACCTGCTCTTGCCACTCGGAAACTTGTGAGCTGCCGCACTCCCAGAACAAGCTCACCAGGGGTATCATGGCCGCCTGGTAGAGGAACCAGACCGCGTTCCATCCTGACATCTGATTCCGAGTCCATTCGCGGGAGATATCTCCAATGGTGGCTTTGGCCATCTCCCGACACGTCTCCACGGCGACACAGTCCTTATCGGAAGGCTGGGAGCTGCCACTGGCCACTGTGAGGAGGATTGGACGATGCAATAGCATGCGGAGGTTTTGGTATCTCCACTTCATAATGCACCGGGCAATGTAGAGCGGTTCTGCGCAAGGATCCGAGGTGCGCAGCAGCCAGGGTAGACTGCCGTACCAGTTCACCAGCTGGCCGTCCATGCTGCTTCGGTCTTCCGCTCGGACGAGAGGAGTGATGGCCAGCAGATCCTGGATCTGTGTGGCGATTTTGCAAAACTTGACATTCTCCACAAGGGGCAAAATGCCGGCATGCTGCGCCGAGTCGTGGGCCTGATCCATCCCGAATCCAGGGGCATTGATGTTGATAGCTGGACCAAACCGCCCAAAAGACGGGCGGCCCGTCGTTGTGGTGGCCCAAGTATCGAGGCAAAAGACCGACCACCACGTGCGCCGCCGTGTCTCGGCCGAGGCTCCGTCGCTTGTCGTTCCCTGCGCAAGTGATTCTCGATGCAAGCCCAGAGCGCTAGCCATCCTAACAGCCGCGCCAATCATGGCGTTGGCCATGTTGGGCCTGTTGATGTAGTGAAGATAGTAGCCACCAATAATGGCCAAAGATTGCACGGTTTCAATGTGATTGCTGCCAAAAGCATCAATGGTGATATGCTCCATGGCTCGGTTGTAGTAGTCGATGTGGGTGAAGTCATCCGACTTCATGGCGACAATGCTGCCCATGGCAAACACCATGTTGAGCAGCGCTAGCCAAGGGGCATCGCATCGCTGACCCTCCAGGTAGTCCGAGCGGAAAGTACCCTCTTCCAGCATGGGAATGAAGACGTGCACGCGCTTAAAATACGCGTCGATCAGCGTCTGGCCCTTCCATGACCAAGGAATGCGTGACGTGTCCTTCGGCACAATGGACCGTTGTCGAATGACTGGAAGATTGCTCGTCATCTCGACGTTGTTGAGCGGCGGAGTGAGCGAGTGCCTGAGCTGAGGCTGAGCTTTGAGCATGACCATCAAGGCCGCTTTGATTGATGAAGCTCCGAGGTACGAGGTCTGGCGATCGCCCACCAGGCTCCCTGCGTTCAAGGCATCGGTTTCTGAGGGCATAGACTCCTGGCGCCGTCCTTCGTCGTCCCATTCCGCATCCAGGCTTGGCATCTGTTCGAAGCTGGTGAAGCTGACATCTGACCCATGGCAGGAATCGAAGTCTTGCTTGATGGGCGAGCCCTGGGATGACGGTGAGAGCAGTGATTCTGGTGTGTTGGCGTCCCTTCGGTGGATGATGTCCACCAGCTCTTGGCGGGAAAGCGATAGGAGGGTCGGCACATCGTGTTCGGGATAAAGTCGCTTGAGGACGGATCGGCATTCTTCTAATTGCTGCGATAAAGCCTCCAAGGTCCTGGGGACGATTCATCAGCATCAGTATCCTAGAAAAGACCTCTAAAGGGGCTGCTCACTTCCTCGAGGGGATGACCCTCTGGCGATGCTTATCGTAGAAACATCTCTTGGGAGCGCGGCTCGAAAGGCATTGGCCGCAGGGCTGTTGACCGTCACAGCGGATTTTGCGTCTCTTGCATTCAGCACATGCATGTGGTGTTGTGATTCTCTTGTTGCCGCTGTTGGAATTTGACTTGCCGCCATCGCTGGCTTCAGTCAAAGTCTTGCGAGGGGTGACTCCTTGGACTGAACTCGAGTCTTAGACACGGTCGATGTTGTAGATGTGGAAGAAATGGACTCACATGTGTGGAACATGCCACCTTGAGTTGGCGGATGAGCTGTGGGTGCCATGTTGGGGCGAGTTCAGTACCATATACTAATGCTGCCAAGATGTGTTGGTCGTTCATGCATCGGCGGACAGACGTGTGGATGGGATCGAAAAGAAGAGCACGAGTCCAAGGTCGGATAAGTATACACATGGGAGCCAAGAAATACAGCCGAGCACCATTGACGTGAAGGTGGCAAACTGAAGAGGCCGGCGGCGATGGAACACTTATTTAAATGAATGAAGTATCGTGCGTTGTTTCGGGTCTCACCCCCAGCACCCCTGGCCATGGTAATACGTGCGGACGTCCAAGACAGTTCATCGGCAGACACAGGCGTGAGCGGGAACCGAAGTGTGGAGAAGGGGGTTCGGGGACAGGGGACAGGGGGTGCTAAAGATGGCCAAGCATCTTGAGGCGCTGGGATGGAGACTGGAGTCAAGTTCCTAGAATATGATAGGGTTCGCTGCTGGTCATGGTGTGTGTGATCTGAGCCCTCAGCGGCTGTACAGTGCCTTGGGAGAGATACCTCAACAGCCCGCTGAGCGGGTGTAGGAGAGCAGAAACGGGGCTTCGTGTGGGGTAACATGAATCTCCGTATTTGGGGCAATGTTCATGTGGGTGTAGGTTGATAATCGCGCGAAGAGTACGTACATTGGCAGAATAAAACAAGGCGGCGGCGGCACCAGCGCGATACCTACAACTCGCACGCCCCGTCTCTGTCACTTTAGCCACTGCGAGTCCCTCCCAAGCTACCTTGCGCTAGCCGCCTGCCGAACGGGTCGGCCAGGGACCAGACAGGATTGGCCCGGCCCCGGCAAGTTGCGTGTTTCCTATTGTCTATGGGGGCCAACGTACCTAGCTAGACTAGTCGTACCAGACGGACGGATGCCGTTGTGTTGGTTCCGGCAATGACTGCGTAGCACAAGACTGTTCAGGGTGCGTGGCGTTCCGGTGGTCGCGTTGACGAAGCCATACTAGTAATTAAGAACAGCCGGTTCTGACAGTACAAAACTGTCCAGCGATCGTCCAAAGGCCGGGAAAGATCAGCAGGTCGTTCCGTGACTATCAGGATCTACCCTCCACCGCACTGGGTAATATCCATGTGCTTCCTGGAAACATTTCCAGAGAAGGAGCTACTGACATGTGCGGGCAGTGTGGTGTTTTCGAGGAGAGGAGCCTACCCTGGTGCCTCTGACCTCGCCCAACACGAGCAGAGCTCTCGTCGATCAATGCAGGCCGGCTCGTTGTAAGCAGGCAGTCGAGCGGCAAGTGGAAGAGCAAGCTTAACGGGGGTGGCTAACTAGCGGAGGGGGGGGTGACGGACCGCGAAGCCAGCCTCAAGGCCATGGGCAAAGTCTGAAGAAGCTTGAAAACCCCGGGCATGTCACCATACCAGTTGGAGAATCGCTCGCAGAAACATGGCGAGGATATTTGCGTTGCAGACTCGCATTTGGTTGGATGAACAGGGTGATGTGGTCGACCAGAGTCACTAAGGTAGACGCAGGTAGCGCCCAAATCCGGGGTACGTTCTTGTGTATGGGAATCAGGGATCGTGCCTGAATGGACAGCCAGCTCACAAGTGATGCTAACCAGGGTAGGCTAAGTGACGTACTGTACTGCCGTGCTCCATGTCTTTAGTGCCCGGGCCTAGAGGCCTAGAGGCCTAGACTATACCAGAACGATAAAGCCACGCTTTAGCAGCTGTAGCTACTAGTCTGCTTGTAGTCTAGTGCAGCGGAATCAAAAGTTTCGCATGAATTGGGGAAATGGACAGGCACGGAACCACGGCGTGACCCTCCGGGCCAGGTCACAAGTTACAGGTAGTTTCCGCGTATTCCAACTTGGGTCTGCGCTCTTTAATCATCAGGTCGGTGTTGTCAGGACCGGGGCGAATTCACTGTCCACCTAGACAAGAAACGATATCATCTGTCAGTGGTTTGACCCTTTATGCACCGACGCTCAAAAAGTCATTACTCCAGGCTCTTGGTACGATTACAATATCTTGGGTGCTTGCGCTGTCGACAAACGTTTGCGGTGCGCCATGATTCATTGTCCACAGGAGTCACCTACTGGAGCGGGGACGTCACGGTCATGCAGCACCACGTTTCAACATGCCAACCTTTATGCGTTCCCGATGGAAGCTGTTCATTGTGGATTTCGAATTACGACATAGTCGTACATATTACATCTTAGGCGGCCGCTGGCTCGATGGACGCATGAGTGTTCAAAGGATTTTGACAGGTTACACGAAAAGGACCGACTTGTGTGTAGTACCAGTCCAAGAATGCAACACTCCTGGAACCAGCAAGGTCCTTTCATCTGGACAGGCAAGAGTCTGGTCTGAGACTCTGAGTGCAGTCCCTCATTTCTCTCCTATGATGGTACCCGAACACGTGTCAGGCAGCCTGGGATCCCGGCGAGCCTCGATCTGCCCTCTGGCTGGCAGCAAGGCATACAAAACTTGGCGCCCGTGCCCCGGGCCAAGCAGCACAATAGGTAATTACCCGCTGCTCCTTGTCTCTCCACGCTCCTGCTGCAGCGTTGTCGTGAATCTTCTGCTTTTCGTAACTTTGACTCGTAGTGATCGCTCATGTGCGTAGGTCTGCCAAGATCATGATCAATGCGGACACGTGCGACTAGTCACTGTGCCTTGGCCCGTCCCTTTCTCATGCCTTCGCAGGCTTTTTTTTTGTCCCTCAGCTGTCTGGTATGAGGGGTAGTCAATCAACGAGTATCCTGCCACGCCCGTAGCTTCTCCTCGCACGCCTCTCGGTATCGGATGTCTTCCCGATTGAACCCTCTCGTGCCAGTTCCGTCGTCGATCCTCAATGCGGGGAAACAGTGATCGCGTAGTTCGCGAAGGTCACATATGTTGACGAGCGACGACCGTCTTCCCGGCGCCAAACACATAGTCTCATTCAAGTATAGAAGGCGAGTTCATCTGGGCCGTCTCGGCCCTCGGGGAGAAGCTGGCGAAGCACCCCGGATTTTCAGAAGTCGCACATGACCTGAACAGGGTGTCAATATCGTGCCGTCCTGCATCAGCCATCTGGCATTGGGTCATATAGCTTCTAGCACGATATGACATCAGCCATGTTGAATCATCGCCACAAAATCTGTGGCGCTCGCCGATGATTACGGACGAGTGTTTGGAATCAGTAAACATTCATCCACCTACGTTTGGCCACCAAAAAAGCAGCCGGCTGGGGGATGAATTTTCGAGCTCAGCTGAGCAGCGCTGCAGTCAGCCAATGTGACCTATTATGGAGCGGCAAACCATACCAAGGCATCGAGAGGCCGCCCCTCTATGGTTGGTGCTGTGATTAAGTGACACATACTGAACCTGGCGGTGAGTCTGCCCGAACAAGCAAAACCTCGCGAGATCAGGCAATGGACACCGCCACAATCGCCATCTCCAGCAACGCTTCGGCCGACATTGTGACCATGGCCGAGAAGCGGTGGTGGCTTGCCAGTTGCCGCTCCATAGCCGATAGACTATACATGCAGGGCAATTCAACCGTAATACGTGCCGGAAGAACTAGTCCAATTTGCCATGGCCTTCTGTGCACGTGTGATCCGTGAATGCATCATCGTCTGCGTAGGAATGATTGGAGAAGCTCCCGCACACCTCAAGGCTCATCTGATCTGTCGCTTTTGTTGCCTACCATGCACAACGCAATCAATTTAGCTCAAGGATTCACGGTCCGGGAAGCTAGCTGCGTGCCTGAACACCTGCAGTAGTAGGCGGTCCTCTGTTGCGGGGGACAAAGTCTTCCGTGTGGGGAGCGGCCAAGAGTAGATGCACGCGCTTGCGATGCGGCGAGTCGCCCTAAGCTGCATGATCAACAAGGGTTGCGAGGCCAAAATGGGAGATGCCTCGCAGGCCACCCTTCCTAATATCCTATACGCCTTCCTTTCGCGGAACTTGGCCCCGGTTTGACACATCTCCCATCGCCCGAAATCCTACCCATGGGGTTCCCCATACCCCGAATCCCCGCGCGTCGCATCACCAAGCCCGACTTTTGTTAACTTTTAACGCCGATGTGAGCTATTGCCCCATCTGCGCTGTCCATGACTCCATCATAGGCGGAGGACCTGGCAGCGGCTGTCGATACCATCAAAGATGCAAGTGTTGTCGACGGGAATGTACTGCTTCGTAATGATCTTGATCATCTCCTGCGCGACCATACCGCCAAGAACAGCCGACGTGTTGTGCAGTTCGACACCACCAGCTCGTGCCACCTCCTTGGCTGCCTTTAATATCCGCTCTTTGCCCGCAGCGATAGGCACATGACTAGTGATGGAGGATTCAATGTCCTCCTCGGATGCGGATTCGAGGTGCGTCGTGGCCGTGAGCGCGAGGTAGATGCCAATCAATGAGTAAGGCATCTCCGGCCCGACCACAGCCGCCATTTCGTCATTTGCCAGCTCTTGCTCTGCAATGCAACCAAAGGTCAGCCTCTCAAGCGTCGAACTGGGACCCCTTCCCGCAATCTGCTCCTACGGCTTGCTTACCTGTGACCTGGACAAGAGTCTTGGGCGCCACGTCAGCGCCGTTGATGAGCTTGATGAACCGCGCATTTGTGCAAAATAGTTCGACTTCAGCCGACTCGACATCTGCCCCGCCCTCCATATTCTGTACAGTGGCAAGCACCTCGCGCGCGTCTTGGCGGGCTTTGGTCTTGTAGAGATTCTGCAGTCTGATATAGACGTCCGACTGCGCTTTCATGTCGGGAAGACCTCCGGACACTGGCAATGTGCCATGCTTCTCGTGGAATTTTTTCACGGCGGCCGCAATAAGCCAGAAGCTGGAGTCTGCATCCTAATTGTTCCGACGTCAGCTGAGTGGCATCGACACATGTAATTTTGGAGCTTACAGTGCCTCGGCGCTGATAGTCAAACACCTGGCGGAGTGTGCTGGGCAGAGCCGGCGGCTGCACGTGCCTCATGACTCCAGACACGGCTTCCTCGTAGTTCTCCTCGCCTCCATCGGCGTTAGTCTTCCTCATAGCCGCCTCCAAACCCTTGCGAAACTCGGTCTTGTCTTTCAGGTTGATGGGATTGGCGCCCTCATGGCTTTTCCGCCACTCCTCGAGATAGTGTAGTAGCAGTACTACCATTGGGAGATGCCCATGATCGTGTTCGTCGAGGTTTTCGATATTCTTCGTCATGTTCCGGGCAAAGTCTTCCAGCTCAGGCCAAGGCGCTAGCACCCTGAGGTCATCAATCGCAGTGTCGTCGGGGTGAGTGTCCACGATCGGAAAGGCTCCCGGGAGCTTGACCTGGAAATATCCGTAGAATCCTGCCGATTGCACTGCTATCAGAGGCGTTTGGAACTGGGACGCGTACGTTTCCAGCATTTGCAACCGTTCCTCGCTGATAGGCGCAGAGTACAGGATGGCTGTGAATGGCTCTGGGCTCGCCAATAGCTCTTCAAAGCTGGATGAATGCTGAACCACGGTAAGTTTTGCATGCTATTCCCTTCGTAGATACCAGGCTCACCTTTTCACGCGGCCACCAGTCACCTCGAACCTCTGGATTAAGCTCGGTCAAGAACTCCGCACAGCACTGAGCTCGAGACTTGCCTTTGCAGCCCTCATCCAAAAAGAAGTTCACACCCAAGTCCTCATCAGATACTTTTGCTTCGTCGGCTATCGTGAACTTGCCAATTCCTAAAAAAATTTGAATTTTAGAGTTAGCTAAGCCAGCCCCTTTTCAAGGGCCAACGCAACAACAGAACGGCTTACCCGGGAGTACCAGGTTCTTGAGTGTTTCCACACCGACCGTGCCACATCCAGAGTTGACAAGGAGAATATTTGCTGATTCCAAGGCTGATTGACCTGAAGCTGCCCATAGACGCAGTTGGCGATCATACTTTCTCTCCTTCTCTGAGAGCCCATGGAGGAGAGGAGGGGTCTGCTCCATTACATCAACCATCGTGGATCTCGTGGCCGTAGATGTTGGATTTGGTGTTTCAAGTGTGCCTCTCTCCCGGAGAAACCAATTTATGTTGCGATATCTCGATTCTTAAGACTCTCCTTCCCGAGAGACTTGTGTTGTTCGACGCGGAGAAGGAGATGAGCGTATAGTGATGACTCGCCGTCAAAATCGACAACTTGTAACAAAGAGCGGCATCCAACTACTGCTAATTATTTATCGGAGGGTCAAACTTAAGATGATCAGAGCTTGTCTCTTGCCGATGTTAGTTTCGTGTCGGCCGTAGTGACGATGGACTCGGATGTGAGCGTGGTGGCGCTGGCGCAGACAACCGCAGTGATTGTGGGTCGACATACACCGCCATATCATTACGTAAGGGACCGGCACTACCAACTCACCACGCCTCACAATTGACATCGACACACCAGACATCCACATGACCTTTGTTCATGAACTGAGAGCGTGACCAAACTAGCGAGTAGTTAAGTCTCCCGAACGCCATTCATTTCAATCGCTACCGAAATCATGGCGATAACAGAACTCCATGTCAAGCACCACAAGTCAGGCGGCTCCACGCAGTGTCCGCCCTTCCGCAGACCCATCTTTTCGCCAGATGAGAGATATTGGCCAGATAACTTTAAGCCACGCATTCTGCGGCATACACCCACCTCTGCTTCCGCCGCTTGATTCGACTTGGAGGAAACGCCTCTACTAGGCTCAGCATGGGCGATTTGTCATCCCCTCGTCATCACGGCCAACGTCCAGGGGGGACTGTCGCCGCCTTTGGAGAACTCCAGCGCATAGGTGAACCGCACGTCAGGAAAACCGATCTTACCCGGCAGCCAGTCATTAGCCAGCATTGTGTCGCGCACATCGTCATTGGGAAGCCCGTAGTAATCGACCAGACCTCCGTAGAACCAAGAACCGCCATGGTTTTCGGGTGGCTAGTCGCCCTCTTTGGCGAACCTTCGGGCATGCGTGCTACTACCATCCCAACGATAGACGATCTTGGTATGTTCGTTGACTTGAAGGGCGTCCTGGACGGGACGTATCTCATAGTCACCATGGGCACCAGCAGCTAGGTATCTGCGGCTAGTCAGCTGGCTCCCGTTACGCACAGGCTCGGTGTGCCACACCTCACCACGTCGCCCTCTAACCAGACGACTACATGTTCCCAATCATGAAGATGACCGGAGCAGGTCTCTCTTTGTGATCCACCTCAAAGTAGTAGCCGTACATCTGGGCAGTCCATCCGTTGTTGGTGCGAGAACGGACATAGACATTGTTATTGTCAAGGTACGACGGCACGCGACACTCGACGGCATCGTTAAGATCTTTGATATCGCAGGTACTTCGACCAGATTTGACAGCCCCAGCATGGTCTACTGTGGGCGCGTTGTAGCAACTGTCCATAGCAAAGTCGAAGGCTGGAACGTTCTGTTAGCCACTATGTCTGCAGTCGAGACTTTGAGCACTAACCAGGCTGATAGTTCATCTACATCGTGCGCAGTGGATGTAATATTGCGTTGACCGCTCCTAAGCCGCGATGCTCGTCAATCGTTCATCGTGCCCAATCATCTCGCAATAGCTACGCACTGTTGAAGCATTGGGAAAGAATGGTGACAGCGGATGAGAAATGTGATTCATCATTGGCGGGAGTTTCCCGTAAGAAAGAAGCTTGCAATGCTGCAAGCACTGACCAAATCTTGAAGAGAAGGTTTTTGCATCGCACGCAAAGCGCCCTTGGTCCCAATAAGTAGCCGCTATATTCCACTCTTTGAAGTTGGATCAATCACATGACGGTACTCTTGATCCTGTTGAAGCACTCGGGGGCGACCTGGGCAATGTTGGGGTCACAGAAGCAGTTGCATCCAATTTCCTTCTCCGTAGCTTTTCTCACGTCGTTGGCATCAAAGTCAGGGACCAGCTCGCCTCGCTTGAATGCGTCCTCATGGGGCGCAAAAGTGCAGTATTGGAATGGTTTGTGCACGTAGCCCAAGTCAGAGAAGTGATGTACCTGATCAGGGCGGAGCAACAGCCCAGCGGCGAGGCTGTGAACAGGGGCATCTCCCCAGCGCTCGTAGTAGAAGCCACCATCTTCATCGAGGAATTGGAAGAATTCGCGATACTCTTGCGAACGGAAGAAAGTCATGTCAGCGATTTCGAAATTGGACCAGAAATGGCACATGTTCCACATGTCCCCATTGCCGTCGCGGTTACGCAAAAGGCGCAGAATCTTGCGAAACGGCCACGGAAGCCATGCGGGGGCCATCATGGCGGTCCACAACGAAGTCGAGGGCATATTTCGCTTGTTCTTCCAATCGGATAGCTTCTGGAAAAGAGTCGGTACAGTCTTCCCAAGCTCCCAAAGAGCAACAGTATAGCCGTAGCGTTTGTCGTTCCGCTCCATCTCGACGAACGGGTCATAGGTCAATGCGCAGGTAATCTCGATATCTGGCTCAACTCGCCAGTACCACTTGTACCTCAAAAGGGCGGGGTGATCGAAGAAGAAGCTATGCTACATTAGATACCGTGCATTCTGTCGTCGGAGGAAGAATGCCTACCCGGAATTGAAGCGACACATGTGATGGTAACTCTCCTTACCGGCATAGGCAATTCGCCTGTTTTGCATGCTCTCCATCTCCTGTCGTGCTTTTCCCTGATCGATCCAGGGAGGATATCCCCACATGTAGGTAGGAATCGTCTCGAAATATGCTTCGCCGCCGCCAGTCTCTTTCACGACTTTGCCAACTCTCGAGACGAACTCGGGCGACCAATCCTTGTCGTTGAGAAAAACCCAAGGGTATCCAAAGTGCTGGTTGAACTGATTCTGAACACTCTGTATGCTATCAATGGCGCCGTCGACATCCGTGTTCCGCGCCAGCATAACCATCGCGGCATTGGCACGCTCGGTGGTGTTGAGAATGGGCGTCTGGCAACCGACGTGGAACGGGGGATCGAGATTGGTTGCTGGCCGCTGGATTCTGAAGCTGCGCACATGAACGACGGATTCGATAAGACACAAGATGAGGACGCCGACTACGACCTTCCAGTGTCGGGTGAGCGAACGCGCGACACGCCGCCTTCGCCAAGTTGGGGGAGCACGACGGTCATCTTGGAGTTGGAGGATTGGAGTGTTATCGCTGGCCATTTCGCTAGTGCGCGGTCTTCGGAGGGACATGCTGGTGACGGAGGCTGTCTCGTCGCCTCTGGATGCTGGTGAGGAACATTGTTAGAACAGAAGAAGTCGAGCTGTTGTCGCAAAGCGATTCAACTCGGTGATCCGCGTTTGGGTGGGACCCCAGCACAAGGCACACTGGCAGCTTCATGGTTCCCATTTCTCATGAGGAATAAGTACGCCCACTCCGTCCAAAAGTGGTACCTTGATATAGCACTTTACCTGCACAATAAAAAAATTTCCGTCTTCGAAGACTTTTCGAATGCGTACATAATAATTAAACCGGATACTGTTAGGGGCACAAAGGGAATCGTGAGACGAGTCTTGATTTGGTTCCAACGTTTTTGTGGATACCTCGCACGAACCGCAGGCACGCCGCACTTGTGAATTGTGACATGCTAATTAGCTTGACTCCTGAGTTTGACCACCCCTGAGCCATAAAGTGAACGGTCGAGAGGGCCTGAGACGCACAGAGTCAGTGAATCAAACCCAGCTACCGCTCTAATTAGGAGTCGCTGTTCCACTCTGGAACAGTATGGCCCAGACTCGACGACACAGGCGGCGGCAGCGGCCCACGTCGTTGACCGTGTTCTGTCAACAATAACTGAGCAGGGAGCATAACATGGAAGCCCAATGCCCCATCATCTGCATTAGAATTCCCCAAATGGTTCTGGATTCATGTGCACTTCATCGCTGCGTCCTCATGTCCATTGGCTAGCGATCATCGTGTGTTCTCGGATGACATTAGGTCCGGCCGTGCTAGGCCCGTTCGAGCCGTAAGTCTCCCTTCACGCGTGGGTCAGACGGCGCTGACACTCGAGAAACGGACCATGCTCTATCCATATGCTGACAATTTGGGGGTTGCCGCCTTGTTGCGCCCGACTCACTCCAAATGAATCAGCTATCAATCATGCCAGCCTCACTCGTGGTCTCGTCTGCTCATCACCCTCACGCATGGTGGTGCAGCAGCTTGCCGGACTGAGGTGACCATTGACGGAGATACAGCATCTCGACAAAGGTGTATTGAGGGTCATACGTCCTCCACGAATCTCTCAACGGTCACCGCCTGGCGGTATCAGCTCCCCATGGTCCAAAAGCTCGTGCCCTTCTCAGACGGGCCAACGCGCGAGAAAAAGATACTCTCGCTTGGCTTCTATCGCACCGGATCGCAGTCTCTGAAAGAGGCACTCACAATCTTGCACTACAAGGATGTGTTCCACTCGTCTGCCATCATGGACGCGCCCATCAAGTTCGCCAGCCTAGGCGCCGCAGCAGACGACAATATAACCTGTCTGCCCTCTTACACAGGACGGCACTGGAATCGTGCCCAGTGGGATCGCATCTTCGGTCCTTGCGAGGCACTCACCGACGTGACCCCTTACTCGTTGGACCTGCTCCGCGTGTATCCCGAAGCTAAGGTCATCCTCGTCAAACGAGATTTCGACTCATGGGCTACAAGCTTTCTGAATACGCTTTTTATACCCTCATCAGTCGGCATCATCCCATGGCTAAGTGGCTGCGTCTTTGAGCCCATGATCGGCCTCAAGGTCAGCAAGATCGTCTGGAAGTTTTACATGGGCCTTTTCGGGGTCTCTGTCCTGCAGAAAGCTGGAAACAGGCAAATCATGAGAGCTGGATACGATCGACATTACGATTTGATTCGTTTACTGGTACCGCCGGATCGTCTGCTCGACATAGATCTGAGAGACCTCTCGTGGGAGCCACTCTGCAAGTTCCTTGAGAAGGACGTGCCGGTCCAGCCTTTCCCCAGGCTGAATGAATCAAAGACCTATGCGGAGTCATGGACCTTATTGCACAGATGGGCGTTCGTCGGTGCCTTGTTCAAGATCGTGCCAGCTTTACTGATCGTCGCCGGACTCACCTGGTGGAGTGAATGGTACTTTGCTGGGCACGGTCGTATAATCTGAAATCTTCGACCGTCTTCCCAACCAAATACTTCCAAGACCGATCCGTTTCAACCAACACAGGCTAGGTCAGACTTCATGTTGTCAGGAGGAGGTTCCCGCTTGATCCGTTGCAGCCTGTGTTATAGAGTTCCAGATGCTGGAGCTTTTCCAGCGATGACGGAATATTGAAGATATGGCGATGTGTGCTAGTACATACCTGGACAAGACGGGCTGGGAATCGCGATGGCTGGGCGGAAGCCCATCTCTAGTCTGCGCCCCGAACTCTCGCCAGGACATATGGTGTGGCCAACATTGCTATCGACTTAAGAGACTTTCAAATGGTATCACGAGGATATCGGAATGTGCGAGACTTGCTTGCGGATGTTGTTACCAGACCTGTGAGGATGGTCATGTTGTGTGGGGAATAAGCGACTTCGGCGTAACCTGGAATCGGACTCTTTATTAGCCGGCCAAGCGACTCTGGTTTTATTGGAGATCGACAATTGACTTCGACACTTCTCTCAACTGAGCAGCCCCATTTATCAAATCTTACGACTTCACCTGGATGAAGGAGGGATTGGATCACTCGTCCACGAGTCAACTTCAGCTTAGTCATGCTGCCGCTGCCACTCCCACTCCCACTCCCACCTGCATGTGGCCATTCCTTACCGCATCTTATCATGTAGAGTGGCAGTGGGGGACAATATGCATCCTGCGAGCTGCCTTTTTCTTACGCTCAACGGCATGGGAGTCATCTTTGGGCACCTGGCAATGTCGCAACGTCGGTCTTAGCGGAACCTTGCAGAATGGCACTGACCAATCATTCAGCTACTGACCGAACCGAAGTCGACAGCTCGCAACATGAAGTAGGCGAACCCTTGCAACCTACTCTGTCGCCAGGTCAGGCACCGGCACCCACTGTCCCTGCCGCTGTGACCCAAAACACGTTGATTGAGCCTCGTCCGGACGCTCCGACTGATGGGGAGGAGGACGACAACGAGGATGGTTATGCCACTGATGATGCTTCAAAAGTGTCAACTTCATTGACAAGCAGCGTCCGTGACTACCATTTCGACAATAGTCGAAGGTACCACAAATACGCCGAGGGTCGCTATCAGTTTCCAAATGATGAGCCTGAACAGGAGAGGGAAGACATGAAGCATGCCATGATCGTACATGCATGCGACGGAAAACTTCACTTTGCGCCGCTAGTCAAGCCTAGGGACATTCTAGACGTGGGCACAGGAACCGGCATTTGGGCTATCGACAGTGCGTGGAGTTACCTTTTCATTCACAACCGCCTTGATGGAAGCTAACGGCGATATGGCAGTGGGCGACGAGTATCCAGAGGCAGAAATCAAGGGGATTGATCTGAGCCCCATCCAACCAATGTGGGTACCACCGAACGTTCGCTTCTGGGTAGACGATGCAGAGGCTGAATGGATCCAACCGCCTAATTCTCTCGACTACATCCACATCCGGCACATGACGAATGCCATCAGGGACTGGCCGACGCTGCTCGCGCGAGCTTTTCAGGCCCTTCGTCAGGGGGGTTGGATCGAGCTGCAAGAGCTGCGCTTCGAGTTGGAAAGCGATGATGGTACTTTGCAAGAAGGCAACATGCTCAACGACTTCTTCCAAAAAGTCGGCAAAGGCCTCAAGACATTTGGCGTGGACCTCTGGGATATGAAGCACAACAAGCAGCGCGTCGTGGACGTTGGCTTTATTAATGTCGAAGAGAAGCTTCTCAAGATCCCCATGGGGCCTTGGCCAATGGACCCGCGCATGAAGATGATTGGACAGTATTGCAGGGCAATAATTGTTGATGCCCTCCACGGCGCCTCCAACAAGTCCTTCACGCATGGTCTGAAGTGGTCTCTCAATGAGATTGAGCTCTATCTGGTGGCGGTCCGCCATGCATGTATGGACAACAGCGTGCACGCTCACATACCATTCCAAGCAGTCACCGCGCAAAAGCCATATTGATAACTACAAAAACCGACAATAAACCACGGTCCACTGTTGAAGCCCAATCTAACATGTCCGGCCAGGAATTAGTCGACCTCTTTCACTGAGCCAGTGTCTTATCTCAGGCTGGATGAAGGATTGATGGCAGTTGGCCTCGTGCCGCCTCATGAAACCTGGCCTCGGCATGATGACAAGGCCACCACGCTATACAAGTCGACCAGAATATGGAGCTGGCTCTTCTGCGTCAACCGGATGCTGTCTTCCACTGGTGCGGACCATCAGGCAAAACTGAATGGCACAGACCATACCATACGTCATCCAGAAACACGGTGAGTTGGAGAACTAGTATACGGTCTCTCCCAACAGCGTTGACTCACGGTGGCTGCTTGTGGCATGACTGACATTGGCCTGCATGCCGCAATTCCAGCTATTCGCAGATGCAGAAGATGTCCTGGCGCAATACTGCGGGGTAAACAAAACGATGCGACTAGGTGCTCGATCAAAACAAACTACTTGCAACACTTCTCGGTAGTTTGAACGTTGCAGCTCTTTGATTGACACGAAAATACCCTCACAGAGATCCTTTATGCAACAAATATCCCGAATTGTGGCAATTGAAATACGGTTTCGGTTTCTTAACGCTCGGGCTCGAAATATCTTGACGAGAAGAGGCTCGATTACTCACAAGCGATAGAGCCAATCTTGATCGTTTATCTATGTGTTTGTTACGCACTCGAGGTGATATGTATCAAAAGCGTCTTCGTAGTCTATCCCGGGTAGTCATTTCAATCGAAGACATGCAACCACATCATAAATATCTCCTACCTGGTATGTTACAACAATAGTCGACTCATACCAGTGTGAGTCAATGATCAAGTCGTGAGAAGGCCACGCTAAGTCTCATTTGCACAACGTGGAGCATGCCTCGAGCTGTCCGTACACTCACGCAATCGATTTCGGAGCCGTGCTAAGGCAGCTCGCATGACACGGTCATCAAAACTCACAAATGGTACTAGCCTACTAGCCCTTTGTCTACCTTGATCGCAAAGCCAGCATGGCCTTTTCGGGCAGCGACTTGGCCCTTTCTTTCTTGGGCGGATTCCTCACCGCTCTCGTCATCTCCCTCGTCGCCGGCGTCGTGATCTTGCAGCGGAGCGATGCCCGAGGACTAGGGCACTGGAAGCTCAACGCCAAAATGCCACTGGCGACGATGTGGATGAACCTGGGGTATTGGTCAGTACTTTGACAGCCACACATAGCCAGCTATGCCTCGACAAGACACGACATCTGACAGAGCAGCAGGACCAGAGATGATGGCAGCCAGATCACATCCTTCGAGGAAGCTGCATCGAACTTGCTTCGCCAAATCCTCCTTCAAGCTGACCTCATCTCCCCACGCGCCAGACCACAAGGATCAATGGCAATACTGGACGTTGGATTCGGCTGTGGAGACCAGACGTGGGCTCTCGTCAAACTCATCGATCCGTCAATGAAGTACACCGACTTTCGCTACGTCGGACTCACCTTGGACGAGGCGCAGACGGAGACCGCCTCGCGGTATATTTGCTCGTCTGTTGCTTCGGCCGAGTTTCCTTGCCCTGATGCTACCGCATTCAAACTCTTTTGTGCGGACGCGTCCGTGCCTAATCAATGGGCGGGCCCTGTTCTCCGAGAGGTCGAGACATTGAAAGCGTTTGGTGCAAAGTGGTTTCTGGCACTGGACTGTATTTACTACTTCTCGCCGTCTAGGCGTCCCATCATGGACTTTAGTGCGAACCAATTGGGTGCTGGTTTCATGGCGTTCGATCTGCTAATGAACCCTGAGGCGTCGAGGAAGGATGCACTCATCGCCAGGCTTGTAGGGGTAATGATGGGCTGTCCATTCAGGACATTCCTCACGCAGGTGGAGTACGAGCGGCAGTTAGTTGATTGCGGATATCTAAGGGAGCAGATAGAGATCAGAGATATCACGGAGCATGTATTTCCAGGAGTTGTTCGGTTCTTGGATGCCCAAGATCGGGCGTTGAGTCAGTACGGCATGTCGCTAGGTGGCTATAAGCTCGCCGGTAGATTGTTCGACTGGTTCGGGCGTTCCGGTGTATTGAAGGCTGTCCTTGTTGTTGCCCGTGCCAAGGGCAGCACGGGAGACGTGGATATGGCCAACGTGGAAGCATGAAAGCTGAGGAATTGATAAAGCTGTGATTGCTCCTGACATAGTCCTCATTGCCTGACACATCCATTAAGATAAGCCAGCGAAAATACAGCATCTCAGACTTTCAACAAAATCTCCGCCTATGAGCCAAGGCTGTGTTAAGAAGTCAAGATAGGCCGCTCGATCCCGGGGGAGGCTGATCAAGACCGTGCGTCGGCATTATGACCACCGCGGTACCTTAAAAACATCCGGGACAGAGGTTTTCTGGACTCTCGGAAGCCATCGTCGGCATCGGTCACAGCCAACGCTGCGTCGCCCACTTCAGCGTCTGCGTCTTCTTCGGCAGCATCAGGGTGTCCGGCGCCATCATTCACCTTGTGGTGTCCGTTATCGGCCTGGGTCACAAACACAGTCTTCTCGGTCTCGTTAGGCTCCGTATGCCCCTTGACCTCCTTGGCGTTTGTCTGACTGTTGTGGACAATGTGCTGCCCACTCTGGTGGCCAGGAGCGATTTCAGAGCGATCCCCCCAGTATTGAAGCCCACCAGGCCTCAATCTTGGCCTAGACGATGTCCGAATGCCATTTAATGTCGCCAGCCTTTCTCGAACCCTCTGGCGTAATGGTCCCTTCTTCACTCATGTCTGTATCTGTTGCATTAGCTTGCAATCTTTCCCCTTTGGGCCCGATGCACTCACTGGTGACACACTTGCCGTGAAGCATGTTTTGCGATGCAGGCTCATCGTCGTCGTCATCCATGGATGATGGCCACCCAGGTGGATAATACTTACCGACGCCAGCAGGACCCCCTGGAATAAAGTCTTGGTGCATGCTTTCCTCAACATATGGGGGAAAATAGTGCCCCCGGTCCTGCCCCGGCGCGTAGCCAACTTGAGATTGCGCCTGAGGATGGTGAGTCTCTTGTTGAGGCGGACTATAGTAGTTCTTGGGGGCGTGATATGGCTCATGAGCATAGCGAACACCCTCATTTCCGTAGAGAGGCTCTTTCAGCCCTTGAGGCTGCGGCCGCTGCTCCAGTCGCTGCTTCGATCGCTGAGGAGACTGCTGCCGTTGTTTCGGTTTTCGAGGACGAGGTTTCTGTCGAGGTAGTTTTTTGGGTTGCGGCTGAGGTTTATTCGGAGTTCGACGCTGAGGCTCACGCAGAGGCCGGGGCTGAGATAGCTGTTGGCATTGACGCGGAGGCTGGACTAGTTGATCAGCTTCCACTCCTTCACCGGGCACATCCTTCTCGACTATCGCATCCGCTGTTTCAGGAGGCTCGTTGTCTGCATCAAGATCGTCTTTGTTTCCATGCATCGCAGCAACGTAGTCTGGATGCGGGTTTGGGAAAGGATATGGGTACTTGACCGCCTTGGAGTCTCTCCAGACGTGATGTCGAGCCCCATGAGACGTCTGCCAGTCCTCATCCTCGAACAAAACACGTCGACGATTCTGACCGGCTACCAGCTTGGGAGCCGCTATTGACCTCAGCTGGTGTTTTCGCTGCTGTTTCAGTTGCTGATCTGCCTGCGGCTGCTTTTGCTGTTGCTTTTGCTGCTGTTTCTGCATTTCTTTATCGGCCTGCGCTTGCTTTTGGGCCTTAGCAATCTTAGCGGCCTTCTGCTTCTCGGCGACTGCCTTCATTTCCTCAAGCTTCTCTGGACCAGAGAGCATTGGTTGCTTCTGTGTTGGCTTTGATTGCTGGTTCTGTTCCTGGACCACGTTTTGCTTCTGTTTCGCCGCTGCTTCCGCGGCCTTGCGCTCTTCGGCAGCTGCTTTCATTTTCGCAAGCTTCTCATCACTGACAAGTCCCTCACCGTTGGCGTGAGCCCTGAACGCATCAAAAGGGCTCTGTATTCCGGGAATCTCGAAGTTCGGTCCTTGGAAAGAAGTTTGAAGCTTGTCAGCAATATCTTTTCTTGAGGGTGTATGCTGAGGAGCAGGCGCAGGGTGTGGTTGTGTGGGTTGTTGCTGGGGGGGAGGGGGAAGTTGAGGCCGCTTATTCACGTGTTCCTGCTTCACATCCGTGGGGGCGTCACGGAAAGGAGCGAGTTTCCAGCCTGCACCAGTGTTGGGCGAAGGCTCGACATCGTTGCTCCAGGGCTCAGGAACACCGCCCGCCGGAAGGTCTTCAACATAGTCGTCCACCTCTTCGTTGTGTGGATCGTAGTACTCTCCAGCTCCATCAACATAGCCCTCGTCGGCGTATGGCTCTTGACTCTCGTCGCCCTCGTTTGCGATAGCGAGCTGTGCGAGTTCTTGAATCTGCGAACCTTGGTCATATTCTGGTGACTGGTCAACAATTGGGTGGTTCAAGTCTGCTTCCGCCTCGGATTCATCCTCCTCCTCCTCCTCCTCTTTCAACTGATCTTCTGGCTTGGGCTTCACTCGCCCGTTTTGCCTGATATCCTCACGATATGCTCGTGTGAACGCTAAAGCTTCGGGGGTCTTTGGAAATTTATAAGGAGAAGGTCTCACGCGTCGCTTCTGATGCTTCTGGGGCCTATAGCTTCCAACGGGATAATGCGGTTGCTGGACGGGGGCTTTGCCGTGAGCCTGGGGAATGTGATAATGTCCATGCCTGGGTTGCCCTTGTGGATGCTGGCTTCGGTAAGGCTGGGCTTGAGGGACGCGCTGCTGAGACTGGGCTTGGGGCTGCTCTTGATAGGGCATGTTCTGTTGCATTTGCTGGCCAGCTCCCTGAGGCTGTGGACGATACTGAGGGTTCTTGGAGAGGTAGTCGTTGTACTCACCCGCAGGCACCATGAGAGCTTCCCCCTTCGTCTTGTCCTTAGGGATCACGACGACGAAATCGTCACCGTCTTGTTTATCAGGATGTACTGGAGCCTGCGCTAGAGCCGGATTGGAATACTGTGGTGGAGTCGGGTTGTGATGTTGGGGTGGTGGCAGTGCCTGCGGGGCTGGTCGATGCTTGTGCGAGTTCTCCTTCTTGAGAATCTGATACTCATCCTCGTCCCAGTAGTACTCAGGATTTTTTTCAAAGAAGAACTCCCAAGCAGCGCGGCGTTCAACCTCTTCTTCGCCCGCGTCGTGATGCCCGCGACACTCCAGATTGGAGCACAGATTGTCATCCACTTTGTGTTCGCTGCCAACGGCGCTTCTGTCTTCAACTTCTGAGGCGTGGACTTCTAGATTGGCGATCCTTGGTTCGAAGGCTACATCTGTCGATGCGGCATTGGAAGTTGATGAGATCAGGGGTGCAGCAATAGGGGCCACTCGAGAGAGCGCAGGCCTCGTGCTGGTCAGAAATTGGGCGTTTACCAGCACAAATTGTGCTGCAGAGATCATGGCCAAAAGTCGCGTATGATTCCGAGCCATATTGATATCCGGTGCCGTGCAGATGTACACTGACATCGGCACAGTCCAAGGTAGGGTTTGTAGAAGAACAATGGTAAAGGGGTCAAGCCTGTGGTTGATAGGCGGGTGATAAGTCGTCCCGTTCAACACTTCCGCAAGACCTGGCTGACTTACCTTGAGCTGTCGCGCTGCGCTTTAGTTTAGCGACAATTTTGTGATGCGCTGGCCCTTGCAGAAGGTTGTGATGGCTCGAAGCATGTCGACTGGCAACACTCCGCAGGCCCTAGGGCCTTAGGGCTCAGCCGTTGATGATGAACTCCTAACAGAGCATCAAATACACTCTAATTGGATCCATGGTCTTTTTGGACAGGCTCTGAGCCTGATCCGCACCGCACGTTGGATGTTGGCTATCAGGGTGCTGCTAGCAAATGGCATCGTCCGGTTCAAATCTTTGCATCAACATCTGAATCAGCTTTTACATCTTTTCCTCCGCGCTGCATGGACATGCATGGGCGAAGGATGCATGCCTTTTTGTTGATAAAAACACGTGTCTGGTTGAGACCCATGAGTTTGGACACTCGGAGTACCTTGCCCCTTGGGTCAGTCACTCAGTTGGATCAGTGAGTCAGTGACCAGTCCTTTATTAGCGTGAACGAAAGCACACTGAAGAAAGCATCACTCCAGCATCCACTGAATCCTTCAGGCGTGTAATACATTAGAAGAATGGTCGTCAAGAAGTGGAGTGTCCCAAAGTGACATGTAATTAGAACCGCTTTCGCGGTCACTTTCAGTTGGACGCGCTGATGTGAGGCGCTCGTTGAATTGCAATCGAGGAAGGACAATGTCCGCTCGCTTTTGGCTTCGGGGAAGACTTACCCCGAGCACACCCCGCTCCTTAGGGTAGGTCGAACGCTGCACTTCGCAAATACCATTCGCGCAGTCTTCGCATTTGTTGTTTGGCATTGTCTATCGAGCTGTCAAAAGGCATTGGACAAGACATCAGGCGCATTATCCCACTAGCTTTTACATCCTTAAGCGTGTCTATCCGTGCCTTTGACCATTGGCTCTTGCACGACTCCAATCCCTCATTGCGGGACCGGCTCTCGATTCCCCCCTCCGATCCGTCGTCTCCTCTATTGACTACCCCACCGTGATGCATCATGCACTACGTACCCTCGTCCGAATGGTAATGAACCGGCACGATTACTGGACTCCTTCTCCTTAAGTAAGGTACTGATCGCCCTCCATACCCATGCGCCCCTTTCTCAAGTCATTACCTGCTTTTCTTCACAGCATCTCATCTCCCATTTCCCATTCCCGAAATACCCTTAGAGCCATCGTGACAAAGCGAGCAATGGCTACCGCGGCAGCAGGAAAGCGTCTTGCCGGCAAGACCATTGTTATCACCGGCGCGTCCTCCGGCATCGGGCGCTCGACGGCCCTCGAATTTGCGCGCACGTCACCCCAGGATCTGCGGCTCATCCTCACCGCACGTCGGGACGAGGTCTTGCGCGAGCTCGCCGACGAGATCAAGAAGGAAGTCGGCGAGGGCGTCAAGGTCCTGCCTGTCAAGCTGGATGTCAGCGACCCAGAGGCCGTGCGTGGTTTCGTGGGAAACCTGCCTGAGGATTGGAGGGATATCAACGTCCTTGTCAACAATGCGTCAGTGAGAAGAAACCACATGGGATCGTAAAGTCAATGCTGATTGTAAGAAAGTGGTCTCGTCAAGGGGGTTGACAAGGCCCCCAGCATCAAGGAGGAGGATATGAAAATCATGTTTGACACCAATGTGACTGGTCTCATCAACATGACCCAGGCCATCTTGCCCATCTTCCTGAAGCGTCCCGAAGGTGGCCAAGGTGATGTCATCAACATCGGCTCCATCGCTGGTAAGGCTAGATGAGACCTTGTCAGAGTGCTCGAAATGCTGATTCACGTCAAGGCCGCGAGCCTTATGTAGGCGGGGGCATCTATTGCGCCACCAAGGCTGCTGTGCGCAGCTTCACGGAGTCCCTCCGCAAGGAACTCATCGCAACCCGCATCAGGGTCATAGGCGTGGACCCCGGACAAGTCGAGACTGTGAGCATGCCTCCAAAGACCACTAAAGAACTCGCGGTTGACCTTGGTATAGAACTTCTCAGTCGTTCGCTTTTACGGAGACAAGTCCAAGGCCGATGCTGTCTACGCGTAAGTTGTGCGGAGCTGATTGTCATGTGCCTCTGCTAATGACTGCGCAGCGGCTGCGAGCCATTGACCCCAGATGACATTGCCGAGATCATCGTGTTCGCTGCATCCAGGCGGGAGAACGTGGTCCTCGCCGACTCGCTCATTTTCCCTAACCACCAGGCGGCGGCAACTATTATGCACCGCAAGACAACATAGAGAAGGACGATAACAGAGCAATTATAAGATATCTATATTGTGCACGCGATGCTGATCGTAGGACTACGCATGGGAATGTTCGAAATTTTCTCTTGCCCCCAATCCACTCCAAAAGGCATGGATCACAATGATCTGAATTAGGGGCCTTCTTCAAACGAATAATATGATCTGCCAACGTTCCGTTCAGGATCCATTCTGAGTTGAATCGGACCCTGGCTGCCACGAGGACAGCACCGCTGGATGGGCATAAAGCCCTGAACATGGCACGCGTGCGAAGTCGATGAGATCCCCTTACGAGACCGTGAGTGCAATAGTCGTAGTATTCGTCAACTGCCTGCCGCCGTTAACACATTTCCCATAAATTGCAATGACCACTGTGCCCGGTGGTGCATGTCCCAGACGCCTCGCTAAACAAATCACGACCAAAGCAGACACCACATCAGGTGCGAAAAAAATAATTCAGTTGTCCGAGGCAGTGCAACCTTTCAGTCACCGTAATGCTGGAACAACGGCGACAAGCTCTCGCCGAAATGATTGCGTCGGATAGCCTCGGCTAGCATGAACGACAGGTCCAGGATGACAAGCTTGGTGATGCCTCGAGAGCGTTCCTCGCTGAGCGGGAAGCTGTTGGTGACAACGATTTTATCGATGCACTGACAAGCTTGCAGCTGCTCCAAGCAGTCGCCGCCAAACACTCCGTGAGTGGCGATGCAGTACACTTTTTGGGCGCCGCCTCGCTTCACCACGGTCTCGGCTGCGGCAATCCACGTAGCTGGCTTGTCGATCATGTCATCGACAATGAAGACCGTGCGATTTTTCACGTCGCCTACCAGGGTAATCATGTGCTCGACTTCCGGGTCCTCGAATGCATTGTCCTCATCGTCCGAGCTCACGGCAGCATCGCCTGAGCCACCAAGGGACTGACGGTCCGGCACAAACATTGAGGAGTGATGAGACATGGTCATCGGGTCCTCTTCATGCAGACTGTTGTCAGCTGTTGACCGACTCGGCGAAGAGGCATCATCTTCCACAATATGGCCGTGCACTAAGCGCCCATGGGTCACTTCTCTGGCGCGGCCATCGTCGAATTCGAGATCACCGTTCACGGACGGGTCAGGTGAGCGACCTGGGGGTGTGATGGTGCTTTGCGACGGCCGCCCGCCATTGGGCCGGATGGCCAGATTGCCCCCTGTCGGTGACCCTGTGTCATCTGCAATCGTGCCGCGGGATCCACGGACAGGAGTCCGCTCGCGCTCGCCGGCGGTGCGTTGCGGTTCAGTGGGGTCGGTGTAGTTGCTGCCCTGCGCTGTCGTCTCCACTGCCTGGTGTTGCGAGCCCCCGAGATGGTGCATCATCATGCTGCCAACCATGTTTGAGCCCCCGCGTTTTCGTTCAGTCGTCACCATGCCGAAGTTTAGCTTAAGAGCATCGGCAAGGGACGTGACTCGCTTGGTTCCGCCAGGGTTCTTGGATACCACAACAGCTTCGCGCCAGTGAGGCACATTCCTGCGGATCCATTTCGCGATGATGGGCTCGGCATGAAGGTTATCGACGGGACATTTGAAAAACCCTTGCATCTGAGACGCGTGTAGATCGACCGTGATAACGTGCTTCACGCCTGCGACCCCGAGAAGATTGGCAAGCATGCGCGCTGTGATGGCGCCGCGGTGGGCCTTCTTCTTGGATTGTCGGCTATATGGGAAATAAGGTAGGACAGCTGGTGACTGTCAGTGTCATAGCCCCGGAACCATTGCTTGGGTAGGGGGTGCTTACCCGTGACCTTGTTCGCCGAACCACCCTTGGCTGCACTGATCATAATGAGGAGCTCCATGATTGAGTCGTTGATACGGGGGCTTCCCGATTGTACAACGAAGACATCTTTCTCGCGGACGCTGGTCAAAAGCCTGACGCTAGTCTCGCCCTTTGAGCCAGTTAGCCGGCAAAGTCGGAAAGAGCCAAGAGCTGCAGAAAGCTCACATTGGAGAATTGGGTCAATTCGGCATCGGCAGGCTGCATGCCCAGGTTCCCACAGATCTGGCCCGTGAGAGCTGGGCACGAGTTGCCAGCGAAGATGAGGGTGTTGCGCATCGCTGGCTGAGAGTCTTTGACGACTCGGGAAACTAAGAGGCAACAATCAAACACCAGCCGTGACTCACACGCGCAAGGTCGCGTCGCGGTTGCGGCAGGAGGGTGCCCTGTTGTTGTGATCAATGCAAAGGCGGAATGTGTGCAGAAAAAAAAAAAGGTTGGGGTAGGGTGAAGGATAAAAGAAGGCGGTTAAGTTTTGAAGAAGCATTTTTTCTACAGCTGGGGTCCGTCAGGGTGACTGATTGCTCTTAGGTGGGGGTATTGGAGCAAACTGGCACTGTGTTACAGTGCATGTCATGGGGTCATCGCTGCTATCCACACTGTAATATACACAGTATGTAGACTCCGAATTAGTGGGGGCCCTACTGCAAAAATGTGGCCTGCTTCGGATGGAGACCACGACGTAGCATCTCTTGCAGCTTCTTTTCGCAACATTCGCCAGTAATTGCTTATCGTTCGCCATCTCATGGCGGCATTTGGTACATCGATTCTGATTGAGATGCCAATGGCCCCGTTGATCAAGCAGGAATACTCCATAAATCCACCATGGGTATCCCACGTCTCATAGCTACCCTGGAGCCCTATTCCAATCAACACAAGCTACAAAATGAGGAAGTGGTCATTGACGGCCCCGCTCTGGCATATCATGTCTCTTGGATATGTAGGCAGAGCGGACACTCGTACCCTAGCTATGCTTTTTTGCAGCAAGTAGTGCTCCAATGGCTGGATGCGCTTGCTGATCAAGGCGTCAAAATGTGATGCCACCGTCACAAATCACGTGCAACAGCAAACTGACCTCTGTAGTGAAGCTATATACTTCGACGGCTGTTTGCCGCCTGCAAAGCGTCCTACCCGGATAGAGAGAATGATCAAATCCGCAGGACAGTTAAATCAGCTCTACGCCGTGTCGTCCAACATTTACGCCCAGATTTGCAACCAAGGGAAGAATGTCATAATGCGCGAAGATATGTTTCAAGCAAAAGCACCCTTGACGGAGAAAGTGCCAGCACCAACATTCCTCGTACCGGCAGTTCTTGATGTCCTCAGACGCTCGTCAGCCTACGCTGCCGTGGTACATGTCGTTCCTGGCGAGGCAGACGCTTTTTGTGCCAAACACTTGGCTGAACACGGGGGCATCGTCTTGACTTCAGACTCTGATCTTTTAATACACGACCTTGGAAGTGGAAAGGTAACCTTTCTCCGAGACATGCAAACTCAAGGAGATCATTCGGACCTGCTCTGCAAGCAGTATGAGCCCAAGGAAGTCCGACAACGACTAGGCCTGGAGAAGTCAAACTTGGTTCGTTTTGGGTATGAGCTGAGCATCGCACCTCACTCTACTGTGTCACAACTTGTTCGGAAATGTGAGACTCAGGATGTTGACTCGGTGCACGAGTTCGAGATCTTCTGCGAGGAATACATCCACGCAGAAACATCCAAGGTGCCCCTAACACCAGACCAACAGGGGACCCTGCCCATCAAGAATCTGGATCCGAGACTCTCGGAGCTGGCAGTGCAGCTTGGAAATGACCCCAAGGAGCCTGAGGTGTTTCTTCCCATCTCATTAGACAACCCGATGCGGGAGAGCGCATGGGTGCCTTGTTCTTGGTTACGACAGGTGGCATATACGCTTCTCGTACACCTCATCGGTTCAAAATGCACCGCGGTTTCGGAATATAGACGGGTACAACGTCAACAACAGCAAGGCAAGCTACTGGACATAATGTCCCCTGACGAGCTCCAAAAGGCCATCACACACCTGGAGAATGCAGGTATTTGGCCGAGCCCGCAACTCGAGGGCTTCTCGAAACCCGCCCAGTACCTCAGCTTGTTGACGATAGATCCATTTGATCCTGAAGACACCAGAGTTCCACACGCGCGCCGCATTCTCGAGCAGGCGGCGCTCCGCATACTACCGCAAGAAGGCCGAGAACAGTGGAATGTTGTTCACCTCACAGCGCAAGTGCAAGCCTACGCCTATTCGATAAGAATGGTGAAACAGGTCCTTTCTTTGTGTGATGCTGCTTGCTGGAACTCGGTTATACCCAGCTCAGGCCCGGCTAAATATCAAGCAGTTGCGGATGCCGTTGGTTCGATGGCAATTTCGACGTCTTTGGAAGACATTCCGGATCTGAGGGCGATCAGGCATTATATCAACAGCCTGCATGAGCCTGACATGAAAGCCGAGGTTCAGTCAATGCTCAATTTAACCCCAGAACAATTTTCGGTTTTGGGCAACACTAGAAAGAAGAAGAGGAAGACGAGCAAGGAGGCGAGAGAGAGCAAACCCAAGAAGATATCAAGGCCGAACCTTTCTAGTAATAGCTTTAGTATTTTACAAGACGAGTGACTACAATGTACTTATGTATTTATTCAAGAAACATAAGTCCACAACAGATATTCATATTGGTTCTCTCTAACATACACTTTGCTCCACTGATTGGACAAAGGCGGGAGCCGCCCTGGTTCCCTGCAATGGTGGCCATGTTGAAGATGGAACAACTTTTCTTAATACAATCATTGTCTGACTACTCAAACAAATATGCCCCATGTATCTCTTTCATGAGATTCGTTAGTGAGTGCTCAGGCTCTTTAGACGGCCTTGCATCCTCCAACAGCTCGTCCAGTTGGCCTGGCCCCTCTCCGGCCTCGTGCAGTAGTTTCCATGCTCTCCGGAACTCGTCTCGAATAGCTACGACGCCAGTGTGCGTGACAGTGCGGGCCACATTGTGATCCAGCTCAAATGGATCCTCAATAGCTAAAAGGTAACGCAACCGAACCTCCTTCACCTCGTCACCTTTCGGAAGACTTCCCAAAGCCTCCGTCTTGTCGAGGAAGAACTTGCCGTACTTTCCTTGATATGCGTGCTTGGCATGGACCCAGTCCTTTGACTGCTTTGATAACAGACCACCAGGGGTGCGCAAGCTGATGACGCCTTGGGCCCAGTCAAAGCCTCTGCTGTGCATATGTCGGATCTGGCCACTGCGAGCATAGTACTCAAAGAAACCCCTGATCAAATGTCCGACGGAGGATGTGTTTCTGTTGAGTTGACTGGTAGCAGCGAGGTGCTGGATCTCAGCCTCGTTTCTCCAAAAGCGGATGTTGGCACCCTTCACCTCAACTGTGTTCTCGTATTCCAGCGGCGACATTTGTGGTGGCACAGGAGGCGCAAGCTGCTGTAGATTGGGACAAACAAACGGCTGCGCCACGTTGACAAGATAGTGGAGGACCATCAAGACGTACCCGTAGCTGCTCAGAGTTCCCAGATAGGCCGAGTTGATGTTCCGCATCTTCGCCCAGTGTTTCACGAAGAGAATCATCGGTCGCACGCGCGGGTCCGTATGGGCGTAGCACCTGAGCAGAATAGTGTTCTGGAATCCGAGATGTGCCGAGAAGTTGATGTCGCATTGGACACCTGCGTCCTTCTCAGGGAAGTTCAGCAAGTCCTTGACCACGCCCTTTTGCATGTCGAGGGTGGCGTGAGGATCTGGCAAGGCTTGAATTCTTTGAACGAGAGAGCGGTACTCGTCTGTGACTGGGATACCCTCACCCGTAGCGCCTGAGCCGTCGTTTACCTGTCCCAGGGGCGACCGCAAAAGGCGAATGTAGGCGTTGATATCATCGGCTACCTCTTCCTTGAATATGTTGTCTTGCCGGAGAGCCTCCTCGTACTCGCCTGCTAATTGCAGAGCCTTGTGTTTGGTCGCCACTGCTGATAGCGTAGCCTGGTCCCCGCGAGACGACATATATTCAAGCATGTCCCTTCTCATCGTTTCGTCCGATATGCCTTGGATATATTTGTTTGCAAGCAGACTTTGAGAGATTGTAACACCCTTGTCCTCGAATTGTTTCCGAATCTCCTCAGCGCGATAGTGATACTTTGATGGCGTCTGATGTAAAGGTTGATGCAAAGCCTGCAACTGAATCGAAGGAAGGGCACGTATGTCGCGGAGAACGCTCTCAACTTCCCTCCCAAAAGCATCGGGATGGATATACGTAACCGGCAATTCCATCAGCTTTCGCCACCTGTTCATGACACTTTGCTCATCGCTGGTGTTGCCAAGGCCTCTGAGCAAATCTTCGCCTTCCACTTGCTTGATTGTCGTCTCTACAAAGTGGCAGGCTATGCTGCCGTCTGTGGCAAATTGAAGGGAGGGATATGCCTGAAGGCTTTCACTTAGCGATTTGTCGCCCAATCCCTGGATGAAGGCACAAGAGATCCGTTCTGATGCTTGCCATTCCTCCGACTTGAAGGTCGGTTCGTTCTTGTGACGACCGAAACCTCGACGTAAGCCGATCCAGCCCATTATCGCCAGAGCACGCTCACTGTACTGTCGAAGGGAAGATTCGTTTTGACCGAGGTATACTTCTTTTTCACCCTCTGTTTGAATCAGGGGTATAGTAAAATAGATGGCACCAGGTTTTGGTCTTTTGGCATCGTCTTTCGCTGGAGGTTCTGCTTCGATGGCTCCATCCTTGGCTTCTCCGACGTCTTTTCCAGCTTCTGCAGCCCTTGAGCCGGCGTTTGCTTTGGAATTGTGCAGCTGTGATGGATCCAATCCTTGTTCCCACTGAGCGCGGAAGTGCACAAGGTTCTGGTAGAAGCCAGCTGGTGGCCGCTCGCACACTTTGATGATGGGCACTCTTGTCCGGGGCAGTAAGCGGGCTCCGAATCCAGCATCGAGAAGTGCCTTTTCCACAATTCTGGGAATAGGCGAGCCATGGGCGTCTGGTTGTACAGGTGACAAAGGCGAGAAAATGGCAAGGTCCATGTCGGCATCCTTCGTGGCGAACCCAGAAGAGAGACTGCCATAGCACTTGAGCTCGACGCTCTGAGAAGGAAAATCGTATCTCTGAGCTTGTTCTTGTTCGTGATCAGTGATGGTTTTTCGGACGATTTCTTCGATAAAGACGCGGAAATTTTCCTTCTCAGCAATCTCAGAGCGCTCGATTTGCGAATTCGTGACTACTTCGTAGCAAAGCTTATTCAGGTGTGCTGCTTGGTTCTCTATTGCTGCAGCCGACATTGGGGTTTCATGCAACGCTTGCGACCCTTGATGAGACTCTCTGCCAGACATTGATTGATGCAAATTCCCTCTTCCACGCTGCGGGCGTGAGGCGCGAGATCCAGACTGGTGCCATTGCGATTGATTTCGGTGTTGGGGGTGGTGTTGGTGAGGTGAGTTCGTGTAAGGTTGGCCATGGGGCTGTTGATGGTAGTTGTTGTGGTGAGGCTGGGCCCGCGAGTGATGCAGAAGCTCAGGCGGCGTTCGAGTATCGACGGGAATCGCAAATTGGGAGTTCATTTGGCGCCGCTCAGCTTGATTCGGGCGCTTTCTCCCAATCTTGCTATGTTGAGCGCCAGCATGGGTGTGCGCATCAGAGGAGTTTTGCGCCTCGTTGTTGATGATGAGCCCGCGCAAGCGATCCTCAAGACCAGACTCCTTCACGGGCGTGGCCATCGCCGGGTGAGGTCTTCAATGAATGTGGAGACCACTGAGCAAGTAGGTGATACAGGAGGTCTTGAGCTCAAGACTTGAATATCGCAGTTGGGATGCCAAAGGCGATATGGTGAGCCTACACCCTCGAGTCAGTCTTGCCAGGTCTAGCGGAGACACTGAGCACTGAGGCAAGTATATGCCGTTGAAGATTAACGATTCCTGTCATTCGGCGAGTTTGGTCTTAATGTTTGCTGAGTGAAAAGTATGCTCGTTGACTTGAGTGGATGTGAGTAAGTAATAAAGTACGTAAGGGTAGCAATTCCAAGCTATGAGCGACTGATTGCTTGTGTTTGGCACACAGTGTGTACAAGATGATGAAGACTGTAGAACAAGGTGCGCTGGGGCACATCGGTCTTCCTCAGGTAGTAAAGAAAACAATTCTTTTCGGCAAGACTGCAATAGAGACAAGTGTTACTCGTATTTTGATCCGCATCATGGATTTTATTCAATTTGCTGGTCGACACGGGGATTCTCGGTCTCCTCCCGCTCAACGAACAACCTGAGGTCCAGCCAAGTGCCTAAGGTACCTAACATGTCCTGACCCACATAGTACCTATTCAGGAAAGGTCAATGAATCACGCCCAGTCGTCATTCTGGCGCGCGAGCTGCCCAGGCTCAAGGTTTGTATTGACCCTTTGTTCATTTTCATCAACAGCCTCGCCATCTCAACCTTCTCACGATCATCTACCACTCACCCACATTCTTATTTCTTCCGGGTGCCCCTAAGATCTCATGTCACCACGGAATTGACGGAACAGCGATCAGCGAACCTACGATTATCTCAACAGATCCAGCCATCTATCAGACGTGCGCGCTACAGCCAGTTGCTTCGACTCTGACCCGAATTCAGCCTCAACAGCGACTATTGCACATCACTGCCAAAGCATACGTATCTCTCTGTTCATTGATCGCACCAGCTCCCAAGTAGTCGGCCTGGCCGACATTCCTCCTGCAACGATGAGCGCACCTCAACCTTCTCCGCCTCCGGGTGGCCGACCGAACGGCGCCCCTCGCCCAGCTGCCAATCCTCTTCGACCAAACCGTCCAAAGCCGAAGCCCTCTAGCATCTTCGCGCCCAAGTTGAACGCCAAATCCCATCGACCGGGAACTGTCAACGAACGCGTGTCGACAAAGTCCACGTCCCTGCAGCAAGGACGTCGGGAGACCAACGGCTGGTCTGAGCCAGCTCCACAAGACGTGCGGGAATTCCCAATCTTCACGACGAAAAAGGCTCTATTAGACGGCGTTCGCATGCACTTGATGAGGATGCATGTCGACTCGCAGGCTTCTGCCGTCGACCCGACCGATCAGGCGCAATTCGCACGCCCAGTGACTCTGCACCGCCGCGATCCTAGACAACCTGCGGCTGCGCGTACGGTCAAGACTGAGGAGCCCGTACGTGAGCCAGTCGACCAGGCGGAGATTGAGGCGCAAGAACAGCTCAAGGCGGAGAGGGAGGCGCAAAAGGCCATTGATCAAGCCAAAATCGCACCGGTGGTCCGTGAGCCTACTAAGCCTCGGAAGAAGGTGAAGGAGGAGAAAACTCAGATCTTCCGCACGCACAAGTCGGAGGCAGCCAAGAAGGAAGCCGAACTGAGATATGAGGAAGCTCTGCCATGGCATCTGGAAGATGCAGATGGCACGAATGTCTGGGTGGGCCAGTACGTCTCTGCTCTTGCACACACTCACGTTTCCTTCCATGTCGAAGGACATGCCATGCGAATGCTGCCGGTGGAGAAATTCTACAAATTCGTGTCCAAACCCAATCATAAAACATTCAGCATTGAAGAAGTTGAACAGCTATTGGACAAAAAGAAGATGATGCCAAATCGATGGATCATGATGGGTGCTGGACAGAGACAGGAGGAACAGGACAAGAAGGAGACGCGAGACCTGCTGGGCGGCGGGCGTCGTATGATCAAGACAGAGAGCAGCACATTCCGAGCAGCGTCCCGAGCTGAGAAGATGGAGCATGACGATCTAGACGTCTCCGGGGATGAGTTCCAGGATGATGACGAGACTACTACATTTGAACGCAACAATAACGACGAAGATGAGAAAGAAGCCAAGGAACGTATCCGTCGCGATCAGCTCGGCGCCATCGCCTTTGGTGAAGCGGATGAGCGCGAAATGCAGAAGGAGCTGAAAGAGCTTGAGGCGGAAGCAAAGCAACTCAAGGAGTTTGGCAAGTCCACCAAGAAGGCTTTGATTAAGCGGGACCAGAACCGCATCTATGCAAGCGACGACTCTGAGGAGAATCCGTGGGGCAGCAGCGTGAGTACCCTGTCACACGGACCTGGGCGATATACTGATCAAAACAGGAGGAGTCGAGCTCATCAGAAGACGAGGAAGACGACAAAGTGAAGAAGGAGGATGATGCCGAAAAAGACAAATCGGGCAGCAGAAAAACAAGCCCCGGAAAGGCCAAGCCCGCAGATGCCGGCAAACTTAAGAAGTCGCAGCGAGCAGGTTCCCCAGCAATGTCGGAGTCCAGCGGAAACGAGTCTACACGGAACAAGAAGCTCAAGGCTGTTGCTAGCTCGGGCAAAAATCTGAACAGTCGTGCCAGCACTCCTTCTCTTCAGCAGAAGGCTGCCAAACGGAAGGCCCAACCCGGAGCTGGCTCTGGAAGTGACGGAGAGGCTACAGCCGGTGAAATGTCAGACGGTGCGGGGCCTAAGAAGAAGCTCAAGCTCAAGCCTGGCGTTAGCAGCCGAATGGGAACTCCCACTGCGTCCCGTGCTGGGAGCCCCAGTCCGCCACGCGCTGGCTCCCCTAGTTCTGGCCCCATCACGCCGGCTGAGATTTTGGCGCTCATCCCCGACCAAGGTATCCTGATCGGCGAGCTCATTCAGCCATTCAAGAACCGGCTCGGTGAAGGTCCCGGTCAGATGCCTAGAAGCGAATGGCTTAACATGGTGAAGACGGTTTGCCGCTACGTCGACGGGCCGGATGGCAAAAAGCGCCTTCACAAGAAATGATAAATCATAATCGGATGCCTCTAGGTGAGCTCACGCCACGCAGAAAGATACACAGTGTCACTACGAATAATTGGACAAGACGCAGCAGAATTAGCGATGCTACCGTGAGGACCGGTATCTGGGTATCGAATTTGTCATTACGGTCTGTGACTTTGGCCTACTCGTCCATCTGCCATTCGTAGCTCAGCCCCTTGTTCATTACCCGTCTGTTGATAGCCCTGAAGCGTTCTGCCTCGAATCCATTGCCCCGATCGACTCCATCCCATCGATAACCAGGTTTGATACCGTATCTGTTTGGAGGTGCAGCACCCGGGTAGGCGGGCCTTCTGTTCTTGCTGCCCTTCTTCCCTTTGATTGCGATTTGCTTCTCTGACATGAATTGCATCATGGGATCGTTCCACCGCGTCTGGTCTTTGAGCTCTTCGTTCATCTCCTCGTCGTCCACTGTCCTGGCAAACTTCATTAATTTGGCATCCTCGAGCTTCTCCTTGCGTTGCCGCGCCTCTGCCTGTTGCACGTCACCTTTGAGTGCTTCCACCCGTTGCCGTTCCTTCTCATCTGCTTCTTGAGCTGCTTTCCTAGCTTCTGCTCTTTGCATCGAGATATCGATCCTGCGGCCCGTAGCATCGCGGTAGACTGTTTCTTCCTCCTGCGCTGACTTGCGATGTCGCTCGAACTCTTCTCGTTCTTGTCTTTGTCGCCTCTTGAGCTGCGCCGAGACAGCCGCTGCGGATTGTAGACCTGCATGCGTACCGTCGCTCATCTTCACTGTCGTCTCGTCCTCTACAATGGGCATCGCGTCGTCCTCGTCTTTTTGCGCATCGTTCTCCTTAATCGCATCCGCGAGAATGGCATCCGCCTCGTCCTTGGCCGTAGAGTCTCCCACAGGTTTCCAATTACTCTTTTTCATTCTTCGGAATTCAGCGCTCGTCCCGCTCACGGTAGTTGGGCCGTCATCGCCATCGTCAACCTGGTTTCTGGATGTTCCCCAGGCGTCGTCGTTGTCGTCGGTTATCAGAAGGCCTTGAGCTTCTGCATTCTTGCGCTTGCGCTTCTTGGTGGGTTTCGGATCCGCGACTAGGTATTTGGAAGCGAGATATGCTGTTTTATCCGAAGGCATAATGGGCTCAATTGTGTCTCGAGTAGCAGTAGAATCTACGGATAGCGATCGATTAATGATGGGAAAGTTTAGAGTCGCGTTGCAGTTACGTCGTTATGCATGTAGCGGTGGGTAGCAGCTAACCACCGCGGCCGGCGGCGATGGATGAGTGGGGCGCCCTTGATGGACGCCGCTGGCTGCTTCCGAAGCTTGGGCTCGGAGCAGGGTCCACGATAATGCTGCGAGCGTCGATACAACCACGTGCGTATTGCAGTCACTTGTCAATGTTCAACGTTGCATAGAAAGACCATGCCGAGCTTGCCTGCTGCTCGATTCACTGGCGCCATCTCCGTCTCCTGCGGTTCGTGAGCCCGACCATTGGACTACCAATTTTCCCGAACTCCTTCTCTCGTCGTTCCGATGCCCGCATCCCCTCCGCCTCACAATGACGCTCCATCGTCCGAAGAGCCTTTGCAGGCCTTGCCAGCTGCTGCTGCGTTAGTCAAATCGCCGCTACTGCGATCCGTCTCAGGCCAAGACCCCCTCACCATGTCCTCCTCGACCGAATCGCTACCCTATCGTCGCTCGAACCCCGTAGCTGCTTCCCTGTACGCTTCCACACTATCACCACCTGGATCGCGTTCCATGTCGCCAGCGGGACGGGGCTCTCCGTCAAAGTTACTAGCAGGCACAGTTTTCGATGCGCCATCAGGGCCCCTGCCAGAGGGCGCAGGCGAGAAGCCGGGGGATCCGCTGAACTTGATAGTCAAAGCTTTCGTGCCGCACGTTGCAATACAAGCTTCAAGCGACGTTGAGCATCTTGCTAGCAGCAAAGGGTTCAAAAATGGGCTTTGGGAACTCCTACGACCCTTCGGCGAGCGAATACAGGGCAAGGTTGCGATCAGAGATAGCAACGGAGTCAGTAAGCTTGCAGAAGACTTTTCAGTACGATTCACCAGGTTCGGCGCGGATGTGGAGCACCCCGACAGTGGCTTTAAGCAACAAGCTTCGGGCCAGGAAGATCAGGGCATGTCGAGAGACAAGAGAACGCTGGTCGCTGTAGAGGAGGTGGTTGATCGCCACCTATCGTATGCCGAGCAGTCTTTTCTCAACACGCCACAGCACAGCCAGAGCACGACCCAGGGGTTAGACATTGAGACACCCAGCCCTTACTACGCCTTATTTCTCAGACGATTATTGTCCGGCTTGCCAACTGTGGCCCACGAGACCTTTGGACATCCAGTGGCGTGCGTGGTCGCTGTAAGCGCACGGTCGGATGACTCAGTGGGCGAGTTGCGCCAGATTTACGAGACGAGCCAAGGGCCGAATAGACTTCCGCCATGGGTGGATGGCGACTATTTACGATATTATGTCCTGGTACATGACGAGGAAAACGACGATATCCAAAAATCAATGACCCTGTTTGAACAGATGAAACGACATCTGGGGCTTCACTGCCATTTGCTCAGACTTCGGAGCAGTCAAAGTGCGGAAACAGATGACGATAGCATTCCCCTACCGCGGAGTGAGTGGATGTCGGCAACAGAAGAGTTGGCTGAAATCAAAAGGAGCGAGGATGAGGAAGATGATGATTTCGAGGATCCGACCAGGCACATTTTCGAGTCAGATGCGACTGCGATACGAACATTCGTTAGGGAGATGGTTACGCAGTCTATTGTGCCAACAATGGAACGCCACGTCTCGATATGGAATGACCAGATTGCGTCGCGTAGACGTGGTTTCGCCGGCCGGTTCATGAATCTGTCACGTAAATTCAACTTTGGAGGAGGCAGGTCTTCTACTGGCAGCAGCGGTATGGGGAAGGACAATTACGACGCTGCAGGCTTCTTCCGCGCAGATGCACCCGAGGCAATCATGCGTAAGCTTGCCGACTATGCGTTCATGTTGAGGGACTTCAAGCTAGCCCACTCGACGTATGAGCTGCTGCGAACAGATTTTGCCGACTCGAAAGCATGGAAGCACCACGCCGCTACGAACGAGATGGCTGCGATCAGCCTCTTGATACAATCACAGCAGATTACCTCAAAGACCCGGGCAGAGACGATCGATCAGATGCTCGAATCTGCCTTCTACTCCTACCATACCCGATGCAGCGCGCCGTTCGGTGCGATTCGTAGTTTGACTCTGTGTCTGGAGCTGCTGCGACTCAGGGGTGGCACCAGTGTTGATGACGCGAGCCGATGGGGTATTCGATTGCTCGAGTCCCGTATTCTTGGAGCTGTTGGCGATGCCCTCATCAAGGAGCGCCTAGCGATTTGCCATGCCTCTAAAGAAGGAGTTGGAAGTTGGCACTGGGGAGCCCGCTATCGCAAGTCTGGCGCATGGAGTGTTCTCGCAGCAGACGCATGGATGCAGCACGAGCGCTACCTCCCCGCTCAACGGTGCTTGAATGAGGCGCGGAAAACATATGCGGCTCTGCCTACAGAATACGGTATATCAAAATTTGAAGCTGCGCATGGCTTCATAGAGTCTCTGGAAAGGGCCCTGTCGGACAAGCTGGATCACACAGGCGAAGCGAGCAAGGACATAGACGAGGAAAGTGAGGCATTGATGGATTCAGGGCCTCGAAGGTTAAGTGGTGCGAGAACCAGCGTTATCGAGACAGCACCACTACACAAAGAAGACTGAGTATGGTCGTTCTAGATATTCTAGTATATATTACGCCACATAAGCTACACAGATAAAGTGAAACTGTGCTGTTGCAGCGGTCAAGAAGTCAAGAAAAAGATTCGTCAGATTGACTGTATTTGATCCTACAGACTGAGATTGGGACACGCTCAGGGGCGCCCGTGGAATGCATGCTCAATGTACGGAGTACGGAGCTACCACTGGCCGGGTAGCTCGGGCAGACCACGCCGTAGACCACTAATGACAACCGTCCCAAATTCCCATTCGCCAACCATATGAATCCGGGGAAGCTCCCACATTCCAAGCCACTGGCACCGAGAGGCACCTATCACGTAACCACTGCTTCCCATCGTCCTTTGCCCATGGGTTGAGCGGATATTAGTGCAAGCTGCCGTCACTTCGGGTCGATCTGCATCACGATGGCAGCGTTTCGCCAACTCAGCGCGAGGCTCTTCGTCTTGTCTTCAGGTCTACAGCTCGCCATCGCCGGCGAACAAGCGAATCTTGGATCATTTCGCGAAGCCTGCCCTGACTATGTCACCTACTCGGCGCACTCCCAGTTTGTCTAAGGTCAACCTTAACTATGATTAATGACTGACAATACCTAGCAACCCGCTTTCCAATGGCCCCCTCGCGCTCCCCTTCCAACGCCCTGAAGAACGATGCCGCACGTTTCATTCCGACGCAATCGAGAAGGTAATCGAGGACATGACCTCTCGCATTGAGGACCCAGACCTTGCTCGGCTCTTCGAGAATACCTTCCCGTCGACAACGGACACTACTGTGAAGTTCCACACCAAGGGCGCCGAGGAGATTGGTTTCTTTCGCATGGCCGGCTTCAAGGCCTTTGGTGATGATGGCGCATGGGAAGGTCCACAGAGCTTCATCATCACCGGCGATATCATAGCAGAGTGGCTGCGCGATTCAACGAACCAGTTGCGACCGTACCATGCGCTAGCAGGGAAAGATCCAGCAATTCACACGCTATTACTGGGAGCAATCAACACGCAGGCAGAATATGTCATTCAGTCTCCGTACTGCAATGCGTTCCAGCCCCCGCCAATAAGCAAGTTACCGATCTCGAACAATGGTCAACAAGATGTGGTGCACCCCGCATATGAGCCTGATACAGTGTTCGAGTGCAAGTACGAGCTGGATTCATTGGCGCATTTTCTCGCGTTGGCGAATGACTTCTATGACCACACGGGCTCAACCGAGTTCCTGCACAACCGTTGGTTCCTGGCGCTCGAGACGCTTCTGCAGGTTTTGAAGCAGCAGAGTCAGCCGACCTTTGACGCCGAGACGGGCAGGCTCATGTGGAATGAGTATACCTTCCAAAGGAAAACCGATATTGGTACCGAAACGTTGAATCTGAAGGGAATGGGCAACCCATTGAACGCTGGCACGGGCTTGGTCCGTTCATCGTTTAGACCAAGTGACGATGCGACGATTTTAGGCTTCTTCATCCCAGCCAACGCACAAATGTCTACGGAATTGCAGAGGACTGCAGCCATCTTGACGGGGGCAGGCAAGACGAAGCTGGCGGATAAGCTCAACAAGTGGAGCAAGCAGATTCGCGAAGGCATCATGGAGCATGCCGTCGTTGAGCACAAGAAGTACGGCATGGTCTTCGCATACGAAGTCGACGGCTATGGTTCGAACATTATGATGGATGATGCCAACTACCCATCATTATTAGCTTTGCCAGTCATGGGATTTGTGGAGGCGAGCGACCCCATTTACCAGAACACGAGGAAGATGGTCTTGGAACAAGATGGCAATCCATACTTCCTCAAGGGCAAGGATTTCAAAGGCATTGGCGGTAGGTATCTGCGAGATCCTGCCACAAACTAAGCTGACTGGTTGCAGGGCCGCACATTGGCTTGAAGAACGCTTGGCCGATGAGTCTGCTGATGCAGGCTCAGACTTCAGACGATGATGCTGAAATCAAGGAATGCCTGCGTCTTGTGTTGTCGTCTTCAAAGCTCGGACTCATACACGAGAGTATCGATGTCACCCACGCCAGCCAGTACACACGAAGCTGGTTCGCATGGGCGAATGGGGTATTTGCCGTGACGATGCTGGACCTCGCGAAGCGAAAGCCTCATCTTGTCTTTGGCGAGGGAGCGGAGCCATATGAAGTTTGATGGCGATACGACGGTTTGTATGACTTATGACACCTAGAACACTAGAGAGATGATGGCAGATCTTGCCTTGCCCTACCTTGCTGCCCAGAAGCTCTTGGTCTTTGCTACCCGTCCTCGATGCTTTCGGCACCGACTCCCATTCCACTTGATGGATACAGTGATCATCTCAACGTAGCCATGCTCGAGCCATGCAGTCAATAAGCTATTGTAAGGACTGTCACAGGTGAAGAGCTGTCCGGATTTGACGTGAGGAGATGTGTTTTTGGAAGTGGCTTACGATATCGCAACAGAACTGACACTTGAATCAGATGAACGTACACATTAGCGATTTCATGCCACTTATCATAAAAAACACAGTCCATTGCGTTGTGAGCTAGACCAGTCGTTGATCAGTTTTGAGTCTATTGCGTACATTGTCACGGGAGGATGTTTCTGGGGATCATTTGCACGCACTAACAAGTGTCGGGTTATTTATTCAGCCATCCAACCTGATCCTCACATACACCATCGCTGCGTCACGTTCTCAGCTTAAGGCCCACGAGCTGATATGGACGACCCTACACCCTTGACACTCGATTCTTCTGTCCATATCACCGTTCACATGGAGTCCAGTCAACCTGAAAGGCCAATCAATCTTATGCGCGGCTGGCCCGCAGCCTCGGTCCTGCCAACAGACTTGCTCACGAAAGCATCAGCAACCGTTCTATCAGATTCGTCTGTTTCGACACCTGCCCTGGAATACGGCCCCGATGCTGGCTATCTTCCTCTGAGAAAGTCCATGTCCAAGTGGCTGTCACGTCATTTCAATGTTGAAGAGGATATCAACCGCATTTGTATCACTGGAGGTGCAAGCCAAAGCATTGCCAACATTCTCATCTCCTACGCTGATTCCCTAGTCACAAAGGGGTTCTGGGTCGTGGCACCTTGCTATCACCTTGTCTGCCCCATCTTCGAGGATGCGGGGTTTGCCGGTCGATTGAGGGGTGTCCGAGAGGATGAGCATGGCATTGATCCAGTCGAGCTCGAGGCGGAGATACAGAGACTGGAGAGGAGCGAGCGGAATGCGCCTGACCAGCCACCTTCCAAGGACGTGCCAGGGCGGAAACTGTATCGTCACATCATCTACGTGGTGTCGACTTCCTCGAACCCGAGTGGCAAGACGTTGCCTCTTGAACGGCGGACTGCCCTAGTCAACCTGGCTAGGAAATATGATGCCTTGTTAATCTCGGACGACGTCTACGACTTTCTACAATGGCCGCTATCGCGTTCCTCGCCGCTCGATTGGACGCCAGAGATGCGACTCCCTCGCTTAGCGGACATTGATCGCGAGCTGGGCGTCGAGGGGTTTGGCAACGCAGTCAGCAACGGGAGTTTCAGCAAGATTGCCGCCCCAGGTATGAGAACAGGCTGGATCGAAGCGTCTCCTGCTTTTTCAAAAGGCATGAGCATGCAAGGAAGCACAAAATCCGGCGGCGCACCTAGTCAGTTCTCCGCTGCCGTCCTCAGCGTCATGGTGCAAGACGGTTCGCTTGAGAAGCACGTGAACGAAGTCATCAGACCGCAATTGAGAGACAGGCACCTGTCCTTGATCACTGCTATCCAGCAATACATACCCCAAGCACGGATCAGCGCGAGCAGCTATGCGGGTGCAGACGTTTTTGGCGGATTCTTCGTCTGGTTCACTGTGAACATTGGTCTGTCGACGCAGCTTGTCGCGCAGGCCGCGCTGAAGGAGGGAAATCTTGTCATTGGGTCCGGTGGCATATTCGCAGTTAGTGGCGACAAATCGGGACCGCGGTTCGATGACAAGATCCGGTTGTGTTTCGCGTGGGAGCCAGTCGACTCTCTCATTGAAGGTGTGAAAAGGTTGGCCAACCTCTTGGACAGAATGGAGAGGAACAAGGAGCTTTATCAAAAAACGTACACCCAGAGTATGGGGCAGGATTGGGTGACTGCAAATAAGTAGATAGAACAAGAGCATTACCAACATCTTATTTCTTCGAGAAAAAGGACATGAGGTTCCCCTGGGCTCCCCCCTTACCACTTGGTTTCTTGGACTTTGCTGCTGCCGACGCGGTCGGCGTGGGCGCTGGTGTCGCCTTCTTCGCAGGAGCAGGTGCTTCATCTTCAGAGAAAGACTCCCAGCCAGGCTCTTGTATTGTGACTGTCGTAATTAGCCTCACGACGACAGAAGGGGGAAACGCTCGCTGAACTTACCCATGTACCCCTGATCATCCAAGATGCGCTTCTTTTTCATGACCTTCCTCTTCCCCCTCCGTCGCCCATCGCCGGTGCTGGAGACTACCTCGGAGATTTCTTCGTTTTTCGGCTCTTTCGTAGCTTCTGATTTAGGCGCGGGCGCATCCTCCATCGCCTCATCATCCGCGTTCCCATACTCGTGCTCATCCTTCTCTGCATCTGCATCATCATCGTCATCATCTTCCTCCATCATCTGTCGCAACTTCTCTTCGCGCTCTTTCCTGGATGTCCTCGCAGATTCACTTTCTTTCAAAGGCCTCTCCGCGGCGATATCATCGTCATCGGCTTCACCATCATCAGACATTGTCGTATGATCCTCCTCCTTGGGCTGCACCTTTAGCCTTTTCGGCTGTGAGGCTGCTTTAGCAAACGATTGCATGATGCCGCCTGACCCGCCACGCTTGAGGGCCGCAGGCTTAGGGCCTGGCACCGGCGTGCTATCCTTTGAGGATGGCGCTGAAACGTCTCTCTTCGACTTGCCAGTCGGCTTCGGTTCAGCTTTGATCTTGTCTTCCACAGGTGCGGTCGCAGGTTTTATTGCAGAAGATGCTGGCTTCGGTAGTTTCGTTTCTGCAGCTGCTGCCACCTTGGGCCTGGCTGCGCGATCTCGCCGACGAACATGTGGATTGAGAATGGTCCCGAATTTCTTCGCAGCCACTGAGACATCTTGTTCCTTGATGGTGTACGCAGCCAAAGACTTGGCAGCATCCGAAAGCATTGCAAGGTCGCGTTGCGGATGAGGCGCCAGAGAATAGACGTGGAGTGAGGAGACACTTTCATAAGCAGCGAGTATTTCTACTAGATCAGTGGGCATTCTTTCAGATCGACCGGGACGGCTCACCTGTGAGGTCCTCTTCGCGAACTAAAGTGAGAGTGTTGGTGTGGACAACGTCTGGCGTTTCATCTTGATCGGGCATCGAGCTCGACATGTCAACGTCTCCGTCTTCCTGAGAAATCTCTCTGTTCTTGACGCCATATACCAGGTAGGTTGCGTGGATGGAATCTGCTTTCTGGGCGTTCTGGTACTTGTGATATTCATAGAGCATCCTAATAAAACTTTAGTATCGTCCACTATCCCTCTCACTGCAAGAATGACAGACTCTTTGGCCGTGTTGACATGAACATTGAGAGCCCGGCTCAGCAAGCGATATGTGATCTGCAACGTTTAAGTTCATGGTCATCTTGTGAGAAGTGCTGCAGCCTACCGGCTTTTCCTCGCTCAAGAGGCGATCGGCGAGGTGTTTCTTGTACTCTTCCATGACTTCGCTGTTTTTCGAAGCTCGATTCTCAGAAGACCAAGTTTTCTCATTGGAATAGGAAACAACCTCAGGACATGCAAGTATACCCAGATGTTCCGAAAAGTGACGCGAGAAGCGACGCGCTCTCACGTGTTATTCATGTATCGGTGTGTAGCGTTCGAATCCACATGCTCTTTCTGCCGCGAAGTACCCTATAATTGCATAAGCCTCGCTGCACTGCAGGGGCGTGTACGGGAGGCGTGGAAAAAAGTGGCGGGCGTCATGGTCATTAACGCGTCCTACGCGACGACCAGCTCCATCGGCAGTTCCAGAGTGCAGAAACCACCAAGCATAATTTTCACGACTTCATACGCGATCCTCCAGTACAATGGGCGAGCACGATGTCACAGACTCGACCGACTGGCTTTCCACGCCTCTGTCGGCCCTGACGCCCCTCGAATCCGCCCTCCGCTGTCAAGTGTGCAAAGATTTCTACACGACGCCGATGCTCACTTCGTGCTCACATACTTTCTGCTCACTATGTATTCGTCGTGCACTGGCGAGCGATATGAAATGTCCGCTTTGTCGGGCAAACGACCAAGAGATGAAGCTGAGGAGTAACTGGTCCATGGAAGAAGCTGTGGAGGCGTGGAAAGGAGCGCGGTCGAGGACGCTGGAGATGGCGCGAAGCCGAGGGGTGCCAGGCTCACCGAAAAGAAAGGCCAACGAGGTGGAAATGGAAGAGCAGACGGGGTCGAAAAGACTTAGAAGCTCAGCGCGGCTCAGCGGTAAAACGGCAATGCCATCGTATGCGCCTGAACCTATAGAGGGGGACGACGTGGTACAAATATCAGAGGGGGAGGACGACTTCGAGCCTGAACCAGGTTTGTCATCTGCTGTGGCGGTTAAGAGACATGCTGATCAGAAAGACGATGGGCTAGTGTCTTGTCCTAGTTGCCGAAAACGTATGAAAGAGTGGCAAGTGTTCACACATCTCAACACGTGCACCGGCCCCTCGCCCAAGCGAACGACGCCGCCGAAAACACAACTAGGCGCCTTTGGCCAGCCACAAAAAAAGGCCAAGGACCGCCTGCCCGCCGTGAATTATTCCATGCTCAAAGACAATGCCCTCCGGAAGAGACTAGCTGATCTTGGTCTATCGACGCAAGGACCCCGTACTGTTCTCGAGTCCCGACATCGCGAGTTTCTCACTCTGTGGAATGCGAATTGCGACGCGGTCTACCCAAAGAGAAAAGCACAGTTGATAAGTGATCTCGAATCATGGGAGAGGGCGCAGAGGACTGGCGGGGCTCACAGAGGCACCATGGTGAAGGACAAGGATTTTGATGGGGTGGCATGGGCCCAGAAACATGGCGACAGCTTCAAGGATCTGGTTGCCGAGGCGTTAAGAAGTCGCGCTGCGGCGAAGTCCAAATTGATATCTAAGGATTGGGGGGCGGCAGCCGAGCACGAAACACGAAAACCAGCAGAGGAACCTCTTCCGCTCCCGTCAAATCCGACAGTCATGGTACCCATAACTGCCGGTGACAGCGTTGCAATGCTGTCCAGGCCTGCCAAAGAGCTAGAGGATCAAGCAATCCATGTTGCATTTCGCGTACCGGAATCTTCTTCGGATATGCCTTCGACAGGCAGGACTTATCATGCTCAAGATGCCTCCCACGGCGAGCCGAGGCCAAGGCAGGACTGGGAGAACCTTGTCCCTGCCCAATTTGATCCAGAGGCCCCTGGGATTGGTCGAGACTGAACAGTGCATGCGGATAGAGCACGTCAGAGAAACATTCTGGCTCCAGCTCAGTCTCCGGTCCCAGCAAGGGATGCGAAAGCGTTAAAAAGGTGGAACTGCTCATTGTACAGGTAATATGAACAGTCCCTACTTGAGAAGGCTGTCGTCTGGAAGTTCAGCAAGCGGTTGCGGCGCACTATTAATATGACGCTGAAGTTCTTGAACATTTAGCCCTACACCATTATTACATTCAAGGTCAATCTCATTATGGTATCCTGACACGCGGGCTTTGACAGATAGTCACCCGTAAAACCTCTAATTTCCCGTGAGTGCCTCCTTGTCCGCCATAGACAAGTTCGCCAATCCTGTCTCTGAAGTCGGTGTCTTTTCGCGCTCTCGAGGCACGTCCGGCAAGTCTTCCAGTTTCTGTTTCACCCTGGCTTCTTCCCCCTTGTCCGCCTCCATTTGCTGCCTCTCCTTTGCTTGCTGCTGCTTCTCGTCTTCCTTCTCCTTCTCCTCGGACATCATGGCTTCAAGTTCGTCGTCAATCTCGGCTTCGTCAACAGCCTGGCCTCCTTCTGCAAGAATAGCGGCCACCTCGTCTGCCTCGCTGCTCGCATCGCGTATCTTGCCCATAGCAGCATCGACCAGCTCGACACCGCCGACTTGTGTGTTGAGGCCTTCCAGCACGCCGGCACTCGACTCCATGACGTTCACCAAAGCAGCATTGTCGGATGCCTGTTGTATCCTGTGCGCGACCTCTTCCAACTGATGGAGTGTCGCATAGCGCGTGCTCAACGAGCTTTCGGCAAGCTTTTTCGACTTCAAAGCCGCAAGCGCCTGCACTCTATTGTTCCTGCCGACTGCCTCCTTCGCGGTAAGCTCAAAAGCAGCGACGCGCTCGTTCAATATAGTGACCTGATGCTCGAGTCGTCCCATGAGCTCCTTCAAGCTGGCAACCGAGGCGTCCTGCTCTGTAATTGGTCCCTCCTGACTTTGCCCCTTGACTCGAATAATGCTGCCATCATATTCTATTGCGTTCGTGTCCCTAGCCAGGAATCGTAATATTACGTCCGTGTCCTTCTCGTCCAGTCGATGGCCGGGCACAAGTTTCGACGCAAACTGATTTCGGAATTGCGCTTTGGTGAAGACTCGATCAAACACTGACGAACCCGCTGCCAGTGCCGACTTCAGCTCTCGCGCTGCAGCCTCTAGGTTCTGGACTAGGACATATTGCCCAGTCGGTAGCCTGTCCTCTCCTCGAGAAGGGTCAACGATACCCAAACTTCTCAAGGTCCACCCCGCAATGTTCCATGGAATCTCTCCCCATCCATGATGGTAGACGCTCTGATCTTGTTTCAGGAAATCGTTGAGAGGATATAGCTCACGACCTTGGATGCCTTCTCGTATAGCTGTTCCTAACGCGAGGGGTTGACCGTATTGCCGACTCTCGAGGTTTCTAAGAAGCGATTTGTCGACACTCAAAATGAGAGGGGACGACGAGGATAGGAGAGATTTCGAAGAGAGGAGAGAAAGAGCACTCTGCCAAGCAGCAATGTTGGCACGGTAGCCGTCGGGGTTGAGTGTCCTCTGAGGTCTAAAGTCAGAGTATAAGGCTGGAAGACGGGCTCTGATGAAGTGTCAGTGATTTCCATCGTCTGAGTTCGAGTTGTAGCGATGCACAGACTTGCGAAAGTTGGCGTCGTTGGCGGCCAGGTAATCCGCGAGCTCGCCCATGACGGGCGATTGATTGCTTCAGTCTGTATCTCGGTACTAGCGGTCTCGACAGAACCGCGTACTATCCTCGAGGAGCCTGTGGATGATGTTAGACACAAGTTGTGGTTGGTGAGTGCTGGTTGGAGAGAGTGCGTGTGACGTGGCGTGGGGTTTCCCGGAAAGTCGAGCTTATCGCGTCAACGAATGCATCGTCAGTAAATTTCACCAGAGGAGCCCCAGCTTACAATCACGCAGGAAACGCAACGAAGGGCTGCTGATGACTATATCCAAGGACAGACCGTTCAGCCAGACTGACCACCAATCAAGCTCATAATGTTCTTCGTGATCAGGTTATCCATTCACACGTCAGACTGGAGTGTCCAGTCCATCATGACCATGACACGCTAGACAAGTCTGTGGCAGCCAGAATTCCAAGGGTATCATTGACGCTATGACATAGTGCAGACCTTCCCGCACCACCTATTACCAAGCCCATGTGCGTGCCGACGCTGCGAACACGGGTGGTTTCCACTGTATCCTCTCCGGGTCTATAGTTCTCCTTACTTTCTGCCTTTGTACCTCCCGTTGCTTGACCAATTTCTCCGGCAGAACAATCTTGTGCTCGCCGCGATGGTAAACTTGCATGCGGAGGACTTGTAATGTGTGCTCCACATCTTGTGTGGTCATTGCGAGAGCTGTTGAAATAGTCTCAATAGTGATTTTGTCTCCCCGTTCGTTGTAGTCGAGCAGAGTGTCGATGATGTTCTCTGACCAGTATTGACGGTAACTGAGAAGACCCAGATCTGATAGAGGTTTTTCTGGCGATCCGAGTTTACCCTCTATTCGAGAAAGTTCGTACGAAAATTGTATCAATAATCGGCCGAACCCTTTGCGTTGATATTGTGGCAAAGTCAGGATACACGCAACATTGTAGCCATCCGCGCTCTCCTTTTCCTTGGAAAAGTACCCCACGACGTGGTCTCCCTTATCCGTCCTGTTAGTCATAACATAGAAGAGAAAAGGGTCGACATCATAGTAAAGGGTCTTGTGATCGAGGAACATCTTGGATAGCAAGCACAGATTGCGACACCAAGTCCGTTGTCGCCTGCCGTCGATTTCGTAAAATGAGACATAGTCGTCTCGGTAGATCTCATTGCCGGGAGGATGGAAAAGCTGGCACTTCTTCCTATGACGGACAAACTCCATCTGGTCGCCGTAGTAACCCAAGCACATTTCGCAGATGAAAACGCAGTCCTCTTCCGTGAAGGCTTCTGGGTATGGCGAGAAATACCATGGGAACAAGTCATGTCGTCCGAATTGAACTTTAGAGATATTTCGGATTCGTGAAACCTCTGTCGGGTTCTGCGTCATCGACCCGGACGTCCTAAGCTTTTCGATCTCCTCCTTGCGGTTGAACTCGTCAGTGTGACCATTGGCCCCTTCAACGTCCTTATCCTCGGCTTCGGTATCGTCGACAACGCCAGGGGTCTGGCTAGGCTCGATACTGTCTCGCCCGGTAGCTTCGCCGTCAGGTCCGAGAGATGCTGACTTGCGCCCATCCTGCGATTCTACAAATTCGGTCCACGGATGCGGCGTCGCAGCTTCGGAGACGGACTGCTCCCTTTTGGAAACACTCTGCTCTCGTTTTGACACGGGCGCCTTTCTTTTCTTAGCGGGCTGCGGGACCTTCTTGTCGTTTGTCTTTTTCTTGCTCTCCTTTGTCTTCTCCGGCTCAGGGCGAGGCCATTCAACATCCTGCTCGAAGTCGATTCGAGCCGCAGGAACCCATTCGTCTAATCTCTTATTGTAGCTATCGAAGTTACAGTAGAACTGCTTGCCGGACTTTGTGGTTTTGATACTGAGGATTTCCGCGCGCCGCGGCTTCCCATCTTTCTCGACCCAGGCAATGCAGCCGGTCTTCAGAGTATCAGCGGTCGCGCGGCTTTTCTCGCGTGGAGTATCCGTGCCTGAAGAGGCGTCGCCGGGGATTCCTCCACCGGCCATAGCGATTATCGATGGCGTCCTGGTTTTTTTGATGGATGTTGCTGAATCGCGAGGCGTGTTGAAGAACGGAGCGCATGGCAGAATACATGCGGCGCTTATCGGCAGGCGGTCGACTGTGACTCGCAGTCGGATAAGAGCAGCGCCCCGCTAGACGCATTTTCATGAACTTTCATCTGCTTCCATACACTCATCAGAGTATCGTGTCTTGATGTGCAACGTGGGGCAAACTCACATGTGAAAACATCTTCCAGGTCCCTCTGCTGTGTTTTTATGATGGCAGGGCTCTCATCAAATTGGAAAAAACTCCAAGCTAAGCTCACTGCCGAAAATACTTCTAAGCCATTTCGCAAAAGAAAAGCGGATTCTGAGTCTGCACCTCAACCTAAGAAGACGAAGATATCGAAAACCACAACTCAAGTCTTCCCAGCTAGGCCTAAGAGATCCAGCGAGGTCAAATCGAAAATTTCAATGGGGGCCGTCCAGAGCGCGCCCCCGAAGACAGAAACCAACCAAGGTGCCTCCCAATCGCTGGCTCTATGGGCCACAGACAATGACATCTCGGCCGAGTCAATAGCTGAGGCGTATGAACTTGGACTGAAAGATCCAAAAACGGCACTAGCGTCGGAAAAGGACAAGATCAACTATGGTCTTAGCGAAGGTGTTACTGTTGGAAAATATGTTGCCATCGATTGCGAAATGGTCGGCGTTGGGCCCGGGGGCCACGACTCGGTGCTGGCACGTGTGAGCATTGTCGATTTTCATGGAAAGCAGATCTATGACTCCTACGTCAAGGCCAGGGAGAAAGTGACAAACTGGAGGACGGCAGTGAGTGGTATCAGCCCCAAACAGATGCGCTTTGCTCGGGACTTCGACGAAGTCCAAAAAGACGTTGCGCAAATCCTAGACGGTCGCATCCTCGTTGGTCACGATCTCAAGCATGACCTCGAGTGTTTGGCTTTGAGTCATCCTGTACGGGATATTCGCGATACCGCGAAATTTCACAACTTCCGGAAACTGGGCAATGGGCGGAAACCGGCTCTCCGGATCCTGGCGCAGGAACTCCTAGGTGTTGAGATTCAGAGCGGAGCGCACTCTAGTATCGAGGATGCGAGGGTCACGATGCTGCTATTTCGGAAGCACAAGCCGGGCTTCGATGTCGATCATGCGAACCGATTTGCCCCAAGAGTGAACCAAGCCAGCACATTAAAGGGTAGCAAAGTCAAGAGGAAATGACACGGCACTCGCAGCAATCACAATATGGGCATTCATATGCTGGCCATCGTGTCTATGTTCCCACCAGGCCGCCAAATTGTACATGCGCTTTACACTCCCGGTCAGCAAACGAGGTCCGTCCATTTCTTCGGTCACCTCTGAGCACTTGCTCGATGCTCCACTGCAAGTCTCATCAGGTTGCAACATGGAATATCATGAGCGGCACTTCTTAAAGTCGAAAATCAAATTGCACATATTGATCGCCTATTGGTGATACAAGGGTATTGTCAAATCGCTAATGATCTCGCAGAGAGTGTGGTCTGATTACTTCGTCTCAGCAGGCCGATCCTGCGCGTGCGCGAATCCTGCTCAAGCAATATTCATACCAGAGTACCCACGAAAATGAACAACTCAAATGGCCAGATACGATAGAACCGGCAGGGTATTCTCAGTGAAACCCTTGTCTTTGATTCTGTGTTCCAAGATCCTGCAGACTGCAGTTCAGTCAGGGCGGACATTGGATGTGGCGCTTTGGGGAACTTGCCTGCTTTATCTTATCTCCCCTCCATCCGGCCACTTTACGCGCTCCGACGCGTCGCCGCGAGCTTTTCCCAACTACAAGTCTACAAAATTCAGCCCCAGCAACGATTCGATTTTACTGTAACACTTCTGCGGCCGTTCAATCAATACGAAGACAAGACCGTCAGCAAAACAATGTCGCAACCAATTCTCTCGATTGAAGAGTCCGCCGCCACCCCGTGCGCAATGGCCAACCTCCTGCCCTGCCGCATCCATCACGATGGTCCTGTGGACCCAATCGACACTTTCTGGTCGCCGACAAGTTTACAAGGTACGTTTCTCTCCATTCGGTCGCAGGAAGACTGTTAACGCTTCCGCAGACGGCAAGAGAGCTGCCTATTTCCGAGGTCGCAAACTGAAAGCCGAGACCACCCCTCTCCCGGAGTCCTACCGTGGAGTCGTAGTCGAAAGAGCGCCAAAAGTCGAAGCTCTTCCTGCGGAAGATGGCGAAAAGAAAACGGTGGAAACAGGTTCCATGACAGTGACTGGTACATTTGAGGAGGTTGCAGTCTGGGGCCATGAAGAGCCGGTAGACAGAGAATCAGATGGGTTTGTTCGAGGCGTCGACGAATGGTTGAACATCGCTGATAAGGTGAGTTCGCGAGCATCATCGAAGGGAAAAACTGACAAGGCTGGCATGAGCAGATTCATTCATATGGACCTTGAGGCAAAGTGCCTGAGTAGTATTGTAGGCAAGGCGTACAAAAGGCAGAATATATACCCTCCTCTTCGACCTAGATACCCAACGTTGATTTCAGCTGGGCGCACTGGGCGATACGGCAGACAGTCGTATGATATGATCTTGGATGCTTGCCTCACGGCGATGGCATCGGAGCATTCGAGGAAGCAGACACGACCATCACTGGCTTGGACACACGAGTGAACACGCATTGGATGCTCAGATACAGGCGTAACACAGGGCTGATGACAAGAGCTCAATCAGATCAGCCCCCCCCCCCCCCAATGCACCTGAGCCTGAGCTGTTGGTTTCAGCAAGAGCTGCCTCTCTGCCATAGTCACTCTATAGCCAAACCTGGCTCGTGTATTCCACAAGAATCACCTCACAGAGGGCATATGTTACACCGAACATATTGGCCACTTCTTGGGCAGTGCCGCAAGCGTCAAGCAAAGATACATGTAATAATCAATTATCACAATGACACCAGGTCCAGATGTGTACGTATTCCGGCACCCCATCCCTGTGGGCCCTGCAGGGCACCACCGAAGGCAGTTAGCGTCATGCAATCAATTAAAGACGCGAGATCGAAAAGCCCCTCGACGCGTCCTGACCGCGTTTCTGACGCGCAACTACTTTGACTCCATTCTGCTCCCTCCGTCGTCCTCACAAACCCATGCGGAAATCCATGATTTCGCACGTCACGACGTCACCAATACTCACTAACACCGCGAAACCTCCAAGATGGCATCCAGCGAAGCTGGGTACCCCATGGCCGACACGCCTCACTCTGTCGCAACGCCTGCGACTCCGAGGGGCCACGGGTTTCCCTCCTCCCCATCAGCAAGGCCGCAAGGACCGCCTTCAGAAAGCAATCTCGACCCAAGCGAACGAGGAGATGGATTCATGGATGATGAAAGACCGGAGAGATCGAGACCAACTGATGCAAGGCACGTTCAGAAAGTTCGTGACAAGCTAGGGGACCTCGTGCAGCGTAACTTTGAGAAGTTCATTGAGGAGTAGGTTTTGGTTTGTGCGCAGACTGGGACTATCTAAAGCTGATGGGTCACTAGGTTTCAAGATGATTCTCAGGCGGCGGCAACACCATCTGCACAGGGATCAAGTGCGATACCCACATTCAAGTACTACGTCCAGCTCATTCATGTGATGAGCAATAAGAGCTTGTCAACGCTATACGTTGATTTCAGACATCTGCAGACGTGGAACGATGGCGCTCTAGCAGACGCTATTTTCACAAACTATTACAGATGCCTGCCTTATTTGACGTCAGGCCTACACAATATGATTGCGAAATACGAGCCCAAGTACTTTCGTGATCATCGCCAGCCTACAGCTTCAAGTAAGTTGGCTACATCGGCCGCCAGCCAATTCAGCTCGGAGGACAATGTCGATGCACCACACAACAAGAACGAGAACCAGCAGACCGACAAACTGTTCGCAATCGCCATCTACAACGTTCCCCTTGTTACTCGATTGAGGTCGCTGCGGTCAGGGAACATTGGTCAACTACTGTCGATTTGCGGAACTGTCACACGGACATCTGAAGTTCGTCCGGAATTGTCACTGGCAACATTCACATGTGAGAACTGCCGAACCGTCGTGCCCAACGTCGAGCAAACCTTCCGCTACACCGAACCTACACAATGCCCGAACGAAACATGCAACAACCGAATAGCCTGGGCTCTCGACATTCGAAGAAGCACTTTCATCGACTGGCAGAAAGTTCGTGTTCAGGAGAACAGCGCCGAGATCCCAACAGGAAGCATGCCTCGGACAATGGACATTATTCTTCGCGGAGAGATGGTCGATCGCGCCAAAGCCGGTGAGAAATGCATCTTCACTGGCACCCTCATTGTCGTACCCGATGTTAGTCAACTGGCACTCCCCGGGTCGAAACCCATGTCTGTTCGCGACGACCGAGGACCTAATGCGCGCGGCGATGACGCTGGCGGCAGCGGTATCTCGGGACTGAAAGCCCTCGGAGTCCGCGACCTGACCTATCGCATGGCGTTCCTTGCCAACATGATCACTCCAGACTTCACGGGCCAGTCTTCCGACACCAGTGCTACGGACGTGGTCAACGCTCTGTTGGCCCAGGACCAAGCAATCGAGGGGGGTGACGAAGTGACCACCGCGCAGCGAGCGGTGACAGCCACCATGAGTGAGGCCGAAATCACGGAAATGAGCAAAATGGCCCACGACCCTGAAATCTATACCAAACTCGTCAAGTCCATCGCGCCCATGGTTTACGGTCACGAGTATGTGAAGAAGGGTCTCCTGCTGCAGCTGGTGTCCGGTGTCCACAAACAGACACCAGAGGGTATGCAACTTCGCGGAGACATCAACGTGTGCATCGTTGGCGACCCATCTACCTCGAAATCCCAGTTCCTAAAGTACGTCTGCTCATTTGCCCCTCGCGCCGTGTACACCAGCGGCAAAGCTTCCTCAGCGGCTGGTCTTACTGCCGCTGTGGTGAAGGACGAAGAAACGGGGGAGTTTACCATCGAAGCGGGAGCCTTGATGTTGGCTGACAATGGCATCTGTGCCATTGATGAGTTTGACAAGATGGACATTGCCGATCAAGTCGCTATCCACGAAGCTATGGAACAGCAGACTATTTCGATCGCCAAGGCCGGCATTCAAGCCACCCTCAACGCTCGCACATCCATTCTTGCGGCAGCCAACCCCGTTGGCGGACGGTACAACCGCAAGACTACTCTCCGTGCCAATATCAACATGTCTGCCCCCATCATGTCTCGATTCGACCTCTTCTTCGTCGTGCTTGACGAATGCAACGAGCAGATCGACCGCCATCTTGCCGAACACATTGTCAGCATCCATCAATTACGTGATGAGGCTGTCGAACCGATTTTCAGCACCGAGCAATTGCAGAGATACATTCGCTATGCTCGCACGTTCCGCCCAGTGTTCACACCCGAGGCACAGGAACTTCTCGTAGAGAAGTACAAGGAGCTCCGTGCGGACGATGTTCAGGGTGGCATTGGAAAGAACTCTTACCGCATCACGGTGCGTCAACTGGAGAGTATGATCCGTCTCTCCGAGGCCATAGCCAAGGTCAACTGCGAACCAACGATCAGCGAAGACATGGTCATTGAGGCATACACACTCCTGCGATCAAGCATCATTTCCGTAGAATACGACGACGTCGAAATAGATGAGGAGGAGGCGGAGACGCAAGAAGACGCCAGCACCCTGCTGCGCGCTGCGTCGCAGGCTCACGGCGATACCGCCATGGAAGAGGACCCATCCACCGAGCAAAGGGAGAGAAGGAAACTCACCATCACGTACGAGAAGTACCTCAAGATGCTTAACGCCTTTGTTGGGAGGATCAAGGACGATGAATCTGACAATGGCGATGGTGTTGAGGGCAATGAACTGATCTCATGGTACCTAGAGAGTGTTGAAAGCGAGCTCGATGGGCCAGAGGCCCACGACCACGAGCAGGCATTGGCAAAGATGGTGCTCAAGAAGATGGTCAAGGTAAGCTCACCCTATCGCCATTCATCTAGCCGACAGACGATGCTAACATAACGAAGGAAAACATTCTCATGGCTCTGAGAGGCGAGGGCTTGCAAGAAGACGGTGCGGCCAGCAGCTCTACCGCCGTAGGCGACGTGATCTACGTGATACACCCGAACTGCGCAATCGAAGAAGTATAGAGAATACAAGCAGGTCAGCACAGTAGTGGCGTTGCTTAAATGAACGATATAATGACAGGACATGGCGGGGATGCAGTAGGTATGTAAGGCAGGAAGGAGTCAGGAGTTGTGGCATGGTCCACGTTGCATCACATACATGATGTCTGGGAGCATTTCGAATATCTCTGCAATAAGTGCCAGCTATCTCACAAGTAAATGCGCCGGAACAGCCTGTCCGTCAATCATTTACCGACCCATCCGTGACCCAAACCTGTACCCTCATTACGTCCGTCCCGTTCATCGTCGTCATCATGAGAGGCCGAGGCTTGGTACTGTGTCAGGTGATCGACGACGCATAACCCGCCTAGGGCGTGCAACGTCGGTCTAGTAAAAGACCGGTGAATAGCTTCCCCCCGTAGTATTAGACAGGGAAGGCATTCGCTCCCTTTCAGCGTGACAGAATCGTCGCGCAACATTGCACGAACAACGATGTCCAGTAGTAGTAAAAAATAAAAAAAACGAAAACGCAGGAGCGAGTTGTGCTGCTCGCCCTGCCTTGTTTGCTTATCCATCAATCGCTCAATGAATATTTGAAATCATACATCGTCCGCAAGAAACACGTTCAAGGGGATAGTAGAAGTGCCGGATGGGGTCCAACAGGCACTGAGGCTCTGCTATTCTCCTATCAGACAGCCCTTGCGTCTGCGAGAGCGATCATAGAACCGCTGGTTGCGATCTAGACTTGCATGGGAGGCTGCGTGGGGGATTGGCGATGCCAATTCTCGGAGCCCCTCCCTCGGTAGGTTCCTCGACCCCGGCCACGACCCCTTGCTCCGCGTTCAGGGCGTTCTATGTTCGCACTAGCGGAAGCACTCGGAGTGGTCGGTGTTGGGGGGTGGGTGTCAGAAGTGGAAGCACTCTCCTTCTTGTCCTTCCCGCGGTAAGCCCCACGGCCACGGGTTTTGCCACCACGTCCACGGCTGGGACCAAAGGGTACGGTGACAAATTTTGCACTCTGTCCGCCAGGAAAGCTGATGCGAACAGAATTGGCCCCGTTGACTATCTCACTGCCAAAATCGAAGGACTCTGCCGCAGTTGCATGGATCAAGAATCTCTTGGGGAAATTCCTGGGCGGAGCGGCGGCGGCTGTCCACATATAATCCCCAGGGGCATTGTGAGGGATTTTCACCAGGGGCAGAGACCCCATTTCTGGTTCATCAAAGCATTCCTCTGCCATAGGCTTGGAAGCAGCATCCTTGCCGACGCTTCCATGTGAGAAACGTGCATTGCCTGGCAGCGATACAGTGGCGGAGCTTTTTGGAATAGTGTGATCCAAGGCATTCTTGCTCGAAGATTCGACACCCAGTAGGTTATTAAACCTTTGCTGCCAAGGGGTGCTGCTCCTTTCGCCGCCAGGTACTTGCGGCTGCTGCCTCTGAGCTTGTGTTTGGAGACCGATCCGCGCTGCGTCCTTGTATGAGGTGGGGGTGTACGGCGTAGGTTGAGCCCAGGACATCGGCTTTGGGGCGACTTGTTGGGGTGCGGATTGTTGTCTAGTGGGAGCGACACTGCTAGGGGGGAGTTTCACGACAGGATGGGGGCGCGGCAAAGACACCAAAGGGTGTGCAGAGCTTCCATCATATGCAGGATGACCTTCCATTGTGGGGGGCGGCAGCTGAGGCGACGAAGGTCGCGATATTGGTACCCCGACCACGTCGCCACGAGGCTCCTTTGTAGGAAAGAATCGAGATGTCTTCGACTGCGCGTGGGCGTGGTTGGCCGCGATCATTGAGTTGCCAGGTCCTGGTCCTGATCCAATCACCCCTGCAGCGGGTGAAGGACCCGGCACTTGGTGTCTGGCGGCAGGGGGCTGCTGTTGCCCTTCGCGGGCTCCTTGCCACGACCGCCCGGCTTGGTGGCGGTGAGTTTCGACGACAGGAGGCATTTGCTGCCGACGACCATCTTCAGACACATTGACTGGACGCCAAGTGTCAACAATCGCGGGACGAGCATCTTCCACTGTCATTCCACGCTCCTTCAGCTGACGCTCTCTCTCAACTCGTTCTGCCAGACGCTCCGCAGCAATCTTGCGATCATTTTCGGCAACAGCATTTACCCACTTGCTGGTAACAGTGGGCGCTCCAGCTTGTTGGAATCGTGTGTGTGGATGACCGGGACGAGAGCCAATAGGCGCTTGCTGGCTCTGCTGCACTGCAGACGGCTGCTGCTGCCCTTGAGATGGCTCTCGCGACAAGCTGGGCGGGGCAATTGGGGAGGGTGCCTTGCCGGTCTGAGCCTGTGGCAAAGGGGAATCGGACATGAGTCCAAGATCTGGGTTGAATGTCCCATTACCGAGACCCCTGTCATTGTTGGGCGAACCCCAGACGTTACGCGCGGAAGCTTGACTGCCCGGCGCCCAGGACAAATTCTGGGATCGCTCAGGTCGTGTAGATGCATCCGGGCCAGACGGATGTGCCCTGGACTGGCCCGACCCTGACCTTTGCCAGCTGGGTTGTTGCCTGTTGTCCTGGCCATGCGAGGGGCGCCGCCCTGCTTGGGCGGTGGTGATCTGCCCGTCGTTGTGTTGGCCACGCGCGGGAGGTTCGGTGGCTTGAGAATCCGTGCCAGCGCCGACACCAACCTGCTGGGGCACGGTGGATGTTGATTCTGGAATAGAGGGCTGGCTGGGTTGCTCGCGTTGTTGAATATGCTTCGGTTTAGGAGACTCGACGGCAGCAGGAGCAACAGTGGCTTGGCTCCTTTCGCTTCTACTGGGCGGTGCAGGCCCCAGCGCAGCGAGCTTCTTCTGAATTCTCTCTTTACGAGCTGCTTCCTCAGCTGCTTCCTCTTCCTTTCGCTTTCGCGCGCGTTCCTGGCTTTCACGCATTAGCTTGTTCTGCATTGCCACATCGTCCTCACTTTGAGGGGCTGGTGCATGTGGCATGGGCTGTTGACCATATCCAGGACCCGTAGGACCGGGAGGGCCACCGTGATAGGGCGTGGCGAAGTGAGCTCGCGGAGAAGGACGAGCGCCGTAACCAGTTCCAGGCTGTTGATATCCGCGATAGGGCGTGTGAGACAGGGCGGGGGACAGGGGGCCTTCTGCAGATCCCGCAAACGAGGGTTTCCGAAGACTGTTCATGTCTGCAGGTGGAATCTGCACCTCGCACCCCTGGCCTGCGGTACGCTGGAAAAACGAGCCGCTCCCGCCGCTAACGTTGGATGATCCTCGTCGTCTTCCGTATTGTCCTTCCTGGGATGACCGAGATGTCTGGAAGGCGCCAGATGGCTCGGCTGGTTGTTCTGAACCCGCATGCCTCTGCAAGACTGCCGGTTGCTTCGACTGATCCGGGCGAAGAGAGCCACGGCGCTCAGGAGCTGATTCAAACCGCCCTGACTGAGAATTATATAGCTGGCCGTGCGAGCCAGAGTCGCGCCATGTAGAACGACTGAAATCATCAGCCGCTATTTCCCTCAATGGTCGCGACGGAGGGGGCATTCCATGTTGGGTCGCCGGCGGTCCATCTCTGTTGTAGCCACGAGGAGCTGGGGCTGCTGATTCTGTTGCCACAGCAGAGGCTTTCTCGACTGGTGGTAGTGGTGCCCAGGGAGATTTTGCTACCTGGGGCGGCGTTGGCTTTGCGACAAGCGTAGGCTTCTCAGCCGGTGCCTTGCTAAGAACCAGGCCCTTCCCACTCGGCAGTCCACTGGAGGCTTTTGGGGGAGCAGGTGTCGATAGAGGCGCTGGCGATTTGGGCTTAACGAATTCCTTGACCTCTGGAACTGCAGGCTGAGCAGGGATCGTGGCTGGTGTTGGAGGCTCATCAGTATGTGGTAGTGTCGTCTTGGTACCATCAGTCCATGTGATCGCTTCTGGTGCCCAATCATCGTCATCATCGTCCAAATCTGCCCACTTGCTCTGCCCTTGCGTATCTTCTTCTTCTTCCAAGCGAGTGGCGACGTGAATGCCATACTTCTTGAGCTCCTCGTCGGTTAACTTCTTTGGATCTGGTACGGGAACAGCTGGCAATGTCAGTACACGATGAGCTCCAATACATTCCCATCCAACATACGCTTGTTCTTGTTCCAAACCGCGCCAGCGTCAGGCGCTGGTGCTTTAGACCCGTTCAACCCAGATGATCGCGTGCCAGAACTACCGACCCCACTACCAGTCTTGGCCACCAGACGAGGTCGTGAAGAGAGTGTAGCAGAGCCTGACGGCGGTGGCGTGCTGGCACCGCCCTTGGACCTCTCTACAATCTTGCTGGTCGAGGTTGGAGTGTTCGCTTTGGATGCTAGAAAAGTCTTGTTGACGGAGACGGCCTTGAACGTCGCTGGCTTTTTGGCGGAAGAGGCCGTGCGCGCGTGGCTCTTGTCGCCGTCCCTGAGTTTCGACGCTTCATTATCCGATCCTCCACTTGCACTCGCATCTGCAGAATGTGAGTGGTCCTCAAGCTGGGAGATGTGCTTGTTTTCGATGCCATCGTGATTGGCAGTACCGTTTACGACAGGTGTGGCGATACCGCCATTGCTGGGGGAGCTTGCCTAGATCGACAGTTAACTTTGCCAACGCTGTATCCTAGTCCTCGCCCAGGACACATGTATGTGTACTCACAAGCTGGGCATCTGCAGGGCTATCGACCGTGGGCTCTGTGGCCATCATACGTTGCGAAAAGTCGCAGTGCAAGGCGATCAAGACCTCGTTAGTATGCCACCTTCGATTGTCCGTTTGGAGGAATGCGCGCCAGGAAGTAGTCACGGTCCAGTTGCGTCGCCGAGGTGATTGACGGATTGCTTGTTGGCTGAGCGGGCAGCACGGGGGTTGGCTCGTCGTCCGACGAGGAAGCTTCAGGTGGGTTATGACGAGGGTCGAGTATCTGGCCAAAATGTGTGTGTGGTGCTGGCGTCTGAGCGGGCTTGACGGACTGTGCGTCGTTCTCTTGCGCAGACTGTTCGCAATCAGAGGGTGAACGGGGGTTTTGCTGTCGAGATGGAGTTGCGGCTGGGATGGGCTCTGACTGTTGCGTTACCTCTGCCACTAAAACGTGAGGCCCAGCTGGTGTTGCTTTTCAAGTTGTCGCTGGATTAGGATTAGCGTAATACTGTGCCTGGGGAGGACGCAGCCGGACGTTGCCAGCGAAGTTGACGAATTGGGCTAGTCCAGCCTCATGTTATAAATTGGATTCATAAGAATAGGACTTGACTTGAAAATTACGATAGTTACGTGGTGCCAACTTCATTATCTGTTCAACATGTGCACTCTAATCGCTTAAGGCTACCTCCGTGCTGTATTGTAAAACTCTCAGTCTCCGGGTACGTAGCAACTGTGCGTGTCGTGGTTCAGGGATATGCAGAGGTGGCCACTGTACGGAGTCAAGTGACCACACGGCTCCTCTTACTTAGGCACTGGCGTAGATGAACGAGATACATCACTTCGTCGATATGACATCAATTTTGCACTCAACAGGACGGGACTGCGTAGAGGTACAAAGGGAATCTGTTCTACGCGCGAGACGCTCTAGAGGTTCCAAGTTATGTACACAGCCGTGTCAGGCTTTCCCATGCCATCTCCCGTCAAATAATTTAGTGAGCATTGTTCTTGTGGTGGCCTGAGAGAACGTAAGTCATTGGGTTGCAGAGCTGTGCCAATGTGTACTTACGCAGGTGGAAGTAGTAGTTCTGGGCGTAGCCGATAGCAACGAAGAAGACCAGAGCGTGAATGATAGCTGTACGGTAGATTAGCAAATAAACCCAACAGATCCCGGTGAGAGAGCATACGCTTTACTGAGGCGTTCTTGCCAAAGTGCTTGGCCTGGTAGCGGCCGAGGATGCCCTTGGCCTGAACCTCAGGAGCCGCACCCCTGGGAAGCTTCTCGTAGAAGCTGACGACGCGCTGCATGCGGAGAGCATCTGGAGCACCGCCGATGGCCTGCGAGAAGTACCGTGTCAGTCTCCCGTATATGAAATCGTGCTAAGTTCATTTGCAACGTAGTCTCGAGTTCTCCAGTCCCGTGATCGTGCCCAGCATGTGATCGTATAGAATCGTAACTCGAAGTCGAGAGAATTGAAAGGTCCCGGAATGCAACGTACCTTGGGGGAGGCGATCTGAACCGTTTCGTTAGAAAAGCACGTCCATGGGCTGGCGGATAGACTTACCTTGGGAGGGATGAGGGTCGAGAGGGCCCGGCGCTGAACGAAGCTCATGGTAGCGATGTGAATGATAATTCTTCAAACAAAAAGAAGCAGGGAATTTCGTCGGTCGTCGCGTCGTCGAGAGTATCTCAATTGAAGATCGGTACGAGCAAGAGGTTGCGACAAGCCATCCGCCGTGATGCTCCGAAAAGCACTCGCTGGTTCCCACTGCCACACCGGAAGATTGTTGCTTCCGACGCGACCAATCACAGCGCAAAATCCACGACGACCAACCTCAATTCCATCATTCTTCCCGGAGCTCGATACAGCGACAACGACGATCACGAACACCCAATTACAATGGCCTCGCTTCGAACAACACAGAGCGCAGCGCGCCTAATGCGCTTGCCCCGTGTCGCTTTTACGACCGCTCCTCGACGATTCCAGAGCGGCGCCTCCACCTCCGCCACGCCTCCTGTACCGACCGGACCTGTCGAGTCGAACCAGCCAGACTACAGCATTGCTCCCGATAAGGCGACTTCGTATGCATACCAAAGCAGTGTAGTAGGAGAACTCGGGGCTAACAAGCCATAGGACATTCACTCCCGTGCCAAAGAAAGTCCAGGATGGCAGCGAGGAAGAGATTCTCCCTGCGGCTGTCTTGTCCGGTGCACCTCTGGAACTCCAGGCCCGTACTGTTCGGTATGGACAAGCTCTATTTCAATACGGCATCGGCAAATCTAACGTCTTCGCAGCATCTACAAGGAGGCCAAGCCTGCTACTCAATCAGGCGACTGGCGTGGTGCACACTGGCGAATGGACTGGGACATCCTTCCAAAGGGCCATCGCTGGGAGAATCCTCTCATGGGCTGGCAATCATCTGGCGACGTGATGCAGGGCACCAATATTCACTTCCACAGCAAGGAGGATGCCATCATGTTCGCAGAGAAACAGGGATACGAGTACTTTGTGCAGGAGCCGAACTCCCGGAAGATCACGCCAAAGGCTTACGCCAACAACTTCCTGTACTCTGCGAGGAAGCTCAAGCATATTCGAACAAAGTGATTCGGAGGGGTCAAAGTCTAGGGCAAATGTACATATACCACCAAGGCAATTGCAATTACCAGCGCTCAGGATACAAAGTTCATGTATGCAGTGCCGTCATTGGTACTTTGTAGTCCGTAGCGGTGCTGTGTAACACTCAACGGTCTACCGAAATGCTTTATGTGAAATCAATGTAATGCGCCAGTGATGGATGTCTGCTCAGAGCACTGCCTGCGCCCGTGGCTCCATGTGAAACTCCGAGCAATCGCACCAAGGATGCCTGAACGCCTCGCCAGAAATTAAAAGAAAAAAAAGAAAACAATGTAAGTGAAAAGCCTAAGTTGTCATCGCGGTATCGTTCTCGTATTCATCATTCAGGTAAGTGGAGAGATCGTCCGGGATGACGTTGGCGGACAACATCCGTCCCTTGTTCTCGGCCCAGACACGCAACTTGACGAGGTCACGAATGCCAGCCATGGTGCGTCGCGAGCGAGTGGCCATAATCGCGCCAATAACACTTTCAGCGGCATCTGTGCGAACTTTTGTGTCTAGCATTGCGGCCAGTGGTGGCTCCAGCTGATTCCGAGGTATCATGAGCAGAGCCATTGTCTTTTCTAAATCGTCAAGGAACTTGGGGTTAGCTGCCGCCCGCGGTCCGAGGTTCATCCTCGCAAACTCGAGAGCATGCTGGATGTCACCTCCATCAACGTCACAATCTCGAATGATCTCAACGAGTTGCAGTCGCAACAGGAGGAAGTGCAACTCTTCGTCACCTTCGAGGATCTGCGGCAGTCAGCATCGTGTCTTTCTGTGAAACGAAATAGAGACGTGGTGACTGTGCAATATCATGAAAGGTGGTTATTTCTCATCTCAGGCCCGAAAGCCTATGCGTGGTGCATGTATAACTCTTGTTTTAATCATTTAGGGAGAAGAAGGAGAAGAAGAAAAAAGGCAAATGCCTGACGTACCTTGGGATCGATCTCGTTAAGTGTCTCGATCGCAGTCTGCAAGTCACCTCTCTGCATCTGCTGGCGAACTTCCCATAAGGTCTGAGTGAAGTACTCATCACCTGGAGTCTTCATATTCGCCTCTTTGCAAAAGTTGGCAGCCGCTTTTGGATAGCCTTCCATGGTAAGGTAGTCCAGGATCAAAGCATTGATGTCGCTATTGATGCTGTTAGCCTTTGCAAGGGACAATGTTGGCATCGTGTAAAATGTGGTTGCGCGTGAGTTCAGGTCAACCGAAGTTGTATCGTTTCCTCCGCATGGAATTCTAGGAGAGATTCCCATTGATAAAAATCATCATGTAATGGTCGGCGTTGTGCAGTGGGGTCCGGATGAGCTCCTCGTACCTTTTGGGTGCTTTGGCCGCCCATACTCGCTGGTCCCAATTGGGCCGCGCTTCAGGTGGTGTTGTCGAGGCTGCAGAGGATGTCTAAGACGACACGGTCAGTCCACTCGCCCCAAGGCGTCGCTGGGACCTATAGGTACGCACCATGTTCAGATGCGACACGAGAAGCGTGTCCTCCTAAAGGCGGATCGTGTGACAACACGCAAGTCTTGCGGGCAGAAAGTAATACAATTGGCACCGGAAGACTGTGTTCAGTACATTGGGATTGTTCCAATCGCCTTGTGTCACTCAGCTTGACGATAAAGTCGGCAAGATGGTGACGACGATGCAAGATGCAAGTTTTGTAGTGGAAGTGACGGGAAGAAAAGGTTGATTTGGGCTGCTGGTCAAAGCTCAAGCGGGTTCGCAATGGGGAGTTTGCCCTCTCGGAACGGCCAATCGCAATGCCGTTTCTGCTACAGTCTCAGGTCAGGTACCTTAGCTGCTAGCCTAATCTACCCTACACTTCACCAAGCTCGTTTTCAATACAAGGCTTACAATGCCTCTGAATATGATGCTATCTCGGATATTCGCTCTAGTAGTTGTATATATCAGTAATATTGAGTATACAGTTTCGGAGTTTGCTAAAGGGTGTGTTGTTTATTAGGTGCAACTAACATGCTGCAAAGAAGGCGATAAGACGGGATCCTCCGCAAATGCTCACAAATAGACAATATCTCTCTCCTTGCTCTTGCGAGGCAATTCTTCCCGATCGGTTGCGAAGTCCATGCCGCTTTTTTTGCGTATAAGTAGAAGGTCATTATCTTGATTTTGTCGTATTGTTGTTGATGCTCGTCTCCGAACCAGGGAAGTTGCAATATTCGCCTCCGCACATCCAACTTTGCTTTCTTGCATATCAGGGTCACGCGAGCTAGAAATAGACGCAATTGGTCAGCGCCAGTGCAATTACAGTTGGGAACCCTTATCATTGTCACTCAATGTGCTGAAAGCCATGGATTCAACAGCTGAACAAGTTCCCAACATGAGCGGCTTGGAAAGTCATGTCACAGTTCAGAAGAGGGCCTACTACGCGCCGCCGTGGGCAGATGTCAGTATCATTGGAGTAGCAGGGAGTTCGGGATCAGGCAAGTCGACAATTTCACAAGCCATCGTGAAGAAGTTGAGCTTGCCCTGGGTAGTGATTCTGTCGTTGGTGAGTCGCGCAATCGTGGTCCTGCGAATCGCTTACGCTGACTGATCGTAGGACTCATTCTATAAGTCCTTGACTCCGGAACAGTCCAAACTCGCGTTTGCGAACGAATGGGACTTTGACTCACCAGATGTACGGAGGCGCAACTCATCCGTGAGCTAGACGCTGATGTTTTGATAGGCGTTTGATTTCGACATACTAGTACAGAGGCTGCGGGACCTGAAGGCAGGGAAACGTGCAGAGATACCGGTGTACTCTTTTGCGAAGCATGCACGGCTCGATCATACGACTACTATTTACTCGCCTCACGTCTTGATTTTGGAGGGCATTTTTGCGCTTCACGATCCACGAGTCCTTGAGCTCCTGGACATGGCTGTATGTCCAACAAGCAGCCGGCCTCCGGGATACCACGTTGACACGGTTAGATATACTGCGACGAAGATGCGGATACTTGCTTAGCGAGGCGATGTGAGGCATCGTAGAAGAGCTTGCCTGATTCGAGCACTGACAAATCTTAGTGAAGCGAGATGTCCGTGAGCGGGGTCGTGATATCGACGGCATCATCAAGCAGTGGTTCGGGTTTGTCAAACCAAACCTCCACAAAGTATGCACTAGAATTGGTGACGGGGGATGAAGCTAACATCCGTCGAGTACGTTGAGCCTCAGCGCAAAGTGGCCGACCTTATCATGCCCCGAGGGATTGAGAATCGCGTAGCCTTGGGTAAGACAGTCCGGACCATTGGGAGACACTTTGCTGATCCCCTCTCAGAGATGATCTCGCATTTCATCGAAAAGAAGCTCTTTGAAAAATCAACTCACCATCGTGAAGCACTTGCGAGGCTTGAAAAGGCCTGTCGCCAGGAGCCGCTTTCAGATCGCGTTGTGATCTTAGACAACACACCCCAGCTACAGTTCATGAACACTATTTTGCGAGACATCGACACAAGCTCAGAAGACTTCATCTTCTACTTTGACCGACTAGCAGGCTTGGTCATCGAGCAGTAAGCGCGCCTGACTCACACAATTCGACTGTATGCTAAACGCTACAGGGCCCTTAATAATGTGCAGTTCGAGAGCAAGGAGATCACAACGCCGCAAAACTACAAGTACAAGGGCTTGACTTCGAAAGGCGAAGTCAGTGCTGTGATCGTACTTCGCGGCGGCTCTGCTTTCGAGTCAGCTCTTCGGAAGACCATTCCTGATTGCAGGACTGGGCGGCTCCTGATCCAGTCCGACCTCTCAACCGGCGAGCCTGAGCTGCACTACCTGCGCTTGCCTGAAGACATCCACCAACACGAGAGCGTGTTGCTGTTGGATACGCAAATGGCAAGTGGAGGAGCTGCGCTCATGGCCGTGCAGGTCCTCGTGGACCATGGTGTTGCGCTGGAAAGAATTGTGCTGGCGACATACTCTGCCGGCCGCATTGGTTTGCATCGTCTCAACACAGTTTTCCCCGAGGTGACAGTGGTTATCTGTAATATCTTGGCTGACCAAGAGCCTCGCTGGGTTGAGAACAAGTACTTCCGCTGCTAGGATAGAGACCACCCTAGAAGTAGTAATATCCGCATGAGACGGGAGCATCTATTGCCTGGACCAGACTGCTAGACTACCTGTCACTCTGATTTGACTGCTATTACACACCCCAGGTTACATAAGTACACAACAGATTCGTACCAGTCCAACATCGGGGTCTCACTTAGAACCGGACCCTCCAGGCGGTTTTTTCCTGGTGGTTGCATGTGCCCGTCTGTTGTCGGTCTTCTGGAACTATCACGTGTGATTCCTGTAGTACCTGAAATGGGCCCTCTGTTAGATCTGAGGAGGTATAATTATGTATAACGAACGTCGAAGAACGACTAGATCACTGGCAGAGCCGCCGAGTGGTGGGTCGGCGCTGTCTGATCATTGATGGGCCCCTGACGCCATATGACTGCCCGTGCTGTGTCGCGTACAGTCCTCGCGTGTTCTTTGGTAGCTGGGTGATCGGACATTTCTGTCGCCCCCAAACCGATGACGCCAGTGTTCCCTCAAAGACAATAAGCACCACTTTGGCCTCCATCCTCGCCAGGTCTCCTCGCTAGGTCCAGCCAAGTCTTCCACACGAGAATTGAGTCAATTCTACGCGGGCCCTTTTCTTCCAAGCTTCTGCGTCTGCGACCATGGTTTCCCAGCAACACTAATCGAATTCGACATCTCTGCCCTTCCACATCGGGTCGCTGGACGTCTCGACGACCTGATAGCTTGTGACGCCTGCGGTCGCCGTGATGTCTTCAGCATCATCCTTTCACGCACCCGCGCGCTTGATAGCGACCGGCCTCCGGAGCAGCACTTCGAGGGCAACCCTTCCTCCCCAACCACGTCTCTACTCTCATCAATCGCGCACAATCCTCAGCTTCCTCCGTTCCGAAACCTCAAAGTCGAAGCGTGCCCAACTTCCTAACCACTTCTTCTCTCGCGCCCTCTCAGGCAAACCTCTGCCGCAGGTCAAGTCCAAGGCCCTCAACTACACATACCGCCTGGCAGCGTGGGTGGGCGCCTCCCTGACGGTGGCTGGCGCAGGCATTGTTGGCTTCTTTCTGTACGATGCCTCTACGTACAAGGACTACAGCACGCACAGCGACATTGACGTCTCGCAGCTTGCCCTCCAGCCGCGACGAGGAGGACCCAAGAACCTCCCGATAGCCGATGTCTTCATTGACGACGATGACTCGGAAGTCAAACGTAAGCTGAAGCAAAAGCCAAGGCTCGTCATCTTGGGCGGAGGCTGGGGTGGTGTTGCTATGCTGAAGGACCTAAATCCCGACGAGTACCATGTGACAGTCATATCGCCCACCAACTACTTCTTGTTCACGCCTATGCTTCCGTCCGCTACTGTGGGAACGCTTGAGTTGAGATCTCTCGTTGAACCAATCCGCCGCATCCTCAGTCGTGTCAACGGTCACTTTATTCGCGCCAAAGCCGAAGACATCGAATTCTCGCACAAGCTTATAGAGGTTGCTCAGACCGACCCAGAGGGCCGCGAAGTACGATTCTATGTTCCGTACGATAAAGTTGTCCTAGCCGTTGGCTCCACCACCAATCCCCATGGTGTAAAGGGACTCGAGAACGCATTCTTCCTCAAGAACATTGATGACGCGCGTAGCATTCGCAACCGCGTCATCCACAACTTCGAGCTTGCTTGCCTGCCTACTACGTCTGATGAGGAGCGCAAGCGACTGCTGTCCTTTGTCGTGAGTGGCGGTGGCCCTACTGGAGTTGAGTTCGCCGCCGAGCTCTACGATTTGCTCAATGAGGATCTTTCACGTCACTTCCCCCGTCTATTGCGAAACGAAATATCTGTTCATATCATCCAGAGCCGCAGCCATATCTTGAACACGTACGACGAGACGGTATCAAAGTACGCCGAAGACCGATTCGCCCGCGACCAGGTTGATGTTATGACCAATGCGCGTGTGAAGGAGGTTCAGCCTGACAAGATTATCTTCACCCAGAAGCAGCCAGATGGCTCGCTCCAGACGAAGGAACTGCCGACAGGATTCTGTCTATGGTCCACGGGAGTCGCACCTGCAGCCATCAGCAAAACTCTTGCCGAGAAGCTAGGGGAGCATCAGACCAACCGGCATGCTCTCGAAACTGATCCCCACCTTCGACTCAATGGAGCGCCGCTCGGAGACGTCTATGCCATTGGCGATTGTTCAACGGTGCAAAACAATGTTGCTGATCACATCATTACCTTCCTGCGAAGCACAGCTTGGAAGCGCGGCCTTGACCCCGAAACTGTCCAGCTGCGTTTCGGCGACTGGCGCCAGGTAGCCCAGGATGTGAAAAAGCGATTTCCCCAGGCAGCCGACCACCTGAAGCGCCTCGACAAGCTGTTCGCCGAATTCGATAAGGATCACTCGGGCACACTTGACTTTGGCGAGCTGCGGGAGCTGTTGAAGCAGATCGACAACAAGCTCACCTCGCTGCCTGCAACAGCCCAGCGCGCGCACCAGCAGGGCCAATACCTCGCCAGGAAGTTCAACAAGATGGCACAGATTGCAGAAGGCCTCCACGCCAATGACATCCGAGACGGTGACCTGGATGCGGCGACGTACAAGGCTTTCGAGTACCACCACCTGGGCAGCCTTGCATACATTGGCAATTCTGCCGTTTTTGACTTGGGCGAGGGCTGGAACCTGGCAGGCGGCCTATGGGCAGTCTATACATGGCGGTCTGTGTATTTTGCCCAGAGCGTCAGTCTGAGGACGCGATTGCTGATGGCGATGGACTGGGCAAAGAGAGGATTGTTCGGCAGAGGTAAGCTGGTGCTCAATCACAGTGCAATGAGAAAACGTGCTAACGGCTGCAGATCTTATCAGCTTCTAGAGTGACGAGCGTTTGTATTAACACTTTGGATCAACGTTCGGAGAACGGTTTAGAGCGATGGTTACTTGTGACCACCAATGGCCGAGTCCAAGATAATCAAGCTATGGGGGGTTCTCACTGTCGATACAGCCAGGACGAGAACAAATGATAGATAGCGCTGTCTAAATGACAAAGTCCTTGTGCGTCCACTTCTCCGTGACTTTCCTCTTGGCCTGCTTCTTGAAGGGAAGATGCCTCCTTGCTTCGACCTTGCCCCTGACTAGCATGCTCCTGTATCGATCCCTCATCATGTTACCCTCGGGTTTGAGCAGTCGTAGGCTGTCCTGCAGCTCGTCTGGCAGAACAAGCTCCAGGTCCTTCTCGGGTAGCTTGTACTTGCCGAGCTGCTTCCGCCTCAGTTTCTGTTCCCCTATCTCGCCCTCGCTGTCGGAGCCAGCGGCAAGTGCACGTTGCTGTCGCATCAACGCACGGAGCTGTTCCTTTTCGGAGACCTCCTGTGCCAACTCTGCAATCTTTTGCTCCTGCACACGGCGCGCCTTCATGGCGGCCTTGTGCTTCTGTAGTCTCTCCTCTTCTTTTCTTCTCTTCATCCGGTTTCGCTGCTGGGGTGTCTTGCGCTGAGGAAGCTTCGTCGGTCGACCATCCTCGGCACCGCTCTGGAAGCCTTCCCACTCCGAGTCTTCTTCCCATTCCGACATGTTGGCGCGAGCCTCGGCCGCTTCCGCCTCGGCCGCCGAGCGAGCAGCAGCTTCCGCTCTGACGCGGGCTGCCTCAAGGTCAGCAAGGCGCTTCTCCTCTGCCTCAATGGCCTTGGCGGATTCGGCGGCCAGACGCTTCTCGTAGTCGGAGAAAGCGGGATTGTATGAGTATCCACCAGTAGGACGCTGCACCGCGGCTTCAGTCTTGCCGTTGGCTAGAAGAGACAGTGGTGCCTGCTTCATTGATTTGGGTGTCTTGGCATGCACAGGCTCGGGGAAGAACTCGTCGATTTGGACCTCGGACTTCTTCGGCTCGGCATCCCATAGATCGTATGTTGCATCGCGCACCTCGACGGTATTGTCGTGCTGCCCGTCCGCCACACGCTTCAACCTCGACAGTTCCTTTTGGGAGACCCAGTCCGTGCGTTGGCGCTTCACGGGGAGTATGCCATCAGTCGTTTTAGAGGGGCGTTTACGAAGGGAGACAGCAGGGACAGCGGAGCGTGCGGCAATGATCTCGTCGGCCTTTAGTCCTTTCTTGAGGTGCTTCGGTAGTCGTTTGGAGATGGTCGTATCGCGGGTCGTGTCAAGAGTGAAAAGATCTTTGGAGTCTTTCTCTCGAATTACGCCACTGCTCGCTGTCAACTTCTTATTTCTTCCAGTTAAACGTGTAGACGTACCCTTGAATAATCTCTTCATTCAGATCTTGGAGGCCCTGTTGCACTTCGGTGACGTCCACGTTCTTTCTCCAGGCCTTTTTGCCCTTTCGGGATGGCTGATTGAATGTCTGAGGCGCATCGCCTGACGTGGGACCCTGTATCACAGGCATTTTCGCGTTTTCTGATTGTCGATGTACGAGATGCGAAGCACATCGGCGACTGTTGGGTGGGGGACACTGAAGAATCTCCCAATTTTTTAGTGGAACCGCTATCCGATAGAGAGGGCGCTAGTCTAATCTCCCACAAAATGGTCGCCATACGGAACGGGTCGTCCGTTTGCAGGGGTCACTAACAATTCCCACCGTTTTGCCTCCCACACCTTACCCCCAACCACGTGCAGCTCGAGTATCGAAGGGTCTCTTATATCACCTATTCAGAGCTGCATATGCTCGCCTCCAACATCCTGAATTATCGTACTCAATTCGGTCGTGTACGCAACTCGAATTTACGCATCGACTGGCCGAACATTACTCGAGCGAGCCGAGCAGGAAACGACACGTACTCGCAACCTGAGCACTGGACACCGTAGACCGACAACGGCAGCCCCTCTTGCGGAGAGAGCACCTCGCCGTGCTTGAGACGAAGTCAACATGTCACAAGCTGGAGGATCGTACAATAACCCCTTGAAGAAATTCAAGTAGGTGTCCGCCACGTTCATGCGGCATGGGATTGGGATACTAAGATGATGCGTTAGGCTGGTGTTTCTCGGCGAGCAGAGCGGTATTTCATGACGAACCTTTGAACGGAGACTGCAGCAGACTAATCGTATTGGCAGTTGGCAAGACCTCGCTGATCACACGGTTCATGTACGACTCGTTCGACAACATGTACCAAGCAACAATCGGCATTGATTTCTTGTCAAAGGTACAGATGCGCCACCCTGAGAGTCATCCGAGGCTAGACACTGACCGATTGGGCCTAGACGATGTATCTCGAAGACCGGACGGTACGATTACAGCTTTGGGACACTGCAGGCCAGGAACGATTCCGCAGTTTGATTCCCTCGTATATTCGCGACTCGAGCGTGGCCGTGGTCGTCTACGATATCTCAAGTACATAAGCCTGTTTTGCGGCCCGATACTCGCACTGACTAACTGGAACAGACAAGAAATCCTTCGAGAACACAAAGAAATGGATCGACGACGTTCGTGCCGAGCGCGGCAACGATGTCATCATTGTGCTAGTTGGCAACAAGACCGATCTCAACGACAAGCGCGAAGTCACGACCCAGCAGGGTGAGGAGGAGGCCAAGAAGAGCAACCTAATGTTTGTCGAGACAAGTGCAAAGCTTGGGCACAACGTCAAGAATCTGTTCAAGAGGATAGCACAGGCCCTACCGGGTATGGAGGGGAGTGATGCAGCAGCCCAAGCATCGAGCCAGAGTAAGCTTTTGAAACCACGGTTTCTATTGACCCATGCTGACTTAGCTAGTGATCGATGTGAAGACAAACACGTCGCAACAGTCCCAGGAAGGGTGTGCCTGCTGAGACATGGGCGTCTAGAGGCGCAAATGTTACAAGAGGAAGACAGATCAGCTTGAAAGGAGCCGAACATGCTTGGAACTACCTATTGACAATTGTATATTACAGCCCGAGAGAACAGCGTTACCTAAAGCAATGAGCTGTCAATGAGCTGTCGTGCAATTTCCTGTCCCCTAGCCGTCATCGGCTTTTGAAGGGCTGTCGCGTGACGACCGATCCCTGATCTGCCAGGCGCTACGTATTAAGGAGAATCCCCAAAGTCCGGGCGAGCCTTGGGGCCCGAACCATCCAGAGCGTACATGTATGCTTAATGTTGATATTGCAATTGAAAGATTATTCGAATCAATGATCATGCCAGTGAACGGAAACCCCAAATCTCAAAATACCATTCTAGGCTACTTACTACTCGCCGCTTAGCAAGGTGGACCCTGCAATCATAGGCGGGTACTGGAGCCTGGGAAAAAGTGTTGCATTGACTTCCGAGGGTTCCGCTGTCGTCACCATCCACGTCGTTGGGTTAGACAAACATCGATCATAGTTAGCCCATCACGCGTCAGACCTTTTCTACTTTCCATATTACCACTGCATGCCCCATTCTGGCACCTGTCTACGCTTCATTCCAGCCAAAGCATTTCATTAAATTAGCATCATGTCGAGATTTACGAGCCTGTACCTCAGGGTACCGCGTCCCAGGGTAAGTCTACAAATCCTTGCAGGGTCCTGTGCGTTTGCTGGAAATGGGGCTGACAATCACTGCCAGACGATGTTCGGCATCATCAGCCTCCAGACGGCGACCGAGCTGGTCTGCCTCGCCCTCGCTTTCAACAAGGTCACCGGCGTCTATGGCCTCCTCGCGATCCTGACCGGATACCAGCTGTCGCTGATGCAACTGTCGACGTACCTGTACTCTATCGCTGTCCTGGTCGCACTGGTGTATCTCATGCCGCACATTCGACGGCAGTCGCCCGTGGAGTGTCTCGCGCTCGCATGGCTGTACATGTCAGACACGCTGCTCACAATATTTTCTACGGTAGTCTTTGGTCTGGAGTGGTACTTTGCCAGCGGCGCGAGCGAGAACCCGGAGAACATTCCTGCGATGGTCAAGGAGGGTGTGGAAACGCTGCAGAAGGAAGCGGCCCAGCACGGCTCTGCCGTGGCGCAGGAGACGGCATTTAGCATGGCCATGATCGCGACGCTGACGCTCGTGCGCGTGTACTTTGGTTTTGTGGTCATGGCATTTGCGCGCGAGGTTGTTCAGCGCCACATGCAGATTGTGGTGATGGAGGCGCCGGTGTACGTGGACCAGACTTCGGACGGGCCATTCGGCGAAGGTCTTCCCGATGGCGAGGGTCGTAGGGGACGCCTCGGACGCATGATGGTCAGGTACGGCAATGGCTATTGGCTGGACCAGGACGAGATCCGCGAAGGCAGCCACAAGTTGGAGCATGCATGATTGCGGGCGGAGGGTCTGGAGTTCGGAAGAGGACAGCAAAGCGATGGCAGTTTTTTATGTAATGTGTACAGCATAATTGATACCTAGCGAGCGACGACAGTGGCCTGGCAATGAAGCGAAGCAATGGGCGATCAGTCGGTCGGGCGGAACGTATGGCACGGGCGGCCATGCGGACTGAACAATATATATTGAATTACAAATCACCGAGTATCGACGACGTGAGACGGTAATCGGCTCGTGCGAGCGCGTGCGTGTTCGTGGGAAGCGATGGTGTGCCGGTTGGATTACAGGGTAAGTCAGTTAGGCTTTACCTGGCAGCAAACCAGACGCAGACCCGGCCTTCGGAGGCCCACACAAGCGGTAGAATTCGCCATCTCCGGCTGCTCGGGCTGTCGGGGGGACGTCCAGCGCCCAGCCGTGGACGGAACTCGGCTGAATCTCGCAGTTTCCCCCAGAGCCATCACGAATCCGACCATTGCCATTGGTAGTGGAGGGGCAATTCCAGCTACGAGACATCGGCATTGCCTGTGGGCGACCCTCAACGCCAGTCCAATGCCCGATCACGCAATACCCTTTTTTTTCTTCTCGTAAACCATTCTGTCCACGCGGGGAGCCATTTTTCCCTCGCTGTAGCGTCTGATGGCGACAATCGTCTTGTAATCGACCAGTGAATCCAACCAATCGACCTCGTCTCGTTGTCCCCAACTGTTCTCTAGCAGTGCCTGGTCCGATTCTAGAGGGCCCCTCCTCCACTTTGGAAGTCCTGTCCAGTGGCCCTCGAAGCGAGTCAGAGGGAAGAGGACCCCCATTAATTGCTGCTACCTATACGCATTGCTCTTTTTAAAAGATTCAGTCTCTCCCCTTCTTTTGCCATCATGGCTTTTCTCTTCCGGTCCAGCTCCGTCGACGAATCTGCAAAGATGGATGCTGCTTCAGCCCACCAGATTCGCACGCCTGAAGAGGCTGGTATGTCCTGAGTCCAGCCAACAAGGAGGAGGAGTGAGAAACAAGAAGGAAACTAACACTTTCCTCCGCAGTGTCCAGGATCGCCTATCTTGCGAGCGATGTCGTTGTATCAGTCCAGCCCTCGTTGGCCACCGACTCGCCCTTCTCATCACATCTGAAGCGCTACGCAGGCCGTAAGGACCAGAGCCTCGTGGCCCAGAACGCCTCCTCGGTGCCAGATATCATCTCCGTCCGCCAGAACAACGACCCTCTCCTTTCCGTATTCTCGCCCAGCCGCTCCGGCAAGCTCGTCTCCGTCACCACCAACTCGTCCATCCTCCTCCCCTCCGTCTCACACCTCTACAAGCTCGCGCAGTACCCCGTGGTCCTCCACGTCTCGCTCGAGCCGAAGAACTTTGCCGACTACTCGGTGATTACATCCATCCGCAACACAGGATGGACCTTTTTGCAGTCAGAGACCTTGCAGGAGGCGCAAGACATGGCCCTGACATCGCATGCCCTGGCTGTGCGCACGGGCAAGGGCGTCGTTCACTTTTTTGCACCAGGAACCTCTGCTGGGGACAGGGCAATCCCCGCAGAGAACACTACCGTCGTCCGCGACGTTCTGGACATTGATGCCGTGAGGAGGTTCCAGTCTGGCAATATTCATGCTTCGGGAATTTACGCAGACGACGGCCATGTTGCCGTCTCATCCATCTATCCCGAGCCCATCGTGGGGGAGTCACAGACCGAGAAGTCTGGTGGCCTCCCCCCTGTCCCAGCCGAATCCAAGGCCACCTCAACAATGACCTCAGTCAAGACCAGCCGCGCCAGCGAATCTGGCGACTCAGAGGCATCTGTGTCTGTTGCCACGACTGTTGAGACTGCGCCCCCCCAGATCACCTCCGCAGACATCTACGACGCGGCCACACGGATATGGGCCCAGTTGCAGGCTTCTGTGGGCAGGTCGTACAGCGCGTTCGAGTACACTGGTCCCGCGGACGCAACGAACGCTCTCTTTATCTTTGGCTCTGACGTCGGCTCGTTCGCCTCGGTATTGGACAATGCCAAGAACGAGGACATCTTCGCCAAGGCCGCCATCATCACTCCGCGTCTCTACAGGCCGTGGATCGGATCCAAGCTGGTGAATGCTATTCCCAAGTCCATCAAGAGGATAGCCGTCTTGGAGCAGATCCACCGCAAGACCACCAAGTGGGGACCCCTCCTGATCGATGTTTTGACTTCGGTCAAGAGCGGCCCTGGTGGCGTCGAGCACATTGTGGGATACCAGTTAGGCTACGTCGATCCCCAGGTCATCACACAAGCCCTTCGCGGCATCTTCCAGAACCTCACGTCGGAGAAGCCGATCCAAAACCTTGAGGTTGGCGTGCGTGACGCGCCCACGCAAGAAACCCAGGATGCGAACCAGGCGCCCAAGCTCGAGACGCCTTACAACAAGATTCTTGACCAGCTGTTTGGTAAGAGGAGATATGTTGCCAACGCTCTGAGGTCGGAGCACGCTGGCATCTCCGCCAACGTGTCGGCCAGCCCTGAGTTTGGTTTTGGGTCATTGCTCGCCCGCAAGCAACTGCGCAACCGCTTCATTTCAGAGGCCAAGACAGCCGCTAGCAGCAAGGAGTTCACGACCGATGGCCCCAAGAACTTCCTCGCTCGTTGGGCAATGAACGCTGAGGACCCGGCCAAGGCGGGCGAGATCGCAGACGATGTCATTGCCCGCCTCGAAACTGATGGCTCTCCGTTGGCACAGAAGCTGCTCAGAAACAAGGGTCTCTTCCGCAAGGAGTCTCTGTGGCTGACCGGCTCAGACGCCTGGGCGTACGACCTCGGTAACTCTGGCGTGCATCACGTTTTGGCTTCTGGCGAAAATGTCAACATGCTGATCATTGACTCGACTCCGTACTCCGAGAAGGCTGCCGCCGATGCCGAAAGAAGGAAGAAGGACATTGGTCTGTACGCTATGAACTTTGGCAACGCCTACGTGGCCTCGACTGCCGTGTACAGCTCATACACCCAGGTCCTCCAGGCCCTTCTCGAGGCCGACAAGTTCGACGGTCCTTCGGTTGTTTTAGCCTACTTGCCGTACTTTGGTGAGGGCGACTCGCCTTTGACCGTTCTGCAGGAGACCAAGAAGGCCGTCGATACCGGCTACTGGCCCTTATACCGCTGGAACCCCGACAACGAGAAGATGGGCGAGCCCAACTTCTCGCTCGACTCAGAGTTGATCAAGCAGGAGCTGAAGAAGTTCCTCGAGAGGGACAACCAGCTCACTCAGCTGATGCAGAAGGAGCCAAAGTTCGCCTCGAGCCTGGCCCAGGATTTCGGTACCGAGGTTCGTGCACAGCAGAAGCGCAAGGCCAAGGACGCCTACAATCAGCTCCTGGAGGGTCTGCTCGGTGCGCCGCTCACAATCCTCTACGCGTCAGACAACGGCAACGCCGCATCTCTGGCTAAGCGCCTGGGCAACCGTGGCCGCGCACGTGGCCTCAAGACAACCGTCATGGCCATGGAAGACTACCCTGTTGAAGACCTGTCTTCCGAGGAGAACATTGTCTTCCTGACGTCTGTGGCTGGTCAGGGTGAGTTCCCTCAGAACGGCCTTGCATTCTGGGATGCCATCAAGGACTCCACCGACCTGGACCTGGCCTCGGTCAACTTCTCCGTCTTTGGCCTGGGTGATAGCCACTACTGGCCCCGCAAAGAGGATAAGATTTATTACAATAAGCCTGGCAAGGACCTCTTCCGCCTGTTGACCAACCTTGGCGGCAAGATCCTCGCCGACATTGGCCTCGGTGACGACCAGGACCCCGACGCCTACCACACCGCCTACAACGAGTGGGAGCCCAAGATCTGGGCTGCCCTCGGTGTGGACAAGGTCGAGGGTCTACCTGAGGAGCCTCCCCCAATCACCAACGAGGACATTAAGCTCGCGTCCAACTATCTCCGCGGAACGATTGTGGAGGGCCTCAACGACCCCAGCACCGGTGCCATCTCGGCGGCCGACCAGCAGCTCACCAAGTTCCACGGCACGTACATGCAGGATGACCGTGACGTGCGTGACGAGCGCAAGGCCCAGGGTCTCGAGCCAGCTTACTCCTTCATGATCCGCTGCCGTCTGCCCGGTGGTGTCGCCACGCCCAAGCAGTGGGTGCAGATGGACGACATCTCCAACGAGCTGGGCAACGAGACCATGAAGTTGACCACCCGCCAGACCTTCCAGTTCCACGGCGTGGTCAAGGGCAAGCTCAAGCCCGCCATGCAGGCCATCAACCGCTCGCTCATGACGACGATTGCGGCCTGTGGCGACGTTAACCGCAACGTAATGTGCAGCTCGCTACCCACCCAGTCGACGTACCACCGCGAGGTGTACGCCGTCTCGGCCAAGATCAGCGACCACCTGCTGCCCTCGACCAACGCGTACCACGAGATCTGGCTAACTGACGACGACAACAAGAAGACGCAGGTGGCCGGGGAGGCCGTGCAGGACTTTGAGCCGCTCTACGGCCCCACATACCTCCCGCGCAAGTTCAAGATCACCATTGCCATTCCGCCGCACAACGACACGGACGTGTACGCCCACGACATTGGTCTCATTGCCATCAAGGGCGCCGACGGCCACCTCGAGGGCTTCAACGTTCTCGCGGGAGGTGGCATGGGCGCCACCCACAACAACAAGAAGACGTACCCCCAGACGGGCCGCATGTTCGGGTACTGCGCCGCCGAGGACGTGCACATTGCGTGCGAGAAGATTATGCTCGTGCAGCGCGACCACGGCGACCGCAAGAACCGCAAGCACGCGCGTCTCAAGTACACGATTGACGACATGACGGTGGACGTGTTCCGGGCCAAGGTCGAGGAGCTCTGGGGCCAAAAGTTTGCGCCCGCCAAGCCCTTCAAGTTTGAGAGCAACGTCGACACGTTTGGGTGGCAAAAGGATGAGAACGGACTGAGCCACTTCACCTTCTTCATCGAGAATGGCCGCATCGAGGACACGCCCGAGTTCCAGATGAAGACGGGCCTGCGCGAGATCGCCAAGGTGCTCAAGGGCGAATTCCGCCTGACGGGCAACCAGCACCTCATCATGTCCAACGTGGCGGACGAGGACCTGCCCGGCCTCCAGGCGCTCATGAAGCAGTACAAGCTGGACAATGTGCAGTTCTCGGGCCTGCGCCTGAGCTCGTCCGCCTGCGTCGCCTTCCCCACCTGCGGCTTGGCCATGGCCGAGTCGGAGCGCTACCTGCCCGTGCTCATCGGCAAGCTCGAGGACTGCCTCGAGGCCAATGGCCTGCGCCAGGACTCCATCGTCATGCGCATGACGGGATGCCCCAACGGCTGCGCCCGCCCCTGGCTCGCCGAGGTCGCCTTTGTCGGCAAGGCCTACGGCGCCTACAATATGTACCTCGGCGGCGGCTACCACGGCCAGCGCCTCAACAAGCTGTACCGCTCCAGCATCAAGGAGGACGAGATCCTCGAGATTATGAGGCCCCTGCTCAAGAGGTACGCGCTCGAGCGCGAGGAGGGCGAGCGGTTCGGTGATTTCTGCGTCCGGACCGGCGTCATCAAGGCGACGACGGATGGCACCAACTTCCACGAGGGTGTAAGTTCCCTTTTCCTTCCTTGCAATAAGGGCAAAGAATGATGATGCTAACACGATGACACAGGTCGCCGAGGAAGAGTCCGACGAAGAGTAACGCAGTGGAATAAGCATTTTTGCATATCTATCTAGAAGAATATCCATGACGAATCTTGGCTACACAGGGCAGGCAGGCGTACCGGGAACAGCAGCAGTATTTGTTACAGTACTTGAATCATGCGAAAAAGAGATATTTTTTGAACAAACGACACGTAGCTTCATATGACAAGTATCTCAACATTGCGTGGTATCGTGCAAGATCCAACTGCGAATAATCCTAGCTAGAGTCCATCTCGTACAAAATTCATTACCTCAAACAAACCCCTGAACGCCTATGCCAGGAAATGCAAACAACCATCGTGAGGACATGAACCAAAAAAGGCATCAGCTCTTCAGACTGCTCCCCACGCTACTCACAGCGCCGCTCAGCTTGTCGCTCACACCGCCCATCCACCTGGGCACCTTGAGACTTATCCGGACGCGTCCCTCGACCACAATGTTGACAACGTTGATGATGGCAAAGGCCGTGCTGCCGATGGCACGGAACAGCGCCAGACCCGCGACGGCCCACAGCACGAAGCGGAGGTAGTAGTTCTCGCCGATGCCCTTGTGCCCGTATGCCTCGCTCACACCCATGGCCAGCATGCCGTTGGCGATCATCCAGATGAGGACCATGTAGGTACGCACACTCTTGTAGTAGTCCTCTTGCATCTGCGACTCGCTCGGGAGGGGAACAGGGACGCCGAGACGATCGCGAAGGTTGCGCAGGGCCTCGTCGTATCCAGAGTCAATGTCCAGCTGCTCACTCGGCATCTCTAGCTCCACAGTCTGTCCCTTGCCAATGGCACCACCGAGGTCGGTCCTGATGACGTTGTCACCCTTGGTGCCCCATGTGACGTCGTGCGTGTTACAGAACGCGTACACCTGAAGTGTGCAGATATAACTGGGTAGGAGCAAGAAGTACTGCGCCCACGACGTGATCAGGTGCCACGGCTCGAGGTAGATCAGCGACATGACAATGTATAGACCGAGCGTGGAGCATATGGACACGATGACGTTGGTGAATATGTTGCTCCCCAGTTGCAGCTCGGCCTCCTTGCCGTCTTGCGGTGTGAGCTGATTGATGACGATCCAGATGATGGCAAAGGTCGTGTACACCATGATGATGGCATAGATGATCATACTGGCAAAGTAGAGCTTGTGCGCTCCTTGCGGTCTGTTGCCGAGCGACAGGATGAATTGCGCGCAGATGAGCAGGGTGCAGGTAAACTTGAGGATGATGAAGATAATCTGACCGATGCCGTGACCAAACGGATCGACTTTCTTGTCGGTCAGACCACCGGCAACAAAGTAGAAGGTGAGGTAGAAGTTGGCGAGAGAGAAGTAGGTGAACAGAAGCTGGATGGCCTGATAGACAGATTCAATGTGGAGAAGGACCTTGCGGGCGATGGTGTGATCCGTCGACCAGATCTGGCGGACCTGGACGAGCGAGTATACGGCGGCGAAGAAGGCACCGTTCAGCCAGCGACGACGCTGCGAGATGAACTCGGGAACCGTGTCAGGGACATCGGTCTCTCCCTTGCAGTTCTTGACGTACTTGAGCACCCATCGCTCGCTCCGCTTCGTCACCAGCTCCCAACAGAGGATACGATCTTCGGCGAGATACATGTTTGCCGTGAACACATCAGCGTGCTGTCCGTGCAACGTCTCACCCTTGAAGTATTGACTGAGCGGACCGTGGCCAGTCTCATCATTCTGCAGCGCGTGGTAGCGGTAGGCACTCAGCGCACCGGGCAGGACAGTGATGTACCCAAAGACAGACTCGAGGGGTTTGTCCAAGATGTTGGACATTTTGTACTCGAAATTCTGCGACGCGACGAGCGGGTTGAGCAAGTTTGTACCCATTTTGCCTTTCATAGCTTTAATCTCACCACAAGCGCCGGCGACATTCGAGTCTGTGTCAAAGGCCTTCCAGAGGTGATAGAGGGAGTTGCCGGTGGGCCTGGTACCGACGTCCAACAGGATACACACGTTGGGGTTGAGAGCTTTCCCAAAGGCATTGAAGAACCAACGATGCGAGTTGAGCTTGCGCGAGTTCTTCTCCTTGAGACAAAAGATCATCTGACAGGGCACAATTCCCTTCTCGGCGCCCTTGAACTTGAGGTCCGCGTCGAGCGACACCTGCGTGGTGTACTCGTAGACGTGCGCCTGGACAGCGCGGTTGTTGACAAAGTTCTTGGCGATGCCGTCCTGATAGACGCCCATGGCAGCTAGGGCATCGAGAGTACGGGGGTGAATCTTCTCGCGACCGTCCGAGATGATACAGACGACAATCTTCTGCCAGCCCGTTTCGCCCCAGGTGCGGGACTTGTTGCGTGAGCAAAAGTGTGAAATGTTCTTCATGACGGCATGCATGGTGCGGGTGAAGCCGATCTCGTCCTCGTTGTACATGGTGATGCAGATGAAGACCTCCGTCTCGCGAGCTGTGCGGCCAATGCTCTGTCGCAGCTTGTAGCCCTTTTCGACAAAGTCGTCTGGGTCGCAGGTAACAGCTGTGTAGCGCATGTGCGTAAACTCGACCTCGTCGCGTCGGGGCAAGAAACTGTACAGAATGGTTGGGATCTTGCACTCGAGGACCAGCTCACCGTTGATGAGCTGGACTTCCTTTCTCGACATGATGGGCGCGCGGACACCGCGACGTTCCTGCGCGCCATCTGGGGCGCTGTCGTACTGGCCAAACTTGTCGTACGTCTCTGGCATCTCGCTCAGCGTCTCCTGGTCGCTAGACAGGTACGAGGCGCGATCACCGGGAAGAGTGCCCGGCAAGGGGCGAGATCGACCAAGGTCCGAGTGGTCGGGCCCAAAGACGTCGTCAGTGTCGGTCAGGGGGATAGAAACGGTGGCCACGTCATCGTCGTCTGCAAAAGTCTGCTGGCTGCCTCGTGCGCCTTGCGTGTTGTTGCTGAACAGGGGCGCAGGAGGTAGCGGTCGTCGAGGGCTGCCTCCATAGCGCGATGATGGTGTACCAGGTCGAGGGCTTCCGTTGAGATCGGCTGGCTCGTAGGAGAGATTTGTGGCTGGTGGTCGTGTGTAGTCCGAGACTCTGCTGGATGGTGTCCAGGGGCGCTGTGGTGAGCCGCCCACGTTGTCGCGGCCCGCAAAGGGGACATACGTCGAGTCGGGAGGAGGCATGCTTGGGATCTGGCCAAAGTCCGAGTTGGTTCTGCTGTGTGAGGAGATGGCGCTGGGCTCATATCGTCTGCCTGATCGTCCGGATCTAACTCTTTGGCGCGGGCCATGTAAGCGCTCATTCTTTCTCATGGTGGTGAGGCGTGGGCTTGGGCCGTCTGGGATGATGGGAAGGTCTGGTAGGCCAGTGTCTGTCTGTCGGTACCTGCTGCGCTTCTGCAACTTTGCAGAGCTGGTGTTGCTGTTACGTAGTGAGGTGGTTCTAGCAGGTACACAAGGAGTGGTTGTCGTCGAGATGATGGGAGGGACAAGTGACTGTGTATTTGTGTATGTGTGGGAAGGTTGAGAAGAGACATACGATCGGGTGTCCTCACTAAAGCCACTGAGACCAGACTCGCCGTCTATCGACGTCAGGAGCCTGACTGCTGCGGCATTATGGCCAGTAGGCGTGTACTCATCGTCCTCGCGGTACGATGGCAGGCTGCCCGAGTACTCTGGCGGACGGGTGGGCGTGCTTGGTCGGCGGTCCATGGTGGTCGACTGGAATGCTGCTGGCGAGACAGCTGCTGCGACAGGTGGGCGCTCTCAAGGAGAGTTCTACTCCGTGGTTTGTTGTGTGTTGATGTGATACTGGTCAAGAAATGTTGTTCAAAAAATGCTGATGGTTAATGTTGAGGTCAATGGCGACAGTGCGATCACGTAGGTAGAACACCGCGTAGGAAATGGCTTCCGCGAGAGATGATGATGAGAACCGATGGCTCCCCGATGCGAGTGGTGGGGCACACAGCTGGATGGATACCTTATGTGTCTACGCGGATGGCTTGGGGGCGGGAATCCGCTTGGAGGAACGGGGAGACCAAAACAAAGAAGCGTCGCCACGGCAACCGCCCACGGTGCAGGTAAGGTACCCAGGTACCCGCACCACCACCAGCATCACTGCGCCCTCCAACACCTGCTCCTTACAGTATCCATGCATACATGCATGGCAACACCATTGCTGCCGCGCGTGTCACTCGCCAAGATGATCAATCACGCTGCACTTGCTGGCGCTTGCGTCGAGAGCGGCTGGACTCACTGCACTGGAGGCCCCAACTCTACGGCATACATTCCATTTCACTGACAAACGCGCAGCGTAGTGACGAGATGCTAAGTAAACAGCCGTGGCAGAAAATGTAGCATTTGCGAGACCCAGTCTCGATCGTCCGCCCACTGGTATAAATATGTACACATCCAAGAAGAACACCTTCCTCACCCAAGCTCCAATCACCCCGTTTACAATGAACCGGCACCGGCACTCGTGCGCAGCATGTCGCAGATGCAATCGGCAGGGTCGGAGACGTACTCGTACGGCACGTCGAGGCTGCCCTCCTGTGTAATGTCAATGTTGCTGTCGTTGAAGATGTTGTCGCGCTCGACAGCGAAGCCAGGTTCGTTGGCGTCCAGGTCGGTCACGATGGCGCGGCGGACGCTGTTAAAGGCCGAGTGCTCGACCAGCACCTGGGCGTTCTCGCGCGAGTTGACGCCGGAGGCGGGGATGTTCTCGTAGCAGGAGGAGTAGATGTGGGCGGTGCCGAAGCGGACGCTGGGGCAGCGCGAGTTGATGTTGTTCCAGTAGTTGTGGTGGTAGGTGACGTGGAGGGTGCCGCTGTCCTGGTCGCCGTTGGAGCCAGAGTGGCCGATGAGCGAGGCCTTCCAGTGGTCCTCAAAGCGGCACCAGGAGACGGTGATAAAGTCCGAGGCGCGCTTCATGTCGAGCAGGCCGTCGAAACGGTCCTTGTCGCCCACGATGCCCTCGCTGGTGAACGAGCAGTGGTCGACCCAGATGTACGTCGACGTCTCAATGTCGATCAGGTCCTCGCCCTCGGGCGGGTTGTGCATCTCAAGGTTGCGGACAATGACATTGGTCACGTCGACCATGCGGAAGCCCGTGTCGACAAACCCAGCGCTGCCCACACCGATGATGGACGTGTCGCTGGACACGCGGAGAGAGCCGCAACCGGTGATGGTGCCTTCGACGTTGATCACGCCGCCCGCCTCGAGCGCAGACTCGAGCTCGGAGCACGAGGTCACGGTGGTGCCCGCGCCGGAGCCACCGCCGGTTGTACCGTCGCCGTAGCCGACGAGCTCGTCGACGGCGGCGGCGCCACACTCGTTGCTGGCACCAGAGTCGGGCGCGGGAGCAGAGGACGCGGTCGCCGTGGCGGCTGGCGCAGATGTCGCCGCCTCGGACTCGGTAGGGATCACAGAGGGCTCGGGGATGTCTTCCTCAGCATCCTCCTCTGTGTTCTCGGTATCCTCCTCGACGTCCTCCTCGCAGTCCTCCTCGGTGTTCTCGGTATCCTCCTCGACGTCCTCCTCGACGTCCTCCTCGACGTCCTCCTCGACGTCCTCCTCAACGTCCCCCTCGCAGTCCTCCTCGGGAGCCGGAGCCGGAGCCGGGGCCGGAGCAGGGTTAGAGTCGCCGCCAGTGCTTGTGCTGGCCAAGCACTGCGAGTACCACTCGTTGTGCTCGACACACTCGTAGCCCGAGATGCAGCTGGTGTCACCGGTGAAGTTGTTGCCGCCGCACTGCTGGTAAGCGCCTGACTGGGCCACGACGGTCGAGGCGGCGAACGCGAGGATCGCGCCAGCGATCTTGGTGTTCATCATGGTTGGACGAGTTGAGTGAGTGAATGGATAAAAGTACGGATGAAAGGGAATGTCAGTGGGCAAAGGGTACCACGATGAACGAAAGACGGAATGGAAACAAAAAGTGAATGGATGGGCCTGCCTGAGGTACTTGGAACGAAACGTCTTCCCAAAGTCGGTCCAAGGCAGTGTGTCCTGCTCGTACTTGTACTCGCGGCTCTCGAGTAGCCAGGCACGGCTGGCCCCTACTACGTACGATGCTCAATAAACACACGGTGTTTGAGAACGCTTGGCGAATCGGCTCCATGACATAGAAGACCCGGGATGATAGATTAATCGTTTCCACGTATGCGCCCAGTCAAAACGGTGGCCCGGTGGCATGGGTTGCGTTTCAGGCCTTTGGCGCTGGGAACGAGCTGCGTCCACTCGTTGACGCAGCGTCACGCGTGCGGCGCGATATAATCAATAAGTCGAAAATGGCTTTTCCATTGTAATGATAGTTGGTTGGTCCCTGGTCGCAATGCTCAGGATAAGGTTACCAATTCACCATCCCTGCTTTTGAAGAAGAGGATACGCGGCGACCTCACCGCGCATACTGTCCTCCTCCAAGTCCTTCTTCCACACCGACAATACGTACGTGTACGCACGTACGCGCTGTGCCGCGCAAGATGGAAACTTCACTGGTGTTCGAAACATTTCCTTTCCTCCAAGTCCGCCGAGTGGTTAGCTCGATTTCGACATGCGCCGATTGTTCATGTTGGGTGCAGGGATTCACGGCTCCAGAGTCCAGAAACAAGGGTCTGTTTCCAACTTTCCCCTTGAAACGCACCACTTGTTCGATGGTACACCCGCCGCACATATGATAGATTACCTACTTACCTTAATTAATACTCTATTGGATACAAAATCTTAACATCAAAGAGAGTACGGAGACATATCATCGACACCTGCGACCCTGCCCCAGGCCCCCAGCCCCAAAAGTCCGAGTTTGATATAGTTACCAATTTCATGTGACAAGGACGACAGAGTCTTCCTCGCAACTTGGCAAGCGGCAAGCATCAATCTGCGACGAAGCCAAGTCCCGGTTCACGGCCCAGACAGCAACCCGCATGGGCCCTGCATGGGATATCAAGGTTTGGCCTGTCTGCTCAAGTTCAATTGCAATTAATGAATCGGCGGCACACATTCCCCGCAAGGCGTACGCAAGGGACCTGGGTAATCAATCGACTTGAGAGCGGCAACCAAATGCCAAATGCCGTGTGACGGCCCACGTTTGGAGATGAGAGGGCTCGCATACGACGCATACGCATAGCCACGACGCACAGCAGCGTTTCAACCGCAAGTTCGTGCCATTGTACCACGAGGTCCGCATCGGCGAGGTACTTCGCTGCTCTTTGACGCTTTGCGAAACACGGATAGCCCCTGATGGGAAACAGGCATATTGGCGGTAGGGGCCTATTTCTGAACACATGTCCTGTCTCTAACCGTCTTTTGACAATTCTTCGCATGAAATTTATTTTCCCCAAGCTTTTTCTGACGTTGTTTATAGGTTCAAAAATACCTCCCATCCCCCGTAGGTATTGAGTACCTTACCTGGACGACCATTACTCTTCCTCTCCTCTGTGCGATTTCGCGTGACACTGGTATCGACAGAAAATAGAGGACACATGGATGAAAAGAGACCTTCGGCATGATGGGATACCCGTTTAACAGCACGCGGCTCAATGCGGTCGTCTTCGCTCAATCCATTGTATTTGTTCCGCATGGACAAAACAGGACCGTCATCTCGCTGAGAGCAGTTGATGTCAGAAAAGACGCATGCTCCTGTCGGTCCGGTCGACGCGAAGTGGCTACCCTGGATGCTATAGTAGAATGTAGGCGACGCCTCGTCATCAGCTTCCTTGAATCCTCTCTCTCCCTTCCCCATCCCCATCCCCAGCTTTCTTGCACCATCACGATAGCTACCGCTTCCCCGTTTTCCCAACCCTCTTCCCCTCTCTATATGGCATCCAGCCCGGCAGACTCAGTCAGTCGCCTGCATGGCCGAAGTGAACATGCGTCATCATTCCCGTCCAGGATTGAGTTTCTCTGCGGGCCGCGGAGTTTGCGTGAACCTTAACCCACCCGTGCGTCCATCTGCCGCCAACGAAAGGACGAGATTGACTCTACTCATGGCCTTCCTCCACAGTGGCTCCGATCGACAGTTCGTCACTCGATGTCTTCTCCCCACCACACCACTGTTACTCCAGATCTCCAACATGTTTCGGTCCGACAAACAACGTCACCACAAATGACCCAGCACACGCGGTGGCCTACTTCGTCTACATAAGAGGATGGGCTCTTCTTGTTCCGCGAGGGACATGTCTGCTACCTCAAGTGCTCAACATAGTCCACAGAGTGAAGGGAAAGCAACCCGAGGACCCTCACCATGCGCTCACTTCTCATCGCGACGACGCTGTCGCTCACAGCTTTGACCAAGGCCCAGAACACCACCAGTGCCGCCTCGGCCTCACCGTCCAGCACAGCGAGCTATGTGAATCCAGACGTGCCCACCGGTGTGCCAATCGTGGGCGACTATGGCGGTCAGTATCGTCCTCAGGCACACTTCTCCCCGCCAGAGTACTTTATGAACGACCCGAATGGCATGTTCCTCGACGACAACGGGACCTGGCATTTGTATTACCAGTACAACCCCACTGATCCTGTGGCCGGGAACCAACATTGGGGCCATGCCACTTCGAAAGATCTGTACCATTGGGAGAACCAACCGATTGCCCTCTTCCCGCCGGCCAACGACACCTTTGTCTTCTCGGGCAGCGCGGTGACTGACCCAAACAACACCTCTGGCTTCTTTCCCAACCAGACGAATGGCGTCGTGGCTGTTTACGTACGCTCCCCGTACATCCCCATCAGCGTTGGCAACTCTGGCTGACAAAGACCAAACAGACCCTGGCCCAATACTTCCCCACGGAACCAGGCCCCCAGACACAGGCCATTGCCTACTCGCTCGACGGCGGCTACAGCTTCGTCCCGTACGAGGGAAACCCGGTGATCCCAAGCGAGTCGTCGCAGTTCCGCGACCCCAAGGTGATCTGGTACGAGGACCACTGGGTCATGTCCATCGCCTATACGCAAGAATTTGCCATTGGCATCTTCACCTCGCCCGACCTCAAGGAGTGGACCGCGGCGAGCAATTTTACGCACCACGGCCTCATTGGCCTCCAGTACGAGTGCCCGAACATGATCCGGATGCCGTACATGGACGAAGACGGCGAGCGCCAGGACGACATGTGGCTCATGTACGTCAGCATCAACCCCGGCGCACCCGTCGGCGGGTCCATCGGGCAGTACTTCCCCGGCACGTTCAACGGCACGCACTTTGAGGCCGTCGATGCTGTCGCCCGCATCGCCGACTTTGGCAAGGACAACTACGCGGGGCAGTTCTTCTACGGCCTTCCCGAAGAGGAGCTCCCCGTGTCCATCGCCTGGGCTTCGAATTGGCAATACACCAACCTGGTCCCCACGGCAGATGAGGGCTGGCGCAGCGCCATGAGCCTGCCTAGGAGGAACTACCTCACCAAGACGAAGCGTATCGGCTGGAAGCTCATCTCGGAGCCGTACGATCTGTCACCAGTCCTCGGGCGGGAGCTCGCCGCCAACGAGACAATGGGCAACGGGTCGACCACGGTGGACTTTTCCCAGGTCGAGTCGAACGCGGTGTACTGGGAGGCGAACGTGACCGGCATACCCGACTCGGGCATCCCTGGCTCAGCGACGCTCAACTTCACATTTGTGAGCCCACAGTCGGGCGAGTTTGTGCGAGGGGGCTACTACTTTGGCGGCGACAACCCGTTCTTTGTCGATCGAGGCGGTGCCCAGGGTTTCGACAATGTCTTCTTCACGGACAAGTTCTCGACCAACAGCCTGATCGAGGGCGACAGCTGGTCCATGAGCGGCATCATGGATCGGTCCATTCTCGAGGTGTTTGTGAACGGGGGCGTGGACAGCGCGACAAACACATTCTTTACGACACAGCCCCTGACGCATCTGATCGTGTCAGCGGGCGATCTGGTCGAGGGTATGGAGGTGAGCTTGCGGGTCCATGCCCTGGAGAGTGCATGGGCGTCGATGGCTGATGAGGATGATGGTCTTGTATATGGTAACCAGACGTCCCGTATGGGACAGGAGGACATGCGGCGTTTCCTGGGCGCGGTCTGATGTGTATATAGAGGCGTCGTCCCGTTTAGTCGAGACGGTGTGCATATGTATTCATGATGATGACACCATGTTGGTCCATCCCGTCCACTTGTCCAGCATACCTTCAGCATAGGGCCCCAACTACCGCGCCCGGAGACGATAGCAGTAGTGGAAGATATCCGGATCATTCTCATGGCGCTTCTGCGTGGGGACATGCGCCACCGTCTGCACGTCCAGGGGCAAGTCTGGCAGGTCGAAGCGATGGGCGGAGAAGCTCAGCGAGATCCACACACCTCGGTCGGCCAGACAGGAGGCCACGCTCCGCGCCATGCTCCGGACTGCGTCGTCCCCGCCGCAGGCGATGGCGTCCACGGTGCTCTTGTCGACGACGAGGTCGTACCTTTTCCTCGATTGGAGGTTTGTGGCGTCCGCCACGTCGTATGTCATCTTGACGTCCCCAAAGGCTTCCTCTTCGAGTGCCCTGCCTCGCTCGGCGGCGAGGGGCTCGTAGTCAATATTGGTCACGTTCAGGATGCCCCGTGCGCGAAAGTGGTTCTGCAGGGCGCTCGTCCCGGAGCCAATGTGCAGGACGTGTGAGTCCGGCCCCAGGTGCCGGGGCAAGTGTGGTGAGATGATGGACATGAAGTCGTGTGAGGAGAGGAGCCACTCGAAGCATGTCTCTGAGGTGAAGCGGTCATGCCAGTATGACTGTTTCTCAAAGTCGGCGGCCATTGTAGGGGGTTATGTAGATACAAGGATCGAATGGATCACAAGGAGTGTCTGGGCTCTGGAGTCTGGGGAAGAAGGGTATCTGTACGGGATCACGAGTATATGTTACTGTTTGATATCATGAGCAACAACACCAGCGTTTTTTTCTTCACGATTTTGTGGGCAGCATGGTGCTCGGATGTCGGTTGTTTTCTTGGCCTCGAATTCTAGTGGTGCTGATGTCGGCACCAGCTGGTGTGCATGACTCGTGTGGCATGTGTCGACGTCTGGTGTGGCGGTGCGATCTGACGGGGCGGCGTGATTGGTGAGGAGGATCTGGCTGTTCTATTTCAAGATGACAATGACATCTGATTGGTCATGCTGGCGCACGTCTCCCGACACGTCAGCGGGCCAAGCCACAGTCGAGTCGCCTTGTTAACAGCCTTGACAGTCTCATCCCTCGAGTGTCTCACGACCAGATGCTCAAACACCACACACGTTTTGTTTTCCTTCGCTGTCTCCATTCCTCTTGCTTGCTCCTGTCTCGGCGCGATTTGTGTTAAAATTCACTCGCTTTGACGACTCTAGTTTCCCGGTCCTCCTCAGGTCAGATCTCCTGGCCTTCCAGTTACGCGTACATGCACCTACGCCAGTATCCATCGATTGATTGAATTAATTCAGACACCAGCACCCAGGATGGCACCAACGCTGGACGCAGGCGAGCTCGCGCCTGCACTGGCGACGCGCGATCTGCAGAACCCAACACACACGCAACAAGTCACGCTGGGCGTCATCGCGGCCTACGTCGTCGGCATCGCCATCCTCTGGAACGTCCCTTACCTTCGCATGGTGCTCTGGCCGTTCAAGATGCTCGTCATCGCCTTTCACGAGTTCGGCCACGCCAGCACGGCCATCCTCACGGGCGGCAAGGTCAAGAGCATCAGCCTGGACCCCAACGAGGGCGGCGTGACGCACCTGTCCGGCGGCATCAGCGCCATCACCCTGCCCGCCGGGTACCTGGGCAGCTCCATCATCGGCGCCGTGCTGACCCTGTGTGGCTTCAACATCAACGCCTCCAAGATTGTCAGCATCGCCCTCGGCGTCTGCTTCCTGCTGACCCTGTGGTGGGGCAAGAAGGACTGGCTGACGATTCTCACCATCCTGCTTGCCGTCGCCCTGCTCGTCGGCTGCTGGTTCATCAACCACGCCGAGGCCCTCCGCTTCGTCGTCCTCTTCATCGGCGTCATGTCTTCGCTCTACTCCGTCTGGGACATTTGCGACGATCTCATCCTGCGCAAGGTCAACTCGTCGGACGCGAGTGTCTTTGCCAAGCGGTACGGTGGCTCGTCGCGGTGCTGGGGGCTGATCTGGTCCGTCATCTCCGTCATGTTCATGGCGGCGGGGATCGTGGTCGGCCTCGCGGCCTTTTCGCAGAGCTTTGAGCAGCAGAGGGAGGATGCTCAGCACTTTATCCCCACATGATTGGAAACGGGACGAATGGCAGTGTGGTTCGGGTGTGGGAGCACCAGAGACGGATGCGAATTTGTATGTTTTGGGGGAGTTTGGGAAGGGATGGCAACGCAATACGGATACGATGACGACGATCTAGTTCTGGATACCCAATGCAACTGTGTATAAGCCTACCAAGCCTCGGACTACGCCTCACGCGAGCAAATGCCGCGGGAAAGCGTCACATCCGGCCCTGCTGCAGGACCGGATGCCGCGAGGAGGGTCACACCAGATTAATTCACCCGGTGATGGGCTCACGACTCCATGTCAGATGGCGTTGCTAGCCCTATCGCAACACAGCATGACCACAATGAGTTTGAATCGGCTGAGCTGGGCTGGGCTGCCTAAGAAGGAGTGGAAACTCTCCGCCCGCCTCCCCGGCTAAAGAGACTGTTGCCAATCGTGGAAGGTGCATTTAATGATATGAACTGCCGAGTGGAATATGGGGTTCCCCACTCGACCTCGGCAGCGATTTGCATTGAGCCTGAATGATTCAACTGCCACATGCAGGTCCTCGCTCGCGTGTGCGCAGGCCAGAGAAGGACATGGGGAGGGCAGATGCGGATCTGTCCGAGATCCACGAGAATAGATCCGCCAGCAGAGGTGGACCGTGTCTTCCCTGCTTCTGTGACGGTTTGGATCTTGGCTGGCCGGCTAAATGCGCGGACTCTTTGTCTTCACGAGGATGGAGACGCCTTCATCAGATCGCTCCCGTGTTTGTCTCATGTTTCGCACAAGGACGAATGGATACTCTCATCACGCCCCGGTCGGGCGCATTGACTTGGTAGACGCATTTCGGACGACGGCCTCCGCTGTTTCCTGAAACGGATGTGGAAACCCTGACAAACGAAACAGTATATAATCACGGTCGAATCTGGCTCAGCAGATCTCTCCCTCTCTGTGCAGAGCAGCTCCATAGCCCGCAGATCAGACCAAGCCAGACCGACAGACCAGACAATCACCATGGTTCGCTTCACCTCCCTCGTCGTCGCCGCTCTGACGGGCACGGGCGTCTTGACGGCCCCGACCCCCGAGACGGACGACAGCCTCGAGGTCCGCCAGCAGGGCGTCGAGCCCGGCCAGGGCGTCCACGACGGCTACTTCTACAGCTGGTGGACCGATTACGGCGCCCCGGCCACCTACCGGAACCTGCCAGGCGGCACGTACAGCATCGACTGGCAGTCGGGCGGCAACTTGGTCGGCGGAAAGGGGTGGAACCCAGGCCTGCGCGCGAGGTAAGCACCGTCAGCTCGCTCCCTTCTCCACGAGACATGGACCAACACGGACACAAACAGGGCCATTGGCTACTCGGGCACCTACCAGCCCAACGGCAACTCCTACCTCGCCGTCTACGGCTGGATGCGCAACCCCCTCGTCGAGTACTACATTGTCGAGAACTTTGGCACCTACGACCCCAGCACGGGGGCGACCACCCTCGGCGAGGTGACCTGCGACGGGTCCACCTACAAGCTCGCCTCGTCCTGGCGCTACAACGCGCCCAGCATCGACGGCAACCGCGACTTCCAGCAGTACTGGTCCATCCGCACCAACAAGAGGGCCGGCGGTACCGTCAACACGGGCTGCCACTTTGATGCCTGGGAGAGGGCGGGTCTGCGCTCCGGTCAGCACGACTACCAGATTGTTGCCACTGAGGGCTACTACAGCAGCGGCTACGCAGAGATTACCGTCAGCGACGTTGGCAGGTAAGCGAAGCTAAGCGGCTGCCAGGTCGGGGTGGGAGAAGACAGCAAGCGTGGACATGTTGTGCAGGGCGAGGAAGTGGTCTGGCATCAGCTACGTCAACTCATCACCCGATAAGATGCTCATTCAACATTCTCCACGTGACAACTGTCTGCTAGGCTATATGTCGACAACGTGAAATTATCGGCAAGTGATCGCCTCGCAGACTGTTACATCATCCCACAGACTTGCATCCCCGCCAGCACAATCTGACGACGGGAACATGAAGCAACTCATGTAGCGATCACTGGAAGACGGCATGTGCTAGTGGACGCTCCCGCAGTCATCTCGGCTGATTGCCCTGGCACAATTACCAAAGTAGGGATCTGGGCAGCTCACTGTTTGGCAGACACAACGACGACCCCTGAAGAGCCTCATGTTGCTGACGTCCATGTCGGAATGTCCATCACGTTGGAGCGAGTGAACAGAAGACTTGCCGTGGGTACACGGCAAGACACTGGCAACCTTGTCGACTATCTCTGATGGCGGTTTGGCCCGTCAAGCGTGGAAGTGGAGAGGTAGTCCGGACAGGCTGACGTCGAGAGCTCCAGCAAGATGTCAGTGTTTCGTTCTGAGACAAGTAGCTCATGTCAAGATAGCACGGTATGTTTCTATATCGCAATGTAAGAGATGGGAACTGGAGATCGCTCTTCGAATCGAACATGCTCCTGAGAATCATCCTTGGGGATCAGGTAGCTTGAATATTATCTGGTGATGTCCTGTACGCCTCAACGTGACGTGGTGCCAGCTTGCAGTCATGCTTCTGAAGCTCCTGTGTCCGATGCTGCAGGGCCACTGTAGAGACTTGTAAGCAATAGATGCACAGTCTCGCCCATGATGCTGATGGCAGATCCAGAAGAGCCAGGCTACCAGTAACACTTTTTTCCCTAAATCAGAACCAGGAATGGCACCGACACCCTCTCTTTTGCCCCTCCTTGGCGTAGTTGTGGCTCTTCCTATAGCGCTCGCTGGCTTTGACCCAAGCTCACAAAGCAGTGTAGCCGTCTACTGGGAAGAGAACGACCACAAGCGTGATCCAGCCCCACGATACTGACGACATTGTCAAGGTCACCAGTCTTCCGGCCAGGGCAGCGGCCCTTTTTGTCCTGGAGCACCTTGCCTACTTCTGGAATAATGAGAGCTTGACCCTATGTAGACACTGGAAACACATCACTGACCGGAGGGAGAGATCTCTGTTTTCAGTACAGGCCCGAGAGATCATTGGTATAAATTCGTGTATGCAAGTAAATCCAAAGCGGTGAGCGGTCCCGTATGTGTACGGATGCTGCGCTGAAAATCACCAAAAAGCACGCACGCTGAAATCAAGGATTACGGGGAACGATTGGACGAGACGGTGACACTCTGCACCTGCACGATATTCTTGTGCCTCCAGTCCGCGTGTGCGAGTTCCTCCTCGCTGCCGTGGTGCGATCGTCCCTGCGCCTCCCAGGGGGCGACGCGTCCATCCTGGTGATGGCTGTCCAACACGCCCCGTGCGCTGTTCTCGTCGGACGAGTTGTTGTTATTGTTGCTGTCTTCTCTGTCGATGGCCGTCAGGCTGAACGGATCTTCCCGCACCCCCTTGCTCTTGCGGGACGTGTGGCCGCCAATGGTGCCCTCCTGTAGACGACCGCTCGAGTCGCGGAGTTCGGTCGGGCCGGGTGTCGAGAGGCCGAAGCAGTAGCCTACGTTTCGGACGAGAGGGCGGAGGGTGGCGAGGCTGCCGGCTGTGATGGCGAGACCCTGCTCGGTGCAGGACCAGATGGCGATGTCGACGGTGGCCCCTAAAGGACGGTCAGCAATCGTGTTCGCGGGACATGCGACAGAGAGACGAGGAAATAGACGCACAGAGAAAGTCGGGATCCTTAAACTTCATGACGTATGGAAAGCGCACGACCACGGCGGCACTCGCACTAGAAGGTGTTGCTGTCAGTGACCCAGAGTCCAGTCGACACGCACGCGCCAAGATCACTTACACGCAGGCCATGGTCATGATGGGCACCAGGGCCATCTTGCTGCGCCTGTTGATGTTCAACGTCCAGATGATGACCATGGGCAGGATGGCAAAGGTAAAGTCACAGATGACGCTGCACGCGCTGTACAGGTAGGTGAGGGCGATGATGACGTCCATGCTGAGACAGGAGCCGCTCTGGTCCCTGTTCCAGAAGTAGGAGATGGGCGTGCACTGGAACATGGTGGCGAAGAAGAAGACGATGCCGGTGAGTACGGTGATGACCATGACGCCGTAGATGATCCACACGTCGGTGCGGCGGATGGTGATGCGGAGCAGGAAGTAGCCGATGGAGATCTTGGAGGCGATCATGGTGAGGCAGTACCAGAGGTAGCAGAACCACCAATACTGGGCGCGGCTGTCAGTGATCTGCTCGGGGAAAGTGATGATGAGGTGCCCCCCTCGCTTGTCACACACCTTCATTGCGGTTTGGAAGTCTTCAGCTGTTAAATCAGCGCGATGCCGGCCGGTGCCATGTTCGACGCCGTTGAGAGCACAGGTGACGAAGAGAACAAATGTGACCTGGTAGCTTCTGTCAGTCTGCCTGTTTGACGCGCAATGCTCGCTAGGTTCGGGGGCTCCTCTTACCAGAGCAAAGACCATGCACCAGTCATCGAAGCCGAAGCTCTTGACCAGGAACACGCGCGTGTAGCAACGGAGGACAGTGGTCACGAATGCTGCCACCACCAGTACGTAGCAGACAGCCTGCAGCTCTGGTCCACGGTTCGGGACGCCCATTCTGGCGGGCGGTTGTTGAGCACGCCTACCGAATAGTGTTTTGCTCGCCCGCCTGCAGTGAGGGGAGGTGAGACGGCAGTTGAGGTTGGATAGGTCAGGTATGTTGAGTTTGGCAGGACAAGCGAGGGCGTCGCTATCCTGTGTCTAATAACTCTGGATACGTACACGTACTTACACTTGCTGATTGGGCTGGAACTCGGATAGAAGGGGACCCGTGGGTTCCTGTCAAACTACGTGGTAGGTAGGGGAGCGGAAACATACCGTCTGAAAGTCCGAGTCCAGCTCCACCCTCCAGCGTCGGTCTTAACCTGGAAAAATGCACAAATACCCCCGTTCCACCCAGAGATCTTCAAGTGATGGGCACTATCAATCTCATATAATCAGGTCCGTCAGGACCAAAACCTGGCTCCTGGGCCTGGCCTGGCCTCGGCTCTCCGCTCTACATGTAACTGCCACGCGGGTCCACAGCACCTGCAACGCCCTCCCAATGAGTTTGTTGCAATGTGGAGAGCTAATGCCGCTGGGCAGGGTCCGTCTCTGCCGTCCGTCCGTGGCGTCGAGTCTACGGTGCTGGTCTGCGAACAGGCCCCGATATTTTGGGGCTCGATTGGGGATGCTGGCCGAGCGGAGAGCTCCCCTGAGTCAATATTGCTCTTGGCTTTTATTTTAGTCTTGACTGAGGTCGACATGAATTAACAAGGTCACAGGTGAGGTGTACTGCGTACGGCGTAAAGGGCCTACCTCTACGCATACGGTATCATTGGCCCGATGCCAGCCCTGATCATTTGAAGCCTTGAAGGCCCCTGGACCCTGCCAGAGCCAAGAACGCCTGCGAACACGTCGATGGAAAATGAGCCGTCACATAATGTCAGAGGTATACTGCAAAGGATCTGCTGCTGTAGACTGTAGTGTCCGACACGTCAATGCGATAATAAACGAGTCAATGCTGCCCGGAATTCTGGGTCAACTGCTGCAGCCATCCAGGGGCGCCCTCCACAGCCAGATGCCAACGCCATCTTGCGAGGGGCATGACAGGAAGTTGGGCAGCAATTTGCGTCCGAAAGTGCGCGTCAGATTCTCCATTCTCTGCTCGCATTCCTAGTGCCGCAGGTTGTCTGTCACCTGTCAGTGACATTCTCTCTCGGGACTTGGCTTTGAATCCCTCGAAGGATTCGGCAGTTGCGCCACGTTTTGGCGAGGATGGCTCGCAGGCTCCAGCTCCTTGGGCCCAGCATGAACCTGCAGGGGACCAGTGGGATGGGTTTCCGGGCTCTGCATGGTTCCAGTGCAGGGTTCCAGCCCAGTGATCAATGAATCGTGTTGTGCGTCTGTCGAGCGTCGATCCGACTCGATCGTTCCTACGACCAATCTGAGATGCGCGGGCCAACAAATATGACTGGCGTTGATCCCAATGATTGTCTCAGTTGTACAACAGAATACATATGCCTAGAGTACAGATGTATTGCCCGACGCATTCGACGACGGAATTGGTGTGGATGACCGTCGACCGACACCCCGGACCAATTATATGATTTGGGCAAGAGAGAGTCGCTGCCAGACAGGCGCTTCCATGCTTCCAGGGCCGGACCATCTCGTCCAGGAGTCAGGACTCTAAGCGATGAATATTAGCACAGCCAAGACCTTGGCTCGGATTTCCTCGTTCCCACGCCAACGTGACACTGCAATGGTTTCGCCGTCAGTCCCATCTGACGTTAGCACTGAGCAACGAGGGTCCGAGGGACCACATTATCACCCGCAGCCATTCATTTCTAAAGCTCTCACCCATCTCCAAGTCCCTCCCTAGCTCCGCTGTCAAAACGACACTTTTCGAACGGTGCGCTTCCCTGGCTACCCTTGGCTGGTGAAGTACTCCACAATCTTCTTGGCCAGTTTGACTCTTACAAGTTATAAGTTATAACGTAGATGTACGCATAGCTACCTAGTTAGGCAGGCGGCCGATGGGCTTCGTGGCGGCTTCCGCTTATCTGATCCATGGGGCGGCGGGAAATTCCGATACAAACAGTATATGTGTATCTCCTGAACCTGAGTGTGATGCTACCCGCTCTTGTTGAAACACGGTTCATCCCACATTTCGACTTCCTGGAATTCTTGCATACACCCATCGGAACCGACTCAAGTGTCATCGAAAGGACATGACAGACTTGGACGCTGGTTTTCCCGTGCTGACGGTTCGAGAGCTGGCGTCATCGCGGCGGGCGATAGAGCAGATTTCCGCGATTCCACATCTTCGCGTCGCCTTCACGTTTCGTGGAAGATTCGAGGGGTCTAAGAACTGGAGTTGAGGAGTCGAGGAGTCGAGTCGAGGACAACATGAAGAAGACGGGCATGACTCCAGGAGGAGAGGAGACTGGACGGTTGCGCCTCCCACCTTTCGTGGCGCGGCTGTCATACCATCTGTGGCTCAGCAGCCACAACCAATCAACGCCAATAATTGAGGCTGACGGCGCCGCTGCGCCCCGCGCATGACGTTCACTCAGCCCGCAAATGCGCCTTGCCCCTCCGCTACCGGTTGTCCGGATCACCTCCACATACACATACATATTGTCCCATACATCTTGCATGCAGCCCATGCGCCTTGGCTTCGACCTTCAAGACTTACCATCAAGACCACATTCCATATCTACAATGTCCAACTCGGATTACTACGGCGGCGGAGGCGGCCACGGCCAGCAGCAGCAACAGGGCTATTATCCCCAGCAGACATCCTACGGCCAACCACCCTACCCCCACAGTCCCCAGCCTGTCCCCCAAGAGTATCGCCAGGACTATCCCCCGCAGCATCAACAGCAATACCAGCAGCAGCAGCAGCAGGGTCACTCTCCTTATCCTCAGCAGCAGGGCTACGCGCCAGCCCCTGCCCCTCAGCAGCATCCCCAGCAGCCTTCCTACGCGCAACAGGCCGATCCTCGCCAGAACTACGGCGGCCACTCGCCCCAACCGCAATACCACCAGCCGCCACCACAGCAGCAAGGGTACGGCCAGCCGCACGACTACAACCGCGCAGGCAGCCACTCTCCCTACCCGCCCCAGCACGGCGGCGCACCGGCCTATCCCCAAGGACAACAATATGCCCAGCAAACGCCGTACGGCCAGCAGTACCCTCCTGGCCCGGGCGGCCCCGACGGCGAAAAGGGTCTCGGTGCCACGCTCGCGGGCGGCGCGGCTGGCGCCTGGGGCGCCCACAAGCTAGGCAACACGGGTCTGCTCGGCACGCTTGGCGCGGCGGCCGCCGGTGCCATTGGCGCCAACGTGCTCGAGCACAAGATCAAGCCCAAGAAGAAGAAGGACAAGAAACACAAGAAGGAGAAGAAGTACAAGAGCAAGGGGGTTGGTGGCCACAGCAGTAGTAGCTCAAGCAGTTCCAGCGACTCGGACTGAGCATGGGCCTGGAAGGGCGTGGTATCATGAACGGAGGTTGGCTACTTACAGGGCACACTGGCGGAACTCGAGATTTATTGCTTTATCTTGCTTGGCGTTATGGTGTTAGAATATACGGATGTACATGAATTTATGAACAATTGCTCAAAAATTCATCCCTCCGATCATCCTCCCTGTCCTCCTCAACTCTTCATCGCAACACGACGGAAAGACCATGGTCAAGAAAGTCCTTCTCGATGGCTTCATAGGGCGTGAAATACGTGCCATCAAAGTCCAACGCGCTGTTGGCGGCCAACACAATACCGATGAGCTGCCCCTTTGCTGTGACAACCCCGGCGCCCGACTCACTAGCAGAGGAGAACCGCTGGGGTCTGGCATGGCCATCTCGCCAGCCGTATACAAACAGGTCCCAGGCGAGTTCTTCATTCGCCATCTGCTTTGGGCTCGCATACCGGTTGCAATGACGAAGCGACTCTCTTCGGCAGATAGAGATGTACCTAAGCACTCTGAAGCGGCCACTCGATAAGCGGGATCGTGGGTTATGTGGTCGAGGCGTTGGCGAGCTGGTGCGACGGTTGCCTGCGATATCTCGTCAGGGACATCGTCTGCCATCTTCCTTAGGGCCTTGAGGGTTCCAATTGCTAAACTTCCTTCTCCATATTGAGCAGTGGAGTGCTTCTAGAATTGAGCCAGAGATGAAATAGGCTGTGTTAGTATTGACTCTAGGGCTTGCTCGGCTATTATAGGGCAGAGCGATATTTATAGGACTAAAAGTTGTCTGGGGCTTTTCTCATTTCCATCTCAAGCAACTTTTCAATGCTATTTATCACAAGATGATCAGATTAAATTCACGCTAGGTCAGAACTCTCACATTATCCTTTATAATGTTCCCTACCCAAGGTGAGGAATTTCCCAATAGTTTTGCCTCGTCTAGACCTATGCTTTTCAGCATCTCTGATTCACACAGCCGCACGCACTTACTCTTCCAGTATTGAGTACGTCCTAGCTCACATCTGCCGACCCCATGGACGCCTACACCGATGAACAGCACGTACAGCCTACCACGGCAGAGGCCGTCACGTATTACCGCGGCCTTGGCTCCTCTGTCAAACTCGTAGCCCGAACATCTCGCTGACCTATCCCAGAAAGCGTCGTCTTCCTCAAGCACTTTTCCAGTCCAGCTCCGCACCCACTACTAGACGACCTGTTCAGACCAGGCTCCCGGATGATCGACAAGTTGTACGAGCAGCTGAACAACCACCACATTTTTTGGTTCACGTATTATCATCACCGACATTGTCGCGGTGGAGCAACTACTATGGGGTGGTTTACGCGTCGAGCTAGAGCGTCAGGCCACTTGGACATCACAATTCACGTGCTGCGTCATCATCACGAATGACACGGAGCCGACATGGACGCACGCGCAGGCGACCGTAGACGCTTGCCTGGGGATCTTCCGCACGGACAATATCCCGGACACTGAAGTGGAGATGATGACCACCTCTGCTGTTGCGATGTCTACTATTAGACAATCTCAAATGCCCTTGTTCACTCTTCTGACGACAGAGACGCATATTGCTCCTTTCACCACTCAATCTCCTTGTGATCCGGATACTCCCTCACACCCTCAATCTACTACTGGCCCGCCCGTCTGCCCGTCTTCTTGACAGCAAACGCGCTCGAGATGTTGTTCAAATAGACAATGTCGCCCAGCACGCCGCACGCTTGGGCCTTGACCGGCAGTTGTGCCTCCACGGGCTTGGGGCCGCCGGCGCTGGGCGTGCGGAGCGGGTTGCCGGAGGTCCACCACGTTGCTGTGGGCGAGAAGTAGTCGGGCAGGCCGGCGATGTCGCATGTCGAGATGGCGGTGAGGTATGCCGTAACAAGGGCTTGCGGGGGATGCACCTCGGGAAGAGGGTTCGATGTAGTAGGTTTGGGAGTGTTTGTCTTTGGTGGTATTGTGCCTTGGGAGATGGTGATGGGACTGGCCTTTTTACACATGTCGCCCGCAAACGTATTTCTGTGCATCATGATGCTTCATTTTTGGCTTTGATCCAAATCGCCGACCTGAAGGATGCCTTTATCTCCCACGTGCTTAGGGGCACGTGTCTCCTGTGCCTTGCAGATGACAGTCTGCCTATGCAATGCAGGGACACATCAACTCACGATACTTCAGTGGGTCGGTGGAAACAGTATTCATGCATGGTAACTCCTCCGAATGAAACAGAACTGCCCTCGTGCACAGATATTATACATTAGTCTCTAGACCTGTCTGTACATCTGTTTCAACGCGCACGTCTCCAAACTCGGGAAGCTCAAAGGCTCAAGAGAACAAAGAAAAGCTTAAACTCGAAACATAGTGAGGGTCAAGAACGTTCCTTGACGGAAGAAACGCAGGAATCCTCCCCCGGGTTCTGATCCTTCTTAGTGCGTCCCGATTGTAGTCTCGGTTCCGAGTCGACCGTGACCCGCCCCCCGAATGGATCGGGCACGCGTCGGTAGTTGTATCACAATAGAAATAAATCGGTGCAAGGCCCAAGGTCAAGGTTGTCTTTTGCGTAGCAGTGCCATATTTACCCGGCTAGCTGCCAAGGTACAAATCATTTCTCCATGCCAAATCTTCACAACCTCCCCTCAAGCACGGAGTGCCTGCCTCTCTGATCAACCTCAAACGCCGCCAAGGGTATCCGGTCTAAAACACCTGACTCCCCCATGAGAAGCAGAAATCATTGCATGGCTCGTATACTTAGCCCAGACAGAGACCACAATCTGACATTCTGAATTACACACCGCCACCCATGAATGCTGCCAGGTCGTCCATCTCCAGTAGCTGTCTTTCAAATTCTGCGCACAACTCGGGTGCTGTCATGTCCTGCTTTGAGGCCACCACCGGCTCGTGCGAGTTGTTTGGCATGCCGTGCATGCTGGCGGGAGCGGGAGGGCTGAGCTGCTTCGACTCCGATGGCGGTGCATAACTTGCGTAGTGGCTGCCATGGGGCGGCGAGTTGGTGGGGGCTGGCGCAGGCGACTCGGTAGGGCCACCGTTGATGGTGGTAATGCCAGGCCGGCGAGGCATGGTGACGGGGGGCTCGCTCTCACCGCGCCCAAACGGGGTGTTGATATGGGGTCCGGCGGGCGGCATGGAATGCTGGGGTGGGACGCTGCTGCTCGGGACCGAACGCTGGTCGTGGTCTGCTGTGTCGGCGTTGGACGACACCTCGTCTCGCACGAGGGCTGCGTTGGAGTTGTGGCGTGAGCTGCTGGCAGCGTCATTGTGCAAGACGCGCTGCATCACGGTCAAATGGCGCAGCCAGCTTGACATGAGCGGCCAGTGCTCGGTTCCCTGCGACATGAAGCGAAGACTGTGCTCCACAATATGCGCAGCTGTCTCGACCGCCGTGAGAGGCGTCAAGCCCTTGAGAGACAAATAGGCTACAGTAGCGCCTGCCGTGAAGATGGAGAATGACATGAAGATGGTGAAGCAAGGCGCAAGCTCCTTTTCGCGGCTCGCCCTGTTGTGCACGGCTTCCAGGATAGTGATGATGGCGTGGCACGATGTGAAGAGCCTGTCCACGAGGTCGTGGCACTTTGGCGTCATCCGGAAAGACTCGAGGTGGAAGCTGGTGGCGGTCACCTCCTGCAGCAGGCGACGGCGGTGCAGAAAGATGCTCGAGCAGTGCAGGAAGCAGTGCAGCATGGCAAATGTGTCGCCGGTGCCCTTGGTCACGTGGTTCTTGAGTTGGCCAGGCTTGTCTGCCAGCTGGTACGGCAACATGGCGCGCAGGTTGTCGACCTCGCGCAGCAGTTTCGTGACCGACTCCTCATGGTAACTGTAGATGGTGTTGGTGGTCAGCATGGCGACCACCTCGCGCCAGATGGTGGCAGCCAAGATGATGAAGCCAAAGTCGCCCATCTCGCCCGTGCCCGGGGGCGGCGAGACCACGGCGGCGTGGTTGGTTGCTTCCAGCTGCTGCGCCAGCGTCTTCACGTAGACGGGCTCCTCGGAGTCGAAGTGATCTTCCGAGCACGGCAGACTGACGTCGGCATAGTCCGCTTCGGTCAGAGCGGAGCGACGGCCTGGGGTGCTAGTCAACAAGCAGTCGAGCATGTAGAGCAGCCAGAGGGTCCGGCGCTGCGTCTCGTCGGCGACGAACTTTCGACGACGGGCCTCTTCCCTGGCGCCGTCGACGCCATAGTCGTCCCTCCCCGAGTTGTGGCTGTTGACGATGCGGTACATCTGAAGCATCCTGACCGCCTGGCCAAGGAAGATGTACGCGGCGACCGCCTTGCCGGAACCCCACTCGTGGACGATGACTAGGCAAAGGGCCTGCACATCGGCGAGCGTAGGGTTGTTGAGGTTGACATTGATGGGACCCAGGGCCTTGGCAGCCCATGTCTCAGCGCCGGCGGTGGGTGAGCCATAGCGACGGATCATGGGACGCGACGTGCTGCTACAGCGTTAGCTACTGGCTGGGCCGGGTCAAAGTCGGGGAAAAGTGGCCCCCGGAAACCTGAGGCCGGAGCTCCGATCTCGAGTGGGGCTGGGGAAATGCAGAACTCACCGGGCCGCGACTGCGAGTAGACTGTAGATGAGGACGGGCTCCAGTGTGTGGTCAGGCGCCTGGATGTCTTGCAGGATGGAGGTCTTGTGGAAGGCAACGCAGGCCGGGAACGTGCGTAGCACGACGCGCTCGCACTCTTGCAGGTGCTCATTCGTGATGCTGGGGGGTGGCTGTTAGCAAATCAATCATACAAAGAAATGAGACAGCGCGCGCTGCGGCTGGATCCGTGCCTCAGCGGCTGCTGTAGGGCTGCGGGTGGTTGGGCGACCTACAATTCCTTGTGCGCGTTGGTGGTGCGGTTGGCGCTGGGCGTCGAGGCGACGACCAGAGGTCGAGGCTCGGGGATCGAACCAGCTGGGCCGGGCGCAGCGTCGCGTGGTGGTCTGCTGTGAGAGGCGGACACTGGTCGACCGGGCGCCTGGCCATGGAGGTAGGCCATGCGCTCAGAGGGCAGGTAGCACTCGTGCGGGCCTTTTGCGCAGTTGCGACAAGGCGGCTCGCCCGTCTCGTAGACGCATTTGGTCTTGCCTTTGCGACAGCGGACACAGGCGCCCCCGGCGCGCTGCGCGCTGCTGCGAGCGACAGACGTGGCCATGGTCAGTCAGGATGGCGACGGGAGAGGGAATAAGAGTCGTGAGCGCAGGATGCGACGTGGTGAGATGAGATGGGAGGAGATGGGCGCAGCGAGGGTTGTTGGAGCTCCGGAGGCCAACCGTGGGTCCCGGAGCTACGGCAAACGCGGTTCGCGCTCGTTGCGAGGTGGTGAGCACAGGTAGAGGAGTGCAACGCGAGCGCAGAGTGTGCGACGCAGAGGAGGAGAAGTAAGAATGTGAGGGCTGCCAGGCGCGCGCTCGCCGAGACCTTGTGGACGAGGCAGTCGAAGAGGCAGCGATGCTGATGTAGGCAGGCAGAGCAGGGTGAGGCTGGTGGGAAAGGTGAGGGTGAGTGAGTGAGTGCCAGGGTGAATGGATGGGATGCGCGAGTATCAGGGCGGAAGGGAAAGTAGTGCCATCACCCGAAATTGGGGTGGAAGGAGCGAGCGAGACGGACCTGGACGGGGACGCAGCCACTCACGGCGTCGGCGGCCACGGCCCCTCTGTGCACTGGCGTCCGTCAGGTGCTGCCTGAGGCACGTCAATCCAACCAAACATTTCTCCGCTGGCCCACTCCGGTGTTTTCCTCACTGTCTGTGTACTGTGCGTGATCATCTGCTTGGGTGAGCAGAGGAAGGCCTGCCACCACAATGATGAACATGGGGGGGGAACATCGATCGCCTTGGCGCATCTCGTCACGCATAACAGCTATTCTGTCTTTCACAGAGCTCTCTCATCGCGACAGCAAGGCCCTCCGCATCCGCGTTGCTGACCACCGGCAAATATGTGCACAGTGTGATATGCCTCGGCTGCCATGGACTCATGTCGGTCGGAGCTACGCGCTGCCGTGCTGCAGAGCCCTTGCGGAGGCTGGAGGCCTGGGCCAGAACGGAAAGGGGGGCCACATCCGGAACACTCGCCAGCCCAGCCATCACCGTTCAACACGGTTTGACATACCTTGTCTTGCTAATTGCTCGTAGTCATCGGCTACGCCCGGCTGGTGCGCCAAAACCCTACCCTGTACCAAACTTGACACCTCGACTGGCGGATGCGACACTGATCTCAGCGGCAGTTAAATCGCATCATCGACCTCTTACTAAGGATTGGGAGCGCGACCAGCCTCTGTATCTATGCGTCATACAGTCAAAACGTCGCACACGCGAGCATTTTTCTGCGATGTCGTGCCCCAGATTCTTGCTCGCTCGGGATTTCCCTGAGAGTGTGGGGCCGGATCGGACAGCATTACACAGTGTCAGACTGCCCGTGGCTGCCAGTGACTGCCTGCCGCTGCAATTAATTATACGTTGCTCACTTGTTTCCATTAGCCGGCTCTCCTCATTTCCACCACCGTCAGTTTCTTGGCTCCCCCATGCACTTCACCGCGTCCGTTCTCGAGTTGCTTGTTGTTCTGGCCTTCTGCTGTGTGTCGCAGTGCTCACTGACCGCCTACATTAGCCCAGCCCCCCATACATCCCGCCCGCTTGCGCGGTAATTGTTTGTCGTTTGCAAGGACGGCCCATGTTTACTTCCCGCCCGACGTCACAGACGAAAACTGGGTGATTGTCTGGTTGTGCCGACGCCGGGGCTCCGGGAGCCGCCTATGATGATTGGCGGCCTAGAATAAGGGGGATTGCTACTTCCCAGATTGTTTCTGCCCTCGGGACTACTTTCCAAGACCCTGGCACGTGATTCAAGATGGAGCTTCGCTTCATCAGCAGCACATTGTGTTGATATGATTATATGTCTTTCTTACACATCATCTTTCGACAAGTCATTGCCCGCAATGATATCCAACGAAATATTCACTGCCTAAGGGCCTTTGCGACGCAGATATATCCATGTTTGAACTTGTAGATTCATTGACACCTGCTTTAGATGAGAACCCCCATGTCATGCACTACCGAAAGACTAGCCCTCCAGCAACGTATCTAGCACTGGAAGACGTCAGGTCCCGGAATCTGGTAGTTCGTCACCGGAGGCCAGTAGATGCTGAGCGAAATACCGGGGTCAGAGCCCTACAAAGCAGTCAGTACATTACATCGAGTAAACAACAGGACACACGCACCGAGTAAGCGCCAGGGAGAGCCACAGTGCTGGGCGAAGCAGTGCCCGTGCCGCCAATGACGTTGATCTGCGCGCATTCCTGATAGAATTGCGCGCCGGGGTAGCTGCTCGCTGCGTGCAGCGCGAGCATCTCCGCGCGGAGGAGGTACTGGCCCGGCTCGATGCACGTGGGGATGGTGATGTGGTGCAGCCCCTGGCCGTTGATGATCTTTGTGGTGCCCCAGACGCCGTTGGCGTCGAGACCGTCCTCCTGGATCTTGAACCAGCCGTCGCCCACGCCGCTGTCTGTGCGGGCATCGTCGACCTTTTTGAGGTACGCGCTGACAGGGCCCTTGTGGCTCGCGTCCATAACGTCGCTGGGCGCGCTGCCGGTCGAGCTCAGCATGTAGCGCCACACGGCCGTCACCGTGTCGCCGGCCTGCACGTCAATCACCGTGTCCGTGGGCGAGGTTGGGTTTGGCGGGCCGTTGCAGGCGATGGAGTTGGACGTGACGTCCTCGATGGGGCCGTTGTACGAGGGCACGCGGACGCCGTTGCCGATGCCATAGTTCACTCCGTCCACCTCGAGCGAGGAGAAGATGGTGTGCGCCGAGGCGCCGGCGGCGACGGCAGCGAGGAGAACGGACTTCATCCTGTCGAGTCTTGGGGTTCGGTTGTGGGATAGAGGTGTAGAAGGAGATGGAGAGTAAAGCTGCTGCTGCTGAGGACTGGTCAAGATCGACAGGAAGCTGCTCTGCTATTTATGTTGTCGCGATGCTTCACTAAGCTCCCTTTCCTTCTTCGTACGACGGATGCTCCGTGTCCAACATGGTCATCAGGTGGTTCCATGTTGCAGTCGAGGACGCCCTTTGCGGTTTGTCGGCTCGTCCATCCACACAATGTGATCCCGTGAACAAGTTCTTTGGCTTTGCGTCTGCGCGTCGTCAATATCCGCATGCTGGGCGCGGAGCCATATCCTCCGCGATGGCGTGCCACCACCACGCCCACGATCGACAAAAGCCTACCCAATTAGGATCCTGGGGAAGATAAATTGCTACTCCGGAGGTAAGGATAGCACGTGGGTAGTTGCTGACGGCGCATAGCTTAATCGAGTTGCCATTGGAAATAAGCTCGTAGCGTTGATCTCGGACCGGATTGCTTTGAGGTGGTGGCCACGCTGCCAAAGCTCCGAACGCTAATCGCTCAACAGATCAACAACCTCGTCTTCGGCCGTAAGGTGCGTCTTTCTCTTCGTCCCCGCGATCTGGCTCCCCGCTGGCGTATCATAGTTGACGGCCGCCGGCCTGCTTGGGGCCATGGGGCTGGGCCGCCCTGCTCCCCGATGCCATCGGCGCTGGATTCGCAGCACTGCTCGGGCCCACTAACCCAGGCGTCGCGGGAGGCGGCCGGTGGCTTGACTTTGTAGGCATAGTAAGCAATCTACGCATCTTGACGATGTCATCGTACTGGTCGAGCAGGGTATCCCGCAGACACGTCGCTTTCTCAATCCTGTCAAAGAGTCTGGCCACCATCCCGATTTTCTAGACAAAAATCTTGTGGTTCCCGGCATGGTTCCCGTAAGTTTTCTGGACAACGAGGGTTTGAGGGGTGCCGAATCTCTCCGTGACATGGGTGCAGTCGATGCGAGCACGGTCTAGCTGCTAGTGGTAGTGGGCCCGCCGATTCTTATTCATGGGGAACCTTCCAGTCTCGCGTGTCGGACTCGCGAGAAAGGCGTTGAGATGGTGGCAATCAGGGCAAGTGCAATTCACCGCGGGCCGACGCAAGTCGTTGGAGCTTGATGGTGGTTCGCCGACGAATTTGTCCACGGCCGCGACCATCAGAGCCTGGTAGAGCTGCTGATAAGGCGGATCTTTCACGGGTATGCCCTCCGTCTGGAGAATCGGTGGCAGCAACGCCAACCTGGGGATCCAAAGACCGTACAGCTCGATAGGGGGGTGAAAGGGCGCCTCGCGGGTGATCTTGGCGACAAGAGAAGAGACAACGTGGCGGGACCCGTTAAATATGCTAGCCGCCACAGCCCCTGAGAAGAGGCGCGCCAGATCTTCCGGGTCGATGATCGTGTCCATGCCGATTCGCTTGGTCGTAGCCTGGCTCCTGGATTTTAATGCTGTGAATGTGTCTGACTGATTGACCATGCGGTCAGCGAGCTTGGCGTATAGCTCCATGCTTTCTGCCTCGGGCATTGTGCCGGCCACGCGCAGCTCGCTCAGGCGGGCCATGAAGGCAAGGGCGAATGCCATGATCCGGGCTGTCGGCATGGCGAATCGTTCATCTTGGCGGTCAGCACTTCAGCCGTATTCTCAAACATGAAGATGGAGTCTGACGGCCTTGCCGTCGTTTGCATATACGGGGACACCGTCTGGACTGCTCCAGGCTTTGTAGATGAACATAGCGAGTGTTTCTCTCGCCCAGGCGAGGATAGCAGGGGGTGCTAATGTCGCGTCTGCCACTAGTTTCGTGATGGCGGCATGGCGGGACGCAAAACGTGGATAAGAATCAATCATCGTTTTCAGTCTTTTTATTGTTAGCGATGTTCGACCTTTCTCAGCGGCACTGAGCGCTGCAACTCACTCCTTTTTGATACGCTCGAATCGTGAGGAGGCATTCCCGGTGCTTAACCACTGGCGGACCCAATCGAAAAACTCAGGTGCCAGGTCGCCTTCCACGCTGTTCACAGCGTTGAGAAAGAACGGGTGGCGATCATGCTGAAGGGCAACCTTGAGGACGCTGCTGATGACGTCGCCGTCTAGCTGTGCGAACTGTGGCATCATGCGCGAGCGGCTTAGCGCAGGCGCGCGGCTCCGAGCATCGTAGCAGAAATCCATCAATGTGTCCAAGATTGACGCGCTCGCTCCGCCTAGGAGCACGCTGCGGGCAAAGTACTCAATGCGAAGGTTCATGTTCCGTATGTCGTCTCTAGACGGATCATAATTCAGAAAGTAAGCCACTAATGAGTCGCGAGGAACGATGGCTATGGCCTGTGACCTGGTTTAGCCAGCTGTGGATTGGTTGTGAACGCGCGACTCACCGAGATGTGGTACCAGTGGATTGCGGACGGCCCAGAGTTGCCCATGTAGCCCTCGTAAGCCTCCTCACAGTCATGCACATCATACCATATGTCCGGCGTGGTGAGGTCGTTATTGCTGAGACCAAGACGCTCGGATACCAGAGTTCCGTCGAAATCGAACAGTGTCTTGACGCGATACTGCGTGTCGGAAATATCTTGAAGTGCGTGCGGGCCGGCTCCATCGTCCAGCTCCTCGAGCTCGTCATCGTAATACCTGCGACGGCGACGGTCGTGACCAAGGAATTCAACGCTGCCCATCTCTTCCTTCTCTAGCAAGGCCAGGAACAGATCGACGGGGAGATCTTCACAGGCCTGCTTCAGGGCGCTCGTACGAGCGCGATCAACCGATTTCAGTGCCTTGAGGGAATACTGGGCCTCGGTATAGTCGTGGTCAAGGACGTGGTATATGTAGCGGCTGTTTCTGGGGCCGTCAAGCCAGCGCGTAGTCGTCTCGCGCAGTCGTTGGGCCGCCGGCGCATGCCCCTCTTGGATGAGGCCGGCGGTGAGGAGCGGTTTCTCAGGATTGGGTTCTTCAGCGAGCGCGAGATTGTACGTCAGTACCCAACGATGGCCGGACGTGACAGGGCGCAGCTCATGAATGACATCCGAGTACCAAGTAATTAACGACTGTGCCATCTCCGACGTCTTGTAGGAGGACGGTTTGCCGCAGTGCTTGACGATGACCTCGCCTCCGGTGTGCGGGGAGGGTAGGCTGACGCAGCGTCCCAAACATGCCAGGAATTTTCTCAGTACTACGAGGTGCTTCAGAGCCTCATAGGAGGAGAATGGAGTGAGGACAAAGAAGGAGGACTCACTCGGTATGTGGCTTGAACATGGCACCCTGGCTGTAGATGAGCATCTTGTACAGCTCTGCCTTGATGGGCTGGTTGATACCGAGTATGTTGCCAACTTCGACCAAGATTTGGAGAGGAAGGCAGGCCACGATGGGTTCTTCAGCTCGAAATGTGTTGGATCCAACTCCCACGTGTTTCGAACGGCCGTATCCACGAGTGTCTCACTTCCATTCCCGTACGGCGCCTGATGGCAGACGCTGATGATCTGTCGTGCCTTGTCCTCGTCCAAGGCAGAGAGATGGGTCCTATACCGTGGACATGGACGTCCACAGGCGGCGTAACGGTGATGCGTGCGGATCCAGCAAAGGAACCCGGGGCCGTGATGTCGTCGAGCAGCGCTTCCTTTACGTTGAACGGCGCTGCAGGCGTGGCTACATGGGGTGATGATTTCGACTCGATTTTGGTAGCCATTGTGAGTTGGGCTCTACTCAAACTGCCGAAGCAGTCTCGGTACCTTAACGAATTACGAGTCATATAATGTCTAGGAGGTCTGAGGTCAAGGTCAGACTCTATCTCGACCAATTTCCGGGAGGTTTTCGGAGACGCGTCGCGTCGCGATTATGGCGTCCGGACGGAGACCCACCATCGTAAACGAGCGACATGGAGCTGATTGCTGTGCGTGCACGTGGACGTTGTAGACATTGACGGGCAGGAGTCTTCATTGGGAGAACTAGGACAGCAGACCGCTCGCTGAAGAGGCCTTGATCGTATACTGCGTACATGTATTGCCTAGAGGGGTGAATGTGTTGTTTTTTGGTGAGAGGTGGGTGGCTGTTGACCAGTCCATCTCCATGTCCATGCCCACTGGCAGTCCCCTTATTATCTTATCGATAATGCACCGTCAGCAGGCTGCAGCTTGCCCTGGGGCGTCTTGGCGCCGCTGGACCCCCTAATTAATCGAACCCCGGCCCCCCCGGGGCCTGACTGCCGCTGCGGCAATTCACCACCTTGCATCAACTTCTAGCAGCTTGACATATTGCTCAGTTCACACGAATCACAACCACTGTTTGAGACTTCAAACTTGTTTCATTTCAGACTTGGCCTCCCTATTTCGACGTACCAGAGCATGCAACAAAGTTATTCCCGCTCGCGCCAGTGTGGGTGATAGTGCCAGCCTGGCGGCACGAAGCCTCGGTGATGACAACGCGGTCAGGTCCAGGGGATCCTATTCATGGTCAGCAATTGATCATCATAGCTCTTTCCGCTTAGTACACTTACCTCCAGTGTAGATGCCGCTCGGCAGGATGGGGAACTCCTGGTAGGGTCCGTCCAGGCCCTGGAAGTTAAAGCCCTCGTAGTTGTTGTAGCGGTGCGGGTAGCTTGAGCTGCCCGCCATGCTGCCGCGGCGGAAGTGGTTGCAGGCGGCCACGGAGGCGGCGTTGACCTGAGCAGCCGAGTAGTACTGGCTACCGCAGGTGGCAGCGGCACGGCGCTCGAGGTCGGCGGGCGCCGTGCTGACTGTGGCCGCGAGGGCGAGGAGGACGGAGGCGAGAGAGAAGTGCATGTTGGCTGTGCTGTTGCGTGGGCTGCGTGGTGAGGAAGTGAGAGCCTCCAGACGTGGCATGGGCGGCTTCTCTTATACATGTCCTGTGCTGGCACGAGACACACGCGATAAGACTGCTCGCATGGTCGTTCGACCAGCCATATCGTCCGCTTGGTGGCATGTGGCAGCGTCGCAATGGAGGCCATCCATATTTTGGCTTGCAAGAGTATCAATGGGGAAGGTGGTTCTCTAGCGGCGCGCTTTGGCGAGCTCTAAAGCGCCGCTGTGGGCGCTTTCCGACAGCTCCTGATATTGGAATGCATGATTGGTGAGTTCCATGTAGATCCTGTGCTTTGGCGTCAGATGCTCGAGGCCAAGGCCAGCCAGCCTGCTGATCGACCACGGGGTTATCTTCACAGCCTTCGACAGCTTTCGTGACAAGTAATGTAATCCTGGGGTCCCCGAACCTTGTCTCCAGCCGGCCCGTTCCTTATAATTAGCCAATGGATGCAAAAATGGGGCTATTATGGCTTGCAAGCCGCAACTCGCAGGCCATGAATCCTCCACTCCTCGAGTCCTCACCCCGCCTTGAATCCCAGGGACCCAGATGCCGCTGGGGGTCTTGGTATGTCTTGGCAGCATCACCACGGGTGTTGATTGATTGGCGGCGGAGATCTGGCTGCCTTCATGGGACAATGAAGATAGCGGTCACTGCGGCATTTCCCATGGCACACGCATGTTAGTTAGTATTGCCGATTGGGCCGTGCATATGTAAGGTATTCAGCAAGCTGACTACCTAGCCCTGTGACCTCCTGTCGTTCACCCTCGTGGGCATGCAGTCTTGCAGATCACACTGGCTTCCTCGTCAATGTCGCGGGCTCCCTGCTATTGCTACACTGGCGCTTGGGTTGGTTTAAGTTGCCCTCGGTTTTGGCGTCAGTTCTGGATTTCAGTAGATCCCCGTGTCCGGAAATGAACAGAACAACTGTAGAGAGTGGTCAAGGCTTCCAAGTTCCACACTCATTTGGCCTGCGGATAACTCTACGCGTGAAACGCTAAATGCCGAACCCCATAGATACCAATACTTCGAACGGTGCATGGGGTTTTGCCGGACTACCCAAAGGAGAAAATTGCCGAGAAGTGGCCAATTCCAGCTCTCTGGCCTTGTTTACTGGGGTCAAACACTCATCCTCACTTTCCGCCTCGAGCATTGACCACACAGGTGGGCACGGCAAAGTCGCATTGACATAGCCCCGCCACACAAGGCCGGCACGCTGTAAGTTGGCCATGTTGCTCCGTTCTCTGGGAAGGTAGCAAATACCGGAGCAGAGGAGAAGTTTAAAGTCGAACAAACCTGATAAGCACTAAGATTCGGGATCACCTACTGCACTCCTGACCCCTGGCCCCTGAGGAGGACAGGGCTAGAATGCGGAGACTATTAACATGCCTGAAATGCCCATAGTCTAATTTCTCCATCCTCTAACTCGTTCTGTTTTAATTAGCTGGTGGTATATAGCCCACTTTCGTAGAATGCGGAGACCAAGACTATTCTGGGCAGCTTCTAAGACGTATGCCGAGTTCACAAGCGAGCCCACTTGCACAGATGATGAAGTCGCGTACTGTTGCCTTGATAGATGTACGTCTAATAAAAAGCGGATGTGTTCATCTTAATGTACTTCTGTTTTGGAGACTACTCAAAAACTTCAAGCATTTGATTGGCATTTGAAGATTAATGGACAGCCCATGACCATGGCACATCATGATTGATTGCGAAAGGATCCTGTTGAGGATGTTTGATTTGGGAGTGAGAAGCACTAATGGCAACTTGGTGCCTGATGAACTGGATATGCCAAGAATGGCCTTCCTTCCCTTTCTCTAAGAGCTTCTGCATCAATCCGGGTCATGGCACCTGCCCACCGTACCTTCCAACCCCCTCAGTTTGTCATGGTTCCCTCCAAATCTCTGAGGGACGAGGCACCATGACGTCTACATGGGCAGGCTCGACGCTTTGCTCCCCAAGGCACAATGAAGTGTAGACCAAACTCCTAGTCAGATCGTAAGGTAAAGTATGAACAAGAACAGCGGCGACCTCTCACCTTGCTTTCACGTCCCAAGGGGCCAAGACGTCAGGCAACTCTACAACTCTGTCACAGCCGGTTATTGTCCGTCGCCCTATGTTTGACTGACAGAATATAGCACCCTACCAGGAGAAAACTCTGGAACGATTCCAAGTCCTGTCAAACTTGATGACAGAAGAGCAAGCGGAACTGCCTCCCGACACACGAATGTTCCGACTACTCAACGCCACAGGTTCAGCAAATCCTACATGCCGGCATCACTAGGTCAAGGACAGCTAGACACTTCACGAGACGGGTGCTCAAATTTACTTGAAGCAAGTAGCCTGAAGCGAATGCACTGAAAGGCAGCCATCCAGCCCAGTCCACGATCCCGACGCCCACGGAGACTCCAGGGACATTGTCAACACGTGATGGTACGTAGCATAGGGACCCTGATCAACTGAAAGCGCCGGTCCGGCCCGATTACTTGCTTGACAGCGTCGTATGAATATCATAGCCCCATCATCGAGCGAGGAGTCTCGTTGGATGGAGCGCAAAGACATTGATTTGGGCCAATGGAAACAGCCGGGCCCCTGATGGCGGCCGGCACCGAGGCCATGGAGAAAACGATAGCCTGGATGTCCTGCAGGAGATACACAAGTACCTCTGCCCTGAAATGGCAGCTACCAAGCAGAGCTTGGCATCGTCTTCGGAAGTACGGCGTCCTTCAGGAACCGATACTGAGTTCGTCAACTCTATACAATTGCACAGGGGCAAGCTTGGACCCTGCGAAATCCAATGGACACTGGGAAGGAGCTGATCAACTTGGCCTGCGATACACAACACGCAGCCATCCGCACATTCAATTGTACATATACAACTTCACCTTCGCCATGCCATAATAACCCGACTAATCGCCGCCGCCCGATCTTCCTCCCCTCCTTATCTGCGGAGACCCCATTCTTGGCGACCAGGGAGCCCAGTTCTAGATCCAATGTGACAGGGTCGTTGCAAGTCCCAAACAGGCAGGTCAATCGATGGAACAGATGCGCCAACGGCGTACCAAGCACGCGATCACCACGTCCCAAGGCTGGTGGTGCTTCCAATGAAGACTGACTTCCACCAAACACCGAGGGCAGGGATCCGCAAACAGGAAGGTTCCCTACGCGCCCGTACGGTGGCTACGAAAGGTCCTGCGACTTGGCCTGCCGGCGACGCGTTCGCGCGATCATGAGGTGCAACTCGTGTGGTTGTGTGAGGAGCCGTTCCACCGGGTTTGCGGTTTGATCGTGGGATCGTAGGCGACTTATAAAAGTCGCTGACCCCCGTTCTCAGTGATCTCCCTGATTCTTGCCCACAAGGTACTGTGATCGCCAGACATAGCAGCGTCTAGCCAGTATGCAGTTGCTCAAGCTGTCAGTCGCCTTGGCGGCCGCGGCCTCATACGGCGTCAGTGCCCAGGATGCATTGGACGCGAACAACGCGAACCCCGTGGCCAAGAGCTTCATTATTGAGTACACGTCGGTGAGTTTGCAGACGTTCCACTTGTATCTCCAGACTGACAGATCGACAGGGTTCTGCGAAACGTCGGGATGGCCTCTTCACCCGCGATGACCTCAAGGTCGTCAAGAGCTTCGACAGCGCCATCTTCTCTGGCGCTACAGTCGAGACAGAGACACTCAATGTGGACAGTCTTGCCAGGCTGCCCAACGTGGCGCGCGTCTGGCCCAACATACCAGTGCAGCTCGATCCCATTACCGCAGAACTCCATGCCGACGCCTCGGACTCGGGCGACTACAGCACGCATGTTACCACGGGCGTATCAAAGCTCCACGAAATGGGATATTTTGGCGAGGGCGTCAAGGTTGGTGTTGTAGACACCGGTGTCTACTATGACCACCACGATGTATGAAGTTTCCTCTGCTCCTTTGCAGTGGTGTATAGGCGAAAGGGCTGACTTGTTTTGCAAATAGCTCGGCGGTTGCTTTGGCGATGGCTGCAAGGTCGCAGGCGGATATGACTTTATTGGTGAAGTTGGTAGGTTGCCCAGATCACTTCCCCTCGTTTCATAACACTGATCATTTACAAGACTGGCCCGTTGTGCCCAAGAGCCCCGATAACGACCCCACGGACGTGCAGGGTCACGGAACTCATGTTGCCGGTATCGTAGCTGGCAACAATGGAGAGTGCGTACACGTCCACTCAAAGCTCTGAATCCTCGATCGCTGACTGCTCTGTCTCCGCAGGGGCTGGGTGGGTGTCGCACCCAATGCCAGCATCTACGCTTACAAGGTCTTTGGTAATCTGGTGCGTCCAGCCACAGCCTCTGCTCGATTCTGTACGCAGCTAACAAGACGATAGGGAAGTACCGATTCGGCGACGCTGATCGAGTCTTTCTTGAAGGCATATGAGGATGATGTCAGTATCTGCTCCCAATCATGATCACAACCAGCTCGCGCGCTTACAATTGCAGATGGACATTATCACCGCCAGCATCGGTGGCCCTAGCGGATGGTCCAATAATCCCTGGGCCGAAGTCGCGTCGCGCATCGCCCGCGAAGGTGTCGTTGTCACCATCAGTGCCGGCAACTCCGGGTCTGCCGGCCCCTTCTTCGGGAGCTCAGGAGCCGCCGGCACGGACGTAGTCGCTGTCGCCTCCATCGCGGCCGAGAAGCTGCCCTCGACACCCTTTGAGGCTACCTTTGACATAGACGGCTCCCAGAACACCACGACCTTTGGCTATCTGCCGGCCACCAACTACTTCCCCGCCGCGGTCCAGGAATGGCCCGTTGTCGTGCTCAACCCTGACACGAGCGACCCAGCCGATGGCTGCCAGCCCTACCCCGAAGACACTCCTCGCATCGAGGAGGCCATCCCTCTAGTCCGCCGCGGCAGCTGCACCTTTGCGCAGAAACAGGCCAACCTCGAGGCCCTGGGTGCCAAGTACATCCTCATCTACAACAACGAGTCCCCCATCACGACCCCTTCCACGGACAGCACGTCGTCGCTGATTGGCATGATCACCGCCGACACGGGCGAGCTGCTCATCAGGGCTGTCGAGGACGGCGGCAAGGTCACGCTGGACTTCTCGGTCAACCCCGAACAGCCCTACGGCCTGGAGTACCCATCTGGCGGGCGCCCCAGCGACTTTACCTCATGGGCTGGCCTCTACGACCTGCAGCTCAAGCCTGATGTGGGCGCCCCTGGAGGCAACATCTTCAGCACCTACCCCGGCGGTGGCTACGCGGTCCTGTCGGGCACATCCATGGCCTGCCCCTATGTTGCCGGCGTCGCCGCTCTGTACATCGGCGTCCACGGCGGCCGCAAGGAGCATGGCAAGGGCTTCGCCAAGATGCTTCAGAACCGCATCATCTCCAGTGGCGTCGCGGTGCCCTGGTACAACATTGCGGTGCCGGAGGACGCCTTGATCGCTCCAGTGGCCCAGGTTGGCACGGGTCTGATCGACGCCTTCAAGGTCGTGACGTATAGCTCGAGTGTCGACTTTGCGCCCATCGCCCTCAACGACACCCACTACTTCAGCCGCTACCACGACGTCACCCTCCAGAACGACGCCGAGGACTCTGTGAGCTACAAGTTCTCGACGCAGCCCGGCGCCGGTGTCGAGGCAGCTGGCTGGTTCCCCCTGGCCACGGGCGGCGGGGAGTACAGGGTCCGGACCCTGGCCGAGCTCCAGCCGACCGAGTTTGAGCCCAAGGTCAGTCTGCCGCGCGACTTCACTCTGAAGCCCGGGGAGAAGAAGACAGTCAGCGTCAACTTTGACAACCCGGACAAGCTCGGCTGGAACGCCACGGCATTGCCTCTGTACAGCGGCAAGATCCTCGTGGCGAGCAGCAAGGGTGAGCAGCTGTCCGTGCCGTACTATGGCCTGGGCGCCAACCTCAAGACCGAGATGAAGGCGCTCTACCGCACCGGATACCCTCGCTCGACCTCGACCACGAAGAACACGCCGATCGAGACCAAATCTTCCTACAGCTTCGACCTCAGCGTCGACGCGCAGGACTTTCCCAAGATTGTGTCCAAGAATGTCTGGGGCACACGGGAGGTCCGATGGGACGTGAGTGCATTTTTTCTCCCTCGACCCAAGAGTAACCAAGAGACTGACAACAGAACGTGAAGATCTTCGAGGCGGGCTGGCGCGAGCGCAACTGGAAGTACCCCCCCGTCGAGGGCGAGAACGGCTACATTGGCTCGGTCGCGTCGTGGGTCGGCTCGGGACAGGTCGACGTCTTCGACCCCAGCATCCACGACGCCGACGAGACGTTTACGTACCCGCGCACGGATCTCATCCGCAACGCGCAGACGACGTCTGTGCAGCACGACTTTTGGTGGTTCGGCAAGCTGGGCAACGGCAGCCAGATTGAGCCCGGCAAGTACACGTACGTGAACCTCCAGTTGGCAGACTCAAGACGGGGAATAAAGAGACTGATGAATCTTGCAGCATGCGTTTCGCGACACTCAAGCCGTTTGGGGACCCGTATGCGGCGAACAACTGGGCGGTATACCAGACGCCTCAGATTGAGGTCACGGGCAAATACAATGTGTAACTGGCGTGGTGTGGTAGATATCGATCTTCTGTAGCTTTGTCAATGCTCATCATCTCAAGAAGGAATCAGCGTCCAAAAGCCTCCTACTGAATGACCGGTGCATGTTCCCCTGACCTGCCTGCCAGGCCGATCTGAATCTGCCTTATGAGTGGTTCTCATCGATGCCAAGCGATGACGGTTCCAAGCTCGGTTGCCCATCTCGACCAACGGACTGACCATAGGTATAGAAAGATAGATCATATTTTGATCTACATGTCCAGTCATTGCTGGGAAACCAAGTGGGCCTCCCTCGAACCGAACCGAGAAGACAAGGACAAGGGCAAGGCTCATATTCTGACTAGATCAGCAAGGGATTGCTAGAGGTGAATCTGCTTCCAAAGTCCGCCCAGAGCCTTGCAGACAATCAGTCCGGACTGTTGTAGGTGGTCTGCCCCATGATGGCCTCGCCTGCATTCCAACCGACGCACTGGCCATATGCGGGCACCGCCACCACACCACCCCGAGTAACTCGGCGACGCCTCGACATTCACTCTCTCATTCGTCCTCGCATCGTGGATTCTCCTCAACAGAGTGATTCCAGGCTCTGTGCCGCACGACATGCGTCGCTCGCCAATCGCCCGCCGTCCACCGCGCATGGTCGTGCAGGCGGCAGAACCAGGCTGCCAGCACGGACAGACGAGCATGGATAGATCGTCGTACAGTTGAGAATCCTTCGAAAGCACCGTGCTCTCATGCGTGGGATGGGGATGGGAATTATGCACAGACCAAACGAGCCTGCCTCTTTGTCTTGCCATCTTCCAAAAGGGCAGCACAGTCAGCTTGCTTGAGAGGGAGATCTCCCGCGAGTCTGGTGAACAGTGTCCTGCCTCTCCCCTCTCCTTCTTCTTCTCTTCCTTCTTCCGCCTTTCTTTGGTGTTGGAGAATCTGCACCTATCCGCCATTTGCACACAGATATACACTCCGTCTGCTTGCACACCACAAGCAATGCGCTTCGCCCTCACCACACACGTCCTGGCCCTTGGCCTCGGCCTAGTCTCCGTGAGCCAGGCGCACGAGAAGACGTGCTGGGCACCAGACGGCAAGACAAAGGCCGACAACGAGACATACGTGCCCTGCAACAAGCTCGGCATCGAGGAGGACGGCGTGCATTCGAGCTGCTGCAACCTCGACGGCAAGACGGACGAGCGCGACCTCTGCGCCCAGACGGGTCTCTGCAACAACGACGGCATCCTGTGGCGCGGGTACTGTACGGACCAGAGCTGGGAGAGCGCCGCCTGCGTCAACGTCTGCACAGACGAGTCGGTACGTTGGCCCCTGAGAGAGGCTTGCACATTTGCTCACTAAACCGAGCAGAAGGGCGGGAATGTCACCGGCATCGTCATGCTGACGCCGTGCGGCGACGGGCGGTACTGCTGCGGCGACACGACAGCCTGCTGCTCGGGGGAGGACGCCTTCTCCATCCCCATCCAGGAGGAGGTCATTCAGGGCGCCACGCACAGCTACGAGACCTACAAGCACGCCACCATTGGTCTAGCCGCGGTTTTTGGCGTCGTCTCGCTCGTCGCGCTACTCGGCATTTTCTGGCTTCTCAAGAAGAACAGGTCCCTCAAGGCGCGACAACAGGCATCCGCGCCGGCCATGAGTAAGTCGGCAGTGACAGCGCAGCAGCAGAACGTCGACCCGTATGTTCATGACCAAGAGGATATGCTGTGCACCGACACGACGAGCATGGCGTCGCCGCAGCACACCCAGTACCAGATGTACAAGCCGCCCATGTCGCCCACGATGGCCGAGGTGGACAGTAACCCGCACCGCTACTCGGAGCTGGATGCCACGGGGACAGCGACGAACACGACCACGACGGCGGCTTCACCGCACATGAGCTATAATGGTACCGTGTCGCCGCGGTTTGACGCGCCGTCGCATGATCGATCGTATGACGGGCATCGATAGACGGAGCGCCAGGGCAGGGCAGCAGGGGCGGCGTTGGCGGGCGAGTTTTCTTCTTCTTTTTTCCATGTACATAGTTGATATACTCATCGTTGAATTGCTGGTATTAGTCTGCTTCCATTCATTGATTGCCAGAGTCACTGCTCGCTCTCTCGCATAGCTCCCGTCTTATACGTGGGCCATGTCCCTGACTCCTTTCCATCTAGCAGTGGATACTGCCCGTGTCGTCAAAGGAAAGTCCGCCCAGAACAAATGTCCCCAACCAGACCCCTGAGAGCACCGAGAGGAAGTACCCCAGATTCATCGTCATGACGGCCAACATGCTTCCCAGGTGTCAGTCACCGTTCGGCAGAGCCTGATGTCGCACTTACAGAAGGTACCCGATCCCCGCAACAAAGAGCTCATACGTCGCCCTCGCTGTGGCGACAGACACCCGCCAGCCGGACCACTTGCGCTGGACGTCCCTCTTGACAATGGCCAGCGACTGGCGTGGCTGTCCAGCCAGCAGCCGGACCTTTTCGTCGTCCACTTCGGACTGGGCCACAGCCTCGGAGGCGGCGGCCGCGGTCCGCCGCCAGAGCCGGGTCTCGAGGATAGGGCGGAGGGCGAGCAGGACGCGCAGCAGGACGGCGAGGGAGAGGAGGAAGATGCATGTGCCGGCGTACTGCCCGTCGGTGGCGGGCGTCCACTGCGTTGACAAGAGCGGCGTCCGCGACGAGAGGAAGAAGGTCATGGACATGCCGGACATGGACGACGTCGATTTGCTGCTGCCCGTGCCTGTGGTGTTGTCGCCGCCCATATCCACGCCGCTCATGTCCGCGCCGTGGTTGGGGCCCTCGTGGCGTGGGAGAGACATGATGGCGTCTGTAGGTTGTTCGGAAAGACTCAACGTTGGGCTGCCACGGGCACCTCGCTGTACACAAGAAGGGGAAGAGGAACCGATCAGCAAGAGGCGACCGCCATAGATGATATGTCCATCAGAGCTGATTTTGCGCGGGGGTTGGTCAGCTGTGAACTTCCGGGCTTCTCCGTTATGTGTGAGCACGTTTCTCGGAAACTTGCTCACTCATGTATGTGGTAGCCCGCAACCCGGCACGCGAGACGAGACTCTTTGGGCATTGAAAGGCTAATGCGTATAATAAGTCATCGCCTTTTCTGCTCGGTGGAGGCTCAAAAAGGCTTGGCTGCCCCGGCTGTCGTCGATCACCTCCACATCTAGTCTCTGCGCTCGTCCTCGAAGAGCGGCCATTCATACAAAACATTATTATTCTGAGCCATATCTGGGAGAAATTGGCAGCCTCCATCATGTCTCTGCCTGGACTGTCGCAGCCTGTCACGCTGCACTCCAGCCGGGACACTGGCATGTGCATGCTCACCCCCGAGCAATGCGCCTACAAGCAGCGCCACTGGTTGTTCTGGTACGAGGCCGACCACAGGTACGCCTTCCCGACTCTCGCCTTGTTCTTGTGTACAATCATCGTCTTCGCCGTCGTCCACACCCTCGACGCCTACGGCCCGAACAGCTGGACGCAGAGCAAGCTTCGGAGGAGAGCGGCCGCCGCGACGCGATGGGCCTCCCTATCGGCGCTGGCGGGTCCGTAGCTGGAGCACGCAGTCCTTGGGCGCATACATGCTTGGCCTCGTCGGATTCGTCTTCTTCACTGATATGTCTAGGCGATCCTTGTGGTCAAGAGGATACCAGTCACTGACTACTGGCCAAACACCAAGGACATGAGCTACGTACACTCGCCCCCGATCGCGACGCGCGCGGGCTGGATGGCTCTTCGTCCGTCTGCCCTTTATCTTGTACGTGACAAGGTCCTCTCCTGAACAAAAGCTGACACGCCAGGGTCCTCGCCACCAAGGCCAACCTCACCGCTAGTCTGATCGGCACATTCCACGAGAACCTACTTGTCTGGCACAACTGGGTCGCCTGGGCCATGCTCATCCTCGCCTTGTTCTACAACTTTCCCTTTATCGTGCAGGGCATCCACGCCGGCGATACTGTCGAGCAGTGGGACACCGGCGGGCTGTGGGTGCGGGTGTCATCGCGCTCGTCGCCCAGGCCTGGCTGACCTTCTTCTCTCTCCGCTGGCTGCGCGAGCGGTACTACGAGATCTTCAAGATGACGCGCTTTTTCGCCGCGCTCATCTTTATCCTCTTCTTCTTCTTCCTCCACTGCGACGGCATCTTCACCTCCTGGGACTACTTCATCGCCGCCGCTGCCCTCCCTGTACGCTGTTTCCTGGCTGTGCGCGCACCGCCGCGCGTACCTCGAGTACAGCCTGCAGCACAAGGAATGGCTGGCCCTCGGGGGCGAAGAGACGCTCAAGATCGCCATTGACACCACCGTCGAGTGGACGCCCGGCCAGCACGTGTACCTCAGCTTCCTGACCTTGGAGCTGCACACCCGTTCACCGTCTGCTGCCTCCCTGGGTCTCGATGGAACGGCAAGAACCAGATGGTCTTTCACGTCAAAGCTCGCGGGGGCTTGAACGGGACGTCTGGCCAAGATGGCCCAGACCAACCCCGGCACCACGGTACGCGTACTCCTCGACGGTCCGTACGGCGGCATGCAGAGCCGATGGTACAGCGGCTTCGACCACGCGGTTGTCATTGCCGGTGGTGCCAGCGCCGGGTTCACCCTCGGTTTGGTTGAGGACTTTGTCGCCCGGTGCACGTTGACAGCAGCAGTCGCGCAAGACCGCAATTTGACACTGGTCCTGTCATCACGCGATCTCGAGCTGAAGAGATGGTACCTAGACGCCATCGCGGCGCTGCTGGACGCACAGCAGACGAAGGAGGGAAACAAGGAGGCGGCACGGATAGCGGGCTTGACTATTCACATCCACCACACTTGCATCGCGCACGGTTCGCCCGCGGACAGCAGCGAGGACAACAGCTTGCCTGCCAAGGTCTGGCTTCCATGATGCATGATGTGGGACAGGTCGCGGCGTCTGTACAGACTGATGTGATTAGGGGCCGTTAGAGGGTTTCTGAAGTTTGTTTCCACAAAGACAGCTTTTCGTCGTAGGTTTGCGTGTGGAAATTTGAATAATGGATTGAAGTCTTCGGAAACCTTTCAGCGTTTATTTCAACTTGTGGTCCTATCAGACCACTGTGAGAAACGCGGAGCAGCCCACCGCATTTCCCTCACCGCAGCTCGATTCATATTACTGTCATTTGAGAGGCGCAAGTTTGAAGTTATCGTCTCATTATCTGTTCCCCCCGGGGGTCACATCATCCATTTTAGTGGCTAAGCAACGCAAGCGACGGTGGCATGAAGGCTCTCAAGGGTAGTCAAATCCATCATAAACGACTAGACAAGAGCAGATACCTGATACTCTGCAGACCCTGCAGACCCTGCGGGCAATACACACAAACAAAACGAACTATGTTCCTGTCTGTCCTCTTACACCCGGGGCTACAAGCTGAATTCACTGTCGTGCCGGCAGCCAAATGAAGGACAAAGGTCCTATCACGTGCCCGGCAGCGCCACTTCATCATGGCAGCGGGAGACCCGGTTGGCACGGTTCTGACAATGACATGACAGCTGTCAGAAGAACAAAAAGCAAAAGAACAAAGAAAAACATGAACCGAAACCCCACGGCGTAACAGTTTTCCGAGCCCTCCAACAATAAGAACATGAATCGCCGCGCTGTTGTGCACGGTGGGAGACGTCACGAGAGGCTGCCTCGCATGTCAGGTTCCTGACGCGGTCTAAAGTCAAAAAACCTTCTTGAATACGGCGGGGGTGGAGACCACGTGGAAATCCATCCAGAGACGACGTGAGCTGGGGACGTCGGTCTTGACTCGTGGTACAGTGTGCGCGCGCCCATGGACCGAATCGACGTGAACCGGATGGCAGCGTTGGGGACGAGTGCGGGATGACTGTCGGCAGTCGCTATCCGCAACTTCGCTGTCGAAGAATCGGACGACTCGAAGAACTCGAACTGCAAGGCCGCCAAGGCGGGAACCAGCCGACTGCTGATGTGCGTGGAGATCCATGTCCCTGCCCAGAAACCCACACGGTCCATCTCACTCACGGTCGCGACAGTCGCCCAGGCACGAGAAGATAAATCCAGTCACGTCGTCAATATATTCAAGAGTGTATAGGTACAATATGTCCTCGCTAAATCCGGAACGCTTCCAGAAACTAGCATCCAAGAAGCCAACCCAATTCTTTTTCAAGAGTCGAATTCGAGAGAAAGAGCCAAAACGCAAAAACACCGCGCACAATCCCGTCAAGACCAAGAGTTCTATCAGCAGAGCATCTTAGTTGCCGCCCTCGTAGCCGACAGTGATGTCCAGCCAGACATCGCCAGCGGGGATGTTGAGGCCCCAGCCGTCCTCGGCCTCCATGCCCTTGAGGAAAGCGTTGGTGCCGGTGCCGCCAGGGTTAATGGTGGAGCAGGTGTCATGGCCGCAGATCTGCAGGCCGGGGATGGTCATGTCGTAGCGGGACGCAACCAGGCATGAGGCGTCAGCGCCGGACCAGCCGTCGTTGCTGGTGTTGGCCATGTCGAACTCGGCCCAGGTGGAGGCGTACTCGCCCCATTTGGTGGTCTCGATGCCGCCGACCTGGCAGATGACGCCACCTTGGGTGTTCTCGTCCACGGCCAAGTGCTGGGTGACACCGGCGGGGATCGAGAAGCTCTTGGCCTCCTTGCCCTTGAAGAAACCGTTGATCTCGTTGTTCTCGGGACCGATCTTGAGGTAGGCAACGCACTCCTGCTGCTTGTCGGAGGCGTTCTTGATGGCGGCAATGTAGTTGTACTTCTTGGCCACGTTGCTCTTGACGAGCATCATGTTGCAGCCGTAGTCGTCGGCGGTGCCAATGTTGCCCGTGTAGGCAATCTCGGCCACGGTGGCGCGCTTGGACTTGCCGCCGCAGAAATCGGTGTAGGTGTCGACGCCAGAGTCGCCGCCGGACGAGGAGGAGTCATCATCCTGGTCAGCCTGCGCGGCGGTGGTCTTCGCGGGGGCCTCGGCGGCGGTGGTGGTGGGCTCGGCCGCGGCGACAGCCTCGACGGAAGGCTGAGGCTGGACGTACTGGACGAACTTGGCCGCGCCGGCGGAGCGATGGGCGTGCTTGTGGGCGTGGCCGCTGGGGTGGGCAGAGGCGCCAATGGCGGCAGCCGCGAAGAGAGCAGTGGTGGTGAACTTCATTTTGATTGATTGAAGGTCGGTGATTCCAAGGGAATGTGTAGTGTCCAAGAGGCTTGCTTGGAGAGTGAGAGATAGAGAGAGTATGGGCGCGCAGCGCGGGAGTTGGACAGAGACCTTGAAGGAAGGGTGGTCTGTAGTGGTATTGAAGGAGTGAAGAAGGAAGGGTTTCCTTAACGTGAATGCGCGACGACTTGGAGAGTTGACGGTGAGAAGGGGAGAATCTAAATCGAGACGGGCCAGGGAGGAGATGAGTCTTTATGGACTGACAGGGGTGCGACGGCCGTGCCTGCTTTGTCGCGCTGGAGGGCCGAGCCAAAGGGGGCCCAGGCGGCCACAACAGCGCAGAATGGGCTAGTCCATTCCTGTCATAGCGCATGTCAGGGCGCGATTAAGCTCATGGGCTCGCCAGGAACAGGCCTCCCATGATTGGTCGACTGGAGGCTTGATCCACACACCTCGGCGGATCGACCATTTCCTCGCGGCTTCTCTCTTGGAAGTTGCTCCACGGGAAAAAGTCTTGTGCATAAGTGCCAGGTGTCACTGTGCAAGCTGTACAGTGCTCTTATGCAGGCACGCAGCCAGGCCAGCCAACAAAGGCAGGCCACGATGGAGCACCGAGAAGAGTTTTCTTCTTCTTCTCCTCACGGGATCCACGTCACCGATGCTGCCAGCCGGTAAGGAGCGGAAGAGATCGCAGGAATCGTGGCTCGCTGGCGGTGAATCATACTCACCCAACATGTGTCCGTCTCTGTGTACAAAACTTGCTGTGATTTGTGCGGAGTTTGATATCAGTTGTGCAAAGTTCAGAAAGCCTGTGCGCACGGAAATTGGTGCCGGGGCAGCCACAGCATGGCGTGTCCCAGTCGCCCCCGGCAGATGGTCGCCATCGCCCAATCTCAATGTGAAATTATGAAGAGGCCCCAATTACCTCGCCTTGGCAAACGTGGTTTCATCTGTTCAGCGCCACGCGAATCCGGGGATGCATTCAACCTGTCTCTGTGCGACAACCAAATCTGCAGTGTTCGTGAGAGTGACAGCTTCTTCACGTGTCACGTCTCGGGCCGCGAGGGAGCCAGCTCAGGCGCGCAGAACGCCCGAGTCAGACCGCCCACAAAATTATTCGCCTCCCACGCCGTCCTTACAGAGGACATGTCCACTGGAGGAGAATTGTCAGTATTCTGGGGCGGGTACGTACCTCGCAGTCCAGGTCCGTCCACGTCCAGGCCTCCAGTGCCAACAATAGAATCACCAGCCTTCCAGTCTTCACCTCTCACCGACCAGCTGCCCACTCGCCTGAGACAGCCTGACAGGGTCGTAGCCTCGAACCCCCGTGCCGAATTCCAGTCAAGGCGTCGCCCCGTCCCAGCGACAGCAATCATAACAAAGCGCGCCTGCTCAGCCTCGTCCGAGCTGACGACGACCACGTACATGCTGTTACGTAGAATCGACAGCAAGACACTGCGCCCTTTCACGCGGCCCCTCTCGGGCCACGACGTCGTCCGGGGATCCCTCCGAGTGGACGACGCGAGTCTCGAAAGGAGGGAGGGGAGGACTGTGCAGAAGTTCAAGCCAAATGACCCACAGCACAGGAACGTCGTCCGTCAGGTCCCGATGTGGAATCAACAAAACCTCTCATCACTTTGATAATCATGATGTTCAACTTATGTCAGTCCACACACTATGGACGGACGAATGTGCGCCCAACCAAGAAAAACAGGTCTTCACTCGTCCGTCTCCTCACAGTGCCCAATACATGCGCTGGCTCCCCACACTCGACAAATGGCATCACAGTTCGCCAGGGCCTCGCCGTCTTGTTGTTGCTTCTTCCACCAATCTCCATTGTTCTTGACATATGCTAAGTAGTTCTCCGGGTGACGCCCTCAGCATGATTCGCTGTCCAGTGACTTCAGTCTCTACGACCCTCGAATCGCTCTGTTCCATCGAGATATCCCTCACCATGGCTGCCTTGGACTTCGCTAGCCAGCCTTCTCGCTTCCGCCCACATGGACACCCTCGAAATGGCACCAGTCATCTGTGACTCAAGGAAGAGCCTCCGTACTCCCCGGCATTCTGCATATGCTGGGTACTTCATCAGAAGTAACTCCTCATCGCATCCTCGTAGCCCGTGCCGCCCTTGAGATCCCTCCCAAACCTCGCGTGCACATCGAGGACAAGCTTGACGTGCGCCACGCTCAGTGGCTCACCCTTGTTGACGGCCAAATCCTGTGCAGAGCCCAACACATTCTTGATCTCGCGGCCGTTCAGATCGTGCTTGGAGAGAGCCGCCATGTCATCTTCCGAGAATGGCTTGACCTCGATCTTGCCATGGGCCGTCACGCGATCCAGGAACAACTTGAAAATGGCACGCTTCGCCTTAGCATCGAGCTTATCATAGCGGAGAGCCACGTGGATGCGGGATTGAAAGGCTTCGTCAAACGTCTGCAGATAACCGTTAGCAAGTCCCGTACATTGCCTCTGATGAGAAGCCAAAGAAGCACATACCTCGACCCGATTTGTTGTGAGGAACAGGATTCCCTGGAAATACTCGAGCTGGCGTAGGAATATGCTCACGAGTGCGTTGCGGTGGATATCGGCCATGTTCCGCTTCTCCAGGAACACGTCCGCCTCGTCCAATAGTAGTATCGCGCCCCACGCATGACAGATATCGAGGATCCTCTGCAGCTCGTGCTCGAGGAAGCGCGAATCAGTTCCCAGCTCACCAGCCGAGACCATGTAGAGTGGACATTTGAGTAGCTCGCTGATGCCTTCGGCCGTGAGGGTCTTGCCCGTCCCGGGGGGTCCGTGAAGGACAGCTGGTGACTTGGTTAGTTGGGCCGCCGAAGGGGATTTAAAATACTCACTAACGAGGCCTTTGCCTTTTCCTTGGATCACGTCGTCGATTGTCGTGGCTGCGCTGAACTTGCGCGATTCCACCAGCGCCTTGATCAGGTCCTTGGTCCCGGCCTCGAGCACCAGGGAGTCCCAAGCCTTGTCGTTCCAGGAAATGTCCTTGATCCCTTCGACATCGAATTCAAGCCACTGCTTTTCCGCAAACGAGAAGCCCAGCACCAATGGCGAGGCGATCAAGTACTCCTCGTCCGTGAGACAGGGCACCTCAGCATCTGTGACCTCCTTTGCCGTCTCATTGGATGTTGAAGCTTCCGGCGTCTCTTGTCCGCCAGTTCCATCCTTACTGGGCAATTGCTCGAGCTGTTGCTCGGTCTCTTCCTCGCTAGACGAGTCTTTCGGTACTTGGACGAGATGCGTTGTGCCGCTTTCGTCTTGAACTGCTTTGGTCACATACCTGATCTTTGTGGTGCCATCTGCAGCGCCCGGTTCACCGTCGTCACCAGAGTCCGACTCGCCACACTCGCATTCCGTGTCCTCATCCGACGCGTCCGAATTGTCTCCAATGGTGACGGTATCGTGGTCCTTGGATTTGACGCTGGAGATGTAATAGTTTGGGTTGGTGCGGCGGAAGATGGCCGGGTCCACCATGATGCGACTGTTGGTAATGTTGAACTTCAAGACACCTTTTTTCCGCTTCATGAAAGCCATGCCTGAAAATGCCCTGAAATGCACGCCGCTGAGGGCAACAAACTTCTTGCCGCGCTCGATGAGGTCGTTGCGCAGTTTTTCCGCGTCCTTGTGGTACTCGAGTGGATAGCATGGGAGAGACGTGATCTTCCTCGCGCCCTTGAACTCGGCGATCTCCTCGGTCGTGGCCCCATAGCCGTACTTTTTGCCGTCAAACTCGAAATACTTGCCGGTGATGTGGTAAAACTCGCCCTTCATCATCGTGGAGTGCTTCTCGGCCACGTCGACCTTGAAGACTCCTGGAGTGTCATGCTGACCATAGGTGGGCGCGTACACCAGGGTGTGAGGCTTCCACAAGGCCCAAAGAAGGTCGTACGTGATCAAACCGCTCGAAAGCATGGGATCGAGGGTGTTCTTGATATTGTGGTAGTCCTTGGTTAGATACTTGAGCAGGACGCGCAGGTGTTTTCTCTTGTCATCCAGACGCTTCTGATTTTTCTTGCGTCGCTTCCGCGTGTCGCCCGCTGGCTCAAGCTCTCGCAGTGCACTCAGATGCGCCTTGAGCTCATTATAGTAGAGATAGAGCAGGTTGGGGTCCAGTTTGGGAACTTCATCCACCAAGCTGATGCCGCTGACATTCTTAATGACATCCTGCAGACATTCGCGCAGCAGCTTGCTCTTGATGTCCACGAACGTGCGGCGATACTTGCCCTCGTGGTCAAATGTGCGGCGTACATGGAAAACGTAGCCGTCGTACCGCGTGTCCACGCTCGTTTTCATCGTGCCCTGCAGCTTGAACATGTACAAGCTCGAATCCCACACCAGGTCCACTCTCTTGTAGTCAGGCTTTGTTGGCACCACGTCGCCGTCGTCGTCTACTTCGCCATCGTCATCTACCGGTGCAGAAGCACGAAATCCCCTGGCGCGCGCCGCAAGCGTGGTGGCACGCCCTGGGGCCGGCGGGAGCGGAGGCATGTTTCTGCCGAGTGACTGCCCCGTATCATACGAGCGTTGCAACCGGTCACCACCGAAGCTAGGAGGAGCAACAGAGCCGGAGAAGGGCGGGTAGCTTGGCGGTGGCGGGTATGGAGACGGTGGCTGAACAGAGAGCGTGGCAACGTGAGATGTTATCAGGTTCTCGAGGGCCTGCATGCGTTCCTCGATGCCTCCAAGCTGTCCTGCGGCCTTTTTCTTGTTTTTTGAAGCCTTCTTTCCACGGGGTGCGTCTCCATTGGAGTCTGTGGATGAGCTGTCTTCGTCTGAGGCGACGTCGTCAGCAGTCAATTTGCTCTTCCTCTTGCGCTTGCCTCCCTTGCTGCCATTGGTTTTCTTCTGAGACTTGCGATGCGGCTTCCTAGATGTATCAAGATCGCTGTCACCAGAATCAGTAGAAGTATCGGAATCGGTATCTTCTTCGCCTTCGTCGTCCGAAGAAGAGTCACTGGAATCCCCCAAGATTCTCGCCCGCTGGCTCTTAGATCCCTTCTTGGACCCCTTCTTGGACCCCTTGGAGGTTCGAGTTGTATCCTTGTGTTTCTTGGTGACCACCTTTAGCTTCTTGGCCTTCGATGCCACGGGATTCTGTGCTTCAGGCGATGGGTCGAGGGCCGTGCGACTTAGTCGTGGCTCACCCTGGTGGGTCATCGTACTCTTGGACGCAACGCCGGTATCGACGTCCTCCATGATCAAGATTGTGGTCAAAAGAAGAAAAAGAATGTGAGGAGGAAAGGAGGAAACTGTGAGGATAAAGGAAGGATGGTGGAAAGGGATGAGCAGGGGAGATTAACGGTGGCCGAGAGATAGGGCCAACCGTGAAAGGCGTCAGACGAAACGAGTAACGAGATCAGATGCACCGGTGAGGGGCGCGAAGAGATTCATTCACTCTGGCCCTGTGAAACATTCACTGTATGTTGCGTTAGTCGTCTGTTGTACGTCCCCTCTCCAAGCTAGGACAAACAAGTTGCGACGGCGTCTACTTACAGGCTGATTAGCCGCGCGACAAAGATGGATACGTGCGGATGGTACGGGCCACTGGTCTTCACGCGCCCACTCGTCCTCGTCCGGGCGTGTTGTGGAGAAATAGAGAATACGATGCCGAAGAATCGAATGATGGAATTTGAACGGGGTTTGAAGGCTGCGAATAGTCGTGAGACGAATGTAATGAAAGAAAGGTGATCAATCATATGCTGCTTGTCCCGTCAAGACTCAACAGGCAGCGCGTGATGCGCAAACGTTGGCAGTGAGTCACGGTCAAGCAGAGACAAACAGTTGAAAGATGAAAATGTATGTCGGGTGTAGCAGAGAAAAAGAATTAGCAGCTACCACTTTGCAGACGCAGTTCTCGTCAGCAACGATGACTGCAAGGCATAGTGGCAGCTGACGCATCGTGCTGGGCTGCACGACTCCAGATACCTTGCCTCACGCACGTACCTAGGCAGCAGCTGCCCACAGTCTGTCGTTCAAAAAGTCTGGATTGGCTGCGACGGCTCGTGCTGAGGCAGCCATGTTGATCGTGTACCGTGACACCATTGGCGATTTGTTGGTATTTGCTGGCTTTGCCTCGCCCCATTCGGGACATGTGGCTGCGTACGTACGCCATCGAAGGTGGCCTGCCGTCGTTTGCCATCGTCTCAATTGAAAGATGCTTGCATGAAGTCGTAGACAAACAGACCTCTTGTTTGTTTGTATGTGCGTGTTCGCGCGCGGTCATTTCAGTGCAAACCGCCAGGACACAAATGATGAAAAACCTTGAGGAATTGTCGCTTTGCTTTTGCCATCATGCACAATGACAGTATGGGCCGTGTCAGCTGAATCGCAGGGATATCGACAGTGACCAATGGTCGCACCGACAAAGTGCTGATGGTTTAGGGCTTTGGGCATCACTTTCAACCGCCTATCAGCAAATTCAACGTAGACAGCACCTGTAGTTAGCACCCGTAATGCCAACGGCCATCTTTCACGTCAGCTGCCCACTTCAACGGAGGTGCTTAGTCGGTGAGGGCTGTGAAGCAACATGGCTGACCGAGAATCCCCAGCCATCCTCGCAACGCCGCGCCTCTGTGCAGCAGCCAGCTGCGCTGCAGCATGAGTTTGGTTCGCTGCTGCCAAGGGCCAAGTCTGCCTTTTGCCGTCGCATAATCCATCTAAGATTGGCAATCGAGCGAACAACGGCGGCAGAGGCAACATGAGGACGGTCGCAAATTCCTTCTCCGGAAGCGAGTCTGGCAGGCTCCGTGTCGCTGTATGAGGTCTGGTGTCTCGAAGACGCCAATATTCAAAAGGCGGTCGGTCGGATGCGTTGGCCGCGCAGAACTATCTGCAATGCGCATACTAGACAGTGACGCCTCCCAACAGACAATACTCGTCGGCTGGTATCAGTGTCTTTTCTGGAGGGCAGGGCATGGCGCGACCGCAAACTTGGGACGTTGCCTGCATCTGCCGTACATAAGCGAGTCGTCCTTGACTGTGGGCCAGACAGTCGAGGATGCAGGAGAAGGCGGAAAGAGGTCCTGGTCAATGTGTGATCTCTACCAGCAATCAGGCTTCGCCATTGATCGGAGCTGTTCGTACCAGCTGCGAGCCTGCAACGGAGAGGCTGTGGTTCATGTACATCGGAATCTCGATGCAACATGTGCGCCATCTTTTTTCGTATTGCAGCAAAGCAGGCAGGGCCCACGCTAACAAACTTGGATGAAGTCCAGACCACCTTGGTTCGGCCTGCAGTGCAAACGCCAGACGCCCGCTAGCGCGATGTGGGGGGAAACGCCCGCCTGGCGCGAGACACTAACAGCGATAAGCGGCAAATTATGGCGATAAAAGCTATCACTGTTAACGCCCAATGCCTGTGGTCTGTGGGTGGCCTCACAAAACGTCATATTGGTTTCGGAGCACAAGGCGGCTGGCATTCACCCAAATCTTGCTCGCAATTGAGCAACCCTCCTTACTACAGCAAAGTGTTCAACCCTTCTCTGTATTCTACCTACACCGTGTCGATCGCAATCCCAAGGGCACGCGATCCCAAGTCTTGCTCGTCGCTGCCAGCTCTGGGTTCCGCCCAAGTGCCTGAGCGCTGATCACGGACGCGACTCAACAGATTGAGCGATAGAGTTGCTTCAGCTCGCGACTCTTCAAAATGGTCAACATGGGAAGATGGAAGGCACTGGACAGGATGTTTGGCTGGAATAATCACTCGAACGAGGGCCACCGGTCCGATCGCTTGTCCTGGCTTCACGAGGAGGAGACCTGTACGTTTCTTTCTTGCTGCACTCTGGGTGTCGCCTCGCTAACAAAGACCGCAGTACTCCCCCATCACGGGCAGAATACCCACAGCGCGATCCCGCCTGCTGATGTGGCCAAGACATGCCTGAAGCTACGACACCTGATCCAGGAATGTATCCCCTGCGAGATGGAAGAGAGCAAGGTTACCAGGGCCCACAGCCGCATCATCACGAAAAAGGTCATCGACGCTGCTAAATCAGCCGGCGGAGAAGAAGCGAGAGGATGTGTGGTTTTTTGTCTGCTGGTGAACAAGCGATGGTTCGCCCATGAGGCAAATGTCGAGCTGTGGGATGCCGATCTGCATCAACTACGAGCTGTGGCGTGTGGTGTGATCGCAAAGCAAATGTGAGAACACAGCACTACTATATAATGATTCAGTCACTGACAGCGTCCAGCATCGAGACAGAGGAAGATAATGACTATCTCATGCACGTCGTTCTCCTTCGCCGATATTCATTCCTGATCAATGGCCAGGCCACACGCCCACTCAACGCCATTGAGAGGGCTGTGGACTTGCACGAAGTGCGCGTCATTGGGTCCTCCGGGTACCAGAAGTGCATCAGTCACCTCTGGCGAGGCTGGCTCGTTCAGGACGAGGACGATCCGACCGTCTTCGTTGACTACAAGGACAAGGCCAATCCCAACTTTCTGGTGCACATGGACCCTGACCGCATGCGTGCACCGATGTATCAAAATGCGGCCCAGATGCTCTTTTCCATCATCTATTTGATCCTCTACACGTCAGCTATCAACTCGATCAACCCATCGGGCGAATTCGACGGAGCCGAGGTTCTTCTATATGTTTTCACCATTGGCTTTGTCTGCGAACAGGTTGTCAAATTCTACAAGGCCGGGCACCAGATTTTCGGCTTCTGGGATGCTTTCAACGGCATATTGTATTCGTTCTTGACGGCATCGTTCGTCCTGCGCGCCCTCGGTCTCTCTCATCGCGCGGGCTCCACGGACCGTACAGAATGGAGCGAACAGAGCTACAACATCTTGGCCTTTGTTGCACCGATGTTCTGGGGTCGTTTGCTTCTGTACCTCGACAGCTTCCGCTTCTTCGGTGCCATGCTGGTTGTCCTCAAGGTGATGATGAAAGAGTCCGTCATTTTCTTTGCCTTGTTGGTTATCATCATCGTTGGTTTTCTTCAGGCTTTTATTGGCCTGGACTTTGCCGATGACCTTGTGGCAGATGACGTCTGGTTCATCATGGAGAGCATGCTCAAGGCCATCCTGGGCAGTCCAGAATTCGATGGATTCGAGCAGTTTGGTCATCCATGGGGACTGATCCTGTACTACTGCTTCACGTTCATTGTGATGGTTCGTATTTCCGCCGGCTCACAGAAACCGAATTGGCTAACCACACCAGATCATCTTGCTGAACATCCTCATTGCACTCTACAATTCGGCGTACGAGGACATTTACGGCAATGCCGACGATGAGTATCTGGCTTTGCTTGCCCAGAAGGCGATGCAGTTTGTCCGTGCTCCCGATGAGAACGTCTATATCCCGCCTCTCAACCTTATCGAGATTGTCATTTCCGGTTTGTTTGAGTGGTGGATGCCCGGCCACGCGTACGAGATTCTCAACGACTGCGTCATGGGCGTGCTGTACTCGCCACTGCTGGTTGTTGCCGCATTTTTCGAGACCCGCAAGGCGGCTGACATTCGCTTCAACCGTTCGCGCGGTGAAGAGGACGACGATGTGATCGAAGAGTGGGAGCAAATGTCCTCCGATGTTGACGTGCAATCTGAGGAATGGGCCAAGGTCTGCGATGCCGCTAAGTCCAATGTCGAGGACGATCCCGCCATGGTGGAGCTGGAAAAGCTGCGCACCGACGTCACGGAGCTCAAGGCGATGCTCAAAGAAATCTCTCAGGCCGTCGGCGCCGACGCGAACAAGGCCGTGGCAACCGTTGAGGAGGAACAGGCAGAGCGTGAGCCGGTCCTGAAGGATGCCGGGAAGAAAAAAAAGGACAAAGGCAAGAAGAAAGACGTCACCGGGGCGCGAGGCAGTGCGAGCAGCTCTGAGTAGGGAGACCGAGCTGCCCAGCTAGCTGAGCGATTCCTGCAATGAGAGAGCTCCAGCTCGAGCAGTAGCTCGAGCAAAAGCTCTTGAGACGCAGGTGAGGATGTAAGGAAAGGCTATGTGCTACAGCTCCAATGTATTTTGAAGTTCTATCGAAGGCTTTCGGGTTTGCCCGGAGTAGGCGAGTCATGTTTTTTTCGTAGGTAATATGCCAGGCAAGCGAAGTTGGTCACAATGCAGATTTTCTTCTACTACCTCTGCCTGTGCTATGCAGCTTGATGGGCTTTGTAAGGTATTCATCTTCGGTGCCAGTGTTGTCTCAGTATGCGTCATGTGTATTGGCGGTTCTGGCTGAACTCCCAGAGTCCCCTCGGATTCCGTCTTGTGCATCACGCCCGGCCACGACACTTATGCCGGAGGGAAGAATTGAGGCACCGCCTTGTCGTAAGCCTCGACGTCTGGTGTAGTAAATGTCGTGAAGATGACACTATCCAATTGCTGACCATCCTCCGTCTCGATGAACTTCCGAACCTGCTCGCAAGCAACTTGCGCAGCATCGTCCTGAGGATAGCCATATACGCCCGTGCTAATGGCACAAAAAGCAAGAGTCCTGACGCCGTTATTCACCGCTACCCGCAGACATTCCTCGTAGCAACTCTCTAGCGTCTGTTTCGCCTGGAAAGTGGACGTCCTGAAATACACAGGCCCGACTGTGTGAATGACGTGCGCCGCTGGTAGCTCGTAGCCCTTTGTGATTTTTGCCTCGCCCGGCTGGCAACCTTGCAGGGTTTTGCACTCGGCGAGCAGGCGAGGACCTGCGGCGGCATGGATCGCTCCGTCGACGCCACCTCCGCCCAGTAGACTTGAGTTGGCGGCGTTGACAATGGCATCGACCGGCAGAGCTGTGATGTCACCTTCAATGAGGGAGACGCGGGCGTTGATAGACTCGGAATATGGTTTGCGGGGCTTGTCGCTGGGCTCCAGGTCACCTCGGTTGTACAGGTCGGTGACCGTGGGCAGATCGACCTCATCGCCATGCCGAGACATTTTTAATGTAGCAAAGCAATACTGGTCAGGGTTTCTTTGGGTTTCTTGAGATTGTAGACACGGTCTACGTGGATGCGCGAGGGCGTTCTTACGGTGTTGGATAGTAGATGTGGTAAGAGGGCGAGTCAACTGCGTCTGCAACCGTACCGGGGAGCGAGTCGTCCGGCCTGTGCGGTGTAGCTGCGAGACTCTGTGCGCAGCGCTCATTCAGTGCAGTAATGATCGCTCTTTGTGTGTCTTATTTGAGTCGTGAGTCGTGACGGCTCTGGTGGTTGCGGGCTTAATGGATTCGAGTGAGCTTGAGCAATGAGAAGAGCTGTATGGATCTAGGCCGCACGAAATTCGTTGGACCTCTCTGATGGATACTGTTTTTCGGGACGTGGAAGCGCGTTCATGCGTAAATTGGAAACGGTGAGAAATACAGAGTGAAGGGACCGGTACTCGTGGTTCTTTTTGTACGTACCGATGCAATATCTTCATCGCGACCAGTTTCCCTAGAGTTGCCAGTAGAGCTATAACTTATTGAACACGCTCGTGAAGGCATACTCACCGGGTAGAGTGATCAGTGAGGTAGGTCTAACTTAGTAAACTTAGTTAAATGGATGGATGAGATAACCTATACACACTCTGACACTACGCTGGAAAATCTGACAGGCAGCCACCATACCGGGAGAGCCAATTTTGTCTGTGGAAAATTAACTTAACATCAAAGTACATAGAAAGTCGATCCAGCTCAGCTACGGGAAGGTGCTAATATTCAGGTCTATTTGCGCCCGTTTCTATTGAAGCTCTTATCAGCTTATCGTGTTCCGCGTTGGCGGGGTCTCTGATTGTTTTCTTCTGCCCCTCGTAGCAATCGTCCTGATAACCCAGTCGGCCATTGACTCACTTTCCCGACACGCGATCCAAAAGTTGAGAGACGTTTCCAAGCATCCATCCGCACAAACTCTCGACTTGGAACACCCTGAAAACGCAATCATGGCTGAGGAAATCACCCAGAACATGCCCAAGCTTCAACTTGACGAGGAGACTGGCGAGATGGTCTCCAAAGCTGAACTCAAAAAGCGCCAGCAGAAACGCGCAAAGAAGGCTGCGCAGGAGAAGGCTCGCGCCGAAAAGGCTGCCGCTGGTTCTGCGCCAGCCAAGCCTAAAGCCACCGCGCCAAAGGCTGAAGAGACCGCGACTGACCCGGAGCAGATGTTCAAGGTCGGCTGGTTGGCAGATGTTTACAAGGAGAGGCCAGAGAAGAATGTTGTCACCCGTTTCCCTCCCGAGCCCAATGGCTTCCTTCACATCGGCCACGCGAAGGCGATTGCGATCAACTTTGGGTTCGCCAAATACCACGGCGGTGTCTGCTACCTACGATTCGATGACACCAACCCCGAGAAGGAGGAGGAAAAGTATTTCACAGCGATCAAAGATATCGTTGAATGGTTGGGTTTCAAGCCATATAAGATTACATACTCCAGCGACAACTTCCAGAAGCTCTACGACCTTGCGGAGGAGATGATCAATATGAACAAAGCCTACGTCTGCTCGTGTAACGACACAGAGATCAAGCTTCAACGAGGCGGGGAAAAAGGTGCCCACGAGCGGTATCGATGTGCGCACGCCGAGCAAACAGCCGAGGATAACCTGCAAAAGTTCCGGGACATGCGCGACGGAAAATACAAGCCCAAGGAGGTCTTTCTGCGCATGAAGCAGGACATTACCGATGGCAACCCTCAGATGTGGGACTTGGCCGCGTACCGCATCAAGACTGACCAGCCCCATCATCGTACGGGGTGGGATTGGAAGATCTATCCGACGTACGACTTCACCCACTGTCTGTGTGACAGTTTCGAGGGGATCACTCACTCTCTGTGCACGACGGAATTCATCCAATCGCGAGTATCCTACGAGTGGTTGAACAAAACCCTCAAGGTCTATGAGCCGATGCAGCGCGAGTATGGCCGACTCAATCTCTTTGGGACGGTTCTCTCAAAGAGGAAGATTATGAAGTTGGTCGAGGAGAAGATTGTGCGCGATTGGGATGATCCGCGACTGTACACATTGATCGGCATCAAGCGCCGCGGTGTGCCGCCCGCTGCGATTCTAGAGTTCATCAATGAGCTCGGGGTGACCACCAATGCTACAGCTTTGCCTGTGCACCGCTTCGAGCAATCTGTCCGCAAGTACCTCGAAAAGACCACGCCTCGTCTCATGCTCATCCTCGACCCTATCCCAGTTGTGGTAGAGGATGCTGAGCCTGCCGACATTGAACTTCCATTCTCGCCCAAAGACCCAAAGATGGGTTCTCACATTGTCAAATTCACCTCCACAATCTACATTGACCGTTCCGACTTCCGCGAGGAAGACAGCAAAGACTACTTCCGACTCGCACCGAACAAGTCTGTCGGTCTGCTCAACGTGCAGTATCCTATCAAGGCAACGTCGTTTACTAAGGACCCCGAGACAGGAAAAGTCACCGAGGTCCGCGCCGTATTTGACAAGGAGACGAAGAAGCCCAAAACATACATCTCCTGGGTTGGTACAGAGGGTTCCAAGAAGGTGGAGGCGCGCGTACACAACCAGCTCTTCAAGAGCGAGAAACCAGAGGATGTCGAGGGTGGCTTCCTGAATGATATCAACCAAGACAGCGAGGTGATATACCATGATGCCATCATCGAGAACGGCTTTGATGAGGTGAGGAGGCGGGCGCCATGGCCAGAGGCTGCTGGTGAGAGCGAGCTGGGCAAGGGTGGTCCAGAAAGTGTGCGCTTCCAGGCTATGCGTGTGGCATACTTTGTAGGTTTTCTTATCTTTCAATGCAGACAAAGACTAACATGTGGCAGGCACTGGACACAGACACCACGGAAGACAAGATTGTGCTCAACAGGATTGTATCATTGAAGGAGGACGCAGGCAAGAAATGAGGGATATGTTATCTGATATGAAAGCGAGCGCGCGAGGGAGCCAGTGCGTGGCGAGATGGGCACTCCGGTGGGTGTTATAAAATATAGACGACTACATGCGAAATATCAAATAAAGAGAAGACTGTCATGCTTGTCCAAGTTTACAAGGTGATCCGGCCGATGGCGAGTCTATAGTAGCCAGCCTCAAGCCATCGCGCAAGGCAAGCTCAGATTGACTCCCTTAGCATGGTTCTGGGCCTTCTGGCAGTTTTATGCGAGACATTGCAACTGTCGGTGAGCAAGGCCCATGTAAGCCTTCAGATCGTCCGGGGCCCCGCGAACAGCCTGGGGTCAGTGCGTCGTGAAGGGGTTCAAACTTCAAAGTATAGCGAGACCTCTCTCTTTGCACATTGTACATAGATGCGGGATACTTTTCGGTTCTGTGCCACTCATTGCCACGTTGTTAAAGAGAGTTGGCCGTAAGGATTGGTACATGTAATGGTGGGAGATAGACCGGGGCCACTCAAAGCTTGATAGTGTGACAATGTGGCTCTTCGACTGGGGCTGATACGAAGATATGTTCGTTTATAGCGTCTGGGTCTTGATGACACTGGATTTGTGAGAGCGACAGCGCTTTGCTTGGCGAAGACGGTGATGAAGACTGGTGAGGCCACCTATTGCCTGGGATCTCAAAGCGCCATGTGGCTCAGCGAAGCCCTGAAACTTGGTCAGAATCATCGTCCGCAATATGCCTAAAGTAAGTGTGTGGCAAATGTCATCATGAGCGGGAAGATTCTGCCACCATCAGAATCGGTGAATCCTAACTTGGACTAGCTGCCCAGGGTCCAGAATCACATCATGAAAGCTAGCGATGGGATCAACCCTTCCCTTGGCTTCTGAGCGCGTCAATAGAGAGATAGTTGTCTAGAGAAACAGCTGTACTAGAGCGAAATAGCTCAGATATTCAATGGAGCAACGTTTACCGGCCACCTCAACATCTTGGAACCAAAAGTCGGAATGCCATCCCAGGTTCACCGCTTTGGCGATTCGCCCCCTTCTGGGCCTAGCGCGCCCGCGATAAGCCACGATAAGCATGCGCCGCCCCGCCAATGGAGGGGCAGAGTTTTTCAAACTGGGCGCTTGAGCGTTCATTGAGGGGAGGAGCACTGCGCAGAAAAAAAATTGTGGTCGTGCTCGGCGGCGAGCCTTTTTCAGAAAAAAAAAAAAAAACCTGGCCCTCCCCTCCTCAAGTATCTTTCCCTCTTCTCCCAACCCTTCTTCCTTCATCATCCAACTTCTTGAGACTGGTCCGTCTTTTCCTCCAAGACGAACCGCGTGGACTTGATTCTTTCATTGTCCTCCTTTTGATCTCTTTTCTTTCCTCTTGCACGTGTTGTTCGTTTCCTCCACGAACAGCCCCGCACTCTCAGCACAGAGTTCGACCCCTCCATCGACACTCTTGCCCTCACCAGACTCAGACGTTCAGTCGTACTAGTCTGTCATCCAAGGAATTTTTCGCCTCCACGAATCTCTTCCGACCTTTTTATATAAACCGACAAGATGCCTTCCGAGAACGCTCAGTCCGTCAAGGTGCTCGACGAGCTCTTCCAGAAGCTCACCGTCTCCACCGAGGCCGCCGCCATCAAGGAGACTTCTGGCGAGATTGCCGGCTTTGTCAACGGCCGTATCGAGGACCAGGATGTGCCTAACAAGTGAGTCTTGCCAATCTCTGAAAAGCTTGCGGTTGCAGACTGCTCTGTATTCTTGGAATGGGCGAACATTTTTATAAAGCTTATAACCCAAGTGCACAAGGAGGGAGGGGGAAACAGCGCCAGCGCCAGCGCCAGGGTGCTGCCGTTTTTTGCCCCTCACCAGCAATTCCGGCGCCCACTAAAAATTTTCAATTTGACGCCCGTTCAACGTACTAACAATTTGATAGGCTCATTGAGAACCTCGAGAAGCAGTTGGCCAGCAAGAAGGATGCTGTCGCCCGTGAGCGCGCTTGCGTCGCCATTGAGCAGATTGCTGCCCACTCCGAGGTCTCTGCTGCCGTTGAGCCCTACCTCGTGGTCCTCCTCCCCAAGGTCCTGGCTGCCGTCGGTGACAAGTCTGTCAACGTTAAGAACGCCGCCCAGGCTGCTGTCCTCGCCATCGCTGGCGCCATCAAGGGCAACGCCTCCAAGGCTGCCCTCCCCCACATCATTGAGTCGATCCGCAACGCTCAAAAGTGGCCGGAGAAGATGGCTGCTCTTGACTTCATCGACGCCCTGGTCGTCTCCGCCCCTGCCCAGATCGCCTACCGTGTCCCCGAGTTGATTCCCGTCATCTCCGAGGCCATGTGGGACACTAAGAAAGATGTCAAGGACCGCGCCTACAAGGCTATGGAGAAGCTCTGCCAGCTCATTGTCAACCGTGATATCGAGCGCTTCATCCCCGAGCTCATCAAGTGTATCGCCAAGCCCGAGAACGTCCCCGAGACCGTTCACTTGCTCGGTGCCACCACCTTTGTCACTGAGGTCCAGGAGCCTACTCTGGCTCTCATGGTCCCCTTGCTTGACCGTGGTCTCGCCGAGCGTGAGACTGGTATCAAGCGTAAGGCCGCTGTCATTGTCGACAATATGTGCAAGCTTGTCGATGACCCCAACATTGTTGCTCCTTTCTTGCCCAAGATGATGCCCGGTCTCCAGAAAAACTACGAGAACCTGGCTGATCCCGAGGCTCGTGAGAAGACCAAGCAGGCTCTGGACACCCTCAACCGTGTCGGCAACGTCCAGAACGGTGTCATCCCCGAAGCCCGCAATGATGGTGCTCTCAACATCGTCCTCGAGAAGCTCACTGAGATCCTCAAGCCCAAGTACGGCAGCTACCTGGAGAAGATGGGTCCCCTCGCCGAGTACATTTCCGCTATTGCCGGCCAGCTCGTCGACGAGAAGGAGACCGAGCCCATGATCTGGGTCGAGAACCTAAAGCCTTACGTTGCCGTCATCACAGGTATTGACAACGCTGAGGCCGTCATTGAGACTCTCCGCAAGAAGGCATCTCCCGGTGCTGCCGACGAGGCCGAGGTTGAGCCCGATGAGGAGGAGGGTGAGGATCTCTGCAACTGCACCTTCTCCCTCGCCTACGGTGCCAAGATTCTTCTCAACCAGACTCACCTGCGTCTCAAGCGTGGTCAGCGCTACGGTCTCTGTGGTCCCAACGGTTCCGGCAAGTCCACCCTCATGCGCGCCATCAACAACGAGCAGGTCGAGGGCTTCCCCAAGCAGTCCGAGGTCAAGACCGTCTTCGTCGAGCACGACCTTGACTCTGCCGATACTGAGATGACCACCATTGACTGGACCATGAAGAAGCTCGAAGAGGCCGAGGTCACGACTAGCCGTGAGGAGGTCGAGAAACGCCTTGGTGAGTTCGGCTTCAACAACGAGATGATTTCTGGTGAGATCACCGCTCTCTCCGGTGGCTGGAAGATGAAGCTGGCTCTGTGCCGTGCTGTCTTCGAGGCCCCCGACATTCTGCTGCTGGATGAGCCCACCAACCACATGGACGTGAAGAACGTCAAGTGGCTCGAGGAGTACCTCATCAACTCCCCCTGCACCTCGATCGTCGTCTCCCACGACTCCGCCTTCCTCGACAACATCTGCCAGCACATTGTCCACTACGAGCGCTTCAAGCTGAAGCGCTACCGTGGCAACCTGGCCGACTTTGTCAAGCGCGTGCCCTCGGCCAAGTCCTACTACGAGCTCGGTGCCTCCGAAATAGAGTTCACCTTCCCTGAGCCCGGTTTCCTCGAGGGTGTCAAGACCAAGGCCAAGGCCATTCTGCGTGCCACCAAGATGACCTTCCAGTACCCCGGTACCTCCAAGCCCCAGATCCAGGACATCACCTTCCAGTGCTCGCTCGGCTCCCGTATTGCCGTTATTGGCCCCAACGGTGCTGGCAAGTCGACCCTGATCAACGTGCTCACCGGTGAGCTCATCCCCACCAAGGGTGAGATCTACCAGCATGAGAACATCCGCATTGCCTACATCAAGCAGCACGCCTTTGCCCACATTGACGACCACCTGGACTCCACTCCCTCCGAGTACATCCAGTGGCGCTTCCAGACTGGTGAGGATCGCGAGACCATGGACCGTGCCAACAAGATCATCACAGACGCCGATGAGAAGGCCATGGACAAGGTCTTCAAGATCGAGGGTACCCCCCGTCGCGTCATTGGCATCAACTCCCGCCGCAAGTTCAAGAACTCGTACGAGTACGAGTGTTCGTTCGCCCTCGGTGAGAACCTTGGCATGAAGAACGAGCGCTGGGTTCCCATGATGTCTGCCGACAATGCCTGGCTGCCCCGCTCCGAGCTGTTGGCCTCTCACCAGAAGATGGTTGCCGACGTTGACATGAAGGAGGCTCTCGCCTCTGGTCAGTTCCGTCCCCTTGTCCGTAAGGAGATTGAGGCCCACTGCGCCAACTTTGGTCTCGATGCTGAGCTCGTCTCTCACTCGCGCATGCGTGGTCTGTCCGGTGGGCAGCGTGTCAAGACTGTCCTGGCCGCTTGTTCGTGGCAGCGCCCTCACTTGATCGTCCTAGACGAGCCTACCAACTACCTGGACCGTGACTCCCTCGGTGCCCTGTCCAAGGCCCTGAAGAAGTTTGAGGGTGGTGTCATCATCATCACTCACTCGGCCGAGTTCACCAAGAACATCACCGAGGAGGTCTGGGCCGTCATGGACGGCAAGATGACGCCTTCCGGCCACAACTGGGTGTCCGGCCAGGGCTCTGGTCCCCGCCTCAAGGGCGACGACGATGAAGAGGAGGAGAAGTTTGACGCTATGGGCAACAAGATTGTCAGCACCAAGAAGAAGGCCAAGCTGACCTCGTCCGAGGCTCGCAAGAAGAAGAAGGGTAAGTAGCCCCATCTGACTGACACTTTTGCGACCAATGCTAACAATCATTTGCAGAGCGTATGGCCCGCCGCAAGCGTGGTGAGGAGGTTTTCTCCGACGAGGACGACATCTAAGCGCTTCCTCTGGCAGAGAACAACAAACCCCCTCTTCTACTACCCGATACGCATCCACCCACACGACCCTGACGAGCCCGCCCTCCCTCTTCAGCATGATTATATTTTTCCTTTGTCGCATAATGAATTCCCTGAGCAAAAAGTACCTTCTTTCTTGCCGGTTGGCCGGAATCTTTTTTTGGTCTCAAATGGATGCAGCCTACGACGTACATACCCGTTGGCTGTGGATAGAGGAACTCATGATATGCTCTTTTACTAGACTAGACTACATCTCGGGCGATAGTGTGTACCGGGGGCGGGAGGACTGTCGGATGGGTTGGAGGACCTGTACTGACTTGGTTCGCCCACCTTTTACTGTCACTGAGACGCCATGGAGGAAATGGCGACAGATAGAGCCAATGAATTCGTGACGACCAAATTGCGTGTCTTGAATTGAGTGATGACCGGCTTTCCGGTGGTGGTGTGTGTGTACACTGTGGTCTTGTATGCTAGTCCACGTTAGGGCAAGCCAGCAACGTCCAGCCCAGTAAGGAAGTGTCACGGGATTGAGTTATACAAATAATCCTAGCACGTGGTAAAGACTCGGTGCACGTGCATTCTCGGGCATTAAGCTAAGGTTGATATTAAAGATTTGGTGTCAAATTGCCCACTGACGCAAACTTATATTACAAGTTTGCCTAGCGCCGCAACGCAATACATAGTTTGCCGGCATCGTCGTAATTCAAACGCAGAACAGGCAACCATGTGGAAAGTTTAGATCCGGCGAGCCGGCGAGCATTGACTTTGGTATAAGTGAGTGTCAAGCTTCGAGTCTTCTGCCACTGAAGTTTGGGCCTGTCAAGGCCAGGCGCCACGAAGTGGCGAGTTTGGATTCATATATGGTCTTCAGCCGGAAAGTCTTCTCCTCGGCCGGGTAGAGCTGAGTGCTGTTCTTTGTAGTCAAGCTTGTTCCGCAAAGTCAATGTACAATACAAGGTTTGAGTACATGACAAGCGTGTCGTCGTCCTCCCTTGAACACAAGATGCTGGATATGGCTGCCTGCTTGCTTGGTCCGCTGACGAGCCACAAGAGGTCCAGAGGCCTGTGATGAGGTATGTCATGGTCCAGCACTGTGCTGTCATATTAGCATGAAGGCACAGCTCTTCAAGAGCCACGATTTCGGAGCCTTGTTCCGCTCTGCTACGCCTTGTCTTCCGGGCACTTGATACATACTAGTCTCGCGGGATTCTGTATCTCAGGGTTGTAGGGTCCTATACACTGGTGCCAGTGGCTGAACTCATTGACGTAGAGTTTGGGTAGCCAACCGCCACAACAAGTGAGTAAACAGAGTCTTCGTGCCAAACCTTGCTACCGTACAAGTGTCCCACCTCTCCCCTTTAAATACGTGCACACATGCCCATCTACTTGCTACCATACATACATGCAAAGCACCCACCGATAGTGATCGATCATCTTGACCTATGCCTCGTATACAACGTCCAGTACGCAGCTGTTACCGCATCTCATGCCTCGAGGCAGACCCGCGGCGGGTCCCAAGCGCCATAAACCACTTCCTGGTCCCGGTACATTTGGCGGTCCACACCACTCCAAGACCATCAACAACCTCCGTGTTGTTCAACCGGGGGCGATCCTCCCGACCTTGCGAGCGGTCAATGTAGGTTAACCGATCCCCGCCCTCGGGGAAACCGTTTCAGTGGGTGAATGTGCGTTGACACTCGTCTCGAGGGTGCTGTAAATGAATTAGTAAACGGCGATCGATGTAAGTCCTGCCCGTCTCCTCTGCTCTCCCTCCGCATCTTGTGATCCGTACCGTGACGAATACTGACGCGGGCGGCCATCCCGTAGCTTCCCTTATGCTCTCCGAGGCTCGTATGCGACACATTACACGAGAAGCCCAGATAAACGCCTTGATGGGGCGCAGGGATGCGCATGGCAACCTGATCAACGTCTTGGGATGTACCTGCGGCGAGGTCTACCTCGAAGGTTCGCCAGAGCACATTGCCCACATGAACCCGCACATGTTACTGCCGCCCAACCTCCGGGAGCTCGGAGACGACTACGGCACGAGGATGAGCCACAGGCACGCGCGGGCTGTGGCTGCTCTGCAGCATGTGTATGGGGAGAATGGCATGGGCGCCGTGCAGGGGCGAGGTCGAGGGAGAGGACACGGTCCAGTGCCTCGAGGTTTTTCAGTGCCCCGAGGTTTTCCAGTGCCCCGAGGTGGTCAAATGTTCGGAGGTGGACAAATGGTCCGAGGTGGTCATCGGATGTTCCCAATCGATCATCAAAGGTTCCCAGGCGGTCAACAAATGATCCCAAGTGGCCATCAAATGGTCGCAGGTAGCCATCGAATGATCCCAAGTGGTCGCCGAATGATCCCAGGTAGCCAAAGGATCCGAGGGGACCGAGGAGGGTGGCCAAGCGCACGAGGTTGGCATCCCGGCGGGCGAGGTGGCGGCATGTCCGTGCCCTCCGCCCTTATCGTGGCGGACCAGCGCAATCTCCATGCTCTTCAGAACATGCGCGTGAGCGAGGTCAATGAGGACTCCAGGGCGGCCATGCAAGAGATTATGCGCGCGTGGAACCGGTGATGGGTATGGTCTGCGCAGCGGCGGCGGTGAAGGTAAAGGGGGAAAAGGGAGATGAGGGTGCCGTGCAGAAAAGGTTTGGCATTGCAATTAATGGAATGAGCGACTGCGTTAAGGTGGGAGATTCTGGTAACTATTAGTGTACAGTACGAATTGGACCCGAGTTGAATTTTCCGCCAGCGTCCGTCACGTTGGGCATTTATATCCTTGAATCACAACGCGGTAACTATCACGGTGCGGCAGATGTAACTTGAACAAGTTGATCATTATCAGACCTTGGGGGGTATATACTATGGCAATTATTAATCACCTCAACAGGTGATTTGTCCGTCCATCCTCGCGCAGCCGAGAACGTGAACTACTTGGCCTCGTTTTCACAGCAACGAGACAACCGAATACTCCGATTCGATATGTTCCAACAAGATGATACACCGTCACACGTCGCTTCACGTTTAATCCGCAGCGTGCTTTGTGTGTCTCTTGATGCCAACCAACCAGCCCATCTCCATCCAGAAACCGGGAGGGTCGTGGGTGAACTGCGACTCGTAGCGGTCGATGGTGGGCGCCTCCCAGATCAGGTCGGCCTCGTGGGGGCGCACGAAGCGCGTCTTCTTGATCACCTTCCAGCCGATGAAGAAGATGGGCATGATAACCTGCATGGTGTAGCCGCGGAAGAAGCCCTCGGCGGTGAAGTCCTTGAACACGGCGTAGTTGTAGCCTAGGCAGACGAAGAGCTGCACGCAGATGGCAATGTAGGCGCCGTACGGCTGGAACCAGCCTTTGTAAGGCAGCTTGTTGCGGTCGAAGCCCTGGGCCTTGCAGGCGCGGTGGAAGAAGATGTAGGTGGTGCTCATGACGAGGAAGTTGATGATGCCGCCACCGGTGATGAGGTCGACGAACCAGCCAATGACCTCGGCGGAGCCGCTGCCGCACTGGAGAAAAGACAGGCAGGGGAAGATCATGACGACAAGGAAGCAGTAGATGGGCACACCGTTGCTCCATGTGTACCGGAGGAAGCGTGGGGCGCGACCCTCGAGGGCGAGGCCGTAGAGGGAGCGCGTGGCGCAGTACGTGTAGGTGTTGCCGGCGGAGAAGATGGAGGTCAGCATGAGCGCGTTGACGACGCTGGGCAGCCCAGAGATGTACATGTTGTTCATGGCCATAACGTAGGGCGAGGCCGCAGCTGAGCCGTCGGAGCCGCCAGTCGCCACGGCCACCAGGTTAGGATCGTTGTAGGGCAGCACAATGCCGACGCAGAGGGCCGATCCAAAGAAGAAGATGGCGAAGCGCGCGTAGATGGTCTTGAAAGCCGTCTTGATGTAGTATCGGGGGCGTTTGGCCTCGGCAGCGACCATGGAGATGTACTCGGGGCCGACGACGGCGAAACCGGCGTTCCACAGCGCGGCCAGGAAGCCCTCGAATCTGCCTAGCGAGCCGGAGGACATGTACTCGGCAAAGGCCCCGGGTTTGACCCAGTGATAGAAGCCATAGGCGTTGCCGGTGGGGTTGCCGCCGACCATGGTGATAAAGGTGAAGAAGAACAGCATGAAGATCAGGATGACCTTTCCACCGGACAGCCAGAACTCGGCCTCACCATAGCCCTTGACGGCGAGCAGATTCAGTGCACTATATCACGAGGCAATGTTTAGTAAATGTCTCTTTTCTGGGGGGGAAATTGGCCTAGAGCGATGGGAATCGGGCGACGGTTCATCGTCACGGGGATTTTCCACACGTTCCAGCGGGACCAGTCTTACGCGTAGAGGAGGATAACACCGATACAGATACCGGCCGTAGGACCGGGTTTCTTGATTTCTTCACTCCAGTATCCGAGAACGAGGTTGATGGCGGTGATTTCAAAGGGAATCAACAGTGCCTCGTAGATGAAGAAGTTCCAGCCTGCCATGAAGCCGAGGGCGTCGTCGACCCAGTGGCCGGCGAGACGGATGAATCCACCAGACACGGGCATATACGTCGTCATTTCAGCGATCGAGTTGTTGACGAGAGCGAGGATACACGGGTAGAGCACATAGGCGATGAGCAAGCTGCCTGGTCCGCCGCGGGCCAGGCCATTTCCGATGCTGACGAAGAGCGCGGTGCCAATGGAGCCGCCAATGGCAATGAGCTGGATCTGACGGTTGTTCAGGCGACGCTGTAGACCGTCGGCGTTATCTGCAAAGTGACTGTTCTCGGCCTCGGGGTCCGCCGAGACTTGGCCATCGTACTTCTTCTCCGCCTCTGGGGACGACATGACGAATAACGTGTCGTGACACCGGTGGTCACTTCTTTCTCACGCCTTCTCGTCTGTGTGTGGTGGAGGAAGGTAAGGGAGGATGAGGGTGATGGAAGGGGGAAGAAAGGAGAATGTATCAATGGTACGGGAGGAGGAAGAAGGAACCTGAGCCGGTCGAGGATGCGACAAGGCGCATGTCGAGGCATATATAAATGTCGCATGCGGCGAACAGTAGGCTAGGCTAGAGCAGCGCATCGCATCCTCTGCATACGTTCAGAGGTTTTCCTCCCCTCCATGTCTCTCCACCACGAGCGGCGGGATGCGCGAGGTGGACGGGGGTCCACTTGTGGATGTTGATGAAGGGGGAGTGGGGTCTGCATTCCAGCTGTCCGAGCGGCCAGGCCGCAGGCGAACGAGCTTCCGCTAAAGGTACCTTTGGGGTGGCGGCCCCGCGACGGAGTACATGGGGAAGTCCCTGTAGCATCCATCTTGGTCCCTCGGCATTTGCTCCACACCCACCGGGGCCCCCTGGGCGGTCCAGCAGCGCGAGATGATGGAAACAACCCTGGCGGGGCCTGGATGATGTCGTTGTGCCTGTGCTTGCCCTGACGACAGTGCTGTTTGCTGCACTGTCACCTACGGGCAGTAACAAAGGAGCACGCGACGCGCCATGCTTGCAGGGTCTGTGTCTGCAAAGGTGCCTTCCGAAAAAAAGGGTTTGCCCACCATCGATGGCATCGATGAACGCGGGCGGCGGGTGAAGATGCGCGTGGAGGCATCCAACATCGGTGGCCCCGTCCTCCCGCTTGCTTCTGGAAGGACTTGGCTGGCTCTGGCCCTCTGACGGACAGGAAAAACCCCCCGATGCGGTTGTGGCGTCTGTCTGTGTGTGTGTGTGAGAGAACAGTGAGACCGCCTGCCCCCCTCGCCACCGGGCACCGAGTCACCAACGTCGAACCGCGTGGGGTCGGGCAAGTCAGCCTCGTTCCAGTACTTGCAGCCACTGGCGATCCAATTGCAGGCCAAATGATTGGGCGCTTTGGACATGGACCCGGTGACAGAATTTCACCCTCCCAACTGCAGTCGTTGCGCTTATCACCAGACTGCACCCTCCAAATCTGAATCCGACTCAAGACTCGGATAAAGCACGGCATCCTCGGTGCTGAGATCCGCGAGAACAGTCCTTTGCGGTGCATCTCGCCGTAATGGCCGGTCAGCTGATCGGTGGGCGCCGAGGACGACTGGACTCGACAGCGACCGTTAGGCCGACTTGGCATCCTTCGGTGGCCGCTCGCTGGAATCAGTTAGCGCGCGCCCGGCTGTGGCTGTCAAGGGTTCACTGAACCAACCGGGAAGGCAAAAAATTCAGAGGCTGCCTTGCCTGCCTGCATAGAGCCCATGTTATCACCAAAACCGAGGTGGTTGCTCAGCTTGCGCTGATGACGCTGACTGGCATTGCAGCGATACCTTAACGTAGATCTGCTGATCTTGCATGGTCAGGAAGGAGCACTGGGATTGACTTGACTTGTTGCTCTCCGAGCGTGAGAGCCAATGGCAATTCAGCCAAACTGTCTTCTTCTGGGTGGTGGCAGGAAGAGTGGTAGGCAACTGCCTACGTCCGGGCCCGCCGCGTGCATGACCCGAACACACACTGCTGCAGTGCTGCAGCGCCCAGAAGTTGGAATCAGCCTGGGCCCTGCGCTGCGCCCCAGGGCCTAGCGACCCGTTGAGCCGCATCCGGTGCTGGAAGCAGACAGTGCCCACGGCAGTTCAGGCGCACTTTACGCACGGTTGCAGCATACGTACCTACCAGGTGGCTGAAACGCAGGCGCAAACTGCCAGTGGTCTGTCGAACCAAAGGCAAGGTATCTTTTAATTACTGAACAGAGCCTTGCAAGTACGTATGGAATCTTACTCAAGCATGCAGTCATCAAGTCGCCAATCTGCACAAGCCGACGTTGCGAGTCCGGGCGGCCTTGGCATAATGCGCCGACGGCACTATAGGCTGGCAACGTGCACAGGTGCCTCACAGCCTCCCATAGCTCGATGTCCAAGTATGCAGTCAAATTCGCTAGCCTGGCCGCCTGAGCACATGGCACGATGCTGAACCGGTGCCCAGTGGCCTTGAAAGTTAAAAGTTGCCGGCAGGCTGCGTCACAGTATCAAGGAGGCCTCGAACTTGGGGACGGAATGGGCCGTCGAATGCAACAGGTCCAGAAAACGTGGTTGAGATTGTGCGCGATATTGTGTGCCAATGCTCCGAATTTCCCCTTTTCTAATTTCTTGCTGCCAATTGTTGAACACTGTGCAGCCGCCAAGGCGGAATTGGGTGGCCTGCGGTATCGCGCCGCCAGGCAGCAGCTGCCAGCACCCTGACGACTGGATCACAAAAAAAAAAGAGCACCCTTTGGGCCCTTTCAGAGATGCTTCCCATTCAGGCTTTCTCTATCAATGATCGAGGGACAAGGCACAGCCGACCCAGCCGCCCAGATTTCCACACGCTAACGTTTGTCTGTAGCAGGAGAAACCGCTAGTCCCTACTATGATGAAGATTGAATCATGTCCACCTCAACTTTAATTCGCCCTGGCATCGTACTGTCGCCAAAGCCGAGGTTGAAGCATACAATAGGTTTGTTCACCACGCAGGAAAAATAAAGTTCAGAAAGGCTTCCTGGTCGAGAACCCTCGGCAGGCCAGCAAACTTCTCGACTCCCTTCGCTGTTGGGTGAGAAAGTGGATGACCGGGAAACTACCACACTGGGGGATGGCTGACAATATCCATTATTACTAGTGTCTCCACGATTCCACGAATCCCCGTAGTATATGCGTCAAGAATAATGGGGCTGTAGGACCCTCACGAAGATATGACAAGCACACTGTTGTCAGCGGTTGGAAGAGCACTGACAGATCATACATAGACGAGCCTCCCAAAGACTGACATTGCCACCCGATGGATGTCGCGTGATCACTTCCCTCTCTCATCCTGAGCGGATAAGATGCAGAGCCAGGCCAAGTCAGCTGAAAGAGTAATGATTACGCACAAATACTGCTTTGTACGATCAAGTTAGTGGTCCGCATGGTCACTGGTGTAATGCATAGTAGTGTACCCGCCTAATTGTTAGACTTGAACCGTCTGTTGCCGCGACGGACTGGAGTCCAGTCCACTGTCCACGGAGGCCGCTCGACCCTACTGGACCCTGGGTCGCCTTCACGTTTGGCCTCGGCCCTCTGTGTCCCGTTCAAAACCCATCGGACAAAAGCCTATTTTCTTATTTCTTATTTGCTGAATTGCTACTCCGTACGCGTTGGTGTCTCCGTGCAAGGCCTCGAACGGAATACGTTCCAGTGCCTCGCGACATGGAATCATCCCCAGGTTCCAGCCAGCCGTCAATAAATAATAAAATAATAAGAAACTGAGACCCAACATAAGAACGCGCTAGTTCGTTCTGATCCGTTTTCTGCGGTGGCTCCGTTTCTTCGCGGCCAACTTACCGTCAAGGGTGTCTAGCCTCTGTCCACCCGTACAAGTAGTCCTTCCTGCGCCAAGCACTGCCGGCGTTTTTGCCCTCATGCACGTGATTGAGTTAGAAACGCCCGAAATCCCACGTTTTAAATCTTTGATTGATCCCGAAGGATCTGTAAGCTGCTGATGGCTGCAACCAGCAGCCAAAGCCGTGACTACCACGTACTTCGTAGGCCAAATTCGTAGACAAGTGGCCCACTAGAGTGGTACGGAAGATAATCAGAAATCCGAGCGCAAATTAGCAGAGCTGCATGCGCCCAGGAATTAGCAACGTAAATTACTACCGTCCTGACTACGGATACGGAGAGCAGATCTTGATACGCCCGGTACAGTATTCCCCGTCAGCCTCCGCCGCTAGCGCTATTTCTCAGGCATCGCCAGATCGTCTTTTCAATGAGTAACGTGACCTTTTAACCACGCCCGACCTCACGTGGCATTGAACTACCCTACAGACAGCGCGCAACCACGGGTGCGGTTGAACATACGACTCCGTCTTTTGCGCAATCGTCCATTCCGCGACACAATGACCATTCTTCCGAATTCTGCTTCAAATAGGCGTCTGCAGAATACATACTTCCTATCTCTGAAGTTAAAGAAAGTCGCGCTATTGCGGCGACGAACCAAACGTACCTGCTGCTGTCGTGTTTTGTCGCTTCGTGCCGAACGGAACGAGATTGATAAGTCGTAACCCCGCCCCCACCATGTGATTATTTGGAGATGCACATTCGCATAAAAAAATCTTGAGAAGCATGAAGACGAGTTTGGGCATGTGAATGACCAACTACGGCCTCGACATCATTAGATTAACACACCCAACTGTCTCACAAGTAGCCTGACGAGATCCTCGACCCCCCAGAGTCCAGAGCTGCGACGTGTTGGCCAGGTTTTGGCAACTCGACGTCACATCATGAAGGCACAAGACCACACACACAAGGAGGCCTTGGCTGTGCTTCTTGACACACCCACCTTCGAAGAACGCATCAATGACTTTGTATCACAGCTCACGTCATTGTCGAAATCAGCCAAGCCAGACGCCAGTCCAACGTCTGATGCCCAGCTCCTGAGCCTGGGGCTTGCTGCTCTCGAAGCCTTCCTCCAGGCCAACGTCACGGGCCCAGTCCTCCCAGCAAATCTTTCCAACAAGGTGGATCAGCTATTCCTGGACAGCTGGAGATCAGTATCTGAGGGATCCGACCTGGACCGTCTGCGAAAGCAGTGCCTACAGGCACTTCAGGTCGACGGGGTGGCCCCCTATGCCTACATTCCCAACCTCGAACTGTTCGCTCTCGCACGATACATCATCCAGACATGCCTGTCGAAATCAGAACAGGACACCGTCGAACTATCATCAGCGCAAAGTGGGACCACAAAGCACAGCATCGTCTGGACGAGGCTTCGCTTGAACGCGTGGCACTACAAGCTCATCACACAGCCATCCCTAGGGCACGGGTCGAACTTTACCCGCAGTTCACAGTGGAGCGAGGTCCCAACTCTTGGTGGGAAAATACTCGAGGGCATTGAGGCGACAAGGAGGCAGGTCCTCAACGAGGAGATTTGGGCCGAGGGCACGAATGCTTGGGCCAACGAGGACCAGGTGCTGTTTCTTGTAGAAGCGGCCAACTACTACATTCTCCTCGGACGAAACGAATTGGCGAAAGACATGCTCAGCAAAGCGGCCGCACAGAGTGGGCTTGAATATGCGCTCTCGGGTGCACTGGGTAAAAGGACAAAGTTTCAGGAGAAGAGCACCAGCCAGCTTGTTGTGCTTGCCAAGAGCAAGGACGCTGCCTCCTCAACGGACGTGGAAGAGGCAGCCAAGCCGGAAGCCCTGCAGCTCAACAATGACACGCTTCTGGAGGAAATCTCCTTCGAGAAGGATAACCAGGACAGCGCCGCCAAGATGGACAGCCTGTCGGCATCCCTGGCTGCCTTGTCACCGGACGATCAGCCTCAGCTCTCCCCCCTCGATCAGATTATTCTCCTGACCGAGGCGACCATGAAGGACGCGTTTTCGCCCGTGGACACTCTCACGTCCGAGGAGATCCTCCCGTACGCCGTCCGCGTCTTGGCCGACAAGCCCACCAACTGGCAGATCTACACACAGGCCCTCCTCGTGCGCTCGCGCATCGAGGTCCACCGCAGCCGGACCCTCGAGCGCGGCGTCCTCCAGCTACAAGCCGTCGCCGACCAGGTCATTGCCGATACCACATCGCGCGAAGCATCGCAGATACAACAACCATCAGAGTCCGGCGATGAGGTGCCGTCGATCCAAGTCACACTCCCAGACCAGCAGCAACCTGCCGAAAAGGTGGCCACCTCCTTTTTGCCCGCACCGAAACCCTCCGAGTCGGCACCAGCACATGTGCGTCTGCAATACATTCACGCCCTCTCATCGCCTCCCCGATGGCATCTCGAATCCGAGCTGGCGTACGCTTGGGCAGGCGTCGGCTCACTCGCCTCGGCACTCGAGATCTTCAAGCGTCTACGTCTTTGGGCTGAGGTGGCCCTCTGTCTGGCCTCGCGCGGTGCCGCCGCCGAAGACGACACCGAGGGACGGGGTTCAGGCGGCGAGGCCAAGGCCAAGGGCATCGTCCGCTGGCGACTCTTCCACCGCACAGACACGACATCGCCCACCGACCCAGACGAAGAGACCATTGAGGATGTCGCTGCCCTCCAACCTTCCGCCTTCACGGGACCGGAGCGCGTGCCACCGGCCCCCGATGCGCCCCGGCTGTGGTGCATCCTCGGCGACCTCGAGTCGAATCCAGACTTTTACCGCCGCGCCTGGGACATCTCCCACCATCACTACGCGCGCGCCCAGCGCTCCCTGGCCGAGCACCACACCTCCCACAAAGATTGGCTGGCGGCGCGCGAGGCGTACATCAAGGCCACGGCCGTCAACCGTCTCGACACGGACATGTGGTCGCGCCTGGGCGACCTGAACCTGCGCCTGGGCCGCTTCGAAGACGCCGCCGAATCATATACCCGCGCTATCGGCGCGGCCACTGACCTCACCGGCGGCGAGGGCGCAAAGACGTGGAGCAACCTCGGCAGCGCCCTGTGGAGTCTCTACTGCGAGGTCATCGCCAAAGACCCGTCGCCGGCCGCCACCAAGGACGAAGACGAGGAAGAAGACCAGACCCTCGCAAAGCTCGACTCCACCATCCCAGCCAACGACCCGCCCGTGCTCCTCACAAAGGCCCTCGCAGCCTACAAGCGCGGCGCCTCCATCGCCCACTCCAACTGGCGCATCTGGGACAATGTGCTCACCCTCGCCGCCCGTCTCCAGCCCCCCGCCGTGCCGGACATGGTCCAGGCCCTGTCGAACATTATCCGCATCCGCACGAGCGAGGACTGCATTGACAGCGACATTTTGACCCTCCTCCTCAAGGACGTCGTCCTCAGTGCCGAGAGACAGCCGGGCCGCGAGGTGGACGGCATCTACGAACCACCCCGCGGATCCATGGAGCGGCTCGTCGCCCGTCTCATTGAGGAGGATATTGTGCCCATCATCACGCATCGCTCGGATCTGTGGTCGCTGACGTCCCAGCTCCGTGCCTGGCGGCGCGATTATGTCGGTGCCGTCGAGGCCTCGGAGCGCGCATGGCGGACGGCCACGACGGCGTCGTCTACCCTGACGCCGGGCGAGGCGTCCAAGAACAACTGGACAGAGGACAGGGAGGCGTGGGAGGTGGTCGTGCAGCGCACGGATGAACTCGCCTCGGCCCTGGAGAACTATGGTCCCGAGGTGGACAGCATTGGGCCCAAGTGGAAGGGCAAGGTCAGGAGCGCGGTGCGCAGTGTCATGGGACGCGGCAAGGAGAATTGGGAGGATACCGAAGGCTGGCAGACGCTCCAGGGCATCATGGATGGATTGAAAGCGTAATGAGTAGATGGGAATAGAACATTACGAAATAGTAGAAAAGTGGTCCATTCATTCCGCTGCTCTACATTGCTTTCATGCAGTCTCTGACACGCTCACGCGCGCACGCTTTTACCCGCTACCTACTACTTGAGCATCGTACAGAAAACGCCACCGCACGCGGGCACTTTCTCAGTCCGAAACATATTCAGAGTCCATGGTCCAACTCTATTTCTTGGCCTTCTTCTTGCTTGCGACGACTTTGAAGCCAACAGGTGTAGGCTCATCGGCAGGCGATGCCACATTGCCGCCCGTCTTCTTGGCGACCTCGCTCCAGCCACCGGTTGAGATGCTCGCCTTGTTCTCCGAGAGCGTGGCGGGGCCCTTCTCAGTGACGCCTCGGTCGGCCAGCTTCTTGCGCCGGACAAACTCGGTCGCAAAGTGACGTCCGTCCATGATGGTAGAGTTGGCGTAGATGGCGTCGGCGATCAAGTCAGGCTCCAGAGGCAACGCCTCGAGGTTGGACGCGAAACCAGACACTGTCGCCGTTAGCAAGACAATCGTGTAGAAGCAAGACAAGGTACTACATACCATCGCTGACGCTGATGCCGCGGCTGAGCTCGCGGTGGCACCACCTGCGAAACTCGTCCAAGGCAGCGTTCGTGTTGTTGCTGTTGGCGCTGGCGGCTGCGGGACCTGGCCGCGACATGGGCTTCAAGGGCACGTTGGCGGGCTTCGACAAGGTAGCGCTGACGGCACGAGCAGGAGACCCGGTAGATGGCCCGACGGGTGCCTTGACCTTGCCACCGGCGCCGACCGTCGCCCAGCCAGCCCCAGGCGGGGGTGCAGCAGCAGAGGCAGCCGCCGCGGCAGAACCGCTAGGGGGGGCAGGCTGACCTGGCTTGCCGGCAAGGTTGGCGTAGCTCTTGGAGGTGCTCGGCGGCGCACCTCCGCTCGGGGCGGCCGATCCCTTGGCCTTTTGCTTCCGGCGCTCTTCCTCGGCCTGGATTTCAGCGAGTGTCTTCTTGCTTGCACTCACAGGTGTGACGGACACGCCAGCAGTGGGCTTGCTCGCTCCAGGTTTCGTCCAAGGGCTGCCAGGGTCGACAGGTGACGCATGGCCCCAGGTGCTCGAGGCAGGCAGACCGGCGGCAACGGCGGCTGCGTTCTTCTCCTTCTCTCGGAGGACAGCAGCCTCTTGTTCCAGGGCGGCCTTGCGGATGGCGGATGCAGCCTGCTCAGCCTTGGCCGCCTTGCGAGCCTCAGCCTCCTGGATCTCCTTCAAGGAAGGCCCCTTGGATCCCTCACTGTTACCAGAGTCCTTGGCCCAGGGAGCGGTTGGTGGGGGCTGTGTCTCAGCGGGGCTGGTCGAGCGAGAGCGGTTGTACTGGTCTGGGAGGTTGGAGCGGACGCGCTGGGCCGTGGGCGCAGGAAGCGGCGTTGTGGAAGATGGCGGAGGAAAGGGCCTTGGCATGCCGGGTTCAATGTCCTCGATGGCAGCAGCAGCAGCGGCTTGTGTCTGCTGCACCTGTTGCGTCAAGGACAGGTTCGGGTCCTGCACATACTTTGGCTTGCCCTTGCCCTTGGGTCGAGGCGCTTTGGACGCCTTGGGCGCGAGCTCCTCTTCGCCCTCTGGCACTTCCTGGGGGGCTTGTTGGGCAGAGGCTGCGGCGTCGGCCGCTTGGGCAGCCTCGGCAGCAGCGCGGGCGGGGTCAGCCTGGTGGGCAGGGTCTTGAGTCTCCCGCTCCGCACGCAGCTGGTGGAATTCGTTGAGTCGTTGCTTGAATCCCTCCGGGTCGTTAGCCAGATCGTCAAGATCTTGGTAGACGCCATGGAGGCTGGATTCCGCGACAGCTGCAGCAATGGCCTGTGTGGAGGATTCATCGCTGGCGAGGTCGGCCAAGATCTGACGGTCATGCTGAGACATGTTGGTCAGATCCTCGGCACCAGAAGGGAACTCACGACTAGAGAGCCCCTGGGCGCCGTGTCCCTCGCCAGCTTGATCAAAAAAAGCATTCTGCATGCCGCCGGGCTGCTGACCCATTTGTCCCTGGGCCATGTTGCCGAAGCTCGGTTGACTCTGGAGGCTTTGCGCGCTCGAGTGATGCTGAAGCCCTGGCTGTCCGGGGAACCTGGCCATGGCCTGCTGGCGCATGGCAAAGTCCCTCTGTTGCGCGAGCACAATCTGCTCCTCTTGCTTACGTCGCTCGAGGTTATTCTGTTCCTCGGCAGTCAAGGTTCGGCCGAAGCTGGGGAATAGGTTGTGGAGTGGTGGCACGACACCACCGGTGTTGCTGGGAGGGAAGGCAGCGGCAGGCGATGGATCGCCGTGGGCGACGCCCACCTGGGGCACTAGGAACGGCTCTCTCGAATTTCCTATACGTCGGATGAGCTGTCCCAGAGGTTCAAAGTCGACGTCCTCCACCTTCTTGACGCGCAAATCGGGGCTGAAGAAATTGGCCTTGTACCAATCATTCATCTCAAGGCCAGTAAAGGCGCCTTGAACGACGCCCTTGGGATCGAGATACACCCAGCGCATACGGTCGGGCATGACCATGGTTCTGGCCGATTGCTGCTGCTGTTCCATACCGGGCTGGCTCCCACCTCCAAAGGGCATGCTGCCGCTGACAGGAGTGAAAGACTGAGGCACTGGTCCCATGCCGCCCAGATCGGACGCATCGAACATATTTTGTAGTGAGAGCTGGCCGTGCTGGGCGCGATTGGGATCCATAGAGGGGAACAGATTCTCAAATCCTCCGCGTCCGGAGCGCATAGGACTCTCCGAGTCGCGCCCTGGCGCAGGGAAGTTGTTGCGTCCAATGGCTCCCAGTTGAGCGGCTAGGCGAGGATCCGCACCCGCTTCTCCCATCGATTCATGTTGCTCGTGCGCCTGCTGCATTTGCGCCTGCATGGCAGCTGGGAAGAGGGAGCCCATCTTGCTGCCACGGCCGATGCTGTTGGTTCCAATAGCACCTGGTCCAGCGCTAGGACCGCTGCCAAAGAAGCTGCTCATGTTGCCCAGCCCAGGTGATGGCGCATTGTCGGGGTTGTTGAAAGCGGCCGGCGAGAAAGGCGCACCGCCAAAGCCAGCGCGCTCACGGTCCGGGGTGGCTGTACCAGGGGCACCCCAAGCCGAGACATGTCCAAGGGGAAAGCCTCGGCCAGTTGCACTGGACGTCTGACTTCTGTCGTGACCTTCCAGATTCCCGCCAAAAGCGCGCTGTAGTGGGTTGTAGCCAGGAACATCCTGCCCGAAACCTTGGTATGGCTTGTTGACTCCGCCCGCGCCGTCATCGTCGTCACGCTCCTGGCGATCTGTGGGCGGGCTGCGGAAGGGATTCGTCTCGGAGGGACTGGCGGGGCCGTTCTCTTGATGGCCACCAAGGTTTAGACCAGACATTCCAAAGTCGCCCGCGGATCCTTTCACAGGTGTACCGAGGGTTCCAGCACGACTAGCCTGCGGGCCAGTATCCTGAGCACCACCCAAGGCGGCACTGCCTGTCGGCAGGTCCTCGCCAAAGGGATCCGTGTCGGTACGCTGGCGAGAGCGCCAGGATGACTGGTTGAGAGCCGACTGATCCTGGCCTTGACCTTGGCTGTCAGCGTGCCGACCGGGCGTATTCTCAGCGTCCTTGGGCATCAGATGGGCAAGGCGACTGCCTCCGCCGCTGAGGGCAGCTGCGCGCTTCTCGCCCACCGCGCCCCCAAGGGCAAAGTTTCCGAAACCGCCTGTGGCGCTGGGCGTGCTGGGTTGCGAAGAGTTCCATATCCCTCCAATGCCCGCGCTACCAGAGGTATTGGTACGCATTAAGCTGCCTATGGGGTTGGGCAACTGTCGACCTCCCTGCGACTCAGCCTCCGCATCCTCCGACGTCGATTCCTTGACGTCGGTCGTGTTCCGACGCGAAAACCAGGGAGGATCATCACGCCCGCCACGCCCAGCACCGGCCGTGGGTGAGCTCAGCCCGAACTGGTTGGCGTCAGAGGTCTCCCTCCTTCTCGTGCCAGGTCGAGTTGCCGAGGAAGGGGAGCCGAGTCCAAAGTTGTTCCCAGCGCCCTGCGACAAGGAGGCCTTGCGGCCGTTGACACCGGCTGAATTGGTGCCGTCTTTGTTTAATGTGGGGGGTTTCACGGTGGAGTTGACGTCTCCCATAAAGGCTTCCTGTTCATCCGCCGTCAAATTCTGCAGCCCCAGCGCGGTGCTGCCGCCCTCGTCGTCCCAGCATGCGCCTGGTTCTTGTGGTATGTGGTTCTCGTTGCTTTTCCCCCAGGCTCGCGGGTTGGCGCCCCCGTTCGCGTGGCCGGCGTTCCATTCCGCGTGCAGCAAGCTAGACACGTCGCGCGGCGACCGGGATCCTTGTGCCATGGCGAGGAGGTCGTCCTTCTTGTATCTCGCGGGACTCACTTCGTATACGGGCTGCGCGGCGGCAGCCGAGATCTCAGTACTGGAGAGAGGGACACCGCTGTCGATGGAAGGTGTCTGGGAGTGGTGACTTAGTGGAGTGGTGGATGACCGACGAAGCGTTAGTGTCCCGTTTGTAGACCTTCCGTCACGTCGATTCCTGGTAAAGAAGAATGTATTAGCAGAAGATCGAGCGCTGAGTGCGAAGGGCAAATTGAGAAGAAGTAGGATCGAAATGTGCAGTTTTGTGGGTGTAGAAAGCCAGATACACGAGACCAGGGCAACGTAGCAAGACTGAAGGCCAGTCACATTGGGACAAACAAGCCCAAAGTCAATATGGCTGGCTGGCTCCCAAGACGGACTTACCAGTCACTGCCTACCCCTCGACCACCTCGAGTCGCGTTCTGGCCTGCAGCAGCTGAGGCAAAGCTTGAAGGTAGATTGGACGGCATATTCAACAAGTGCAACGCGTCGCTTCGTGTGTGTTGTTTACGTAGACGGAACGGAGGACAAGCACCGATGCAAAATTCGTGGGTGCAATTAGCTTTTAACAGCTTCGGTGGTGGCGCGTGCTATTAGAATTGATGAGGGTTCAACGTAGTTGTGCGAAATTCGAGTCGGCAAGGTACGACATGCGAGACGTGTTGCGGAACAATTGAAAAGTTTCCAAAGGGTTGAAATGCTCGCAGGTGATATTTGGTTAAGTCGTGACGTGAGGTAAGAGGTGACAGGTTAAGTCGGGCGACTGGAGTCGGGATTTGGAAAAATGCTGGCTACGTTGGTTGGCTGGCTGACTGGATGCGTGTGGACTGTGCAAGTCAGTTTCGTCCTCGTTGACGAAAAATTGAAGGTGGCAGCTGCTGCTGTCCGTCCTGGATGCTGGGTCCGCATAGGGCAATGGGGTCCAGTCCCAGGCAGGTGGTGCGACAGCCGCACATTAGCCGAGCGCGGTCAGCTTGCCAGGAGCCTTAACAGCACCAGTTGGACACGTCACAATCGTCATTTGTTCGTCGGCACTGCACGGATCACAGTGGGGAGGGTACGTGCTGTAATGTATTGATTGCAGAGGGCCTGGGCATGGAATTCAAGAATCAAGATGCAAGTCATGTCATCCATCCTGCTCTCTATCGCTGGGTCAAACTGTTGGAGATTGTGATTGCGATGTGCTGATCCAAATTGGCCCTCCTCAAAAATGCATCCTTATCCTCACACAAGCCATCTCCTACCATCACGGTGCGGCCACCAACCAAGCAAGCCACGCTGCACAACTTGCGGCGAAAGCATACATAGTATCCCTGCTGTGCAAGATACGACGAGCATATGGAGAATAGGCGTCATTTAACGTAAGCCGTGCCTGGGGAGTGGGAGTGCGTTTCCTTCGTCTTGCCAGTGCGTTGCCATGTCAATCACTCGACCGCCTCGTGTGGCTTCCATATGGACATGATGGAGCCTCGAGATGCATCAAACTGGTCCCGAAAGAACCATTTTCGCGGCCCTGTTCTTTTTCTCCCTTTATGCCCAACATGTGTCCTCTACTGCCATGGAGGTCTTGTCGGAGACTGGGTCACGTGAGCATTTATTGCAGATTAGAATCGCCGTTCTGCCCAAGCCGAGATTTCAAACAAGCCACAGACTGACACAGCAGGCCTTCTATATGAGTAAAGACCAATGTCTTTGCGACGGCAGCGTATTTTCGTCATGGAGAGTGGGACGAGGGGAATCTCCAGGTGAGCTGGGGCTTGTGTTCGGATGCCAGTCCAACAAAAAGTGCGCAAGAGGCGCTGTCCCTTGATGAAGCATCGCGCAGGGCAGACTGTTCCTCGTAGTTTCGTCGGTCCCATGTTTATGCTTGGCGCAGCAGGAGACTCAAAATGCGCGGGAGGTCAAAGCTGAGGATATCCGGCAGCCACATAAGCGACTGGAATATACAGCTCAAATCAAAGCTCCTTCAGAAAATGCGCCTTGAACTTGCGCGTCGCACGGTCCGCTGACCTGACCATGAGCTGATCCCCAAGCAAGTCAAAGACAAAGACGTTTCCTTGGGTCGGCTTCTTGTCGTCGCTAGTGGTTTCTGGCAACTCTGTCGCCGGCTCGGCTGAAGTGCCTTTGGCTGATTTGCCGGGGACTTGTACTTCCACGCGGAAGGTCGTCCCCTCCTTGGGCACCATCTTCACGCCCTGCTTCCTCGTCACTACCTCCAGGACATGCTTGCGGTCCCTCACCACAACTCCCTTGATGCCGACGCGCCCAGGACATCGGCTGCGAACAACCTTGACAATTGCCCCGTGAAACTCGGCGCTCGCGAGCTTCGCCGCCGTGTTGGGTCCGCCGGTGTATACGTCGCTGCCGAGCACCTCGTTGATGTAGCCTTGCCATAGCTTGTTGAGTGGCTCGTAGATGTCGTACTTTTGACCCTCGCGAGGAATGTCGTGCAGACCCAAGCGCCTCTTCTCGCGTGCTGAGAGTGGTGCCGGCTTTTGCTTCTTCTTGTCCTTCTCTGCCTGCCTCTTTCTGCGTCGCGCAGCGCGGGTGTTGAGCTCCGAGGGCGGTGGAGATGTCGCGCGCAAGTGCAGTTTTCGATGCTGGATCTTCTCTGTGTAGATTCTCTCCACGGATCGGGGCGAATGCGCCCTCCCGAGGAGATCGCGCGTCGCCTTGGCGCTCTCTGCGTTGGTTGCCATTGCGTGCCTGGAGGTGCTGCGTCACATGCTGAGCTCGACGATGGACATTATTCTTGATTCCCCACATAACTTAATACAGTGTAAAGAACAGTACGCGACACGGTCGATCGACCCCAGATTCCCAGTCCAACCTCGGAAGCTCGACCTTCCCCAGCTTTGACATGGCTTCTTCTCCCGCGAGCCACACCAAGTGGCAATCCGTGCCTTTGCCCGTGATTTGACGCTCCAAGAACTTCAAGCATTTGTTTCTTCTACATCTGTTCGTCTGTTGTACCTGTGATACCCCTCCCTCAGCCGCCATGGACGAGAATGGCGACCTCATCGACCCGGCTAGCACTTCGGCGCCGGATCTCCAGATCCTTGGCGACGAGATCACCCTGCAGCCTAGCGGCTTCGTCGAGCAGAAGACGACCTCGGCCGAGCACGAGCAGGCGCTGATGAACCAGTTTGCTTCCTTCCGTGCCGAACCCCTCCAGTTCCTCCGCGAAGTCTCCCTCTACGTATCTGGCAAAGGATGGCGCGCCTACGACAGCGTCATCGGCCAGCCCGTCTTCTACCCCGGGTTCTCGGACCACATGAAGAGCATGGTCATGGCGGCGCCTCTGCTACAAAAAAGAATCGCGCAGCTGGCGGAGAGCAGGGTGCAGGTGGAGGAGAAGGAGGGTCTGATCAACAAGGCGGCAGAAGACCACGCCATGGGGAGGGCGCAAAGGAAGAGCCAACTGGAGGGTGCCCTGCAAGAGGTCGCGGAGAAGCTGACAGATGACATGATCTGCAAGATGGAGAGCAAGCCGTTCATCAGAAGCGCGTACTACCTGTGCACGCAGCTCCTCACGCGGGCGTACCATCAGGGGATCCACGTCTCGAGCGAGGAGATTCTGCGGTTGCGAAAGGTGGCCGACATGGCCGCCAAGAAGAAGCAGAGTATCGTCTTCCTGCCGAGTCATCGCTCCCACGTGGATTACGTCTCCTTGCAACTCATCTGCTACCGCCTGGGCTTGACCCTCCCCGTCGTCGTCGCTGGCGATAATCTCAATATCCCTGCCCTGGGTAGCTTCCTCCAGCACGCAGGTGCCATGTGGATCAGGAGGTCATTCGGCGACGATGCGCTGTACGGAACGCTGGTGCAGGCTTACATTGACACGATGCTGCAAGAGGGTTTCAACCTCGAGTGCTTCATTGAGGGAGGTCGGTCACGTACAGGCAAGCTGCTGCCTCCCAAGTTTGGTATCCTGAGTTTCGTCCTCGACAGCATTCTGTCAGGTCGAGTGGAGGATACCATCATTTGCCCGGTCAGCACGCAGTACGACAAGGTCATCGAGACGGAAGGCTACGTCACCGAGTTGCTCGGCGTGCCGAAGAAGAAGGAAAACCTGGCAGACTTCCTAAGCAGCGGATCGTCTGTCTTGTCACTGAAGCTCGGTCGGGTCGACGTGCGCTTCAACAAGCCGTGGAGTCTGAGAATGTTCCTCGAGACGCAGCTGTCGAGACTGCCCAAGGTGCCCGCAGGCCTCTCCACGAACCACCACAACCCGGAAGTGCGAGCCATCCGTGAGAAGCTGCTGAGAATATTGGGCTACAAGGTCCTCGGGGACATCAACCAGGTATCGGTGGTCATGCCCACCGCGCTCATCGGCACCATCCTCCTTACCCTACGCGGGCGCGGTGTCGGCAAGGACGAGCTCATTCGCCGCGTCGAGTGGCTCACCAAACGCGTCCGTGCCAAGGGTGGTCGCGTTGCTCATTTTGGCAATGCACCGCTGTCGGAAATTGTCGATCGCGGCCTAGAGGTACTCGGCAAAGACCTCGTGGGTGTTGTCGAGGGACTCCCGGAGCCGACGTACTATGCCGTCGACCGCTTCCAACTCTCATTCTACCGCAACATGACAATCCACCTGTTCATCTACGAGGCGCTCGTCAGTGCGGCTATGTACATGCGCGTAAAGGTGGGCGGCGGGCCGTCGATGCAAGATATCTCGCACGAAGAGCTGCGCGACCAGGTCTTTTTCCTGTCGACCCTCTTCCGAGGTGAATTCATCTTTGGCAATGAGGGTCTCGATGCCAATCTGGACAAGACCATCAAAGGCCTCGAGGCGGACCACGTCATCCATGTGCATCGTGATGAGAGTGGAAAGGTCGTCAAGATTGGGCTGTCGGACGAGGAGAGGAATGTTGGACGGGAGAACTACGACTTTTACTGTTTCCTGATATGGCCTTTCATCGAGGCCAGTTGGCTGGCTGCCGTGTCCCTGATGGGCTTGACACCGCCGAGCAAGGAGCACGAGGATACCTGGATCGAGCTAAACAAGGCGCAAAATACAGCGCAATTAGTGAGTTTCCCCTATCATCTTGCAAGGGGTTTACATGTTACTAACATGGAGTAGCTCGGCAAGACACTCTACCATCAAGGCGATCTCTCGTACTTTGAAGCCGTCAACAAGGAGACCCTGCGCAACTCGTACCTCCGCTTCGAGCAAGAGACAATGGTCCACGTCGTCAAATCCAAGGATCCCAAGGTGCCCCCGCGCATCCAGCTTGATCCGTCGTGGCGGCCGCCCCGTGACCCCGAGACAAACGCTCTCCTGGCGGAGGGCAAACTCTGGGACTTTACCGAGCAGATTGCCAAATCGCGGCGCGAGGGCAAGAACAGGAGAGACGGCGCGACGGTCAGCTCGAGGGTCCTGCGCCTGTCGGATGAACTGGGTCGCGCGCTGTTTGAAGAGGCAGTAGGCCAGGACAAGGTGCCCAGTCGTCTCACTGCGGAGGAGAGCGATACAGTACGGCGAGCGCGGAGAGCGGCACGTAGCAGGGGCAAGCTAGACGCGCGAGCCGTGTTGTAGCCTGTTTGTGAGGATTTGATTCTATATAATCTTGGTCTGCAAACGCCCAAAACTATGTACATGCATGAATGGGGTATTAAAATTCTACACATCCCTCTCGACAGGTCGGAGAATGATGTTGTCTAACAAGCGCACAGCGGGCCCGTCGCCGTGTCCCAGATCTTCACCTGGCGCTGCCTTCTCCACGGGCAGCATCTTGATGGCGCCACTGAGGACGGCACCCTTGGCGGGATCAATCACATCGACCTCCTGCATGGTGTCGGGGTCAGCGAGGGAGACATAGTCCACCTCGAACAGCGACCTGTCCTCGGGGCCCAGCGCCTTCTGCTCAGAAAAGGTTTGTTGCAGCAGCTGGTTCGCCGGGCGGAGAATCTCCTCTCTTGACAGCGTCTTGCCACCATTGTACGCACTCTCCGCCGCGCACAGCGCATTCCACAGGACGACGGCGACCTTTCGCCGCCGGACGCCCAGGTACACGTTTCTCGAGCTCAGCGCGAGGCCGTCCTTGGCATCCCGCTCAGTCGGCACAACCACCGTCTCCAGCGGCATCATAAAGTCCTGCACCATGCGCCGCAGCACCACCGTCTGCTGCACATCCTTCTGGCCGAGGTACACCCGCGTCGGCTGCACAATGTTGAACAGCTTCATGCACACGGTCGCCACGCCGCGGAAAAAGGTCGGCCGCGAGGCCCCCTCCAGCACCTCCCCAACGGGCGTAATGGTCACAAAGCTGCCCTTGGAGTGGACCTCCTGCCCGGGGAAGCCGCTAGGGTACATCTCCGCCGTGCGCGGGGCGAAGACGGCGCTCACGCGGCCCAGGTTGCCGCCGTCGTCGGCCAGTTCGCGGTCCACGCGGCGGAGGGCCTCGCAGTCGGCGTCCCAGGTGGTAGGGTACGTGTCCAGGTCCTCGGTCTGGGCGAACTGGGCGGGGTTGACGTAGATGCTGACAACGACGTGGTGGTTCTCGCGGGCGGCAGCGCGGATCAGGGAGATGTGGCCCGCGTGGAGGGCGCCCATGGTGGGCACGAGGCCGATTGTGCGGTGGGCCTCGACGAGGGGACGGCGCCAGGCATGGAGGGAGGCGATGGAGGGGTGGACGAGGATGGGCGAGTTGGGGATCGTCTTATTATTGTTCTTGGGGGCCGACATTTTCCTGCGCGTGGATGAGGAGGGCGACGACGTCTTGGCTGTGCCGCAGGCTGTTCGGACCTGCGAGGAGGGTATTCGGGGGAATGGCGTAGCTGTCGCGTGCTGCGTGCGCATGAGGAGAGGTCGGAAGAACATGAGGGGCGGGGGAAGCGTGTGGATATGTATACAACGCAGCAGCTCGAAAAGGAATGAGTCAATTACAAGGAGAGGCGCAAGGAGAGGCCATTATCGGAGCGCAATGGGCGGCGCGAGGGGCTTTTGGAAGCAATGGTGATGGTTTCTGCATCGCATTTCTGGGACTGGCGGAGAGATGAGGTTGCAGTGCATCAGTACATGCATGAGACTGCCTTGTCGCATATGCGGAGATGCATGTCCGTATGTAAATATCAGGGGTAGCCGGCGCCAGGCTTCCAACTTGCTGTCTCTTGCTTGGAAGACTTAATCGTTTTCAAGTACTCTGTAAAATAACAAAGACCCCGGGGATTCAGACCTCACTTCCTGCTCAGATCGACAAGCTATCATATCGTTATGAGAGTGCGTGTATACAGTATTGGGTAAAGAGATCTATCATATTATCCAAGCAACTCGCAGCCAACAACGCCTATATCCCAGACAGTCCACATGTAGCCGCTCATTCACTCCTCATTACTGCAATCCTTCGCCTGCATCTGCATGCACTTCTGCTGTGTCCTGTCGATCCAAATGAAAATTGACTACATCCATCAGGCCATGCCGCCAGAAGCCGCGCCTGGGCCCAGCTTGTTCCACCGCGTACCCAGGCCCACCAGGGTAGCGACGCCAGTCGCGGCAATACACATGGCGAATACGACCTTGAGGCCCGCCATGTAGCCGTCAATCACATCACCCTGTAGCTCGACAGGGAAGCGATGACGGATCTCGGTTGCGCCTGTGAGGATGAGCGTCGCTCTGTCGATATCCGGGACTCGCGACACGACGTGTGCGACCATCTGGTTCAGGAAGGCTGCCTGGGCGCCCGAGACAAAGTATGCGCCACCAAGGCCTTGGAAGACTGTATGGACTGTCAGCTATTGGTGTCATACAAAACTATCAAGTCACTTACACAGAAGCATGCCCGTGGCAGACGCGAGGTCCCTGGGCTCGGCATTTCCCTGCACCGCAATCATGGGGACTTGGAAGGCGACACCCCATCCGACACCAGCGAGAATCTGGTAGCCGATCCACTCGCCCGTGGTGGAATGGATGTTGAGCGTATAGAGCAGCCCGGCGCCAATGGTCGCCACGGCACCGCCGCCTAGCAGCAGAGGCTGGTAGTAGCCCTTGGCCGAGATCAGCACGCCGCTGACAATGGTGCCGATGGTGACCGAAATGATCATGGGCAGGTTGCGCACGCCCGACATGGTGGGCGAGGTGTTGTGCACGGACTGAAAGTAGATGGGGATGTAGTAGATGGCGCCGAAGAAGCCACCGGCAAAGATGAAGGCATACGCGGACATGACAAAGTTGGTCCGGCTCCTAGCCAGACGGGGCGAGATCATGGCTCGCTCGCCCTGGAGCCACTGCAGAGCGGCCCACACGCCGACCATGAGCACGAAGCCGACGAGCAGGCCGATGACGACGGACGAGTTCCACGCGTATGCGACGCCGCCGTACTGCACGGCGAGGAGGTAGGCGATGGTGGCGCCCATGACGAGCGCGACGCCGGGGAGGTCCATCTGGAGGAACTTCTCCTTCAGGGGCGCCTCCTCGGGCTTGGCCTGCTTGGGTGTCTGGAAGAAGAAGAAGATGACGGCGGCCGAGACGGCGCCAATTGGCAGGTTGATGTAAAAGCACCAGCGCCACGAGACGTTGTCAGTAAAGGCACCACCCAGGAGGGGCCCGATGACACTGCCCGCACCGTACGCGGCGCCCAGAATGCCAGTGAAGGCAGGCCTCTTCGCCGGCGGCGCCGAAAAGCCAATGATGGTGTACGCACCGGCACCCAGCCCAGCGGCGCCGACACCCGCAATGGCACGTCCGGCAATGAGCGTGTTGGCGTTGGGAGCCGCGCCGCAGATCGTGGACCCGATCTCGAAGATGAGGATGGCGATGAGGAAGGACGTCTTGAGGGGGAAGAACTTGTATATCTTGCCCCAGGTCGACTGGAAGGCCCCGACCGTCATGAAGAAGGCGGCTCCGTACCACCCGACCTTTTCGAGACCCTGGAACTCGTCGGTGATCTTGGGGATGGCAGTGGCCACAATTGTCATGTCGAGGGAGAGCAGGAAGATGCTCAGGACCAGCGCGACGACGATGAAGGCCATCTTGATACCGGTTGGGTATTCAATGCCGTCTTCTGACTCCGGGGTCGTGATGTTGGCCTCGGCTTTGCCTGTGACGATGGACGCAGAGTCTCGTGCTACCGAACCGTTGACGGCGTCCTTCTCGTGAAGGGACGAGGGCTCGCCATGGAGTGTTGAGGCACTCGAGGCCGACCTGTCCCCCGTCTGGGGCACTTTGAGGTTGGATGAAGTCATTGTGCTGTTCTGATGGAGGCACGGGATTTATAAGGCTCCGAGTGTGATCTCTTGTTGACAATGGGGGACGGCAGCTCACTTTTGTACTGTGTCCAGCCATGGCGTGCCTGCCTCGCCACAAGCTCAACCTTGGTTTGGCCTGTTTTCTCTTCGCCATTACTCTGGCGGACTTATTGTTAAGCATAGTCTGGCAGTCAGCGCGATGGGTTGAGTGCGTGACTCGACGGGCTGTCTATTAGCCCGGTCATGTTCATAACTCCGCTGCGGGCGGATGGGAGTGCATGAGATGGCCGGCCGCTGCCGCGTGTTGTTAGGACATGTGGCTCTAAACTTTGCATGTCCAGGCATAGATGGTGCCCTTATCACGCCGAGATACGATGCTAAGTCCGGGTCTCGGTCCGTGGACATTGGGCTATCGCCGTCACACTGCAGCAAAGCAAGGAATAAGCTACATGTACGTCTCTGTACGATGACCCCAATCAGCCATTCTACTGCAACCCACATTTCATGCCACATAAGCTTCGACATAGGCATGCTCGCAGACAATTACAAATGTCGAGTTTGGAGCCTTTAGCGCTGTCATTGTGATAACCCTGAAGCGATCATGCCGGGATAGCGAGTTTGAACAACAGTCCCGACATGCAAGAAATACCGAGACCCATGTCTCTATCTGTAATTCTGCGACCTGCCACTAGGCGTGAGCCACAACGATTAATTCAGAGTCTGTTCTGCCCCAAACCGCTGCCTAACCAACGATGGCCACCAAGAGCTCAGTCAGCATCACCATGAGCCATAGGCATAACGACCTGAATGATGAGACGATCGCGCGGCGTGGTCAGAGACATTTGTACAATTAGTCACAAGTCCGCACCGCAAGCTCAACATCGCTCCATCTTCTGTTGGTATCGCACTTGAGTAAAAGGGGAAAGAAAATTGACAGAAGCCACAATAGGGCGCAGCATAGCACCATAGGATCCAATCCCCCTAGTGTGAATTGGCGCCAGTTCCTCGATTGCGCTGGCGGACTTTGGGCGGACTTGTTTGTAAGAAAGCCGCTCAAATCGACAGTCGTCCGCCTCACACTCTGGATTTGGCCTCAATAAGAGAACGAGGCCGAGTGACAAACAGTGAAGAAAAAAATAGTAAGATCGCGGCTGCCTGACGCACCCGAGCATGAGTCGATTGATGAGACCACTGGCGCGATTGGACACGAAGAGTCCAAAGTCATCAGCCCTGTGTCGAAGAATGCCATCGCAGTGCCGCAGGTGAAACGAGAAGATTCAGCTGCGTTCAATGGTCTTCTTCGCACGGGTATATGCACCAGGTCTGCACTCCCAGCAACTGCAGCATCGATTTCCTTTAGCATGTGCATGGCTTTTGAACTACATGTAGGAGTTTTGTCGCCAGCGATGCTTCTAATCCCAAGATACCAACCAAAGTGCCTCTGTGGCAGACTTGTGTGATTGAGGCCGGAATGGCAAGTGCCCTGGTTGTCCACACCGCTCACGCTGATACCCTCCGCGGTGTGGTCCATCGACGGCACATGACAAGCACTTGCCTCTTGATGGTGGTAAGACCCGTGAAAGACTTTACTCCTGCCAGTTGGAGACATGGAAGGGTTTGGACTATCTCACAACTCCATCTGCTACCCGGTATGTTGTTGTCCTGCTACCCAGCTCTTCGATCATCATCAACACCTTCATCACTACCAATAAAACCGCTCCTTTTTTGCCACTTCCCCAATACAGAGCTCCAATCCCGCCGTTCGACCCATACCGCCACAATGTTTGGCGCCATCAAAACCCTTGACGAGGTCAAGGCTGACGCCCAACGTCAATTGGAGGGTGAGATGCAGGGAGATGTGCCGTTCTCGCCCGAGCGACGCGCGCAAAGCCTCGGAGAGGTTGGCATGTCCCCGCCGCAACAGTCGCACAGTCATGCCAGCGACCCCGGGTCACATGGAAGGCCAGGAGTCGCCATGCCCCTTTCCCATCAGAACATCTACCCGCAAACTCTGATCCTTCGCGGGAAGTATGTCGTGGTGCAGCGCCCAGTCGGCGAGACGAGTCCCCTGGACTGTATTTTTGAGCTAGACACGCCTGCAGCGGAGTTCGACAGAGAACGGGAGCTCGTCGTCATGAGGAAGCGAGATCGCAATGGCGATGCCGCCGGCGCTTTTGTCTACTATTTACACCGTACCCTAGACGAAGAGGCGAAGAACTTCATGGTACCCAAATACCGCGCCATCAGCATCAAGGCCTTCCAAGACCTGTCCCTGAAGTACGGGCGCACAAAGAGCATGTTTGGGAAACAGCATTTCAAAGTTGTCTCTCGGGAAAAAGGACCCATGGCCTCCACGCTCGGATGGCACAAGATTCTCAGCATGGTGTACCCCGGCGACACCAACGCGCCTCTCGAATGCACCTAGAATCAGCATCAACAAGGCGAGCCGGACCGTATCATTGCTACAGAGCACTACATGGCCTTGGGCGATGCAGTAGAGCAACCACCTGATGGGAAGCTCGTGATTCACCACCCTTTGACCGAGCAGGAGCGTGCTCAGATCGTCGCGGCATGGATTTTGCACATCTGGGCCGACCGAGCTGGCCGAATGTCCGTGAGAAGGACCTTGAGGAGTTGGCTGCGGAAACTGTCCGGCCAACCAAGACAAGCCCGCCAGGCCCGGAATGGTGACAACGATGACCAAAATCCCGTACAGCCAGCGCCATGACCAGCCAGGAAAAGAAGAGGCCAATGTCAGACCCGCGATGCTTCTCGGGTATGAGCGATGGCCGGTTCGTGCGGATGGCAGCAGGCAGTGTGTATTGCCTGTTCCAGGGCAGACTGAAGATAGAGGAGCCCATGCGCAGCGTCTATAGCTGGGCAATTCCCCGTGTTCCTTCACACCAGCGATGTTTTAGATGTGTATTTACCAGCGTCAATATATGTCCCACAGACTGATTCTACCATCTTTGGCGCCCGCGGCCATCCAGTGTGTGCGTTTGGCTTGGTGAATACGTCTGTCCTTGACGCTGATGCTGGTGCTGGCGAGGGTGGTGACACCACCTGATGCGTTCTTTGAGGGAGAGGATTCATCCTTCTCACTTGACTCGTTGGCATCGGGTGTCACATTGGCCATGGCGACGGTATAACAACCGACCTGATGCCACTTGAGAACAGCGAGCTCTTTCATGGTCTTGCACGAGTAGACGCGAACAGCGGAGTCCCAGCCCGCCGTCGCAAAGATACGGCCGTCGGAGCGAATCCTCAGCCCCTGCTGGCCAGAGTGCTTCGTGTTGACTGTCTGGGTGGGATACTCCCACTCTTTCCACGCTGTCTTGGGAACATGGTTGGCGTTGTCCTCTTCGTCGAGCACTTCCTCCACGACGCGGTGACTCGGATCAAGGTGCTGTGTGATTGTCTCCTGTTGCGTTTCCGGAATGGGATGCTTGCCAATGACAGAGTCAGCGCTCGACGTGAGGAAGAAGACGAGACTCGGATGGACATCGATGGACAGAATGGGCTGGGAGTGGGCTTGGGCGCGATAGGTGGTCGTCCACTCGCCATTGATGAGACGATGGACGGATGCATAGCCGTTTTCGAAAGCGGCGATGAGAGTGAGTGTGTTGGAGAGGTGAAACAGGGAGAGGGCCATTGTCATGCCGGCGTCTTTGGAGCCTTGAACGGTGTGGATACGTTGCTGGCATGGGAGAGACCAGATGTCGATCTACACTGGGTCAGCATTTTGGTTTACGTCTTGACCAGTGGGAGGGATAAACATACGGCATCAGAGAGAATGGTGTTCGGAACGGCAATGAGAGTCTCGTCGACAGAAGATATGGAAGGACCCGAGGTAGTTGGCACGGCGGGACAGCTTGCAAAGGCGCAAAAGTTCATGGTATTCACCTCGAGGAGATGGAGTATCCATGGCTGGGGTCTTTGCACGCCTTCCTCAAGCGGCAGTGCCGTGCTCATGTTGCCTTCATCCTCGCGCGCGAGCTTCCACACAATGAGTTTGTGGTCTCGGCCATGTCTGGCCGTCGTCAGCACACATCCTTCGAGACACCGAGGGAGCATACGTGATGATCTTGTCTGTGCCCCAGCCTCGGACGCCAAGGATGGCGCTCTCGTGGGCTCGCCATACAGCTCGCGGGCGGAGAATCGTCAGATCCCACAGGACGACGAAGCCGTCTGCGTCGCCGGTGAGCAGGCGCGTGGTGTCATGGTCGAGGAAAACGGAGGCGTGGACTTGGGATTTGTGCCCGCGCAAGATGGATTTGGGAGCTGGCGGGGCCGACGGATTCATTTGGGGCCCTAGAGTCCAAGATCACTAGACTTTTCGAAATCCTTGATTTTAAATGGGATGTTTGTTGGAAATGAGCTATGCGAGAGCCTGGCAGGAAACGCGGATGATGAAGCTGGGTGGGTCACGTGACAGTATCTAATGGACGTATTCAACTCGCGATTCGCGACTTCGCAAGTCGTAACGCAGCATCATGGTCGAGCCGCAACATGGATGCGCGCCCAGTACAGGTTGTTCAGATCTATAGTTGTTTGTGCCTCCCCGGGAGCCATGGCGCCCATCACTAGCTCTGTTGAAAATTCATGCTGTACCCGCCCGTCTTCTCGTCCTTGACCATCTTGAAATTATCCGTACTCATGCCAAAGGGCTTCAGAATGCCATTGCCCAACTCTTTGAGTTTTCCCCACATCTCGCCCATCTCCTGCTCCTGCGCCACCTTGACGCGGGGCTCGAGGTCTCGCAGCTGCGTCTTGACTGTGCGCAGATCCGACGGCGTGAGAAAGGTGGTGGGCAGCGTGAGGAGCGTGTTGTAGTCCGACTGCGCGGAGGACAGCGAGTGCCACGTCGGCGGGTCGGTGTTATAGTACGCCCTCGCGCGGCGGAGCAGACTCTTTGTGCGTATCCGGAGAATGTCCCTCTCGACAGCGTCCTGGACAGGCGCCGCCGTTTCAGCACCCGAGCTCACAATCTCCTCATCCGCTTCGTCTTCTTCCTGTGGTTTTGCCTTCTTCTCCTGCTCCAAGCTGACTTCGAACTCTTTGAGCTCGTCGAGAGAACTGGAAGCACTTTTAATAGCGTCTTTCCATTCCTCTAGTTTGAGATTGCATGCGGCTATGTTGGAGTGGAGGACTGCACGGGGAAAGCGTGTCTTCTTGGGTAGCGGTGCGAGGGCGGAGAGGTATGTGTTTAGAGCATCCTGGAAGCTGGACGCTGTAAAGAGGGTTGTCGCTTCTGATTTCAGGGTGTTTGATTCTTCGAGGGCGGCCTGTTATGTGTGAGTACTGGGTGCGCTAAGGGGACAGTGGCGAAGTGAGTGAGTGATGCTTACAGCTTCTTGCTCTGGTGTGAGGGCCACCTCGATGACATCGTCTTCGTCGTGTCCTGTGGGTTCTTTTCTTTCTGTCTTGTCTTGTGGCTTTGTTTCGTCTGCACCCATCACGGCGTTTCTTTGTGTCGTGCTTTCTACGTTGCGAGATATGAATTACGACGGTGAAAGCGCGACGAATGTCACGTTGGAAAATACGCGTGGGGCGCCAGGAAATGACGTAGAGAAGTCTTTAAAATGGCAGCAGCGCAACGAGGCGAACTGAGTTCCTCAAGATGGAGGAGGCCTTTCTTTAATCTCTCAATGTAAAAGAGGAGAATATCATCTGCTGCGCACTGGGGGGCAATTTTATTAGGCATTGGAAATCTGAGGTTCGCGAATGGCGACGGGAAACCAAGATCGCCATGGCGGTATCGATAAGAGTACTTGCAAGGTGATAAGATAAGACGCTGCCCCTCCACGCATCTCTTGGCCTCCCGAGTCCGGACATCGCTCCAGGAGACTCGACCAGTCGATCCGCAAGACAGCTTTACTTGAGTGGGATCAGGAGCTCCTCTATTCAAGAAGTGACAAGATTGAATCACATACTAAGCTGCTGCTGAACAACTGTAAATAGCGGTTTGGACTAAAGGATCATCTAGCGCCCAACCTACTTCCTGTGGCGCTCCATACTTTTTGGCGGCCAGGAGTCCAGGACTCAGGTCCCTGAACAAAGCCAAGCCCCACCGGCAACCTCCGTCCGGACATGCGCCCCGCGCTTCTACATTCCCACTGCCAAGTGCGAACCGAAGACTAGACTATACATAGACCAAGCACTGAATATAGCCCCAGATACTTTCAGCAGCCACCGTCATGGCACCCCAGCAAGAGTAAGCGGTCCCTCCCCAATAGCGATCCTTGCGAAATCGCCTAACCCAGACAGTTTTCCCCCCGTGCGCGCCTGTCTCTTCGACATGGACGGCCTCCTCCTCGACACCGAAGACCTCTACACCAAAGCCGTCAACATCATTCTCGACAAGTACGCCCGAGAACCGCTCCCCTGGTCCATCAAGGCCAAGCTTCAGGGCCGTCCGGGCCCCGCCTCTGTCCAGATCTTTCACGACTGGGCCAAGCTGCCCATTACCCAGGAGGAGTACGTCGCCCAGAACCAGGCCCTCCAGAACGAGCTCTTCCCGTCGGCGGGCCCTCTCCCCGGCGTCGTCGAGCTGCTGCGCGACCTCGGCCGGACAAAGGACGTGCAGGACAAGCAGAAGAGGGTGCACATTGCGCTGGCGACGAGTTCGCACAAGACCAACTTTGAGCTCAAGACGGGTCATCTTCAGGATCTGTTCTCCGTGTTTCCCTCTCATCGTCGGGTCCTGGGCGACGACACCCGTCTCCAGCCCGGACGGGGTAAACCCCTCCCAGACATCTTCCTGCTGGCGCTCAAGACGATCAACGACTCGCTCGACCCCGAGGAGAAGCCCATCACGCCAGAGGAGTGTCTCGTCTTTGAGGACTCTGTCCCTGGTGTCGAGGCTGGGCGTCGTGCGGGCATGCGTGTCATCTGGGTCCCGCACGTCGAGCTGAAAAAGCTGTACAATGGGCGCGAGGGGGAGATTCTCGCGGGTCGCATGGCTGAGGCTGGCGAGGTGGACATGCACCAGCTTGGAGAGATTGACGATGGGTGGGGTGAGTACATGACATCGTTGGAGAACTTCCCCTATGGGAGGTACGGGATGGAGATCCCGGGCGTGAATGCTGCCATTTCGTGATGGTGAGCGTGATGGCACGTAGACAGAGTAGACAGACCAGCCTACATTGAGTAGATAGAAGCTAGACCATCTTTCTGTACGTTAAAGAAGGACATGACTATTGAAGCATGCTTGGCGTGTCATATTGGAACAGCTGTAATTGATGAGACACACATTCAGTCAGAAAGCATGATTGATCAGGCATGTAGACACAATAAGTGTCATTCATCTCAACCATGGCAACTTGTCACCCCGCTCACAGCGAATCCTCAAAGGCCTCCCTCACGTACAGAATGTCGCCCTCCTCGCCATTCATCCTGTTCCACAGCGCCTGCATATCATGGCCGTCCAAGTCCCTCTCATCAAGGCTGCCCTCGGGAACAGCCGCCAGCTCGGCCGCGGCCGTCTCCCGCTCCAGCTGCACGTGCAGGAAGACGCCGGTCCTCTTTCCACTAAATAGGGCGTGCGGGACGTTGGTCACATTGTCGGCGTTGGCGTCGCCAATGGCGTATACGCCGAAGATGTTTGTCTGCAGACCCTTGGTGGGATCCGCGGCGAGGCGGCCCCCATCCAGACGCACGCCCATCTTCTCACCCACGTCCGACTGTTGCTCATCGCCATAGCCTGTGAGGAAGGCACTGCGCTCCACCGTGGTGCCGTCATCGAGGTGCACGCGGAACAGGTCAAGTTCCGGGTACGTGGGCAGACTCGGGTCACCCGGTGTGGCACTCCGAAGACGCTCCACCCGGGTTATCGTCTGGTTGTACACGGCGACATTCTTGAGCTTGAGGTAGTCTTCCCAGCGGGGCATCGCCTCGTCTGCCAGCAAGCGCGTTTCGGGCGAGTCTGTGCCGTTGACAAAGGCGACGATGTCCTTGTTCAGTGTCTGCATTTCGCGGACTAGGCCGGGAATCGAGTTGAGGTCGTCAATCAGGCCGAGTTGCTGGTCCTTGTGCTCGTGGCCATCGCACCAGGGGCACCAGAAGATACCGCTGCCCCAGTTCTCCTTGATGCCAGGCGTGTCTGGGAGCAGGTCTCGCAGGCCTGTTGCGAGGACAATCTTCCGCGCGGTCATGGCCGTGGAGGACCCCTCCGTTTTGACAGAGAAGTACGTGTTGTTCTCCCGGGGCTCTATGTCGGAGACGGTGCCGTTGGTCCAGGAGACCGTGTCATAGTAGGAGAGCTGCTCGCGCGCAGCCCAGCGGTAGTAGGCAGGTGTGACGCCATCAAAGCCGAGCACGTCGTGCATATGTCTCGTGGGCTGGTTGCGGTACTCGCCCGAGTCGATGAGGAGGACGTTCCTCCTCACGCGAGCCAAGGCACTCAGCGCTGCCAGGCCGGCCGGTCCGCCACCGACGATGATGGCGTCGTATTGCGCGGTCTGCCATCCGTCCTGGGTAGCCGCGTCGTCGCCAGGAGCTGGAGCCGGAGCTGGAGCCGGAGCAGCCCAAGCCTGGGAGGCGAGGGACAGGAGGGGGATGAGGCTGACGGGGCGCATGATGTCTGGGAGCGACTTCCTCTGCTGACTCTGTTCTCAGAAGGCTGAGGATGAGGTGAAATGTGCTCGTGGTTCTCGAGAGAAAGGGGACTGATTCTCGGGGTTCGTTCGCCCTTTTAATTCATCTGTTCATCCCTGGGGTCACATCGCGGATCCCTCTCAGGCGACGATCCTCATGTGGGAATTGAGACAACCACATGCCTGATCTCGGACGGCTGGGCCCGTGCCTGTCCAAGAGCAAGGTCTCGTCGGTTCGGATCGAGCGACAAGAGCTGGATACGTTTGACGTGTATCCGTATCTCCGAGCTGAGACGCGGCACGGTGCGTACATGTGCCGTCTGGTCAAGTGTGTCGCGATACGTACAACGGGACGAAAGCTGTACTCAGTTTGTTGTCCCGCATACGAGTAAGACAGGCTCAGCCTTTATTACTTCGGGTGATGATTGCCGCTGTTTCGCTCTGATCGAGTGAGTGGTGAGTGACGATAACTCGTGTGAGACATGCAGGCGGACGCGTCGAGCCGGTAGTTGGAGATGAGGATCTTCGACATTGACTACCATATAAAGTGGGTACTGGTCCGAATGTCGCAAGGTTCGCTCGTGTAATCAGCTGAAAGGTGCATACGTCGTTCAATCGGTGACTCGTGCTGTGAAACTGTTGAGAAACGAAGCACACTGTAAATGTATCGCACTGGGTCGGTTGAATTCAGCTGTGGTGCCGTGTTGATTAGCGTCCATGATGCTTTAAACACTCAACCCTAACTTCACGTACGGTTATGGCGTATTCAAATAACAAAAATGGAATTTGGTTACGCGTGCTAAAAAGCCTCTGTCTAGGTTTCAATTGCCTTAATATATATCTCTTGAGCGGCCACTAGACCCCCTACACGAAGTGCTTGCAGCCTTATAGGGTAGCCGGATAATGCTTTGAGAACTGGTAAAGGCAGCACGGACTCGGAGCCTCACATACAGACAACATGAACACATCATGAAGATCACACCTTTGTTGAACCGTATAGTACCGAGGTGATTATTGAGATTGTATGTCTCAGCATCTCCCGAAAAAATACCTGGGCGATGCCATCTGCCAACAAATGACTCGAGCTACAATATCCACCCACGCTGCCTACGCGGTACCCATCACCTCCCAGAAACCACAACAATAGGCAAAAGCCTTATAAGTTTCATTCAGAATTCCATCGAAGCTTAGAATGACAGACATTTGCCGGTCAGCCTGCAAGCTAAATGACAAAGGTGCTCTCACAGCCATCCGTGCTTCAGCAGCACTTCTGGCCGCAGTTGTCGTAGCAGGTGTCCCAGCAAATGTCGCAACTCTGAGGCGCGGCCTCCGGCGCTGGCGCAGCAAAGGCACCTCCGGCGAGGAAGGCGGCCGCCGTTCCGACGATAGTGGTGAACGTCATGATGCTGTCACCGAGGAAGTCAGTCCAAAGTATCCAAGAACAAGGGGTAGACTCCAACCATACAAAGTTGTTGTGTAGACGTGGTCGTTGCGAGATGAGAGGAAGCTTGAAAGGCGAGCTGGTTTGGAGAACAGAGAAGAGAATTGGAGCTGGAATGTGATGGACTTTATATAGATCACCAGCATCCCTTCCCCTCAACTCCTTCTTTACACGGGAAACCACTCAGTCTTCTCGTCACGTCTTCTGAATCCTTTCGAAGTAATCGAGCATCCGAATCTGTCTTGATACAAAATCGTTTCCTGTATATTGTGCAAGCACGGGGAAGCTCCGCCGCGGAACTGGACATGTAGAAGTTAGAACCTCCCTGAAAACCAGGAGTCTCCGGAAATGTGTCCACCAGAACGCAATACTGCTGCACGTAAGATCTCCAAATGGAAAGACGTGCCACGGGTGATCCCTATGAAGCAGTAATCTTCAACGCTACCCCAGTTTTTGTGCAGCACTCCCGGTCTAGTGTCCCTGTTCACACATCTGCCACTGCAAGAATGCGGAGGTCGGCACACCCGTGTCACCAAGTTAGACCCTGCAGGTGTCTCTGGTGAGAGGCACCCACATGTGTATGTATTGAAAAGAGGAGTGGTTGCATGTAAATGCAAGGCAATGCAGGCAAGGCTGGCGGATCTCACTCGAAAGGTAGACCGGGGTGAATGTATTCCTCTTTGAACATGGATGTGGATGATGAAGCCAAAGTAAGGGGTCAAAGGATCGCAAGGTCACACTCAAACACCATTGGCCTTATGGTACTGGTTCAGTTAAAGCTTTCAGTGTATCTCTACGTCTCGGAGGATGAATGCCCGTGGCTCATGACCCACGTCCTATTGATCCTTCCGAAAGAAGTACACCGTTGTCTAGGTCCCTGTCTGCAACCGCTGGAGGCTTCAAAAAAACATCAAAGCTTCAAAAACCGATCGCAAGAGGTTAAAATCAACCACGAATTATTCGAGCCTCTTCCTCCCTTGGCGTCGCTTTGATCTACTATGAAGATACAATCAAAGCGGACTTTCCCCTCTTTAACTCCTCTGCCCACTGATGCACGTTAAGCGAGGCCTGCGGAGGGACTGCAAAATACCATGGGGTACATGTACCCTTCAATATCATGAGTAGAAGGTTTAACTCGTTGACAGAATGATACCTTACCTTTGCCTCAAGCACTTCAATGTACGATACATCAGTCACGACTTGGAGAGATGTGCCATGAACGCGTACATTCACAACCAAGGCGGTAAGAGTGGACTGGTTTTTCTTTGGACAATACGTTCAAGATAAATCTTTCCTGACTCTATTTTAATCGTCCTCCGCTGGAACAGCCTCGTCCTCCGCAATGAACTGGGCAATTGGCCTATATCTCCACCGCTGGAAGGTTGGTACACCACCATCAGGACACTGGACACCGCTGCCAGCTCCATTGCAGGTAGCATAGGCACCGAGAAGACTTCCCACAAACGAGCCACTGCCACCACTAACCAAGGCCGAGGACGCAGTCGCAATGGTGATGGGTTTTTTGCAACCCTGGGAGACAGCAAGGCGATATGTCTCGGAATTCTCCGCATGGATGTGCAGTCTAACTGGCGCGTCTGTCCAGTCTTCTGGTACGGGCACAATTTTTGGCTCGGGGGTCTCATCCTCATTGGTGCCGGTGGCGCGGAACCGGAGAGAGAGCCCAGAGTCGAGGAGCACAAGACCAATGTCAATGTGATTGAGCTGCGTGAGGAAGACTGTGACACCAGCTTCTTGCCCGACTTCCTCGGGAGAGAACAAGACGTCAACGCTAAAGTGGAATAGTGTGTGTGTCTGACGTCTTCCAATAAAGGACAGTCCACGCTGGCCCGACAGCTCGATATGGGTTTTGCTGAAGGGAATGCCCGTCAAATTGTTGCGACTAGGAACAATCTCCAAACCAGCATCGGTGGTGCTAAAGCTTCCCTCGCGTGGCACCCGCCAGTATACAAAATGCTTGGGGATAGCAGAGTCAGCGTTAAATTCGTAAGCGTCAGCATCATCATTGAAAGGCCCATCTCCTGGCACGTCGCGCGTCTCGATCGGAAGAGGCCATCCGGACATCTCCCCACGGACAGGCTGGAGGATGGGCCATTCGCCCTCCTGCCAAGTAGCCGGGAAGAGCACTGCTTCACGGCCCATGGGGTAGTGCTTGTACTCCGGACCGGAACGGGTCGCGAGACAGAGACCCCACCAGTTGCCATACGTGTCCGTGAAGAGGTCACCATGGCCGACAGTCTGGAAGTATTGATCGGTGCCACGGTTCGTCAGGATAGGGTTATTCTCGTAAGGGTCATACGGACCCCAGATGTCCTTGGCACGAGCAATGGTGATGGCGTGGTCAGTCGCTGTACCGCCCTCAGCGATCATCACATAGTACCATCCATCTCGTTTGTAAATGTGCGCACCTGGCCTTGGTGAGAATCACGTGGGTGAGTATCATTTATCTTTCTGCGTACCTTCAGGCCAGACACCGCCGGTTCCGTTCCAGATAGAGACCGGAGGTTGGCTGAGCTGTCCCGTCTCAAGATCGAACTCTTGGAGCAGAATGCCCTGCGTCGCGACGTAAACCTTGCCGTCGTCATCCCAGAAGAGGTCGGGGTCGATACGATCCGTAGCAAATCGAACAGGATCGCTCCACGACTCATCGCTGAACGGGTCTGTCGTGCGGAAGACAACGCCAATGATGCCACCAGGAACGCCGAGGTATTCGCAGATGACAAAGAATTCTCCGTCACGATGCCGGATGGTGGCCGCGTACATGCCCTGCTGCTGCTCATCGGTGTCCCAGCTCACGCCGGGCAGCTGAGCCCCACGATTCCAGGCATGGCTGATGAGCCGCCAGTTGATGAGATCTTTCGACGCGTAAATCGGAAGGCCGGGGAAAGAGATGAAGGTGGAAGTGACACAGTAAAAGGTGTCATCCACTCGCGTACAAGACGGGTCAGAGTGCCAACCAGGAAGAACGGGGTTGTAGTAGGAAGAATTATCAGCCTCAGCAGCAGTGCAAATTTGTGCGCCAATGGAGGCCAAAAGTCCCAGGTTGAGACTGAGCAACTTCATCGTGGCTCCTCGGTATCTTCAAGAAATCCACGTCAAATTGCACCTCTGCTATGACTCCATTATGGCGGGACAATGATTTATACACCTACACCGTTCGTCCCCCCGATGTCCCAAGGGAGCTCGAACTTCAACCGCAGGTTGTTTAGCCGGCAGTTTAAACAGGAAAATGCCGTCCATTCTCACCCCTGGGCCGACTTGCTTGGTCCACATTACTCCGGCTGGACAAGATCTCCATCTCGCCGTATTCGCTAAAGGGTGATCATGGCATGGTTCCCCGCACGGTACGTAACATGTCCCGTTTGTCAGGGAATGATTTGCCGAGACAGTGAAGTATAGGCTAAAATGCAATCCCTCCAAGTCCCGTGCTACTGCCACCTGCATCGTGAAGGGACTATTCCTAGAGCAATCCTGCAGGCTGGGGAAGAAAGCTGGAAAGTCTCAAGCGCCGTATAATGCGAAACTGGAGTAAGGAATCGAAAAGATCGCCGAATCAGACACATCTAGGATAATGGAAACAATGGATTTAATGTTGGTGGAAGATCCTGCCCTCGATAGCGCAATGAATGATCAACGAAGGGCTTACTTTTGTCCTTAGGCGTGCTAAAGCTCTGGGGATACTTACTGTAGGGAGGTCGACACGGCACGGGGCTCAATTTGAGATTCCTTCACTAATGTCGACAGCAATTTATTGCGCGAAGGCAGCGTTGGTCTTGTTCGGGGATATACGTGATCGATCGAATAGGAGCAGGGCGAGTCCGAGGAGGAGGAGATGCCAATGAAACTAGAGGATTGGGCCAACAAGGATCAAGATGCCTGACGATGAAATCAGCCCTTGTCTATATAAGAACCTGCATGGTACATGTGCCGAGCATTATTAAACATGTACACTCTATGGGCAAAACAAGGTGCTGGCCTTGGTCTTGAAAAGCGTTGTTCCGGAGAATTGCTCCCGGTCTAGAATCTGTCCACGACAAAAGTCCTGCAAGAACTTCCCGTTTGGGTGCGCCGTTGGTTCTCCATTTTTGACCGCGAACAACAGCGTTCAAGTCTCAGGACCCCGTTGCAAAGCCAGACCGCTCTGTGGCCACCTAGTGTCGTCGCGCAGACGGCATGGAGCAAACTGACATGGACTCGCGCTCAGTCTTCCACCAAGGTCGCCCTTTTTCAACAGACAAGAACCCCGGTGCCTTCCCCAGTACCTTGTTAGAGTACAACCTATGAAGCCAGGCACTCGGCACTCGGCAGTCGGCAGACAGCCAGTCCCACCCTTTCCTTTGACGGCACAGACGGTAAGATCCCGCCACTAATGCAAGCTGAGGATATTGCTCCGACATGGAACCTCTGAAAGCACCACAGCTTTGGTTAACTTCTTATCTCAACCAGCGACGGGATGCTCATGGACAAACAGTAGCGCTGGCAAAAGTACTGCACTACCGTACTGCCGCTCCAGAGTTCAGAGCCCAAAGTCTAGTCGACCTTTTAGCTGCACGTCCTAGCAGATTCGGACTGAAAGCATCTTTCATCACTGTGCAAATTACTTTCCTGTACACGCGCCAGATAATCATTTCACGATCTGTATAGCTTCGAGCTCCCCGGAAAGAGCTGCCCAGCGAATGTCGATCGATCCTTTGGACCGACGATCAAGGGGTGTCGCTTAGACTTCGACTTTACTCTGCTGTTCGACACGACTTGTCCAACTCATCCTGGAATGTCAATCAAAATCAAGAGAGCTCTATGAGACAAGTAACACGGTCAAAGATGATTGTGCTTCTCCTGTGAGCAGAATATTCTTTTGGTGGCTCAGTTCGCTCTTTCGACATGGCTATAGGAAAGCTATTGTAGCCGCCGACCTTGGCCCAATCAGCCCTGTACTCTACAGCTTCAAACCAGCCTCAATATTCGAGTCCATCCCATTGAATAGAAAAGGTAACGTCCCGCCATTTCCTTTGGCCTTTTTTAGTACGCATTTGTGGCTGTAATGATGAAGGGCACTCACGGGACTGCAGCGTATATAGTCAACAGCCTTGCTATCTCTACTATGAAATGTCTAGGCTGCATATCTCTCAGTCCACTCCTCCCGAGACTCCTATTGTCCGGCTTCACATTTTCCCAATTCCTTCTCGTTCAGGCTGTGCTGCACTACCTTGATTAAGACAACGACCTGTCAGTTGCAGCGAGCCACGGGGACGGACTCATTGGGGCCTGTGTCTTGGTCCACACAGGAGTCACGGTAAGAAAAACCCCCTGCGATGAATCGCACTCTCCTTGTTTTGACTTCATTGCTAAATGTTTTCAAGATTTCAAGCAGCTGGTATGGGCGCGAGGTCTATCGGTCTGCGTGTGTGGTGCATGAGAGCCTAGTCATTACGATTCTCGAAAAGGTCCTTCGCCCTCGCGAAGACAACAGTATCGAAGCACAAGTCAATACCCTCATGGCTTCAGATTTTCAAAGAGTCGTCTCTGGACTCAAGTACCTTTATGAGTTTTGGGCTGGTCACATTGAGGCGGCTGTCGCAACCTGCCTCGTAAGCAGCTCATGGGCCTGTCGTCTCTCGCCATGCTCGGTCTCGCACTAGGTCGGTCTTCTCTCGACTTTTCAAAACAATGGACAGTAGTTAATTCATGTTTCTAATCACAACCCGAGGATCTCTCTCTCTCTACGCTCTTGGCGACGAAGATCGGAACCCATCAGCAAGGGTGGCTCAAGGCTATGGAGATACGAATCGGTGCCACCGAGGATGTCTTGGATTCCATCAAAGCAGTCAAAATGTGTGGCGCAGAAACCGGTTTGAGCGATCTCATTGTTCAGCTACAAAACTCTGGGACTAAGGCAGCACGGTCTTTTCGACTTCTCCTGACGGTCTCTGTCTTTTTGTGTGAGTGAATACCTCGTGGCGAAAGCCAGTGACTGACAAATCAGCCTGCGGAACCTTGATCCTTTCCACTTTGCTCGTCTTTGCCGCCCACATCGGCCCAAGTGGAGGCGTGAACGAGCATCTCAACCCGGTCACCATGTTCTCTTCCTTGGTACTGATACCATTGCTGGGCAATCCCTTGGTCCACTTGTTTCAGGCATTGCCAGCCCTCGGCTCCGCGCGAGGGTTCTTCGCAAGAATTCAAGCATTCCTGGAAATAGGTGCAAGGTCAGTTACAGAACGTTCTGGCCCTCCGACAGCCAACAGTCCTGTAACGGCAAAGGAGGCGCAGGTCAACCTGGCTCCCACAGATCATGACGTCGTTATTTCCTTTCGTGATACCAAGTTCGGCTGGTCAGGAGCTGAGTCTTTCCTACAGAACCTCTCCCTGCAAGTCAAAAGAGGACAATGTGTTGCCATGACTGGGCGAGTCGGGTCTGGCGAGTCGTTTCTGCTCAAGTCATTGATTGGGAAGACGGAGAAGCTGTCTGGATCCGTCGTGGTTCCCCGCGGTGATATTGGATGTTGCAGCCAAGTCCCATGGGTAGAGAACTTTTCTGCAGAGACGGCATGGTTAGAATATGACACTCGAGGATCCGAGTGCGAGGGCTGCAGCTTGTCCCCAACCTGATCGTGGCAGGTCTGGCCACTGTCGTCGCCGGCATTGCCATTTCGCACAGGAGCAAAATCACCACCGGAGCCGTTTGTGTCGCTTTTGTCAACGCCACCAGTCCTGACGAGAAGTTGGCCAATTTCATCGTATCCCGGACGTCGCTAGAGACATATCTCGGTGCCACCGCGCGCATCTGGGCATTTGAGAAGGACACACCGCAGAAGAGTGCGTCGTCGCTGCAAGACCAAGTGTCTGAAGACTGGCCTAGCTCTGGTCGACTCTCTTTCGACAACGCCTGGGCTACGTACGAGGATAAAACACCTGAGCCGACTTGGACGCTCCAGGGAGTCAGCTTTTCAGTGTATCCCAGAGAGCACGTTGCCGTCTGCGGCTCCACGGAATCAGGGAAATCCTCATTGTGTCTGTCACTCATGGGCATGATCCCGGTGCCTGTGGAGAGCCATTACCGTTGAAGATGCTGACGTTTCGGCGCTTCCTATACCGAGACTCCGCAGTCGATATCAAGTTCCTCGAAACCCAAGTGCACGTTTCGCCATCACCTGCACCCTGAAAGCGTCCACTTGGATGCGGAACTGGAGGAAATGCTCGAAAAGTGCGCTCAAAAGCTGTCAAAGTGATCGAGAAGAAGAAAACACGAGTACAGAGTGTACTTACGGTAGGCATTAGCACTAGGGCAGCTCCGAGTGGATCGATGAATGTGACGACTTTACTCATCTGAGCTGTGAGACGCAACGCGGGAAGAAATCATGTGGCCCGGAATGGCGTTCCCTTTAATATTTGGTTCCTCTGGTTCGAGTCTTGTGTGCTCGTATTGTCCAATATCCATACATCTCGCGAGGGGAATCTTAATGCCGGAAGTCGTGGAGTGGAAGGATGGAGGAAGCCTTTATGCTCAGATGCCTCATCTCTTCAGAAGTCCAATACAAGTTCCTTATGTAGAATACTTTGTACTCTTATCAACGGTCGCAGCGTTGCTGCTCACGAACACGATCCCCGTGCAAATTACAGCTCGGCAAAGCCTTCCCTTTCCTTGGTGGGGCCGCCAGACGTCTACACATACTCTGTACATGCACCTCATTGTCGTGGTTTATGACTGACGGACACACTTATGTACAAGCATGCTTGCAAGTAGATGAGAATTCTCTGGCCTCGGGCTGCCTTTTCGCATCTGTCGGTAACCAAGTACCACTCGCCAGCACAGCAGAAACATGGTGTGGACGCTCGGCAGTGTAGGAAAGGGGAGCCAATCAACGGGGTAACCCAGCCACTGTCTCATCACGCACTTTATTGTTTTCCCGCGGCGGTGCCAATAGTGTATGCATACACACACACACACACACACACACACACACACACAGCCCTTCAGAGTGTCATGAGGTCCCACACACTCTTGTACCAGACATTGTGTTTGAATCCGCGCTCCATGCGGCCCTTGACGTCGACGAGGGGCATGCATCCCAAGATCTGGGCGAAATCGTTCAGGCACTGGCCCCGAGCCTCCAGATGGCCCTTGTTACGGCTGATCCCCGCGGGCGGATCCATGTTGACGTACTGGTCCCTGCCGCGGACCAGCAGCGGACCACGCCCCGTGAGGTACGAGACCATGTAGTTGAAGGCTATGTCCTCGCAGTTGAAGGCGTCGTCAACCACCTGACGCATCCTGACGGCAGGGCCCGCGTCAGAGAAGTAGTGGTCCAGGAACGAGACGTGCGTGAAGGCCAGGTTGGTGAGCACCATTGAGTAGGTCTCGCCGTCGCCGTCGCCCCCACCCCAGGAGGAGGAAGGGGTGCAAAAGTTGTACTCCCAGCTACCCCTAGCGTCCGCGTGCCTGTCTCCGGCCCGGCCGGACGAGATGCACCGAGCCAGCGCGCCGACAAGCCTGTCCTGGCCAAACTCACGCCAGATCTGGAAGACAAACTCGAGGTCCGACGGGCGGTAGAAGACGTCGTCGTCCGACAGGAGGATGGCGGCGGTGCGGTACCCCGGGTCCGGGCGGAGCTTCTCATTGAGGCTGTCGTGGGCGGGCGTCCTGTACCTGACGGGGACGCCGTGGTCCGAGGTGAAGTCTGGAGGTGGGGTCTCGCCAAAGTTGTTCCACACGACGACGACCTCGAAGAGGGACGGGAGCTTGTCGGAGAGGACGGTGTCCAGGACGCGCCCGAGTTCCTTGGGCCGGTGGAAGGTTGAAATGGTCATCCTGCGCATGGCATACGTCAGTTGATCAGTCAGAGAACAGTTACTTGAGCTCTGGCCACCCAACAAAATCTCTCTTTCTCTCTCTCTCTCTCTCTCTCTCTCCCCCCTGCATCCATCTTCATCGTGCTTGCCCCTTGCTGGTTGCTTGTCTGATTGTCAAAGCGCGGAGTGAATCATGGTGACATACGTAAACTTGTCCTGTATCAGGTCCGCACGCTCTGCGGTTGATACGTTCCACGCGCAACCCTGTGTAGGGCGACCCCGATCTTGGCCACAACGAGGCACGCCCGTCGCAGGTGATGTCGTGCCCGACCCTCCACCAAATGCCCGCTCGTGGCGGTTCTCCTGCCCGAAAACGTTCAGGAGGAACCCCAACACGCACAGAGAGACCAGGAACACGGACGGAACCACCACTCTCCGGCAGGAGCGAGGTGAGATGGAAGAACCGCCGACGCACCGCCTCATGGTCATGGTCATGGTGCCATCTGCGAATCCAGGGACCAAAGAAGGAAGAAAGAAAGAAAAGAACGAGAGTGAAAAGTAGTAGTACAGAGCTATGAGGCATGTAAGTAGGTGGTAAGGTGGGCGTGCGTCAAGCAATCCAGTCCAATCGGAGCCGGGCGTCAGACCATGTGAACGGGGCTCAACGAGACCGCGAATCATCATTCCGCTGTGTGAGTCGTGACAGCTCCGGCTCAGCCCGCACACGCCGGCCTCAGTTTCCTTCCGTGGCTTCCGTTGGGCAAAAGCACACGCATAAAAAGAATGAATTACTCCTCCGTACTCTGTAGTAATAGATTCAATCTCGTATCGGTATTAGACATCTCCCTGCAAACACATTGCAGTCATCTCCACCATGCGCGCCCGGCCCCTGGCTCTTTTCCTGGGGACAGGCTGCTTCTGCATCATAGCCCTGGCTCTACGCCATCACATCTTCCAAGTCGCCGAGGTTGCGCGCACCTATGCTACATTCCACCGCCTCGTCGAGAAGCACCCCGAGCTCCTCTACCGATACCCTGAGCCCGCCGAGGGCCCGGAGCGCGTACCGAAGCGAATCCACCACATCGCCCTGGGCGGGGGGACCCAGGTCTCCGAGCACGACGAGGCGATACGGAGCTGCCGCGAGCCTCATCCTACGTGGGAGCACCACGTCTGGACCGACGACAAGGCCGTCGAGTTCCTCCAGGAGCATTACCCAGACATCCTCCCTCACTACACTGGGTACGCCCAGAACATACAGCGAGCCAACGTCCTGCGATATGCCCTGCTTCACAAGCTCGGCGGTGTCTACCTCGACCTCGACGTGTCGTGTCACGTCGCCCTCGACTCGACGCCCATCGTCAGGCTGCCCCTGGTGACCCCGGGGGCGTACCCCGCCGGCGTGAACAACGCCTTCATCGCCGCGCAGCCCCGTCACCCCTTCCTGGCCCGGGTCCTCGACCAGGTGCCCCACCACGACATGTTCTGGGGCGTCCCGATGCGCATCCCCTACGTGGAGAACATGATGAGCACCGGCTGCATGTTCTTCACGAACCGGTGGATGTCGCATGTCCGCGACCTGTTGGCCGGGCGGCAGGACCAGCCCGTGTACGTCCTGGCCGACGCCGAGGGCCGCATGGAGCCTCACATGCTGCGCGGGAGGGTCACGACGCCCCTCTTCACCCACGGCGGGGCGAGCAGCTGGCACGGCTGGGACGCAGCCTTGATCCTCGTCATTGGCAAGCACTACCTCGTCTTTGGGGCTCTGCTCTGCGCGACCGTGGTCGGAACAGGCCTCGCGGCAGTCCACTTGTGCAAGGCCTCCCGCAGACGATCATGGTTCCGTCGGAGGAGCTGGACAGCCGGTTTGGCAAAGGGGGCGTAGTCCAGCCGAGAGAATTATCTGTGATGAAGACTATTTGCCTTTGTGGAGAGGGGACATCGATCCAAGATGATTGATGATGAGGGCCGAGTACTGACTGAAGATACCTCTTTGCTATCCCACCCAAGTACATCGTACACATGGTATGGATGATGAGATGACCATGTACGGATACGGATCTACCATGCTCTGAATTTGCTGTAAAACCGAACACGAGCATATCTGCTGTATACATACTTGGAGGAGCAGATTTTACAAGTAACTCGTACTCGTACGAGAGTGAGCCAGAGACAACGCCGCAGCCTAGATGCAGTGGTAGGCTCATAATGCTCGTACATGTGACGCGGGGAACGGAGTCCGGGCGATGAATTGGGTTTTCTTGGGGGGGGGGGGTGGGCCCGGTGGGGGCCTGGTGCTGCTGACTCTGGGGCGGGTATCACTGCCGGTTCAGCCCTTGATTCTCCTCAACAAGTAAGCAAAAAGAGTCTACGAGTGTGGTCTCGATGTCTGCCTCTGATGTTTGTTCTCTGCTAACTCTACTCGTGTTTGCCTTTGCCTCCACCAAAAACTAAATATATCGGGCGTCATTCGTGAGCGCGAGAAAGTCGTAGCCATGTCTGTCCATGGCGGTGAGCGTCTTCCTTTCTTCACAAAAAGTGGTTCGAGAAGATAGCGCCGGACCCACTTGGTTGGTACCGGAACCGGTAGTCCATGACTGGTACTCACAGGGATATGGGATTTTGTCTTCATTAATCCAGGTTTTATCTTTAAAATGAATTCCATAAAACACTAGAGCTTGTTTGCACACATCAGTCTGCTGGTATCTGAAACCCGAAAGATTTTTGGGCAAAGCTTCTCTTCAAAGCCTTACTTTCATGAGCTTTGTATCCAACATTGCGAGCAACCTTCGGAGGTCCATGGGGTCGGCGCGCAGTTGTAGGGTAGCCATTATGCACCAGTGTTGCGCAAGGGATGATTTGACACAGCTCGATGATTGGTGGCTGGCTGGCTGGCATTGCTGTATCACGTGGGGGAGCTGAGATACCGCGGTGCATGTACATTCAGGTCGCTCAGCAAGCCCTGACGAAATCAACATCATGATAATGTAATAGCGCCGACAGAGCAGCGGCACAACATCAAGCACAGGTAATTCAGGAATCATGCTTATTTGCTAGGGAAACGTCTAGAATAACTACATGTACTAGACAGTCTAGACTACGGCATGCCACCGGGTGGCCCACCCCGGCCCGCGCCGAGAAATGGAGAACACGAGCACGTTACACACGGCGCCGGGCGGGGCTTCGCGTGACTTGACTCACTTGAGCCACTTGACTCCTCCAGTTTTCCAGCTCCATTCATCAAGTGGTACGGATGCCACTTCAACACTCCTATTCTCATCAGTTCATGTTCAATCAATGTTCATTCTATCACTTGAAAGGCTCCAAGTTCCAGAATGCGACCTATTCTTGACATGGACGAAAGCACACCTCTGCGTGAGATCAAGTCCGCAGACTCCACACCTTTGAAGACGTCAGCATGTGAGGAAGAGGTCGAGCCAACAATACTCACACTGCATGACGACCACATTTCACAGAACGGAGAACCATTATACGGTATCAGTCGAAAACTCACAGCATTGAAACAAGAGCGATCATCAATCCGCCTCGAACGTGTAGACTCCGAGTCGTCCAACACCTCCAGATCTCTCGTCTTTTATCTCGTCCACCCGCTCAACTCGCACTATCGAACCGACAAACCAGCCTATTTCGCAACATGCGCGAAAGAATCCGGCCTCGGCAACATTGAACTGAATATTGAGAGCAAAGGACTGTCCAAGACGAAGTACAAGGTCCTGCTCAGCGCCGGCCGCAGTGCCTCCAGCGATCCTCTCTTCTACAACCCCCCGACCACTGCACTATCCGCAAAGACCAAATTCGTGGGCGGCAAGTATTTTTGGACCGACTCGCAGGGGCAGACGATTGCGCAGGAGGCGTTGACGAGTGATGACAAACCCCAGCTCAAAATCATGCAGGCAATGCAGACGAATTTCAGAGACGCTGTCGTTGCTGCATGGTGCTTGAGGATATGGTCGCAAGTCGCTGAGAGTCGTCAGGCCAAAACTGACCGTACGTCTTCTTGATGGAGTAGCTGAAGAACGGTACTTACTGACTTCACTCTTAGATCTGGAACGACTGACCCCTGCAGATGGATTGTCAGGTTTGGGAATGAAAATGAGAAAGAGGGCAGGGGGGCTGACTGCACTTGCGGGAGTCGGCGGCGGCGGCGGCGGCGGCTGTTAATAGATCTACCGAGTGTGACCTTTAGGTGTGCTTGCTGCTAATTCTCATGTTGGTTGACAAGCAGCACATGTTGGATTTCCCCGAGCACCTGTCTCCATTGAATTGATTTTGTCGAAACCGGGAATGGCAGGAGACGAGACCCGTGCCGGAGTGTAAACGAGGGCTTTGTGGTTTCCAAGGCAGCTGTGGGTCTGTTGTCTGCACTACATCCAGGATCCGTGGAGTCAGATTGCGGAGGAAACATTTAGTCGCGGTATATTAAATGAGGATACAAGAAAGTTAAGATAGAAATATTAGAGGAGTTCCTCGGCTATCGTCCCAATTCTCTGAGTATTTGTTTCGCAGCTTTGTGACCCCGATGGCTCATGTACATGCATTCCGCGTCGCCTATGTGATGACACTTGAGCCCTCGCCTCCTGCACACCAGATTTGCCAAGTCACCAGGAAGCTGGTATAGACGCAGATGAAGATGGATCGCGCAGAATCAGCTCTCCTCCACAGCCAGGACTTTGTTGTCGCTGTTCACGGCAACCTTGGCGCGTTGCAGCGATGCCTTGACAGGGCGAGGAGCGGCAAAGATGTCATCCAGCTCCTCAAGCGTGCGTCCCTTTGTCTCGGGCAAGAAGAAGTAGAAGACGGTGGTCTGGACGGCGCACCAGGCGAGGAAGACAAAGTACGTTTTCCATCCGATCTGCTCCAGGCTGATGGGCCAGGCGAACTGGTTCAGCAAGCCAGAGGCGTTGACCGAAAGATTGCAGAAGGCCATGCCCTTGGCACGCAGCTCGAAAGAGAGAACCTCGACAGGGTAGAGGGCCTGCAGAGGTGTGATACCAAAGGAGTACACAGCGCCGAAGATGAAGATCATGGCGATGACAGCCCGGGCCGCGTCCAAGTTATCACCACCCGAGTTGTTGTAGATACCGGCAGCCGCACTGACGCCAACCCAGCAGACGCAGGCGCCTGCCATGGAGAAGAGCATCAAGGGACGGCGGCCAAAGCGGTCAACGAAGGCGGCACCAAGCAGGGCGAAACAGAACTGGAAGCAAGCGTAGCCGAGGTTGATGCGAGCCTGGACACCATCTGCCGAGTACCCGACTGTGTCCAAGACGGCGGGGAGGAAGTATGTCAAGGCTCCATTGCCGGCCCATTGGGCGAAGATGGCGAACACGCAGTTGCAAGCGACTCGATAGCGAGAGGACGCCGAGTCGAAGAGCTTGCGGTAGTCCCACCAACGCTTGTCTGAACCCTCGAGATTGAGATGACTCTCGTACTCGGAGAGCTGCAGCTGCACCCAGGGCGACTGCTCATTGCCCAAGCCATGCCACTTTGTGAGGATTTCGCGGGCCTTGTCGCGCTTGTTGTTGACGTAGCACCATCGAGGCGACTCGGGGATCATGAACGCGCCGATGCAGATCAAGCCAGAGAACAGGGCCTGCAGCCAGACGGGAATCTGCCACGACGCAGTACCGGGCAGGCTGAGAGCACCCAGGACCGAGCCGGCAGACAAGATGGAGCCCGTGAACCAAAAGGTATTGCAGTACGCGGTGGCGACACCGCGGTAGGCGGGGTGGGATGTTTCGACGACGTAGATGGGACCGGCCGCACTGGCAATGGCGACACCAAAACCGAGGATGAAGCGGCCAGCCATGAATTGATCGACGGATGCGTTCTGGCGAGTCAAGCCGGTGATGATGGTGCCGATGATGACGATGAAGGCGCCCATGAACATGCCCACGCGACGGCCCCAGGTGTCGATGGCGGGACCGACAAAGGGCAGGGCACTGACGCCACCAATCTGGTACATAGCACTGACGAGACCAGCCCAAATCTGGAAGCTCCGTATTAGCATGCGTCGCTATTTATTGTGCCGATCGGCAAGAGTGTGGGACAACTGACTCCGTCATTGGTGCCATCGAAGTACTCGAGGAATTTGCTGTTCGCCAGGAGACCGCCAAACAGGGAACCATCGAAGCCGTTCATGGTCTGGCAGCAGAATCCAACGAGGGTGCAGGCGAAGAGGAGCATGATACGCGGGTGGAAGACGCTCGGGTGCTCCTTGAGGAGGGCTTCATGGAAAGCGCCGGATCCCTGGGCGACTTTGACATTGGCGACTTCGATCTCCTAGTAGAAGCAGGCAGCGTTAGAGGTCTTCTCTTCTGTCTATGATTCATGGGCGGCAATTCTCGAGTGCTTACCACAGGTGCGTGTGCGTCCTTCTCCCCCATCCTCTCGCCGTGGGCGTTGTGATCGTAGTCAGCCATGGTCGTACAGCACAGTGCAGCAGAGTCCAGTCGGAAAGAGACTTGGCTACTTGAGATGCTCAAGCAAAAGCGCTGAGGGACTTGGGACTTTCTACAATTCTGCAGGCGACCACTCCATGGTTTATATCCAGTCCAGAGCGCAATGCTGGGGATCGCCGCAGTAAGGCGCACATATATAACCCCGCTGGGTCATCGGTCCGGGTCGCCGGACTCAGACACACTCGCCGCGCCTGCAAAGGGCCAATAAAACAATGTCCCCTGCGTCAGGTAAATTCAGCTCTCCGTCTTTCACATGCTCCCCTGCCCGTCCCCACCAATCTAGAACCCCAAGTGGCTGGTTCGTGACCTGGGCCCTGGGGACCAGGCTGGGGTTCGGATCTTCGGCTACGCCAGCTCGTTGCCATTTGCCCATCCCCAGACGGTGCCAGATCCCGTGCGGAGAGACGGTCCCTGTATGTCCGTCTCCGCACCCCATTTGTCTCAACCTGGTTTTATGGGGTGATCTATGTTTCCATGATTCCATCAATTGGCACGCGGTTCCCACACTTTCGAGCCGCTCGGGAAACCAGACCACTAGCAGCTAGTCTGGGACGGTCACGCGGTCGCGCCCAGAACGAAGCGCCGGATGAAGATCCGTGCGCGTCAATCGTGCAGGAGACGTAAGGCGTATTGGGGCGCTGGCATCCCGTCCCGTGTGAGACGTGCAAGTGGCCCCGGAAGGCGGCCCCGTGTTCCAGAGGCGATTGGAGATAACACGTCCATCGTCCGCATCGAGGGCGAAAGGGTGAGCACATTGTCCTGTCTACCTATGGCCTGACCAGCCATGGAGAGAAAGACGGCTGTCGAGAAAGTGCAGAGAGTAGACCGGGCCGCCCGCTCGAATGCGAATGCAATGTTCAGCGGCTATTCCCTGGGCAGCTGCGGCTGGAGCTAACTAACCTTTCTCGGGAACAGCTCCTCGAGCAATATCCCGTCGTTCCGATCGTCCAGCTTGCCCTTCACCACCACTGGGCAATCGGGGCATCGACAAAGACTTGCAGGATGACACTCGCAGTCGTCAGTGTCTTCCAACCCCATAGTACAAGCGCGGCCACACGTCGGCCGCAGCGGTCTTCGGCTAACAATAGCGCGGCTGAGAATGTCGATGCCTCAGTCCTCAAGCTGAAGAGAGCAAGGCTTTATCTAGACTAACTTAGGTGTCTCCTCTGTCATTGTAGTCTGCCGTGCTATCCGTGCTGCTCTTGAACCCGGACTCGAAGGCCTTTGTGAGCTCTGCGACGGGCCGTTTCCCACGAGCCGCGCCCAGCCGTCAAGCCTCAGGTTGAAGAAACTAGACTAGAACGCATCCAGACTTCGCCAAGTACATGTACGATAACCGACAATCTGATGAGCCGCATTCCACTACGGATGCCATTTCCGCACGTGTCCCAACCCACATGTGCAGATCCCGCTCTCGGACGAATAAGGGCTTGGGGCATATTACATAAGACAGAAACACAATAATCGCCGGTGGAAGGCTCCTGAACCCCTTATTCGCTATTGCCAGTGCTGCAGCCAATACAGCAGAAATAATTGTCCCAAATTTTCTTCCCCGGAAGAGCACGACAATACCTGGATCTCGAACTTGATCCATTCGCGTCTGCCCATCTGGACACCGTCCCGGCGCTGATTGTCAAGGGTGGCATGTATCTTCATTATATCCAGCAGCCGGATCCTGCGAGCTTTTATCGTGGGAGCGACATTGATAATTCGCCCACGTTCCATTCCTTTCCTAACTTATTCGAAAGAACGCAGGACTCTCTGGATCTTGGCATGGACGTGGTTGGGTTGGAGCTGTGATGCTCCACGTCTTCGAATTTTCACCATGAGTACAGGTGATGAGTCTCAGGAATGCCAACCCTGCCTCTTTGGTCAATATCCTGCATATTGCTTCCGCGAGGTTACGCTTTACCCTTTCCTTGCTTCATGACACGTGATACCACATCGACAAGTGAGGCATGCGACGAAAGAAGTGCTATACAAGACTTCATGCCAAGAGTTCTTCGTCATTTTGACGTCCTACTCCGCACGTGTAATTTCCCTGTCTTTGAATGAATGTGTATATTAGGCAACAGCGCAGCGTCTCATGTTATAACTATAGATCTAGATTAGACACAGAACACAACGAGGGAACACTATCGTTTTCTGGAGGCGACTTTCGCTTACAGCCGTGCATCCTCTCATCTACATTGCACGACCACACCTCATTCACAATTATCATGGCCGACTCGAAACATGAAGAGAACAGCACAATACGTACCACCACGTCATCGAGACAAAATTCAGGGCTCTTCAACGGGTTCCTCCTTCGTATCGCTTGTCTTGTGCCTGCTCAGGCGATTGTTTGGGTCTGCCTCTACCTCTACTTTGGCCGAGACGGCTCACCACCTCCTACATTTGGCTTTTGGGGGTGGCTCATAATCCAAGGCATTGCATTTGGCATTGCAGCGGTTCTGCAATGGTATTTTTCCAGAAGGGTATAAGCGAGAGGTTTTGGATATCCATTTTCCGGAATCCAGGAGGAGATTGAGTAGACGTGTTCGTGTGTCGCATACGTGGATCTAAGGATGGTACAATCTTGTGCGAGCATGAAGGTGCAGGTGGATACTATTCACAGAAATCTGCCCCTTTAAAGCGTTTGCTACTATTCGGACCCGTTATTCGACTTCGTGAAGCGGATGGTCATGCGAATACGCAGCACTGGATATACGCTGTGGCATGACGTAAGCAAGGGCTTGAATACCGTGGCCTATGGGATTTCCTAGGCTTGATATTAAGGATATCTAGCTTTCCTAGTGTGGCTGAACCTATTGAATTAAATCTTACGCGAGTCGGAGCGAACGGGAATCCTTAGGAGTATGCGCTGGTTACTTTGGAAATCTCAAGAGGCAGTGACAACTTAACAACATAGACCTCTCCAAACCAATGTCTCCCAGGAGCCGTCGCGACCGCCTCTCCTTATATAAGCAGAATGGTCTCGGAATTCAACAACAATGAGCTATTGACTTGGAGCGATACCTAGCTGGTGCACTTCATCGATACGCTACCTTACCAGCGAGGACACCGTCACATTAAGCTTCTTTCTCAGCTTTATGTATGTGTCAAAAGTCTATCGGGATATCGAGGCCGAAGATGCAATACAAGCTCTAGACTTTGCAGCTAGTCTCGGCATAGCTGTCCCACGAATCAGACGCATCGTTCGTGTTGAAGAATGTGATCCACTGCATTATGGAGCGGGTACCTAGATTCCCGCTTGATACGCAATGGCCAAGACTCGGATGGATTATCAGTAGTCGACTAGCCTTTTAGATGCGTCGCATTGTCAACCGATTGCAATCAATCGGCTCAGACTCGGGAGGATCACTTGCAACTGGTCAGTGCAGGTCGTTCTATCTTGAAGATAGTTTCGGGTTGCCTTCCAAAACCAGCAGGCAGCAAATTGACGCTTTTATCAACTTTTGGGCCAACTTCACCGCAACATCACGTGAATTCAAGAAAACCATTATCGAGCATTCGACCTGCCCTGATGTCGAAGTCTTTACACACACTCCGCTGGTTTTCGTGCATCATGATCTAGCACCTCGCAACATCATCCTGGGTCCCAACGGTCGTTTATGGCTCATTGACTGGAACCTCGCTGGCTTCTATTCCAGATCATTAGAGTATGCTGGCATGCATAATTTTCACAGCTCAGCATGGGACAAGTTCGCACACTGGCGCTGGAATATTCTCACATTAATCGCAGGAGGACTTTTTCACAAGGAGGCTCGCTGGCTAGAGAGAGCGAGATGGCAATTCACCCGCTTTCGCTGTGCACGACGATTCAACATGAAGGCCAACGGCTACGCCAGTGTCGCAGGCACCAGGACACAGAATGATTAGTACGGATGCACTTCATGTTCCATGGGCGGAAAGTCATCACCCATGGCGGTTAGGGCCATTCAAGTGTTCTGACACACACAGCAGGCCCAAGTATCACTAAGCTGGGAATGACCGTAGCTGCGCTCTTCGCATGGGGGGCCCTGCTGGTCAGATCGAGTGTGGGACCGAGAACAGCACATGAAAAGTTGACGGGTTCGGTGGGATATCATGGCATCGTGAAGTGGGTAATCTCATGAGCTGTGTGACAGCCGCAGCGATGAACGACTGGGGGATCATGGTATATCTTGAGGACCGAGTCATGCTCAGGGCTGGTAGGAGAAACCGACCGAGAGTAGAGTTGTTGTACACTAGTTGCTTTGACCCTCACACTGTTGCAATAATTTGATCAGAACTACAGAGTATGGGATCGACTTTGGTCGGCTGTGAAGGCTTGTGCAGAATCACGTCAGGACCTGTTGTGAATGTAGTTCAAACAAGGTCTCGAAATAGACACAAATCACAGAGTTCGATCCATACATGTATTAATCGAATGCAATTTATTCTTATTTTGTTTCAGCTGTCAAGTCCAGCCGCTTGCTACTTCTGGATCAGAAGCCCAGTTCTCAATGTCGAAGGCATCATCGACCAGATCGGCTTTCAGCATAGTGCAGTTATGATCGGGGAAATTGTAAGAAAACAGAAAGCAGCCCGATTGCTGGTCACACTTGAAGATACAAGCCTTGAAGTCGGCGGTGACAAATGACGAGTTCCCGGGCCATAAGACCCGTGAGGTGGAGGCAACAGCAGCGTCTAGCCCACATTCAATTGTATAATATCTCTCCCATGACAAGTCGTCGTCGGTATCAAAGAATGATTCAGATTTGCCGTCATACTTGGGGCAAATGCCGGAGCTGTCGGAATCGGCCGTGGAATCGGCCGTGGAGTCGGCGTCGGGACTATGAAGAGTGAAGGCAAAATCAGTATCGAGGCCACCCGTATCCAGAATGTTCGCAATGCAGATTAAGCGCAGGAAAAAGAAAAGAATCAAGATAAAACCATCACTATGCTGGTTATCTCAATAATCCGGGCCTCTAGCCATAATGGCATGTCGATGATTGCGCCCGGTCGCTTGAGATGCCCATAGGGACTGCAACGGCAGGACCGGGAAACACCGGCAAACAAGCACCGGCAACGGGGGTATCGCGAGGGGTAGAGGACTCACCTAGTGCCGTTGCCCTTCAACCCAAGACCAAGTCCCACTCCGACGCCGACGCCAATGATGACGAGACTGATCAGAACGGCAGCGATGATGAACACCGTCTTTCTTCGAAGTCCGCAGCACCCTGAGGTCTTCCCGAGGGCCCCTTTGCTTTTTTGACGCACTTCAGTCTCCGCTGAAAGACCCTTTTCGCCGTCACCGCCTCCTGAATCTGGATGCACGGCCTCGAGACCGGCATAGTGTGGTGACGTCGCCGACTGGGCATGCGTGAACCCCGGGGATTTCCCCGAATGTTTCTCGTGCTGCGTGGCAATTGTGCCGAGGAATCGTCCCTTAGAGTCAACAGCGCTCGGATCATATGCCTCGGGAGCCGACGCGGCATGGTCCTGAGCATTGAATGTATCGGGTGCGACTTGTAGACCACTGTAATCTGACTCGTCAAAGGGTCGGTGATTGACGATGAGGTCCGACTGATGCGCATTGGTGGCCATGGTCGCGAGCGTGGGCTAAACTCAGCAGAGCAGACAGATGCCTTGCTCCAAGACGGGGCACCTTGGCTACTTATGCCTTTTTGCTAACATGTGGAGGAGCATTCTTTGGTAGACGATGGCATGCGCCTCCACTAAAACCGTGCCTACGTCGTAGACACTGATTAGAATCGATAGCTTTGAACGGATATATGGATCCCTTCTGTCTCTTAAAGCCTTGGCAGCTGAATGGAAATGCTGCTTAGTTTCGGGTCTAGAATGGTGCGGGCAACGCCAAGAAGCATCGGCGTTGTATACTATACTACAATTAGTTAGTATTCAACAGCAGCCCATGATGGATGATTGGAATACTCGTGAAAGTTTCAGGCCATCAATTCTCAATGGGCCACACCTAAATCTCTCGAACGCGCAAGAGTCAAAATAATATAACAAGACCGAGATCCAGACCCGCTAGAATCTTGAACCTTTGCCTACCTATTAGTCTCAGCACGATGAGACCTATGTAGCTTCGTCGTCCGCTGTGACCGCTTCCATCGCCATAACAAGATATTTCGCTATCCGCGGTCCCCCAAGCACCGCCTCTTGAATTACAGATTCCGATACGTGGATGCAGTCGTCGTTGTCGTCTGCGTCGTCGACGTTGGCGGGAGTTCAATGATGAAGCCGCGCGCATCCAAGCCACATACATCGTTTGTTGACATTGACTTTGAAAGGGCACCCTTAAATGAACTTCGTAGTGCTAGTAAGTCCAGGGGGGTTCTCCCCCCACCACCTCCACCCCAAGACTTCGCCCTCCTGCTATTTGATGTGATTTGATTACACGGTCGCAGACGAATACCCGCTTCCGCTTCTTATTGAGCGGAGCTACTGGGATTAGCTAGCGTCGCTTATGTAACCTAGAGGAGGGCGAAGTCTGGGGGAGAGGGGCGGGAAGAACCCCCCCCGTCACCATCTCAGGCGTTCATTCCAACCCTTTTCTCGGGGGCATCAATGAGCGAGCAAGATGATAACCTCGCTGACCTTGGACAATCAGCCTGGTCAAGTCATCAGGCCCGTTCATAGCGTTGGCAGCCGTTGATGTAATGTTCCACCGTACTTGTTGTAGCCGCTGCCGTCTCGGCCGAATCATTGACCACTGAACAAGCTCCTTGCCCCCTTGAGCGTCTTCGCCCCATCGTCGCCGACTTCCTTTATTCCCACCTATTGCTGCGTCACGCCTAACGATCTCAATAAACACTGGTCGGAAGCTTCTCATAGGATTTAGAAAGACGCCTCGGTCAATCCAAGAGCCAAAGACAGTCAAATGAGAGAACCATTGATTCTTCGGCCACAAAAATATTCCTCCGTTCTAAATTATTTGCTTGCCCCCCCACCCCACACATCCCCGACCCAATTCAGCAACGCGGAGGCAGTCCGGATCGCCCAAATAGTCAAGATGCAGGTTCATGTCCTTTGGTTTCTGTTCAATTCCCTGACTTGGAACGGTGCCACCAACACAGACCTCTATTTAATATCCTGCGCAGCGGAAGGTGATGGACCGGAGAACGTGTTCGTCCCGCAGGCGTGGCGCTACAGCAACAGACTGGGAAGGGTGCTTAAATACTTCAAGAATGGACATCCGGATCGCTCTCCAGCACTTGCATCTTCATTAGACAACAAAGGTTTGCTCAAGTATCACCAAAATGAAATATCAGCTCAGTCTCGCAGGGCTGCTCGCCCTTGCCCAAACCACGGTTGCCCAGTGCAGCGGCACCTTTGAGGACATGACAGCTGAGGACTTTATGGCGGCTTCAAACCCAGCGTGGAACCTAGGGAATACTCTCGACGCCATCCCCGACGAAGGCTCCTGGAATAACCCCCCTGTCGTCGCCGCGACCTTTGACGCCGTCAAGGCAGCCGGTTTCAAGAGCGTGCGCATCCCCGTCACGTACACGCACCACTTTGTGAGCGAGGCGCCTGATTACGAGGTTGATCCGCAATGGCTGCAGCGCGTGTCAGATGTGATTGACTTTGCATTGGAGCGGGACCTTCTTGTTGTCACAAACGTCCACCACGACAGCTGGGAGTGGGCGGATGTGAGTATGCCAAATGCGGACGTCGAGGCAATCCAAGCCAAGTTCCGGGCATTGTGGGTGCAGATCGGCGAGAAGCTCGCTTGCAAGCCATCATCTGTGGCCTTTGAGAGCATCAATGAGCCGCCGGCTCAGACCGCCGAGGATGGTGCCCACGTCAACGAGTTCAACACCATCTTCCTTGACGCTCTCTCGGAGACGGGCGACTGGAATACCCGTCGTGTGGTCACCTTTGCCGGCGGCAACAATGACGCTACAAAGACCTCGCAGTGGTTTGAGCCTCCTGCCGAGGTACCCAACCCCTGGGCTCTTCAGATTCACTACTACAGCCCGTACGACTTTGTCTTTTCTGCTTGGGGCAGGACTACCTGGGGGAGCACGGAAGACAGGGCTGCCGTGGACCGTGAATTGGACCTTGTCAGGGGAAACTTTACAGACGTACCCATCTACGTCGGTGAGTTTGACGCTACGCCTCGCAGCACAGAGTCCGCCGCGCGTTGGAAGTGGTTCGACCATTTTGTGTCTGCTGCTACGGACATTGACGCCACCGTTGCCATCTGGGACAATGGTCTGGACCATCTCGACCGCGAGACTGGCAATTTCCGTGATGAGACTGTCGTCGACATCATCCGCAACGCCGCCAATGGTGTGACCAACTCTCTGCCCGACAGCACTGTCGATGCCTCGGCCGCTGAACAGTGGACATCTGCCTACATTTTCAACCAAGTTGGCGCCGCCATCACCGAGAAGAAGCTGCCTTACCTCTTGAAAGGCAACAATGTCGAGAGCATCACCACGTCCGAGGGAAACAAGCTCTCTCGGGGCACAGACTTTACTGTCGGCTGCTCGTATATCACCTTTTCCCCGGACTTTATCAGCACATATATCACCGCTGACTCTGAGCCTGGTGTGTACGAGACCCTCACGATCGAGTTCTCGGCCGGCGCCAGCACGACTGTCACCATCGTCCAGTGGGATGTGCCCATGCTCGAGTCTACCGAGGGAACCGCTGTCACCGGTCAAGATCTCGTCATACCCATTGAGTGGGCAGGCTTGGAACGTCTTGCCACGGTCAAGTTACTGGCCGAGGATGGAACGTATCTTGTGGATGACTGGACACAGTACCTTGGTCCCCTGCAGCAGGCCAGGGGCACGTGGGAAGGACAGTGGAGTTTCGAGAGTGACAATGTGATTATTCGAGCGGCCATCATTGACAAGGTAGTCAGTCTGGGACAGCCTGCCACTTTTACTTTTGAGTTCTACCCGCGCGTAGAGGACAATGTCGTGGAGTATGTCCTCACACCTTGAGGGCGTGGCCGTCCTTTGGATAGACAGTCTGCTACAGCGCCTAGGACTAAGAGTGAGGCTACTTGAATGGCTCGACTAAGGTTAACCCTTCTGATTACTCGTGGCTTAATGCTTCTTATATAGCTTCACGGCTCTTATAGCCACGGTATTACAACTATTTCTTCTCCCCGTCAAATTGTTGGGATGATCTGCTTCACAAGCATCTCGCCGTAGCCACACGCCACATAAAGCTAGTTGTAAGACGCCAATAGTCGTTGACCTTGCCATGAGTACGTTAGTGCTTGTCCGGGCATACAACTCAACGTCTGTCCAGCCTGCACCGCACCCAAAACAGTCATTCCACCTCTTCCGAGGTGAGAGTCCGAGCATGCGCAGTGTGCTTCACAGTCTGCAGAGAATCACTCGTGTTCCAGGTCGTTGATCTTGTCAGTGCTCCTCTCGTTGATCTTTGACGGTGGTGGATCTGGCCCCGTTTTGAGAGCCCTAGCAAGATTCAGCTATTTTGCCCCCACTATCTCGTCTTTCTGGCACGTCCTTTTGGATGCGTGGAGAACACTGTACCAGAGTTCCCAGAGCAGCATTTCCGTATCCATGCACCCTTGCTCGGTCGGTGTCGCTATCTGAGCGATTATATGATTGTAAGTGGCTCAAGAGAGCAGAGATGGCCGATGGCCGATATATCACCGCGAAACCAGCCGCGGACTTCAGCATGGCGTCTACTCTTGAAGCGAGGGGAAGCGAGGCATTCGGCGATAGATTGAGCTTCGGTTCCACGATCCTTAGCAATGAGGGATGCAGGATTGGTGTCGAAAATCAAGACGGCTTGGTGGTAGCGCCAGGCTGTAGCGGGTTGATAAACACTACAAGTGAAAGTCGTGGGAGTCGCCGGCTGGTGTGGTACACCACGCATGACGTGCTGGAGTCTCCATGACTCTAAAACAAAGCCTGGTAGTGCTGTTCAGATAGATGGCTACGGACATCTTCGATGCTTTCCGTGTTTAAACCGCGCCCACACTTTAATCACAGTGTCGACGAAACACGGATTTTATTACCTCATGGTCAGCATCTTTACAGTCAGCACAACCTATTGTAACGTGTTCAATCAAACTCAAATCGATTTAGTTGCTGAAAAAGAACGTCGCATTTGTCCATCACTCCTCCCATTAAATGGTGTACCTAAAGCTCGCTTCACCCTCCAAGACAACCTCGCCCCGATCCGCCTTGGCGTTCTGCTTGCGGAAGATGATTGTGTTCATAACTGTCGTGCACACGATCAAGATATTCAGGCCAATGCACACCCAGATACCTGGGATATACTGCGGCGCGTCTTGGGACCTAAACACGGTACTGCCTGCAATGCCGCCCAGGCCGCCAAAGCCCACGAGCGTAGCGGACGCAAACGCGCGCTTCCACTGGCCGCGAATGTTGTTTGCCTGGTAGGCCATGACGGTGGGTATTCCGCCGTTAGAGGCGGCGCAAATGAGGAAGCAGCCAAAGTACCGGGCGCCCACGGCTTCAGCGTAGGCCTAAGGGAGATATATGTCAGTATTTGTCTGTGAGAAGATGGCGCAAGAGAAGCACGTACCAACAGGGGAAGACCAATCAGACCAAGTGAAGCCGTGAAGAGCAGCAGAGGCGCGCGCATGTGGTATCGATCACCGACCCAGGCGCAGAGAAACATGACGATGCCGGCACCTGCGTAGGGCGGGGCGGTGAGCAGTTGTGATAGCGCGACGGAGAAGCCCATATTCGTGTTGAGAATAATGGGAAGGAAGAAGGCGAGGGCATAGGCCTGGGTCGTCAAAGAGCTTGAGTCTGTGTCAGCACATGTATCCTCTCCAATGGTAATGTGGTCAATATTCACAAAAACTGCATCGCAAAGACCCAGAGTTTCCAGTCCTTGCCTGCGGCAGCCCACCGGCGGAAATTAAACTTTTCCGAGGAGGCGTCGTTCCTGTCCTTGGCGATCCTTCGCATGATGAACGCAATCTCGTCTCGCGAAATGAACTTCCAATGGTTCTTGTCAATGGCCACGTCGGGGAAGTCGACGAGAAAGATCATGCCCAGGAACGAAGCGGCGACGGTCATGAGGCCGAAGATGATAAAGATCCAACGCCAGCCCTCGAGGCCACCGAGACCATCCATCTGCTGCACGCCAAAGGCCAGGATGCCGCCCAAGCCCGAGGCCACGAGACCGAGACAGTAGAAACCGGCGTAGCGCTTGTGCATGTCGTAGCGCGAGTACCATGTCGAAATGAGGTAGACGATGCCCGGGAAGTAGCCGGCTTCAAAGAGGCCAAGCAGCAGGCGCAGGGGGATGAGGACAACCCAATCTTGGACAAAGCCGAAGCCGACCATGACAACACCCCAGGCGAAGCAGATGCCGGACAGAAAGGGTCGGGGACCGATCTTGCGGGTGAGGATGGTGGCAGGGGGCTGGAGGAACGTATATGTGATGAAGAAGACGAGGGCGACGGCGGACTAGTTTGGGTTAGCTGGCTAGCTTCCAAGGTTTGTTCCTGCGAGGCTTACATAGCGGAACCCGGTGACCATACCAAGGTCGACGTTCATGCCGGCGATGCCAGCGTTGGGCAGATTGGAGCGGTCCATGAGCGAGTTCATGTAGATAATACCAGCGACGGTGATGAGGCGTCGGTCTACGCGGCCGATAATTTTGCGCTGCTCCTTGTAGGAGTACACGGGATCGTCATCGAGAGCCTCTACCATCGGGGCTTCCTCCTTTTCGTGGTGATCGGCGGAGCCTGACCGAGGCGTGGCATCCTTATGTTCGACATTATTTTCAGCGTCGTATGCCATGATGTCGAAAGTGTGTCAGAATAATGCAGCACCTGTGTCGAGTGTGAGGAGGACGAGGAGGACGAGGAGGAGACTGACAAAGGGGGAACTGAGCGACGAGAGAGATTCATGGGGTATCTGGGGCTTTAATAGACAGCGGAACGTCACTGCTGAGCACGGACGCACGCGGCACGAGAAAGACAAGGGGGCAAACCTGGGGCACGTGGCTATGTTGAATAGAGGGACCAATCGCTGCTCCTTACCCCAGCCAAGACAGACACGGCAAGAAACGCAATTAGCACGATACCGAGGTTGTCTTGTCTTGGCCTTGTGTCTTGGGCACATGTAGTTTGAGAAAGGAAAGGCTAGACGAGGCCGATCTGTGCTGCTGACGCGCACATCAATGCACCATCCTGCGCAGAGGCGGGGGCCATCCAACCTTAAGCAAGAACCTTAAACAAGCCCCCTGGAGTTGGTAGTTTTAGGGCCTGCGCTTCCCCAGATTTACTCCACAACAGCCCCGGAACCTACTCCGTACATTGTGGGGACCATGGTACGTAATTCTACAGTACTCCCCACAGAAACAAGTGATGCAATATCGCAAGCCGATAATGCCCGTGCCTGCTTAATGTGTCGTCGATCTCAACGGTCTCTGTACCTTGGGCTGAGAGCTAGAAGCAAGGCCTCGCCAAGCAACGCGTTACATGTATTGGACGGGCTGAGATGAGGAGGCCTGGGCCGCCTGGCATCCATCCACGAATGTCTGCCGCTTCGACTAGGACAATTTGGGCGTGAGTCCCGAGAGGCGCTATAAGTGAGGGGAAGCAACATCGGATCGCCAAGCCTGGGCATTTCCGACGTTGAGGAGTTGGAGGTGGCGGTTGGAGGGGCGTTGCGGAGAGCGCACGTAGATAATGAATTACCAGGGCTAAGCTAAGGAGGAGCAGGTGTGTGGAGAGCAGACTTGATTGTAGGACGCGGTCATGGTGACGATTGAAAAATGCAAGCTAGTGATGAATGATTGGAGATACTGGCTGGTTCCGACACCACCACCATCCTCGCTTCGATGACTCTGAGATGGTTGTTTTGCGCATGACGCTGCCATGGCCGAGGTTGAGGTTCTGGTTGTATGTGCGAGGGTATGTGGGTGTCTGGTAGTTTGCGCCAAACAACCCAATTAGGCAGCCTGCGCCGCGCTGGCCTAGACGCTAAGGCGTTTATCTTGGTTCTCCGTATCTTCATCTTTACATGCAGATGATCTTCTTTATGCCCTTGAGTTAGATATTAATCATTATTGCTTTTATTCACACAATACTTAACACCGTCATTCGCAATATCACGGACTAGAACGTGAGGTTTAATTAACTAGAAGTTTGGTTTTCCTTCCGTTCGCCTAGCAAATAATATAGAAAAGTACATGTAGTACAACTATTCTTCATGTTTGCATTCCACCCCGTGCGCATCATGACTCCTCCGCGATGCATACAGGCTGCAGCAGAGTGTATTGAGACGATCCCCTTCTCTGTATTCCCTGCATGCATTGCCCGAGGGCACGGGTCGGCATAGTCATCCGTGTACGACACCTTGGGTCTGGCCCGTCTGGGCCACCACAGCACCCACCCGTCCAACGGCATGTCACAAAAGAGTGTGCTGATACAGCTGACGGACTCTAGACCCCATTCAAAATGATACAAAATGCGACCAGCGACCTCCTTTGCATTGCACATGAGGATCTGGTCAAGCCTAAGATCAGGAAATCGGAGCTGAGAGAGTTCATTTAGGTCCGGGGCAAAGGCCACCCTTCTGGCTTTCCACTGGGGCGTCGTACCGAGGTCTCGTAGGAAGTATACGCGCACGTAGTGTCGCGATGATGGAAGAAACAGGAAACTATTGGACGGGGCTTCAAACGTGATATATCTAGTCTCCGTTTGCAGACTTGCCTCGTCTAGTCAGACCATCTCGCATAAGTCATGGGATATTATTGGCCTGCAACTGGAGCATCTCACACTCCCCCTTGCCCGGATTATTTGCGTGCCGCGTCGATACCATGAAAAGGTCATAGGCCTCCGGATCCACCCGGTCCCTCTTTTAATCGCTGGGAGAGACTGGGTGTCCCCCCGGGTCGACTTTTCTAGATGATGGGCCTGCGCCGGAAAGAGTCTTGGAGCCTTAGTACTTGTTTTTCAAGCAAGTGGCCGTCGTTCGTGGTAGTCAGGAATCAATAGCGAATCGTGCGAAATGTTAAGACCCTTGATGTTCATGAGGTTTCAGCTGGCGCCGTGGCAAGACTGGTTCGATAATATGTCTTGTAGAAAGAGCACAGACTTACTCGGGTTGAAGCTTCCAAGGCCAACGATCAATTTGGGCTCTGAATTTAGTGGCATGGAAGGTGGCCAACCCTTGGTTGTGCTTCCAGACTTGAGAGTCACAGCCCTAAGATTGGCACCTATGAGATAACATAGACAAAGCGAGTCCTCTACTCTCGCTACACTAGACGCGACGACTTGATAATCACCTCCGCTCTAGGATCCTACTCATCCTACGTAGATAGCCTTTATGAAGTACGACCCGCCGTTGGATATTGTATTATAGTAGTGGGAGTAACTTAGCCGTGGTTAGACGAGCGCCCGTGTTGTTTGGTATTTGTCTATAGATAATAAATGTTCAGAAATAACTACTTATACGTCAAAAAAATGAAAATAAAGTCCTTGATATTATTTCTCATAGTTTCTGCCATTCTAATCAGCTTGCAGTCATTACGTCCAGAATAGACTCTCCTCGCCTCTCCTTTCGTAGGTGATTATTCTCAGTTGTAGTCCGCGCGTCTCCCCACCAATTCACTTGGTCGAACTTCTCTCGATCCCTCTCCACAACCGATTCCCACGTCGCGAGCGAAAATCCCCGAGGGCGAAAGAACCATACACGTGCTAGATCGCAGAGATACATACGAACCCATAGCTCGAACCGTCTCTCATCAGGGTGATCGTAGGGTGGCAGCCGGACACTACCGCCAGAGGCTTGAGCCCGAATATACTTTTGGAAACATTCGCGATCGAGTATCTAGACGTAAGCACCTTTAGGCTGACTTCGTAGGAAATAACCGTTGCTATCGTCTGCGACTGGACCTGGCGGCTGTGTTTGATCTGGTAGCGCTTCGAGCGTGCGGAGGGACTTTTCGTCTATAATAAGGCAATGGTCGTTGCGCACGTATTGATCCAGAGTATTGAGAGCGTGTTCCTCTACCCACTGCGTGAAATGCTGCCTGATAGCTATGAAATACTCATCGCTGTCCTTGGTCTCACAACCTGCTACCGCGGTATTTACAGCTAGGTGTTCGTTGATAACGTCGAATTTAAAGCGACGGGCAAGGTTATAAGAAGGAAGTATCTTATTATCTATAGGACGGGCCTTAAGCTGTGTGTACTCCCTATTCGGATCGAGGTCTGCGTAGCGTCTCTTCATAGCCCGGTATCGGAGCTAACGGTCGAGCTTTGTAATTCCACGCTGAAAACGCTCTTTGGCGTGAGGTAGGAGATGGGCACTATTAAGCGTGAAACCCTAGGTGTACGGGTCCTTTGAGTCTTAGCTGCCCTATCTTTGCACGTCTAATAGGTCTCAGAGGATGTAGTATTCGTTTAGATTAATCCGATGAGCGGTGTTCGACATTCTATTGAAGCCTTGGGCTCATAATATGCGTTACGATCCACGGGGCCCGTGGGGGCGCGTGGGTCGGTTGGAGGCATAGAAAAGACGGGCTTTGTCGGATGAAAGTGATGTAATGTATGAAGACGGAACACCCGCGGTGAGTGCTCCAAACTTCAAGGAGTCGATTGTTGAGTTTTACTGTTGACAGACCCCTTTTGGTCGCGTCACGTGCCGACCTACCCAGCCTTTTTTTGAGGTGAGGCAACGTGGCCCGGCCTCACTAAGTCTAGTTGAATAGTCCTGTACGCGACTTCTCATCATCCTTCATCGACATCATCAATTCACCAAGACCACGGCCTCTTCTCTTGCCTCAAAAGTTCCTTATCGTAGCAATTACATGTCCCGTTTGGATGCACATGGACGCCAAGCAAGAGGCCCACAATCAAGAGCCTAATACCATGTACCGTGCAAGTCGTAAGACATACCAAGAACTGTTAATTCACGATTCTCGGTGGGCCACGAAGTTTTTGCACCTATATGTTGAAAAGGTCAACGTCAGGCTCCATCGCTGGGATATCAAAATGATTGAGGTACCCTAGGGTAGACGTTAGCGGATAGTTGTCGAACAATGACAAAGGCGCCAAACATAGGTACATATTGAAGCTGGCAACGTGTTGCTAAACTCGTCCCTGCCTGTTCCCTTCAATTCCTTCTTGATATTCTTTAGAAGTTTTTGAAAAGCTCTCGAAATGCTCTCGAAATGCTCTTCCTGCCTGCTGCTGTCTACTGCACGCGGATACTCCCAATCGAGATCAACGCTATCGAAACCATCTACGGACATAAGCTAACTAGGGACTTGATGAATTTGTCCTGGTTCATCTTACTTCGTGCACACCAGAGAACATATACTAGTTAGGGCCGGGGTCGTCAAAGGACATTTGTCGAGTTCCACACGCCTCTATCTTTTGGTCATGCGACGTGAACCTTGCATATGGTTATGGAGGCACTTAATGAGTTCAACTCTCACATACGACTATACCGAGTGGAAAATACGGGACGGGATCCCGTCCGCTCTCCTTGAGGATGCTTGGCTCAAATTTAGCCGGTGTCACCGCAGACTGTAGGACTCAACATTGCGCATTTCATGCAGAAACCTTTGCTTTGACTGACTCTAACCTTAAACACCCTAAGACGGCTTTTTGGAGTATTATTTATTAAAAGATGTCGCTACAGCCCTCGGCATTCCCAAGCTAAATGATTCCGAGTACCCGTCATGTGGCGTCAAAGGACTCAACGGTGGCTGCAGCTCCCAAGGTGAGAGACCATCCCAGATGCTTGTAAAATGTGGGAGTGCAAAATCTAGCATCCTTTGCTTGACTAAGAATATCTGCGAGGCGTATTGGAGTCATACCCTATCCACAGAAATCATGGAGCGGCCGGCGTACTCGAATGCGGCATTCAATGTCCTTGCGTTTGCGTTTGAAAGATTCACAGGGAAGAGTTACGAGGAGATGATGAAGGTTTACGTCTCTGCGTAATTGGGAATGACTGGCACTCATCTGTCACCTGGTGTTGACGATCGTGGAGTCATTCCGCCCGGGGAAAGTAGTTGGGGTTCTGACTATGGATTGAACACCCCGTAAGAGACCCTCCCGAGTTGTATACCGGAGGATGCCCTGGCTCGTCGGATCGACGATACATTTGATGCTGACTCTATTCTTCAGGGCAGGAGGTCTCGTCTCTACAATTTCTGACCTGGGCCAAATTCAGCCATGGTTTGCTGACGAACACACTGTCGCTCACCCCAGCACAGACGAGGGCTTGGCTCAAACCATATGCACTCGCGGAGGGACTGTCCAACTCAGTCGGCATGCCATGGGAGATACCCAAGCTGCCAGACCTGACGCCTGAGCATCTGCACCCGGTCACGATTTACGGCAAGAGTGGTGGAGCACAATCATACCGCAGCCAACTCTCAGTGCTCCCTGAACATGGCATCGCCGTGGTCATGCTGACGGCCGGCTCGATGCGCGCCCTCGTCCCTGCTGTGGACACTGCAGCCCGGGATCAAGCAAAGCATGAATATGCACGCAATTTCTCAAAGAGCGCGTGTCAAGTTACAGACACAACCCCACAGGCAGAGGCTTCAGAAGATGTGCAGATCAAGATTGAGCAAGATTGCGACTCCTTGGTACTCAGCTCTGTGCCGCCGATAAACGGCGGAAATCGAACGACCGAGCTAGTGAGCGCCCTTGAGGAGATCTGGAATCTGACCATCGGGATGTACACAGGACAAGCTGTGGAGCTACCCATTCGGCTGTTCCCCACGGGCGAGGCTGGCGAGACAATATTTATTGCTAAACGGGAAAACACCAGCAAGGGGCGAAGTGTAGCGTCTCTGGCCTCATCTCAACACAGCGGCTGAGCTGTTGACGCTTCGTCCCTTTCGGTACGGAGTACCGCAGTGCAATTTGGCGAGCTGTGTGCAGCGGGTCATTGTTGGAAAACGCTAGCCGTCGATAGCGCAGGCCACGTACGATTGCTTCCCAAGAAACCTTGTTGAGTAACAGACGCGGGCTTTGTCAGCCAGCAGAGGGATTCAAGGCCTCGTCGCGAATGACCGAAGAGTGGTGTGCGCGCGCATGAAAATGCAGTTGTACCATGGCAATGTCCAAATCCCAATACATGTACGGACGAACAGAAGTACATCGATTTGCCAAGACGCGCCGCGCCCACCGCAGATCCCTGCAATAATTGGCTCAGCTGAGAGCTTCGGGCTCCGCTACTTAAACGGCTATTTTCAGATCGAATTCCAACAAAGACTATCGGCCCAAACTACGCTCCTTTGGGCCCATGGTTCCGGCGACGCTACGTAGTCTAGTATTTTATTGATGGGTCCATCCATGTGGTCTGGATGGAGCAAGCTCTGGTTATTACTTTTTACAGTGATCCGTACGGGAGACCTGCCTCGAAATGCTGCAGGGTCTCAGTCCTTTTGGGCTTCGCTGAGATCAATGCGCCGACGCCATGCGCCACACGTTGACTCCCCTGACTCAAGTCCAATGGTCTGGAGCAAAGTGGGAAAACAATAGGGGTGTTGTGATCGTGTCTCAGTCTGCCAGTCCAAGTACAGAAATTGGCCAGTCGTCCGGTTTGAATCACGGTTTCCCCCCCTTCTCTCATAGCAGCATCGTCTCTGAATCATTCGGCCGTTCTGAACGTGAATGCCAACACCCAACCGCCCAAAAGATGTGGTCCTCATTGGCACTTACACCGCTGCTGGCTTCGGTCATTCTGGCGACACGCGGCACTGTGCCAGAGGGCGTGCTGCAACTCGCCATTGAGACCGAGCCAGAGCCTGTCTCCCCATGGACGCACATCGGCCTGGCAGGGAAGAGACAGACCGAGGTATAAACCTCAGCCGAAGCCCAGCAAGTGTCACCCTACGCCGTCTTCGTCCAACTTGGGTCTCTGGGACAGATGGTCAAGATGATGATTGACACTTCGTCGCATGAGACGTGGGCGAACCCCACGTGCGCGAGAGCGTCCAATCCCGCCTATTGTGCCAGCCTGGCGCGCTTCACCATGAGTTCGACACTGAGAGACATGGGCTCATTCGGGACCGCGACGTATCCCGAAGGCTCCGCAAGTTGGGTATATGTTTCTGACTTTGTCAAGATCGGATGTCAGTCACGACCACCTCCGCTTCTCGCCACGTACTGACTCCTTGTTCTAGCTGCCACCTTGCCCCAGCAAATCCTCGGCGCCGTGTATTCCTCTCAAGGAGTTTCGATTAGTCGTCTGGGTCTGGCCCCTTCGCCGCAGGGCTGGGACAGTCCCTATCCACTCGTTTTGGACAATCTCATCACCGGGGGAGTTCATAAGAAGTCGCGCATTCAGCTTAGATCTGGGCTCAGGCAATTCAGAAGGTATTGATATCATTGCGGACAAATAATCTCATGGTCTAGCTCATTGATTGCCATCGCTAGGTTCCTTGATCTTTGGAGGCCTTGACACTGCCCGCTACACGGGCACCCTGGATAGGCTCCCGATTGTACCGGCTGCGCAGAGTCCAGATGGTTTCACGAGGTACGAACATGAAGGCGGCGTGGAAAAGCGCAACTGACTGCCGCCGCATTGGAGATTCCGATCAGGCTAATCCGTGCTTCACGTGCAACAGATATTGGGTAGAATTGCATGGGATCACCGTAAGCTATGGCGGCAATGTTCCACGGAATCAGAACATCTTCAATGGCCGCCAGGTGATCAGCTTGGACAGCAGCTCCTACTTCTCCAAACTGCCTCCTGCAATCTTCGAAAACCTGATCATGGAATTTCCCTCGGCCACTTCTGACCCATCCAGCTCGCGATACATCATACCATGCTCGGACGCCGATACCGACGCAACAATCAACTTTGACTTTGGGGTCAATTCCATCAATGTGCCGCTGAGCGACTTCATAGTCAACCTGCAAGGCACCTGCTACCTCGGCGCAGTTCCAAGCACAGGTGAGGATCGAACAAGAGCAAGCATGCCAGTTCAGTAAGAGCTGACTGAAAGCAGGCAATCCATCGTTGGGCGCAAGCTTCTTGAGGGCCGCGTACGTCGTTTTTGACTGGGACAACCGAAACATTCACATGGCTCAGAGCACCCGGGGCGAGTGCGAGTCAAATATCGTCGCCATAGGCAGAGGTTGGGACGCCGTGCCCTCTGTACTAGGCTGTTCTCCCGAGCCTACTCCCGAGCCTACTCCCGAGCCTACTCCCAAGCCTACACCAGCATCTTCACCAGCGTCTACACCAGCGTCTTCGCCAGCTTCTTCACCAGCTTCTTCACCAGCGTCTTCGCCAGCGTCTTCACCAGCGTCTTCGCCCACTTCCTCACCCGCCTCGACTCCTGTCAGCACTCCCAGCACCACGTTAGCGACCCCTAACCCGACCTTGACCACCAGCTCTACGCCATCTGGATCCCCCATAAGCACGGTTCCCAGTAGCAGTGACTTGGCATCCACTTCGACGCACATTGGAAGCCTTACGTCAACTTCTACCTCAGAGATACCCCATTCCACTCAGACAGAACTCTCTTCCGTGGGGTCCTCCACCACAGTTGCCACTGAGCACCATGCCACAACCACTACTGTAACGGACAGCCAGTCGACGATATCTTCACCTCAACTCACTACGGAGACTTTCTTCAGCACAACGACATACGTGGTGACAAAGTGTCCGGTCACTGTCTGGGATTGCCCCTTTGACCAAGTTACGACGGAGGTCCTGACGCTCACCACAACTTACTGCCCTCAGGCTACCGCGAGTACCACAATCACGCACCAGCCTTCTTGCACGGCGGCTACTTGTGAAAGCATGGAGCATGGCCCTAAGGTCACTACGCAGCATGGCACAGTGCATGTGGGTTCCACCACGACTCACGCTGAGCCGATCCCTGCCCCAGCAGTGGGGACGCAATCAGCGGCTGTCTCGCTCACTCAAAATGAATCCGCGGCGCACACACAGGACCACAATGGGGCAGTCCAGCCAGCCTTGTACTCGGCCAACAGCTTGTACGCTGGCCATTCTGGAACGGTGCAGGGCCAAACACATAGCAACGAACAAGCCGACCCAACCTCATTTGTCTCTAGCTTGGTTCCGAGCAGCTCCTCCGATACAGAGACCATCGCCGTGCCCACTCCCACCAGTGTGCCGGGTGTTGGTTCTTTGCGCACTGTCAGCAAGACCATTCTCGGCTCCATCTGTGCCGTCGTTTTTGCTCTTGTACTGTAGAAAATCCAATCAGAAAATTGCGGTTTTCATATCCTTTCTTTTTCAAAAGCGACAAAGAGCGGAGGAAATACTCTCAGGCAGTGGGAGGGGGAGGTATTTGGACTTCTGTCTGCTTCAGGGTAGGCAGGCACTGTAAGACTAGTTTTAGTTAATCTGCACACGCTGTAGAGCCACGTAGTTCAACAACTTAGCCCAAGTTCTTTTTTCAATCCGAGTCGATAAACGCTGCTCTCAAACGGCCCTGGACCCCTTTGGAAGGGTATATCTGCTGGCACCTATGATCATGCCAGAGCGGCAACAGATACATGCAGGGACAGGGTAACGAATGACGCAGCTTACGGTGCCGGCGAAGCTCTCAACTCACTACCCACGGTGCACCTTAAAAGCTCTTCGCCATTGAAATGCGATTTGGCGCGATTGAAGCCATCGCAGCTGGCTTGTCGCCAGCCAGGTTCCGACATGCGGATTACCTATGTCGTGCTCTCGGAACAGGCGATCGATGCCGCGGGAGTTTCCGCTCAGCGTGGAACCCTGGAAGTGACTGGCATCTCAGACCAATCAGATCAAGATGCAAGTCACGCATTAGGAATAGACACAGCATGCCAACGTGAAGCATGGATTCAGAGACTCGATGATTTTGGTAGACCCTCCACGGAGTTCACTCTCGGACAAGGTGGCCTTGGCGTGGGGCTCAGCAAGTCAACCGACTGACCAGAGAAACCCCCGAAGACAGGGTCCAAGGATGCCAGACAATGCGCGTTGGTGTCATCCAGAGCGTTGATGATACGCCAATGCTAGTGAGGAGAATTAACCGCAGCATGACTTGAATCGATCCTGATTAGCTATCTATATAGTTCGTTGTCTGCAGATTTGCCTGCAGGAAAATCCACTCGATTCCCCATTCCTCATCCCCCGGGAAGCAGCGCGCCCAGAAACATGACATCCGCCAAGCGACCCAATTTCTTGACCATTGTCGCTGATGACCATGGCTTCAGCGATATTGGGTCGCATGGTTCGGAAATCGCCACGCTCGTGCTCGACAAGCTGGCCAAGGATGGCTTGCGCATGACCAACTTTCACACCGCGCAGGCATACTCGCCAACGCGTGCCATGCTGCTCTCTGGCACCGACAATCACATTGCCGGTCTTGGTCAAATGGATGAAGCTGCGTACATGAAGAAGAGATACATGGGTCAGTTCCCTGACTACGTAGGGAAACCGGGATCGAATACGAGCGGTACCTCAACTGGATGGTGGCCACGCTCCCAGAGATACTTTCTGATGCTGGCTACCGTACTGCCATGTCTGGCAAATGGTAAGGTTTTCCTCAGCACTTGGCTCTCTCTATTGCGGTGAAAATTGGATTGAGCTCATCAGATGGACGCGTCGTGTAGGCACCTGGGTATGAAACCCGACGTCTCCCCCCGCCAGAGGCCCTTCTTCTCCTATCCAGCGTACACAGCTCCTCACTGGCCCATGCAGGCCCCTTCAACATGTCAAGCTGTAGAGAAGTATTGCATGTCCTAAACAGACCTAAGAAACATGAATGCCTTAGTGCGAGCTAGCACGCGATTCTATAGAGTGAAAGTATAACCATGGGCCGGACAAGCTGACCCAATCTCGACTTGCGCCACTGAAAGCCCTGGGTCTGGTGCCAGAGCATGTCGAGCCGGCGCCGCCCGTTGGTTCCGACCTTCACGCGGCTACAAAGTTTGGCCCACAGACGATGGCATCTGGTGTCCATGCCTCATCCGGTTCCCGAAACTCACCCAGGAGCCTGCAAATACGACATCGAATTCCTTCACTACAGTCATGGACATCTTGTCAACAATACTCGAGCTGCGCAGGTAGACCATCTGGGAACCTCATTCGCGATCGTGAGGTTGTCCTACAGCGAGGTAATTCGTGGGTGGACCATATGCGCGCGCCGCACGCGCACACGCACGTTCATGACCCTAAATCAAGCGCAGACTCGGTATAATCGTGGCCCAAACATTGGGAGCGCAAAACCCAAACCATGGGGAATAACCCTAAATCCCGTGTAAGAAGCTGCTGTGCCAGCCTTCCAACGGACCGGACTTTAAATTGACTTGACCACAAAGCTTATTTCCACGGTCTTGTGACGTGGAAGTGCGTTAAATAAGCTCGAACACAATAGTTGAGTGTACGATTCCGCTACTGGCACTGCTCAACTACTATATAAAGTCACTGTTGTCGCCCAGTGACTGTTTTATGAATGACTTCTTTTCCAATAACCAAGCCGCCACTGCAGATTTTTATCAAGTCCCCGTATCATGAACACAGCTTGTTCTCCATCGGATTCACCCCCGACCTACTCCTCTCTGGGACCATCCGAGTCAGAAGCAGCCATCATCGAGAAAGAGTGGTCTTACTTTTGCCCCAAGGCCAAGTATGAACAATGGGGAAAGAAACCGAATTTGATCTTTGAATTCAACTCACTCGACTTAATCAGAAACCCTCACCATGGATGGCGTGCACATCTTCTTGTGTACAACGCTAATATCCCTAAACTAATGAGGAAAGGCTTCAGTTTGACGTCGGCCCATTTCAGCCACGCCCAGTCGTCTATCAGTCTCCAGTCGCGGCTGAGAATAGCTCTATCCTTAAGTTCGTGTCATGAGCGCACCTTTGTGTTTCATCCACCAGCTTTCGGGCTGGGTTGCGGTGGTAAACTCAAGGTGTAGTCACGCAGTCGCTCCACGATGGTGAACTTTGACCTTCAAAGTCTCCGTCGCGACACAGTAACAAAGGTAAACGGGTGGATTGTGTGTAATTTGAAAGTTTATCAGTTCAGGACTGATCGGAAAATGTGTTTAATGCTATATATGCTCAAATGCCGTTGGAGGGTGGTGGCCTTGGCCGAAGGCTCCAAGTGCTCGAGTCGCTGTTAGGTCGGGAGAGCAACAGTTGAAGACGACCGGCAATCAAAATAATCACTGAGCTCGACGAGAAAGACGATCCTAAAAGAGAACCATGAGAGGGAGCAAAAGAAGGATTGTATATGCAGCACATTCGAAGAGAGAATTCCTATAACCGTCAGGTGTCTATTGCTTTGGGTCCTCTTAGAAGGTTTTTGGCATACCAGGCGCCGGGGCAATAATGATAGAGATACGAAGTTTGATAGAAACGTTTCCTTTGGACTGCTGTGCTACTTATGGAACCTTGTAGAAGAAAAGAAGGCCGTGCACTGATGTTTTGGTCCTCACACTATTGACTCCTTGACCTCCAAGTCTCGCCGACTATATGTCAATTGAAAAGAACGAGCAAGTTCTGATGTTCTGAATCATCCATGATAGCTTTACTGTAAGTCGGTATGATTACTGATGGCTCGCTGACCTGCATGTGCTGCGGCGGCGGAAGGTCTCCAACGGGGGTGAGAGAAGACTGTAGGCCTTCCGACTTCCCAAGTTAAAGTTGCGGCGGAGCACCGATTGCAAATTGCTACGCTTCATTGTAGTGTTTTCGAGCGGCGGGTTAGAAATGGTGCTCGACTATGAAATTCAGTCATGAAACGAGCAATGGAACTCATTGAACGGCTACAGCGGAGTGAACGGAAAGGCGGCTACACCGATGTTAAATCAGTTACGATCGCACGCAATGTAATGCTGTTCAGTCTGTTGGAAAAAAAAAGACACAGCGTTTCTGGCGACGGCCTTTGAGTACCTAATAGCTCGTAGCTGGGTCGGCACAAGGCATGAAATGGAAAACAGACTGGCTGCACAAACTCCAGGTTTCTCTTCGAGTCGATTGATTGGCAAAGGATCTGAGAAAGGTTGACTTTGCGCCCGAGTAACTCCTGTTTGGGCTCAAAGAAGCGACAGTGACGAAGAGGGGTTGTTGAAGGGGTTCCTGTTACTGTTGTCTTGATGGACGTACTCTTGGTACATTATTTGGGTAAGTATTTTATTAGCTCAGTGCCTGCCTCAGGGTTCTGGTTGAAAGAGAAGGCACATTTGTACTTCGGCAGTGTTGGATATAGGGGTACGTCGGCAATCCCTCTCGAAACTCAAACCCACTACAATCCTAAAGTTTAACCCGAATCTCTAGTTCTGTTTACTTTTGCAATGGGTACATGTATGGAACAACTCTAAAAATTGGTTGAAAATTGGCACTAGACAGAAACAATATGTCCTCGACGTCATGGGTGACTCGAATGAGTATGACCCAAGTCTTCTGAGCGAGAGAAACCCATAGTATTCAGCTTTGTTTACTTTCATAGAGCAGGGGGCGCCTCCGTGTGTAAAGCAAACAGAAGGAGTGCGTCGGTGATCCTTTCACAGTCTCAAATAAGCTCAAAGTATCTCCAAAAAGACAACTTTAACTTTTGACATTATTTACTTTGACAGAAATGCATTGGGTGCATTGGAGGCGGACGATGTATATTACCGGGTCAGCGTACGTTCTCCCTTCTTTCTTTTCTTTCTTTTCTCTCTTTTCTTCTTCTTCAAGGTAAGTCCTTCAAGCTCGAAATGACGCTTACAGTATTAGAAATTCTCGGCGTTGTGAGCTTCGCCATCGCGGCCTTGGCACCTCTTCGCCGGCCGGGCTGCGGTCCCTAGTTCCTCCCCGTGATGTTCGAGTTGGGGTTTTACAAAGTTGAGTACTCCCGTTTTCTCTTTTCCCGAACAACACCCAACCCCTGGGCAGGCCGTCCCCCCTGAGCCTTGCATTTTACCTAGCCTCCGCCTTTTTGGGGGGGGGGCGTGCTGACAGCGTGCCGTTTAGGCAGGCCACCAGGAGGGCCAAAGCGATTTTCTTTTTGCTCCCGGGTCCCTGATGAAGCGTTTGGTGCACGTGGAGGGGGCCCCAGCAGACGTGCTCGTACCTCATCGTGGTTGCTGGGTCTAGTAGCTTCGGAAGAAGTGAAGCCAAAAATTGCATTGGTGGAATGGACTAGAAAGTGGTTGGCAGACGTGGATTGATTGCGTGGGGATGTGGATGATCTAGACGACCTCGCCAGCCAGTAATCCGATATGCTTTGCGATCTCACTTATCTCGTTTTTATCTAAAAGACTAGATTTTAGTCCGTTACGTCTTGCTAGACTCCTAGAGGAGACATAACCGTTCACCGCTCCAGTGATCCCGTCGACGATTACACCTACCCGGGGCTCTGATTCTGCACTGGTCTAGACCCTTGGCTCATGAAATCTCGTTCCGCGCTACGCAACCCCGGATATTTCTGCCTCGCAGCCTCGCAGCCTCGCAGGGACGTGGGGAGGTTGAGTCCTGAGATCCCTTCAGACATTGGCCCTTCTCCCCGGACAACTTGCCCACGAACAGCTTTTGCTGAGACACACCGACTTCAAGGTCCCTCTGTAAAACATAAAGGCAGGGAGTCGCGGGCCTAGCTCGAATTGCTTGCTGCTTCTCCGCACCTTGATTTACCTGGTTCGTTCACCGTGGCTGGCTCTCTTGATCAACAATCCTATCTGCCATTATCACTACAGTGGCGCTTGTCAAGCGAATTTTTCGAAATGTGTTCTGAAAAAACACCCGCCAAGGTCGATGAGCATTCTCCCAGCAGCACTCCAAGCAATATGGACGAGATTGACTATCAGGCTGAGGACAAGCTCGTTCGGAGGATCGACAAATTCGTTGTGCCGACTGTCATGCTCGCCTATCTTCTTTGTTTCCTGGACCGCACGAATATCGGCAACGCCAGGCTCTTTGGACTGGAAGAGGACCTTGGCCTCAAAGGATCTGAATACCAGATCGCGGTCGCCGTACTTTTTGTCCCCTATGTCTTGATTGAGGTTCCTAGCAATCTGGTCCTCAAGAAGTTCAGGCCATCAAGATGGCTTTCTTTTATCACAGTCAGTTGGGGCATTGTCTCCACATGTACCGGCTTTGTCCAGGACTTTGCTGGTCTCGTTGCTGCCCGAGTCCTCCTCGGACTGCTCGAAGGTGGCCTCCTACCCGGATTGACGGTCTACCTCACTCTCTTCTATACGAAGAAAGAGATTGCCCTCCGCATTGGCTTTCTGTTCGTGAGCTCTGCCCTTGCCGGGGCATCCGGGGGGCTGCTCGCATACTGCATTAACTTCATGGATGGTGTCGCCGGATACTCGGGTTGGCGCTGGGTCTTCATCCTGGAAGGTAAAGAATACAGATGTCTGCCATCGATTTGAGACTCTGAGCTTACGACATCCACCTAGGATTACCTACTGTCGTTTTTGGAGTCGTTCTGCTTTTCATCCTTGCTGACGAATCTCGCAGTGCTTGGTTTCTGAGCGAAGATGAAAAGCAGTTATTGCTCGCGCGATTGCAGCGCCAGGTCGGCTTCCACGAAGACTTTGACAAGAAGGACGCCATATTGGCGGCAAAAGACTGGAAGACATGGTGCTTTGCATTCGGACAGTTCACTGTCAACACAATGCTCTACAGCTACTCCGTTTTCCTCCCTTCTATTATTCAAGGCAGGGTCCTCAGATTCGTATGGTGACATCAACACTAAGTTGTTCTCCAGGTCTTGGTCGATGGACTTCCCCCCAGTCCCAAGCTCTCACCATTCCATGCTACGCTCTGGGAGCTATCAGTTACTTAGCGGTCGGATGGATTTCCGACCGCCAGCAGCTGCGGGGCCTATACCAGATCGCATCTCTCGTCGTATGCATGATCGGATATGGGGTATCCCTCGCTTCGATGAGCGCCGCCGTCCACTACTTTGCTATCTGTGTTATATCCGTCGGCCTCTTCGTGGCGGTTGGTCTGCCTTTGGCTTGGCTCCCGTCGAATAACCCGCGCTATGGAAAACGCACCACGGCATCTGGTATACAAATCACAATCTGCAATTGCTCTGGCATCTTGGCGCCTTTTGTAAGTTTGAAGTCGTTGTTGCTCCTCTCTTCCTTCAGAGTGTGCTAACTCTTCTAGCTATATCCGAAAACAGATGCTCCACGCTACGTTATGGGGTACTCGGTGTCCATGGGGCTTTTGGGACTGGGATCTTTTATTTACTCCTTCTTACTCCTACATTATCACAGGATCAACAAGCGGCGCAAGGCTGGTAAGGAGGACTACAAGATTGAAGGTATGACGGACGAGGATGTGAATGCACTTGGGGATAGGAGCCCGAGATTCGTGTACACTATTTGAGCAATAGCGGGAACTTCAGTATACGATAAACCATTAGCTAATACACGCGACAACAGCCCAACGGCTTTTTGAACGGAAGCCTGCCGGCTACCTCAGCGCTAAGCTTCCCCGGTGCCGGTCGACGACAAGCTTCCCGGAGGCCGGGGGCCGGGGCCGGGAGCCGGGTACTTTCTGCCGGGTACCCCCGAGTCCGAACTCCCCGGGGGGCCGGGCCAAGGACCGGCGATTTTTCGAAAGTGGAAACGAACGAAAGCAATCCAAGCTGCTCGTGATGCTTTCCGACTGTATCAGACAACGTGCGTCCGGCAAAAATCTCGTCTCCTCCGAAAATTTGACGAGGTAGTGATCCAGATCAACGTTCTTGCTGCTACTGCGCTTTCCAACACCGTCCGGGTTGTTAATACACTGACATGAACGCCACTGGTTCACAAGAAGCTCGCTGATATTCGAGCTCATATTCGCGATGCCGTGACGCGCGAAGCTAACATTGTTTCGGGGGAATGCAATGCTACTTTGTGTCGATCGACTGGCCCGACGGATGACGAAAGGGCTCGGCCGAAAAGCTGGCAGGATCAATGGGTTGGGTTGCAGTGTGGCAAAGAGCGGTTTCAAAGACCGAATCTACATGTCGATCCTGACTGGAGTATGTAAGCAGTGGTGGTTTTCGTCGTACTCGAGCTGGCTGCGGGTGAGAATCCGCCCCTGAGGGGCCACGGTAACGCACATCTTTCCGTACATGTACATATAGGCGACGCCACTCTCAAGACAAACCCCCGGATTGAAGAAGAGGACTCTGGACGTGGAGGATTCAATGAATTATACTTGCTCATGTCGTAGCCACGTCATTAGTGAGGAGTCTGGTTCTGGGATCTCCCAGGAAGTTCATGATGCGTAGCGACACTGATTATCTTCCAAACGAGAAGGGTCAACTCGAACGCGCTCAAAGGGTGTAAAGTCGAGCTACAGGTCGCTCCAGAGAAAAGTCCTTGGCTCGTCAGTCTACACTTCATCGTACACACTTTACTTATACACTTCTACTCCCTAAAGAGCTGGTCTCTGTTTTTCTTCTTCTCATTCAACACCTGACGAAACCACAGTTCTGCAAGCTCCACCTTCCAACCCGCCCGTTCAAGATGCTCTTCTTTACCAAGACAGTCCTCACCGTTGTGGCCGTGCTGGCACGCGCGACAAACAGCGCCGCGGACTTGGTCGACGACGCCTTGACCAGCCGCAGCATCAGCTGCGGAGATTTCTGCCCTGAGAACATGGTGTGCGATTCCCACAGCATCCCCGGCTTCCCAGAGGTCCTCTCCCCAGGCTGCACGGTCGCCAACAAGAAGTGGCAGGACAGTTGCGGGGGATGCAGGGAAGGGTTCGTGTGCGACAACTACGCCATCGGATTCAGTTCTCCCATGTGCGTCCCGAGCAGCGTGAAGCGCCAGGTGGACGTTGCGCGTGAAATGTGCCAGCTCCGCGCCGTCGCCGAAGACGTCCACAAGCGCCAGACAGTTGATCAGTGCAGAGGCTGCGCCTAGGGTCAAGAGTGTGTCGCAGTCGCAGTCCCCGGCGGCCCTGCCATCGGGCTGGGCCTGATTGTGGAGCATCGTTGCCGTGCGCCCGAGGATGAACTGTTCAGGAAGCGCCAGCTCCGGGCTATCACCGCCGATGTCCGAAAGCGCCAGATGACCCATGTCGGGCCTGGAGTTGAGGCTGACGCGGAGATGTGCGGTGGTTGCGCCGAGGGCCAGAAATGCATTGGTCGGTGGCCATTTACTCCCGGAGTACCTATGGGCTTGCCGACCTACGACTACAACTACGAAGGTTGAGGATATAGACGAATGAATGGTGGTGTGGTCATGGAAGCGGACATGGAGGTCATACCGGTCTAGAGCAAGTACATTTGGGACGATTGACTACATATAGCGACGTTCATGAACGATCTTGAATGGGGCTCCTGCTTTATCTATGAATGATCTTGATGTTGGTGGTGATCAGCAAGGCGGAGAGCTGTGAGGCGTAGTTGAACGCAAAGAAAGATTGCGGTGAGTTTTGAAAGTAACATGTAGTGAGTGTCGTTTTTTACGCTGACACGATCACGGACTTGCTATACTCTAAGCAAAAGCTGGCCGTATACATATCGTATACCAACCTTTACAATAACCGGCTGAGGGTGCTGTGGCGCCAAATGACTCCTTGCAGGCCCTTTCGTGAGTCTCAACCGTCAACCACCCTGTCTTTGACCTCGCTTCCCTGCGGTTTTGCTTTGGTCATCTCTCTTGCATTCTTGAACAAGCCATTGCTTGGCCACTTTGCGGAACCATGGAGGATGGTTCTGCTGAGAACACGATGATGTTGGGAGGACGACGAAGCCCTTTGCGTCTTTGACAGTCGCACACAAGGCACGGGTCAAGCTGCATGCACTGCCCCAAGCATCGCATTCAAAGGCCCCGTCCCATACGCGTATTTGACTCTTCCAACATGATTGGCGAACGTTCTCCCGCAAATACACGTATCCGCGCGCAAGGAATACCCAGATTTGCAGAGGCGGCCGCATCATCTCCACTCGCTGGACCGGAAGTTCCTCCAACCGCTGCCAAATCAAATCTGACACGCATCCCCGATCCTGCTTTGTCCCTCCACCTTGTCTCGACAGTCGAAACGTAGAGCGCCATCCACGCTAAGGGACGACAAACGATAGGGTTGCATATAGCATCCGTTGATCAGGGCAGGTCGAACGCGCGAAGCTAGTTGGATGGCAAATACGCTGATGCAATCTATTCATCAATTTCATCCTGGAGTCTCTCCGATGTCGACAACGAGTGTGTGTGGAGCGACGCCGGATGAATGACGAGCCAAGGAGTCAAGGACTGCCCACCTATGTCCACCTACTATCGCAGACAGCTGCGCCCGGGGTGATGGACGACCCCGAAGCGCATTCGCATTGCCTATTTGCCCTCTTCAATAACGCGACTTGTCATCACTTGGAAAAGTGGGAGGCAGCCTGTCGGACAGTGAACACCGCCTTCCTGTCATTCATTTCCCTTTCCTGGATAAATAAAAAAAAGAGGCGTCCCTCGCTCAACCTTCTTTCAATGTCAACAGCAGTAGCAGCACCATCATCACCATCTCTCTACCTTGTATAGTGGCTTCCTGGACTCCGTATCTAGCACCTCCAACGCCGCCATGAGCCGATTCGACACCTGCACCGAGCTCTCGCCACAATGCCCAGTAGAGGCCACCGTTCTGGGCTACAAGCCCAATCTGGGGTCGAGCTACTTCTTCGCCATCGCGTTTGGCCTCTGCACCATCGCCGCCGCTTCCCTGGGTATCTGGAAGCGGACGTGGACGTTTAGCGCGGCCATTACCCTCGGCCTGCTGCTCGAGACGCTCGGTACGTTGCTTTCCGGACTTATAATTACATCCAGGGGAATGTTCATAACACACATGTACTGACCTCTTTCGACAACAGGCTACATTGGCCGCATCCTCCTCTACGACAACCCTTGGGACTCGGGGGCCTTCCAGCTACAGATCTGCGCCATCATCCTCGCCCCGACCCTCATCTGCGTGTCCGTCTACCTCACGCTCAAGCACGTCGCCCTCACCATCAACCCGGCCCTGTCCCGCATCCCGCCCGCCTGGTACCCACGCATCTTCCTTCCCGCCGATCTCTCGTGCCTCATCCTCCAGGCCATTGGCGGCGGCCTCGCCGCCGCCGCCGGCAAGGACAACATGAAACTCCTCGACTCGGGCAACAACATGATCATCGCCGGCATCGTCCTCCAGGTCGTCGTCCTCCTCATCTTTGGCGTCCTGGGCTTCGACTACTGGCTCCGCGCCAAGAAGTTCATCCACCACGACAACCCCGCGGCCGAGTCGCTCGCCGTCTGGCACGACCGCAAATTCCGCATGTTTGGCATTGCGGTCATGGGCGCCTTCACGGTCATCTTTGTCCGATGCATCTACCGGTACGCACGCTCCTGCTGTCCTTGGGCCTCTGGTTCAAAAGTTTCTTTTGCAACAAGACTCGCTAACAATGCCAATAGAATCGCCGAGATGTCAGGCGGATGGGGCTCCGAAATCATGCAACACGAGGAGAGTTTCCTTGTCCTGGATCCCACAATGATCTTCATTGCCACGTATCTTTTGACCATCTTCCACCCGGGCATCTTCTTCCCCCAGATGCGCAACGGGCACGGAAAGTCCAAGACTGCTGCAGGAGAACCAGCCGCAGCAGCAGACGAGTCGAGAGAAAAGCCGGCTGAGAGTAGTTTGGGTGAGTCGGGCAACGACACGCCCCGGACGACGGCCGTGTAAGCAGTGGAGAACAAGAAAGATAGACGAGGGTGCGGGGGAGATGCGAACTGGGATTTAGATGGCGTTCATTTGTTACATATGCATAGATCGCCCCGTCCTGTATGGGTTGTCGAATATTTCTGGGTGGCCTCGTTCCACAGGTTTGCATCTCTCTGTGTATTCATGACTTGACAAGCCTGTCCTGCTCGCCATCATCGTCCGATTCATCCTCCTCCTCCTCTTCGTCCTCTTCACTGCTCTCCTCTTCCGAGCCCTCAGACTCTTCATCAGACTCTTCCTCTGTCTCTCCACTTTCCTCTTCCTCCTCATCGTCCTCACCCAACCAGTCGTCCAGTGTCTTGGCACCAACGGCTTCGCCCAGACCATTAGTCTTGCTAGGCATACTCCGCGCCGCTTCGTCGAGCTTCTCGCCCGCAGGCACCACTGTCCTCTCCCCGTCGTAGCGTGACGACGGTGCCGGTTCCGAGTCTCGTAATCGAGGATCGGGCTCCTGTCCAGGCGCCACCCAGTCCGGCAACGCCTCGTACCCCTGAATGCCGTGCAGTCCACCGCCTCCGCCCAGGACCAGTGTCGACGAACCCAGCCGGAACCCTTTTCTGGATTCTGATGGACTCGGTGCCTGCGGCGCTGGTTTCGGCGCGAGGAGCATGAGCGTCGCCAGTTGTGGTACAGCCAGCAGCGCGCGAAACATTCTGGCACGGTCTCGTAAATCATATGACACGTCGTATCGCACGAGCAGCATAGCGTAGTCCCACAATTTCTTGGTGGGATGCTCGTCTGTCATGATAGGTGCATCATTCTGCTCCTCATCCTTCTTCTCCTTGTCATTCTCCGTCGTCCGGTTGATGTGATGCAGATACACCTTGGCGGCCAGCAGCAGGATCTGCTGCTTGGCGGCTTCGGATTCACCCGCAAACCCCTTGAGAAGGATGCGTAGCACATCAGGAGCAATGTTGTCTTCGCCGTTGATTCCGGAAAATTCCCCCACCAGCCACACAATCGTAGCCCGCGCCTGCGGGTCCGTCGCTGAATCCAAGTTCCTCGCCAGCCGTATCACAGTACCAACGTGATTGTCCGGATCTTGCTGAATTAAATGCCGGATGACCGTCAGCGACTCCGCCGCCAGCGTGCCATCCAAGCTGGTGATCTGTCCCAGCAGTAGCCGCAAGCACTTGGGTGCCGTCGCCGCATCCGTCTGCGCACACCTCCCGATCGCCCTCACCGCCTCCCGCACCAGGTCCTTGTCTGTGCCTTGCGAAAAGTGCTCCAGCTCTTTCAGGACCAGGTTCTTGATGTGGACAGGACTGTGTGGGAAGATGATGGTCAAGATCTCCAGCTTGAGCTGCCACACTGGTGCCGCATCGGTGGCCCGCACCAAAAAGTGGTTTGCGTACTTGACAAAGTCACTCGGGCGCATCAAGCACACCGAGACAATGTTGTACAGCGCAATCTGCTGAACGTCCTGGGCGCTTCGCAGCAGCGCCACCAGCGGTCCTACTGCCTGCTTCACGTATTCTCGATTCCCGAGGTCCACGTAGCATCGAGTCACCGCAATAACCACGGCCGAATTGCGACTCGATAACAGAGGCTGGATACCGTTGAGAAGCAACACCAGATCCGGGTCCAGAGCGGCTTGCGGCTGGCCGTCGGAATCGCCATAAAAGTCGTCCGCGTCCGCCTTGACCTCCGCTTTTTTCTTGCCTTGCTCCAGCCGTCTCGGGAAACACCTGCGCGCATAGTATGCCATGAGCCTCAAGACCGCCAGCTGACTCCACTCATCCATGTCGACGAGCTTGCGGACGAGTCCCCTGTAATGCTTATGGATGAGGTCTATCCTCTGCGGGCAGACCTCCAAGAACGCCGCCACCGCCGCTCCGGCCACGTAGTACTGCTTGTCCCCCAACAGCGTCGAGAGGTAGTCAATCAGCTGGGGCTCTTGGCTCGGGTCCAGCCTGTGACACTTTGGTATTGACAACGCGGCTGCCTTGCGCACGTGTGGGCTCAAGTCAACGATGCCCTTTTTGATCGCGAGGCTCACAATCTGGCTGATCACGGGGACGCGTATCCCGGACATGGTCCGCAGTGCCAGGGCGCGGACCTGCGGGTTCGAGTCGGAGAGGGACTTTTGTATCGTGTTGATGGAGAGGAGGGCGAGGTCGGGCTCTTGTTCGGCATGGTGGATGAGGTAAATGTACACGAGCTTCTTGATTTCGAGGTTCGGCGAGGCGACGTTCTTTACCACGTTGGAGAAGTAGGGTAGCGTTTTCTGGTTCTTGTACATCATCTGGCTGTCGTTAGCACGCACCCCCAATCGCAGACGGGGGCTGGGGTGGGCGCAAGCGTACCGAGATCACGCGACGCAGACCCTCCAGCACGTCCCTGTCAGTCCTGCTATCCAGTAAAGTCCTCATTTGGGTGCGGTCCAACGGTCGAGCCGACGTCGTCCTCATGTTGCGCGTCGCCTGGGCGGCATCAAGCGTGAGCTCCCTCGCTAGCGAACGTCAGTACAAACTCGACAGGAACATGGAGTCCTAGAAACGCACCCGTCTCCATGAGACTCGTGATCTTGGCGATGGACTCCATCTTGAAGCTTCGAGCCCACTGCGGCGCCACAGGCTGCAAAAGAAGAGGTTGTTGGAGGGACGAATATGACGTGCAGGTAACTTGGGTGGGCTGCGATGTTCGGTCTGACCTGAGCTTCAACCGACACGTAGTGGGGTAATGAGCAAGTGGCATCTTCACGGTTTGGTCACCCTGCACACACAAGATCCTCCAACACCACGAGATCAAATTGATGATTTCCGTGCGCACGCCATCGAAGATGAAATCTCGTATACAATGACAAGGCCGATCATATTGCATCCAGCCACGCCTGCTGAGGTCGTCACACTCATCCTGCACAATTACTGGCATCCTACCACACTCATCGTTGGGTCCCCGAGGCAGCCTTTTATGGAGGCGTTCATCTATGAAGTCAATGCCCTTCCTGAAGAGACGCTGCCCCAGATACGACAGAAAACACTGTTGCAAACTTCCGTCTCGCGACACATCCGCGTTGCTTTTGCGCCTACAATCACCCATCTGCGTGGTTTCCTGTCCGTCTTCACTCAGTCAGACTCGCGCGTGAGCCCGCCACCACATCAGTCTCAGCAGCAGCAGAAAAAGAATTCACAGCAGCCATTGCTAATTGCGTACGGCTTTCTCGAAGTCCACCGTATGACGACCGAGTGGTCAGCTCAGGGTCTGGGTACTTCTGCCGCGAGTCTCGTCGAGGCAGCTATGAGAAATGGGTTCAGAGCAGCCATCGTGGAGCCAAGAGGCGGCGGCGATGGCTTTGAGACATGGAGCTCATTCGCAGAGGAGAAAGCGCCTATACTGAACGGCACAGTCATGAGAGAGTCGGGCGCTTGGGCTGGACGCATGGTCGAGATTGGGCGCATACTAGGACGATGGTTTGAAATTGAGAGGCTTCCAGGTGAAGAAGCCATCACGTAACGCATCCATCGTCCCATGCCTGTTGAAATGTCAAATATACAGAAGCCGCCTCCAACGCCGAAACAGTGGTATCTCATTCCATCATGCCCTTGCCATACACCGTAAACGCCATGAAGCAAGCCCAATGTGGCTGTCAGCCAGTCCTCACTGGATATTCTGTTCCATCTCTGTGATATACAGCTTGATGTGCGCCTCCATCTTCTGATACTCCTCATAAGCGCTGTGCACTTCATTTTCAATATTCTCTTTGAGGTCCAGCATCTAGAGTGGTCAGTAACAGTCCAGCAGGCAGATCATGATTCGTACCTTTTTCTCCGTCTGCTCGATCCGTACCCTTCTCACTTCCATTTCCTTTGCCTTTTCTGTGCGCTCTTCGTTCAACTTCTTGTGCAGAGCTCTGAGCTCGTGCATTTTCACCTTGGCCTCCTCGGCCTTCTGGTTACTCTGCTCGCGCAGCTTCTCCGTGCGTTCAGTCCACTTTGCAAGCTGGCGTTTCAGCAGCCCTTCCGTCCGCTCGACCTCCCGCGCGTTGTTACCGCGTTCTGACAGAGCATCTCGCTGCTTGGCGTTGCGCCCCATTTCCTCCTCCTCCTTGTGCAGCTCCGTTGCGACTTCGTCAAGAATCTTGATGCATGATGCAACATCTGCCGAAACCACTGTGAACGAATCCGTGGAAGTCTGCAGCGCGCGTGCTCTGCGATCGAGCGCCTCGATATGCGCCTTGTCGTTGTTCAGAATCTCCCGCAATTCCGCCAGGTTCTCCTGTAGTGCGGATGGACTCTGCAGCATATACGGTCGTAGTTTGCTACTCTCCTGCTTCAACGTGATCTTGTCCTGGGTCTTCTGCTCCAAGGTAGACGTCAATTCGCCCTTGCGCTCCTTGGCTTCGTCCAGACGCGCAGCCACCTTTTCTTGGTTGCGCCGTAGCTCCAGCAATTGGGCCTTCAACTGCTCATTCCGCTGGGTCTTCTCGCGAACTTGCGCTTCCATCGCCTTCTTCTGACGCCTCATGTCGTCTAGTTGCCCTTCCTTTTCCTGGTTCTCATGGTACAACAACTCGATTCTCGATTTGGTCCCTTCGGCCTTGTTGTAGTGTTCGTCAATTACGTTTGTTTGCGACTCGCGGAAGCGCACAAAGTTGATAAGGTAGCTGAAGATCCGGACGAGACGCTCGTAGGTCGGCCTGTAGAGATCGTTGAATGTGAAGTCGAGAATCCCGCACTCGTACAGCAATCTGCGGAGCGACACGTAGAAGCCCATCAGATTGCGCGTGTCCGGTGGAATGACGTCGGAGAATTCGCCGCAAACATCCTCTGCTGCGGCACGCATGGGCGGCTCGATTGTCTCGCGGGTCGCATTGAGAAGAAGTTCGGCGAACCATTCAAAGATTAACTGGATTTGCGTTGGGTTCGGTTTCTTGAGGTCGGCGACGGTGAAGGGAATTCCAATGTCGGAGATGCAGCCAACTATCTCGCTGTCCGGCAGCTTCATAAATGCATCTGCCTCTTCCTCTTTCTTCCGGCGATTCTGGCCGCCTTGCTGAGAATTTGGTATAATACTGTGCCGCGGATTATATGCCATCTTGCCGCAACGTGTGTGTGTGTTGCTGTTGCGTCCGTCATTAGTGCCAATGTCAATAAAGCAACGCGCTCGGGGCGCGTTGCTACGGCGCAGGGTGTCAGGCCGATCACGTGACAGTACTACCACTAGCCTCCACCCAGGCACCAGGCTCTTGAGGTACCGAAGCAGCACAGCCACCCCGTCCTCACTTACAAAAAGCCAACGATCACCGTCAGACCGAATAGAGGATTGAAAAAGGCTGCTGAGCTGTACCTAAGTGCTCTTGTGGTGTTTCGTAACATATTGTGATTATAACGGGAAGGCACTTGCTCGCCGAATTCTTCGACCCACAAAAGCAGACAGGCATTCACTTATCGCAGAGTCGCAGACCGTCAGTACGACCGATCCCGTGCACGTTTTGCCCTTGCACAGAGTACAACAGTCGCAGCAATCTCGGGGATGCGCGGAAGCTTGTCGCACTTACACTACGTCCAGCACGTCCGTCACGTTCTCCTGCCGATGCAAATGGTCGGGACCGATATTTCACGTGGACTTGCCGATTGCTGACTTATCTGACTCTTCGGTACAGACCCGAGGGCGCCATGCCGACTCCAGGAGTCCAGTCGTTGATCTTTGTACCCGGGGAACTGGGATATCCCCGTAGCATCATTAGCATTAGCCGCAGCAATAACCGCCACTAACTTGGCAACTGCAAACCATTGGCGTCGATAGGATTACCCGTCTCCGAAGGCCGCTCAAGGGCTGCTCAACGTCCGGCAGGCAAGAAAGGTCAGTGCATGCTTGCATGCCCATTGGCTGTGTGACCTAAAATTACGGTTCACTGCGAGGAGTCGCGATTCCAGGTGTCTGTCAAATCAGCGAGCCAGACGCCAGGAGAGAAGCCCCCCGATCTGAGTGCGTTGCTCGATGTACGTAGTAGCGTTTCAGTGATGAAAGTTCAACATGAGTCGCTACTGGATCTCTTCACAGCTAGCGTTGATACTAAAAGTTACTATTATAAGCCCCCCGATTCAGGGATAAACCGGTAGGTACGGATAAGAGTCGAGAAGCCTTCGGCTGCCACATCCGTTGCGTCATGCTGTGTCAGGGCCAGGACAATTGCTAATTCCAACTTCGCCCTCAACAAAACAAGGCCATTGCAAGGTTTCACATCGGTGACAAGGGCGGCTGCAGACGATAGTATGCCATAACATCTGCGACCTCATTGCGTTGCGGAGACGAACGGCAGAAGAAAGGTCACCTTTGCTCGACTCCGCAGGATAATTAGACTCTTCCGACGACGAGTGACCCTCTCCACATTGCTTGGCAGCCGATACGTGAAACGTCGCGACTGGGAAAAGCACTGGATACGAGAAGTTATGCGCAGCGGGTCCGCACAAGTCTTGGGTTCAAGGGAACACGAAACAGCGCATCCGGTATCCGTACGGAGAACCAAACCTCAATGCTGCTGCCGCTGCTGCTGCTGTGTGCTTCGACAATGCTTATTACGATGAGCCTCACCCTTTCCAGCGGCTTCGTGCCTGGGCAAGGAGGCTACCCGCATGGCAATACCACGGCACTCGGGTAGTAGTGGTACCTGAATAATTACCCCTCGAGGCTCAACGCGCCCTCGGGTGCATTGGCACGCCCCTCACTCGGACGCGGCTGCATTTGCTGTACGGAGTACTTTCGTTGATCTCTGCATAAGGTAAGCTTGCGCATTCATTGTCGCCTCGCCAGCCTTTACGAGCCGTCTTCCCCTTTGGTGGGTTAGGCTTGGAGCGCACGCCAAGCCGCAGCACAGCCTGAGCGTACGTGTACGGCGCATTGTGACATGCGGACGATGTACGGAGTACTGCTGGATGTGGAAGACTGTCAAACTGTTGGACAGAAGGCTTGCCGCCATAATTACGCACTGTGGCTTGGCCCAGTCTCTTCGGCAGACAGCTAAGATCCGCTTCCAATCTTTGGGCTCAGACAGCCGTAGAGGCCACGGCCGCCACCATCGCTCGTTCCAGTCGATTGCTTGATTGGTGCCATCCGGTGACGAATGCTACCCAGGATTAAATTGCCTTGTGCTGGGTACTGGTTACTGGGCCTGGCAGGCAGGGCAGCCTCTGAGTCTTTGAGTCTCTGAGGACCTCCGACCAGGACTGGGGAGATCACGAGATGAAGACGTCATTGCTTTCCTTACGATGCCAGGAATTCGGGGTCTACCATCCCCAGGTTCCCGTACATACTTCTCTCTATAAACACGAACTCTCTCAGTAACCGAGCCACGCAAATCAAAGGGCAGGAGGCAAAGTAGAACAGCAGGCTGTCATACCATTGTCGAGTGTCGAGACTCGACTCGAGTCTCCAGTCTAGAGTACAGTCTAGTTCACTGTGACTATGGTGAGTGGCTAGTGTCCAGTACATGTAGGCTTGAGCTGTGGTGTGGCTGAGGTGGAGCTTGATGAATTGGGCCAACCAGGGCGCTTGAGTCGCCCAGAGGAAGAGGACTGGGGCCCAAACCGCTCCAGATCATCCTGGACCGGTCACGCCCCCAGCCAGCGCCTTCCACTTTCGCCTTCCCACACATCCCCCCAAAGTCAGGTCTCGTCTACCTTGCTTGATCTCCATCCAACCGATCTACAACGCAACGGCCGTAGAGACACAAAGTCGTCACGTCTGGTCATTTCTCCTTTCACATTCCTTCGAGAACCCTGATCCATCGAGTTGTCGCTTTCGACTTTTTTTTCTAATCCAAGCGAGCTAAATACGCTGCATTACACCAAATCAATCGAAGCACCGACCATAGCTCGAAGCTTGTATGTATTCTTCGGCCTCCTCGCGTACATTCCAGTCAAAAAACCAACAAAATCGCGGTTCGCTCGGCGCACCTGGATTGTCAACGCGCATATCGTCATCGTCGATAACCTAATCGTTTCTTCGAATGCGTGAGATTTCTCTCATGGAAGATTGAACTACGGCAACACAGCAGAAGCTGCGACGACGACATTTTTACGAATCCCAACGGCCGATCAAACTCATCCAACACCATGCAACAGCGCGTATCCCCGAGTAACTTCAAAGTGAGCGACAGACAAGTGACAACGGGAGACACATATCAGTGAAGATCGCCAGGCGATTTACGCCCCATCTGACCATGCCGCTGTGGCCATTCCGTCGCAAGAGCGGGCGCAAGCGCCCTCGGAGCGGTGTCACCTTTTCTGATGTGGAGGGGCCGCCGATCAGGAGTCAAATTGAAGGGGCCGTCACCAGAGCAGATTCCAAGAAGAAGCAGCGCACTGGAACGAATAAGGCTGAGCGTGGTCAGCGCACATATAGCTTCTCACCTGGGAAGAAGGATAATTTGGAACCAGCACACCGGCGGCAGGCGTCGCCAGATCGAGCCGGACCGAGCGCTCGCAGGCGCGATGAGGTGGACGCACCACAACCATATCCTTGGACACGAACGCCGACGTTGCACCACAAGCCAAGCCGAGGTGATCCATCGAGAAGGAAAAGTACCAAGAGAAAACAAGAGGAAAAAGACAGGGCTGCGGAAATCAAGGCCCTCAGTGAGTTTCACCCTGTGCGGCCGGCGACCGAATCATGGAATGCTGGACGACCCATGAAGAAGGACAGCAGGCGTGTCAAGGCCACATCTGGATTGGGACGACATCCGGCGTCGGACATTTCGCTACCTATCCCTGGATCTGTTCACTCGAGCCTTTCGTCGGACTCTGAATTTGGAGCTTTCAAGGTATCCGCGCTGGATGCGTTGGCGCCACGGCCGACATTGCGCTACTCACAGGGCACACGCTGGACTGGTTGCAGACACGTAGGCCAACCTCATGCCACGTACCCGCGAAAGGACCTTGAGAAAGAACCCATTGCAGAGGAGCCAATCAGAAGCCATCGTCGTGTGGACGATTTGGCCGACGAGCTGGATGCACGAGACTTGCGCGAGCTGATTGAGCGTGAAGATCGCAGACAGGAGAAGAAGCGACAACAAGAACAAGAAAGAGCACAACAGCGGCTAAACCGGCAGGCGGAACGACAGAAGCGCCAAGAAGCGGCAAACCGGGCAGCAGGCACACCACCGCCAGAGAATCTTGAACGAGGCACTGCAGGGCGTGCTGTTGGCTTGGGCATTGATCCAGCATCAGCTGTGGTCATCACGTCTGAGTCTGAGCCTGAGCCCGAGTCCAAGCCCGAGCCGGCACTGCGACACTCCACGGTGTCAGAGCCGATGCCTGATGCCCCCGAGCAAGCTGTATGCGAAGACGAAAATGAAGTTGAGAGGCTGGACAGCGCGCACCCCACCATTACCGCAGGATCGCAACACCACAATGAAGCAGTTGAACCTCAAGGCTCTGCAACGTCTTTGGGCCAAAGCTCTCGCTTTGCCGGGATACTGCGGTCGAAGAAGTCCAAGTCAAGATCAACTTTGGCGTCGGAAAGAGACCGTGTAATGTCCCCTCCACCTGAGATCATTGACGAAGAAGGCAACGCCCGTCAAGGATCTTGGTCCAGCGACACCAAGCGAGGGCGTTTCTCCCTCACATCTTTCATTCGATGGGGTGGCAAGAGCAAGCGACATTCCGGAGGCCCACCGTCTTCTTTTTCGAACACCTCGCGTGAAGAGATGCAAGCCGCGGCCGCAGCGCAAAATCCTGCGCAGGCTCACCATGAAGCCCTCGCGAAGTTGCAGGGAGAGGACGCTTACCCCAGTGGCGAGTCGTCGACAACAGGCATCTACATGGCGCGCAAGACGAGCGCGGGAGCGGCCTTGCGTATGAGGTCGCGATTCCGCGAGGACTTGCCAGAGTACCCCATGTCTCCCCCTGATTCGCGACTTCAATCCCCGGATGTAGAGCCAGCACTAGCAACGATTGCTCAGTCGCCCACTCAGCCAGTGGCTATCCCCAGCTCAAATAGGCCAACAGCCCATCTTTCCTCGACTTCGGCAGAGCCCATGATGTCGATGTCGCTGGCATCTATCGACTCCGAAGGGTCGTGGCTTTCGGGTCGTGTCAATTCCAAACGCTCTGCCATTCGCGACAGCATTGCTCGAGCCAATCGCCGCGAGCAATCAAGTGACTCGCCATCTAACAGCACGCAAGAGGACCTGGCCATTACCGACGACGACTACCTAGCTCGCCTTGCGCCCCATCGCCACTCGGGCCACATGCCCGCGCCACGACGTTCGGAGGACGGGCGCCCGAGCAGCGATGAAGAAGACTTTGGCACTCGCGAATCCGGTGCTCGCTGGGGCGCCATTGGAGCCCGTCCCCAGGTGATACACGTGCACAGACATGATCGGATGACAATGCAGAGCCACGAAGGGCTCCTCAACATTGAATCAGGGGACGAAGCGGAAAGCGAGTCCCTTGTGACGCCCTCACCTCACGAGCAGGCTGACTTGCGTCGCGCTCAGAGCGTGAACCTAGGAAAGAGCGGGCACGCCCGCAATTTTAGTGCCGGTAGTGCCAAGTTGCTTGAACTCACTCCTCGCACGTCTGTTGACAGCAAAGCGAAGAGTAATGAGCGTCGAAGGTCAAGTGGACAGCTGATGAGTTTTTGATCTTTTAGGTGATCACCGACACCCACACTGAGGAACGAACTGCTTTCAAATCGATGCCGCGATTACGGCCACACTCTTTTGGCAAATTTTTCCTTGTCTCTCGGACAATTGGTCCATCCACTCTCTATGAGCTTTCCTTCTCACGACCAAAAATCATAAAAACCGAAAAAAAGAAAAAAAAAAAGTCAAGTCATCAAACGACCCTCGTTCAACCAAATAACACCAAAAAAAAAAAAGGTTGAAAGCAAGCACCAAAAAAAGCGCAGTTCTCCTCAATGTGGTGGTCGAGTCACCAAAGTTCGCTGCTCATCTTCAATCCCTGCCTCGAGCGACAATGGACATGGCGTACACGGTGATTTTCTGGTTTCTACTGCATATACCGACAACTGATACCCCCCCTCAAGCGAGCAAAAAGTCAAGTGCTCGTTGGATGCCGCTATCGTGCCAAGTGCACGCTTGTGGGACACCTACTTTTTTTTCATCCGGCAAGGCGTTATGTTTTTTGCCCTTTTCAGAACCATTTATACCCGGTCTGGAGTACAGCTAAGGGGCATTTGGCGCATTTTACGAAGGCTTGGATCGTCCTGGCGTACGACACGACAGGATAAGTTATAGTCTGGAAGGGCATGGTGTACATCAAGTCCCAACCTGTACCATAATGGTAATAGGATAGAGTATTCAGCAAATATTGCTGCAAACGTTCACAGATGTCCTCATTCGTACTGAAATTGCGCTTTGTCAGGTCGCCCCTCAATGTCGTAGTTCCTCAGCAAGGAGTTGTCAAATGTGATACAGGGTCTCCAAGTGCACACTTGGATGGGACGATCGGGACACGTTACGGTACGTCATATCGACGGAGATGATGTCCCGTGGGCCCCTGTTGGGGCGCACAAGTACGTGTACAGTAGACACCTCAGCGAGCTGCACACAGCTTTGGCCAGCAGCGCCAGGACATCTGAGTTAATGAAGGACCGGAGGTGATAAGACCAATCCATCCCACTGAGCCACTGATCTCTTGCTGCAAAGCGTCCCTTGACAGGGGTCCTATGAGGCGCTGAGATGACGGCACCACCCTCGTCATGGCACCTTTGACAAATCAGCGCGGCAGTGGCCTCGAGAATTCTCCACACTCGAGGCAGTTGAGATTTACAAATCGGAGCTTCGATGGACTCCACTGCATTTGCGTTGCTTTTTGGTTCGGTTCACGCTTTTCATGCCTTGACATTACGATTGCGACACAGTTCACGGCGGTTCCGCAAGTCCGTCCGCCATTGCACCACCACCACCACCTGCTGGCTCAGTAGTCCCACCACCTCTCGCTCCCTTTTCAGCCCCAGTCTCTTGTACATTATGTCGTCGTTCCTCCGGTCTGCCCTTCGTACTGTACCTCGATACAACACCCCGTTCCGCACTACCAGAACATTCACCACCACATCGCGCAACATGGTTGTCCACAACGTTAACACGTATGTTCCAGGAAGAGCCGGTCGGTAGCTCTGGGTCGAGGAGGACAGCTGTAGCTAATGGATTGCAGCGTCGGCGAGTTCAGGGCCGCCATTGCCGACCACGAGAAGGTTCTCGTCGACTGCTTCGCTACCTGGTGCGGTCCCTGCAAGGCCATCGCACCCATCCTGGCCGAGTACGTTCTCGCGCATGCCACGCACTCACCCTGATCGACTTGATGCTGACTGCTCTCCCCAGTATGTCCAACGAGGAAGCCTACAAGGACGTCTACTTCATCAAGCTCGATGTCGACGAGGTCCCCGACGCGGCGCAGGAGCTCGGCGTCAAGGCCATGCCTACCTTTTACTTCTTCAAGAACGGCGAAAAGGTGGATGACATGATGGGCGCGAACCCCGCTGGTCTGAAGAGCAAGGCGCAGGCTCTGCTGGCGTAAACCTGGACCTGTCTTGGCAGGTAGAATGATTGGAAGACTATGCGCCAGGTGTAGTCGCAAAGAGCAACGTGATTTGAATACAAGTCATCTTTCTTGTCTTGGCTTGGCTAAATGGAATATATAATTGCGATGCAGCTGCGCTGAACGCGATGTTCCCAAACCATGAGTTGCGGCTGTTGTCAGAGCCGTTCACCCTATCCCCAGCTGGAACAGATGCTGATGGCATCCCCATCGCCACCTGCAGTGAACGAAAAGGCTTGGATACGATGTGAGCTTGCATGGCGCTTGCCAAATGCGATGATGGCGAGAAGACACAAGTCTCCAACGGTTGACCAGCCGAAGCGGGGCTACGCCGACGCCATGCGCATCCCGCTGGCGCTGGTGCCCACTTCCGCTCACAGAAACTACCTGTTGGGAAGTCTTGTTTTGCTCATGCCGCATTATTGTGCATGTTCATCATTCAAACCTGCAATTGATCAATTCAAGTGTACACGCAACACCACGGCCTTGTCGCAACAATGGCCACAATGCAGACAACTATCGTCGTCTTGGGGTGCCCTACCACTTGATCTGGAACAGGATACAGACTAATCATGGCTGCAGAGCTGGCGTATCAGGCCTTACATCGGCTCTGATGCTCTCCAAGAACAAGAACAACAAGATCACCGTCGTAGCCAAGCACATGCCCGGTGACTACGACATCGAATATGCCTCCCCGTGGGCCGGTGCTAATGTTCAGCCGTGAGACTTCCTATTGCTTTCTACATAGCTGCTAAGCATACTGATGAGCTTAGCATGTCCCTGAGAGACAACAGCAGGTGGGAGCGTCGAACTTGGCCTGAGCTCAAACGCATTACGGAGCAAGTCTCCGAAGCAGGCATTCACTTTCAAAGTAATGGGCTTTTTCTTGTCTCTGGCTGCAAGGCACCAAACTAACATTGACCAGAGAGTCTGATTTACCGTCGAGACGGGGACCTGGTTGGCGGATACTTCCCGGACGGACTCTTCGAGAAGGACCCCTGGTTCAAAGAAGTGCTTCCCAAGTATCGCGAGTTGGACTCCTCAGAGGTGCTGCCGGGGCACGACTCGGGCGCAGAGGTCGACAGCATCTGCATAAACACAGCCATCTATCTCCCCTGGCTGCTGGGGCAATGTCTGAAAGCAGGCGTAGTGGTCAAGCGTCACATTCTCACACACATTAGCGAAGCTAAGGCGCTGAGCCACACGGGCAAGGCAGCAGACATCATCGTCAACGCCACTGGTCTCGGGTCATTGAAGCTCGGAGGCGTCGAAGACAAGAATATGGCGCCGATCCGAGGCCAGATTGTCGTCGTGAGGAATGAGTGCACCCCGATGGTCTCTACCTCCGGCACCAACGACGGACCAACTGAGCTGCTGTATATCATGCAGCGCGCCGGCGGAGGTGGTACGATCCTCGGCGGCACCTACGACAAGGGCAACTGGGAGTCGCAACCCGACCCGAACATTGCGCAGCGAATCATGACAAGGGCTGTTGCTGCCAGACCAGGGCTTACCGATAACAAGGGCGTGGAGGGACTCAGTATTGTGCGCCATGGTGTTGGACTGAGGCCGTTCCGAGAGGGAGGCGTGAGAATTGAGGAGGAGAAGCTGGCAGACGGGACATGCGTAGTGCACAACTATGGGCATTCGGGATGGGGGTATCAGGGCAGCTACGGCTGTGCTGAAGCGGTCGTTGAGCTGGTGGAGGAGATTCAGAGACAACACAAGGCCAAGCTTTGAGTAAATCAGCGAGCGTTCCTTTAATTACTTGGTGTTTCGTCGGTCATGAGTTGGTGAGACATTGCTCAGCCGATGTTTCAGGGATAGCTATATCGGGGCGATGCATGTACCCAATATTATCGCGCTGCACCCCAGACTGGAATCACTAGACCCCAATTTCGAGCCGCGATCATGGAATTAACGCGCCAGAAGCTTCACTTTCCACCATGGCAGATGCGAAAGAACTTGAGGCCACCGCGCCTGGCAAGTGGCCATGGCCGGTTCAAATACCACTCGATATTCTCTGCGGGACAGATCCCGTCGGCAAATACATCCCCCCGCTGCTTTGGCTAGCTGACGCAGCGCTCACCTCACTCATCATCTGGAAGGTCCCCTGTATGTTTGTTTCACTTGACGGCTTCGAGCGCACGTGGCTGACACGGGAAAGACACAGAGATCGACTGGGTCGCCTACATGCAACAGATCAAGACATTCCTCGCCGGTGAGCGCGACTACACCCTCATCACCGGGCAGACGGGGCCCCTTGTCTATCCCGCCGCACATGTTTACACCTTCACCGGGCTCTACTATCTTACCGACCATGGCGAGAACATTCTTCTCGCGCAGCAGATTTTTGGAGTCTTGTACATGGCGACATTGGCGCTGGTCATGCTGTGCTACGGGAAAGCCAAGATGCCCCCATACGTCTTCGCGCTGTTGATAGTCTCCAAGCGGCTGCACAGTGTCTTTGTCCTGCGCTGCTTCAACGACTGCTTTGCGGCTCTCTTTCTCTGGCTGACCATCTACCTGTTCCAGCGGCGATTCTGGACTTTTGGCGCCGTCGCTTTCTCCCTGGGCCTGGGGATCAAAATGTCACTGCTGGTGGCCTTGCCTGCTGTGGTGATCCTGCTTTTCATGGGGCGCGGCTTCTGGGCAAGTCTTCGACTCATCTGGCTCATGGTGCAAATACAATTTGCCCTTGCCGTGCCGTTTCTGGCGAAGAATGCAAAGGGATACTTTGGAAAGGCATTCGAGTTGTCTCGGCAATTTAAGTACGAGTGGACAGTGAACTGGCGTTTCGTTCCCGAGGATATCTTTCTATCTCGTGGGTTCGCACTGACGCTACTCGCCGGACATGTCACCGTCCTATCGGCGTTTATCATCCACCGATGGATCAAGCCAGCCGACCGCACTCTCCTTTCCATGCTCCCTTCATTCCTCAAACTCCAGTCGCCCTTTACGGCCAAAGAGGAGATTGTCATCTCCAGTCGCCTTTCTCCGGACTTTGTCATGTCCTCTATTCTCACTTGCATGGTGATTGGCATGCTCTTTGCTCGCAGTCTGCACTACCAATTCTACGCCTATGTCGCGTGGTCGACGCCGTACCTCATCGCCCGCGCCTTTCCCAACAACATCAGCATTGCGCTGGCATTCTCCTACTTGCAAGAAGACGGATGGAACACCTTCCCCAGCACCCCGCTGAGTTCACTCAAGGTCGTCGGCACGTTGGCGGTCGCTGTGGCGGGGATGAGCGCTGTCGCCCTGCGCGAGGATCGCAGCATAAGCATGGCCGCGGGCAATGAAGGGGGCCGGCTGGAGGGTGATGCGTCTGCTGTCAAGCTACCTACCAAATCCAGGAAGAATATATGATTCAGTCCGATTCGGAGTCGGAGGGCGGCATCTTTCCGACCGTCGACTCATTTTCTGAGTCGCTATCGCTTGTTTCGTGGAATTCTTTGGGCCTAGATACACATATGTAAGAATGGTACTCCCTAATGCTTGCAAAGACGCCAGGAGAGACAGGCAAACGTACCAGTACGGCTGCTTGCGCCATTGCTTCTCGCTGCGAACCACGTTGACAATCTCCCCCTTGGCCCTGACCTCCTCACTCTGTCCTTCATACAGCTCTGCAAGCACAAATCCGCCTCTGCGAATCCAGATGGTGTTGCGGAAGCGCTGCGCAAGTTCGAGGAGTCGGGTCTTTGTGTCGGGGAACTCGCATGTGTAGAGGTTGTTGCCCTCGGGCTTGATCACACGGACGACAGACTGGTTTGGCGACAAGGCTGTGGGAGGCAAGAGGGTATTCTCCGCCGCGGCGAGGACATTGCGCTTGGGACGGCCCATGGTCGGAGTCTGGCTGTGCGCGAAGCGGGTGACTGTGAATAGTACAGACAGAGTCGGGAATATTTTTCTGGACCCTGACCTGACCTGGACGTGGGGTTTGAGACTTTGAGTTTCCCGCACCTGTTAAGGTACCTTGAGGGGCAGCCCTCCTTTATTCCATACACTCCGATAAACGCATAAATCTTAACCTCTGCGAAACTGCTTCTTGCGGAGAGCCACATTCTACCTAAGCTACCTACCATCAACCATCTTCCCTCTGGCCAACAGCGGTCTGCGTATGCAACCCTTGTACAAGATAACGGTGGACACTCCTGTTCAACCAGTTGTCAATGCTGCATCGCGAGTGCGCTCCTGCCGGGCCGCCCGGAGATTACTATTCAAGCTTCAGGCGGCCCCTACCGCGTCCGACAACGTCCCTTAATCACGACACCCTTTCTTTCAGCGCCCTCTAGGCCCGCTGTTCTAGCCTAAAAGCCACTCTGTTCCGATTGCTTACATCGGTGATATGAGCCACCGTTGTCGGTGGGGATTGTTTCCTAATGGAGTTTCTCCTGGGTCACGATGATCGCCAAAAATGTGACAGGCCAAAAAGTCTCTGCGGGGTTCATGTTCATGATATAAGTCGGAAGCTCAGGCTGAGCATCGCTCCTGATTTCATTTACCAGTTATAGATGAAAAATTTCTTTGATCTGGCACTGGGTCAGTCTCTGAGTCCGTCGCCATGGCTTCTACGTTACACATTGCAGTCGAAGTCGACCAGACCAAAGCCGTCGATCATGACGATCAAGGCACCAGATCACTAAATGACCGGCCAAAGTTGTATCGAGAACGTATCCAGGGGCACCAGAATCCATCGAGTTGTCCAGGATACCCTCTCGCCATGTTCGACCGCCTGGCCCAACGACTCCTCGTCGTGAGGCCGACCAGGAGATGTCTCGTCCTTCCACGCCCGTCGATGTGACCACTGAAGCTCTCCCGTCTGTGTAGAACCCATAAATGAATCGCTTTCGACTGCTTGTCGTATGCGCCCTCAACCTGGGCAACGGCATGGTAGACAGTGCGGCTGGTGCCCTCATCCCGTACATGGAGAAGTACTATGACATTGAGTATGGCGTCGTCTCGCTCATCTTTGTCGGCCAGAGCATTGGCTTCGTACTCAGCGCGGTCTTGCTCGAGCACTCTCGTGCGAAGCTGGGACGGGCCAAGACCATTGCGCTCGGCCAAATTCTCATAATACTGGGCTGCATTTCTCTGGTCTGCAACGCACCTTGGGTCGTCAACGTCCTGTCATTCATCCTCATCGGATATGGTCTGGCCGCCAGCGTCGCCATGGGCAACATCTTTTGCGGCGGATTGCGAAACTCGACGTCTCATCTCGGCTTGTTCCACGGCAGCTACGGCATCAGAGGCACGACTGGTCCCCTGATTGCCACAGCCATGATGACCATAACGCGGACCATCTGGAGTCGGTTCTACCTCATCCCATTGGGATTCTCCGTCTTCACGCTCGGCGGGTTCCTCTGGGCGTTCTGGAACTTTGAAAAGGAGCAGTCGCCTGCTGCGCGCGCTGCCGAGTTCCCGGTGGGGACCGAGTCCGCGATCCTGGGCATGGCTCGCGCCCTCAAAACCAGGACTGTGCTGCTGGGCGCGCTCTTCATATTTGCCTACCAAGGTGCCGAGGTCAGTATCTCTGGCTGGGTCATTTTCTTCTTGATCAATGCCCGCGGAGGCGATCCGTCCAGCGCTGGATACGTATCCTCTGGCTTCTGGGCGGGCATCACCCTCGGTCGCTTTCTCCTCTCTGGGCCCGCCCAGCGGATCGGCGAGAAGCGATTCGTGTGTTTCTCGACAATCATGGCGCTTCTCTTCCAGGTCCTCGTATGGGTGGTGCCCCATATTGTCACCAACGCCGTGGCTGTGTCCATTGTTGGTCTCATGCTGGGCCCAATCTATCCGTGCTGCGCGGCGGTCTTTCTGCGTGCACTGGCCCGGAGTGAGCGTCTGAGTGGCAAGGCGACCATCAGTGCCTCTGGCAGCCTTGGAGGTGCCATGGCCCCCTTTGTGACGGGATTGCTGGCGCAGGCTGTCGGCACTTTTGTGCTGCATCCCCATTGTCATCTTCCTCTTTCTGGTCATGCTGCTCTGCTAGTGGGCAATACCTGCAGAGGAGAAGAGGGACGAGTAGGCTGTCATGGCGCCCGTGCGATGGAGCGCGAAAAAGCACCACCAATACCGAGTGGTGGACTTTTTGGAAGCGGACACTGTTCAAAAATCAATTGGCACGGGCAGGAATGGGCCAAAAGTGAGGTCGTGGGGGAATAGAGAAAGTAATGAAATCGTAATTCGCCCTCTTTCCAGTCTATCCAAATGCGCAGATGCTCTATCAGTCTTTTCTATTCGTTGCCTCGTGGATTTGAAAAGTCATCCGTCATTCACCTCATCCACGTGTCTACTCCAGGCGGCCTTTGGCGGCATCCTTGACGGCCAATGTCCCATCTAGGATCTCCTTGCACGTTTGCGTGATGCTGGTCCAGTCTCTGAAGGTCACAAAGGGGACCTTTTCGTTCTCGCACCATGTCACCAGATCTGTACGCGTTAGAAAATCTCTCGTTCATTGAAAATGAAGAATTGCACACTTACCCTTGTCAGCCTTGGCAAAGAGCAGATCTGTCTCCTTGGCGGCAGAAAGATCCGAGACACCATCACCAGCGTAGAACATTGTCGGCCGCCCTTCGAGACCCGAGTACTTCCTGATCTCCAGGCTCTTGTCGTGGCCAAAATCAGTGTCGTCGTGAAACTTGATGGACCATCCGCCCTTTGTGTTGATGTCCTTGCCGTCCCGCGACTGGACGTCGTTGCTGACGATCTGAATGTCCCAGCCCTCGCCCAGCAGATTGTCCAGCAACATGCTGATGATGGGCGTCATGCCACCCGACAGAATGACGATTGGCACATTGTTCTCGCGACTCCAGGCGTAGAAGTCCTTGAAGCCGGGATCGAGCTTGATGTTCTTCTTCAGGATCTCCTTGCACTCGTTGTACGGGGTGTCGACGGAGTCGAGCATTTCCTGGAACGAGTCGCGGAATGCCATGCGGCCGTAGAGAACATCCTTGTTCAGGCCGACGCGCCTCTCCTTGCCAAAACCGAGGTTGTCGGTCATGAAGTCGTTCGAATCGGCGGTGGTGATGGTGCCATCGAAGTCGGTGAAGAAGATGGCAGGAGGGTTGTTGCGCAGGGCAGATGTTTCGCTGGAGATGGAACCCATGTTGATATGATTTCTTACATGTACTGGCCGTGAAGGAGAGCGATTCGCGCAGAAGTTGATGCGAAGCAAAGTGGTGGTTCTGGAGGGGCAGCCGTGATGACGGAGGGGCAAAATTTGGAGGGGCAGAGCATCAAATCCCTTATATCTACAGGTACGAGAAAATTTACGAAAACTAGACTGGGAATGATGAGGTCTCACTCGCTCACACAAGAGCTAAAAGACGCATCCATACACCATTGACTGCTTGCAGCGGCCAGCGACGTCCATGGCTGTCCTCGTTGCGAAAGCATTGGCGTTGCTGCCGTCATTGGCGCTTGGGTGCCCCCACATCCAGGCACACTGCAGGTCTTGGCGCGAGTATCGCCGCAGCGCACGGATCTTTCCCGAAACAGTAAGCGGTCAATGGATAAAAGGGGCAGTATTCTGGAAACCCCAGGGCACGTACCTTTCAAGTTGATTTCGAAATGCCGACGATGAGCGAGGGTGGGAAGAAGGCTCCCAACACACCTGGTCACGCCCACAACGACGATGCAATCCCTCGGGCGGCCTGTGGCTCGGACTGTCCTTGGGGCGGCACGTCAGCTCCATGGAAGGCCGTTGTTGCCCGGGCCGAGACTATGGGCCGAGCAATCGCATGAAAGATGGCGGTCGAGGCAACTCACGGTACCGATGCGATGCTACGCGACATTTCCCAATGACGAAAATAAGAATGCCACAGCAGAGAAAACGGCCGATCCAATAACAGATGAAACACCGTCTAATAGAGCATCGGCCTCCGAATCGGGAGCGGACTTTGCCGCCAACGGTGGCACACGCGAACAAGCAGAGAACAGCAGCATCCATGCACAAGAACCGTCCGTCAACGACCGCACGCTGCCCTCCTCAAAGGTGTTTCAGAACAGTCTGAAAGAAAAGTTTTCCGTCGTGATGGACGATCTACAAACCCGCGCCTTGAATGCTTCGCAAACCCTGAACGACCTCACCGGCTACTCTGCCATTGAGTCTATCAAGGCCGAAAACACCGCCCTCGAAGATGCCCTCGCGAAAGCCCACGCCCATCTCACAGCCTCTCGCTCGCAGTACAAGTCTTCCAACTCAAAACGAGCCGCCACGCAGCGAGAAGTCACCACGCTGCTCGCGAGGAAGGAGTCCTGGAGTCCCACCGATCTCGAACGCTTCACCGAGCTGTATCGTGCAGATCATGTCCTAGAGGGCGAGGTGGCTGCTGCGCAAGAGGCCCTGACAGAAGCGGAGGGGGAGGAGCAGAGACTCAGCCAGAAGTTGAACGCGGGCATACTGAAGCGGTATCACGAAGAACAGATATGGAGTGATCGCATTCGCAGAGCAAGTACATGGGGCACCTGGGGTCTTATGGGCATGAACTTCTTGCTGTTCGTGGTGCTTCAATTCGTTGCCGAGCCATGGAAGAGGCGGCGCCTGGTGAATGGTGTTGTGGCCGAGGAGAAGCAGGTCCTCGAGGAGGTTCGTGGTGAGCTGGCGGCCGTGAAGCTTGCTCTGGAGGCGGCAGCAGCGAAAACCCAGGAGCCGGATGAGCCCGTCGTTGACGTGATGGAGGCTGTTTCGGGTGAACCTGTCACGACGGCTGAGACAACCACCACACCTCCTGCGTTGCTACAAGAGCACGTATCCGCGCCGGAACCTGCGATCACATGGAAACGGTTCCTTCTCGAGCCCAAGAGATGGCAGATTTTGGTGAAAGATCTTTGCAGCGACAGACGACTAGATTTGCGTATGAGAGATGCATCAGCGTTGGCGTTGGAGGGTGCTGCGGCAGGGGCAGCCGTTGCTGGGGCTGTCTTTTGGATGATAGCACGAAGATAAAGCTGTATATCACTGTCGTCAAAATTGGCCATGTATATCATATACCTGTAATGTAGAGCGGTGATTTCGAAGACTAGAAGTTCAATCATAGCGCGCATCGCATTGTTCTGTCGATTTACAATCGCAAGACCACTCAACTGTGTCGCTGCAAGACAGCACGCCTCCTCTTCTCTTCTCAGTCCCCTGCCTCCTCATAGACGCAGCAGTGAACGATGCCTTATCGGCGACAGCCCAAAGCTGCCACACACAGTCGTATCATTCATCGGCGGAGCCAACGCCTTGTCCCACCATAGCTGTGATGGGATGCAAGTCCTACACCCTAATTTAACCGATCGAGGACGCGACAGGCTCCAGTCGTCAACTACACGGATTGACAAGGTTCGCGATACTAGGACATTGAATCACAGTAGGACGTTTATTATTTGCTCTGAAGCATTCACAAAGCGTCGTCTTTCCTGACTGCTTGGCATACAGTACACGCTTTGCCAACCTGGACTAGCTGCACTTGTTGCAGGCCAGAAGCCCCGCGAAATTCGACGCAACCCCTCTGCGTATCACCCGCTGCAGCCGCTAAGCAAAAGGCTGCCCGCACCACCAAAAACATCCGTCTGTCAACAAGTACGTACCTACCTTACTTACGTACCTGTACAGACCTTACCTCACCAGGCACTGACGACATTCTTCCGGGCCCATGTCCAATTGTCCATGTCCATTTGCTCCCCAAGTTCCAACTGGCTGCCTGAACGACCTGATCTGAACCGCGGCGGACCTCTTTTCGCTTCCCCACCACATCACAACATCCTCGCAACGCCAGCCAGTTCTCCCCCCGTACCGCGTGGCAGCTGAGGGACGGCTTCAAAGCCCTCACGCGCCGCTGAACAAGGGTCTCGCACTTGTCGCCTTTTATCAGGAGCCTGTTTGCTGGCGATTCCTTCATCCTCAAGTTTTCGATTTCCTTGTCCACCACCTGCCGCCCTCCTGCAGGCAGCCAAACCATCCAGAAAGAAAGAAAGAAAGAACCCGAATACCCTCAACCACCTCACCCACTCAAACCCGTCCGCCGCGAACGCATCGCGCAACCACCCTGATCATGAATGAGGAAGAAGCGATTCAGACCATTCACAAGAAGATCGAGCGCGAAAAGGCCCTTATCAACGCCGCCAATGCTATGCGTGCCCAGACCAACAACGAAGCCGTCCGCTCCCGTCTCGACAGCCAGATCCGCGACGGTCGTCGCAACGTCGGCTTCTTCGAAGAGAAACTGCGCGACATCCAGGTGCGCCGCGCGAGCTCGGCCATGGACCGCATGTCGCTCAGCGGTCCGAGTGGACGAGATGGAGAGTCTGCCCCCGCGCCGCCGCCCAAGGATGCTTCGGGCTATGGGGATCGCGGGAACTATGGCGAGGCCAACTACAGCCAAATTGGGCAACATGGCGACCTCATGCCACCCCGTCACCCGTATGCGCCCCCAGCGCCGGGCAGCGGCATGCCCAAGGCCAGGCCCAACTTCACCAAGCTGGACCTCATTAAATACGACAACCCATACCTGGGCCCTCGCATCCAGCTGATGCTGTCCCAGCTCCAGTTCAAGCTCAACGTTGAGGAGCAGTACCTCAAGGGTGTCGAGAAAATGGTGCAACTGTACGGCATGGATGGCGATCGCAAGAGCAAGGCGGATGCGGCTGCAAGGAGAGTGGAGAGCAAGCAGAAGATTGTTCTCTTGAAACAGGCGCTCAAGGGATACGAGGAGCTGCACATTGACATGGACTCGAGCGACAACCAGGACGACGACTCGATCAACATGCCCAACATCCGCAAGCCGCTGAGCGGTCAGCTTGCCATCCGCGTCATGGCCGTCAAGGATGTTGACCACGCGACCACCGGACGATTCGCCCGCGGTCCCGAGACCTTTGTGGCGGTCAAAGTGGAAGACACCGTCATGGCGCGGACACGAGTGTCACGTACCGATCGTTGGGAAGCCGAGTACCATACCATTGACGTGGACAAGGCCAATGAGATTGAGCTGACCGTGTATGACAAACCAGGGGAGCACCCGCTGCCCATCGGCCTGCTTTGGGTCAGGATATCGGACATTGTCGAGGAGATGCGTCGCAAGAGGATAGAAGCGGAGATGAATAGTTCTGGCTGGGTCTCTGCCGACAGAATGGGCAACTCGGGAGCAGGCCCTAGCGCCCCGTCGCAATTCCCCATGAGCCCCTCAGCCGGATCGTTTGCTGGCGCAGGAGGTCCTCAGTCCCCCGGCGCTGGTCCTCCAGGCAGCGCCGCCTACGGTGCTCCGGGGCCGCAGCCACAAGTCGTCACTGGACCGATCGATGGCTGGTTCAACCTCGAGCCAGCTGGACAGATTCAGCTGCAGATGAGCTTTGTCAAGACAAATGCGGACCGCCGTCCAGTCGATCTCGGTCTCGGCAGAAAGGGCGCCGTCCGCCAGCGCAAAGAGGAGGTGCACGAGATGTACGGCCACAAGTTCGTCCAGCACCAGTTCTACAACATTATGCGCTGCGCGCTGTGCGGAGACTTCCTCAAGTACTCGGCTGGTATGCAGTGCGAGGATTGCAAGTACACCTGTCACACAAAATGCTATACCAGCGTTGTGACAAAGTGCATCAGCAAGAGCAACGCGGAGACGGACCCGGACGAGGAGAAGATCAACCATCGCATTCCTCATCGCTTCAACCCCTATTCAAACATGACTGCCAACTGGTGCTGCCACTGTGGTTATATCCTGCCCTTTGGCAAGAAGAATTGCCGGAAGTGCTCCGAGTGCGGTCTTACCTCTCACGCGCAGTGCGTGCACCTCGTTCCCGACTTTTGCGGCATGTCCATGGCTGTCGCAAACCAGATCCTCGAGGGTATCCGAGTTCAGAAGAAGAGACAGGCCAACGCCACCTCCATGACCGAGCGTACACTGCGGCCAGGCAAAGCCAGTCCTACGAACACGCACTCTCCCTCACCGTCGTACTCGGGCTCGACAACGGGTGGCTATGCGCCGCCACCATCGTCAGAGGCCGCTGAAGCCGCCAAGGTCATGTACAGCCAGCCTCAATCCCAGCAGAGGCCACCCGGGCCGGATCGCACGTCGAGCTCCGCGGCAGCCGCGGCAGCATCAGCGGCAATGTACTCGCCACAGAGCCAGCAGCAGCCACAGCGCCCTGTGCAACAGCCGATGCACAGCTATGACTCTCCAGCGCGGCCTGACGATGTCCATGCGCCAACTGACCTCGGACAGCAGCAGCAGCGCAAGTACAACCCCCAGGACTATGCCAACGTCCACCAGGGCTATGCCAGTCCGCCGCCACAGCAGCCTCAGCCTCAGCCTCAGCCTCAGCCTCAGCCTCAGCCCGTGCAGCCGCAGCGACCTCCTCCCCAACAGGTCCAGCCCACGCCGCCGCCTCAACAGCAGCCCCCGGCGCCCGCGCAATCACCGCAAACCGCGTATCCTCCGTCGTTCCCCGCCCCGTCGCCCACTGGCACGGAGCCCGCGGGGGCACCGCTCCAGATCACTGGTCCCAATCAGTTATCGACGCAGCGCAAACCGTTGCCCTTGGCCACTGATGCCGGCACTGGCAAGCGCATCGGTCTCGACCACTTCAACTTTCTCGCAGTCTTGGGTAAGGGTAACTTCGGAAAGGTCATGCTGGCCGAGACGAAGCGCTCGCGGCGACTCTTCGCCATCAAAGTGCTCAAGAAGGAGTTCATCATTGAGCATGATGAGGTGGAAAGCATCCGCTCCGAGAAGCGCGTGTTCCTGGTAGCCAACCGCGAGAGGCATCCATTCCTGACTAACCTGCACGCTTGCTTCCAAACCGAGACCCGTGTCTATTTCGTCATGGAGTACATTAGCGGTGGTGATCTCATGTGGCATATTCAGAGGGGTCAGTTTGGCACAAAGCGAGCGCAGTTTTACGCGGCCGAGGTGTGCTTGGCCCTCAAGTACTTCCACGAGAACGGCGTCATCTACCGTGACTTGAAGCTTGACAACATTCTCCTTACGCTAGACGGCCACATCAAGATTGCCGACTACGGTCTCTGCAAGGAGGACATGTGGTACCGCTCCACGACGAGCACGTTCTGCGGCACGCCCGAATTCATGGCCCCCGAGATCCTTCTGGACAAGAAGTATGGCCGAGCGGTCGACTGGTGGGCGTTTGGTGTCCTCATCTACCAGATGCTGCTGCAGCAGTCACCGTTCCGAGGCGAAGACGAGGACGAGATCTACGACGCGATTCTCGCTGACGAGCCTCTCTACCCGATCCATATGCCTAGAGACTCTGTGTCGATCCTGCAGAAGCTCCTGACCCGCGAGGTGGACCAGCGTCTGGGCAGTGGGCCGACAGATGCGCAGGAGATCATGTCCCAGCCGTTCTTCCGCAACATCAACTGGGAGGACATTTACCACAAGCGCGTGGCGCCGCCCTTCCTGCCGCAAATCAAGAGCGCCACAGACACGAGCAACTTTGACTCTGAATTCACGAGCGTGACGCCTGTTCTGACACCCGTTCAGTCTGGTAAGTGTACCCGGCGCCAGTCCTTGTTCTCGAAGGGAGCTAACAGTAGCAGTTCTTTCACAAGCCATGCAGGAAGAATTCCGGGGCTTCTCGTATACTGGAGACTTTGATTAGAGGGGGGAGCATATCTGATGTAGACATGGACGAATTATGAAGACCAAGCGAAGTTAAGAGAAAGCACAGCGGGACGCATTCATCTTAGTGGCAGTTTGGAGATGGCCGATGACTGAGGGGGTAAGCGGGCGTAAGAATGAAACCCATGGTCTTGATTATATGCATAGTGGAAATTCTCGGCGACATGCAGATGTAGGTGGTCTAACAGTGTATTCATGCTATTCTACGCCCGTGATATGCCCCCAACTCCATGTTCATAGACGCCGTTCCGTTATTGAGTGTACTCCTTCTGCAACAGCTTGGCGATGGTGTTCAACCTGTCGGAAGTGGTTAGCATGCAAGGTCAAACGTCGGAAGAAGACAGAAAGGTACTCACTGAATATTGCTGGTGCCCTCGTAGATGGCGCCAATCTTGCTGTCGCGCCAAAACTTCTCGGCGAGACCCTCGCGGACAAAGCCCATGCCGCCCATCCACTCAATGGCCTGTCCACTAACCTTTTGCGCAACCTGCGAGGCGTATAGCTTGGCCATGGCGGCGTCCTTGACAAAGTCCTCGCCGGCCTCCTTCTTGCGGGCGGCGTTGTACACGAGGGCGCGGGCGGCGGCGATCTCGGTCCAGGACTGGGCGAGCTGGTGCTGCATGCCCTGGAACTCGCCGACGAGGCTGCCAAACTGCTTGCGGTCGTTCCAGACGTACTTGGCGGCGTTGTCAAAGGCGCCCCACGCGAGGCCGGTCATTTGCGCGGCGATGCCGATGCGGCCCTCGTTGAGCAGGGAGATGGCGTACTTGTAGCCGTGGCCGCGCTCGCCGAGCAGGTTCTCCTTGGGGATCTGGACGTCGTCAAAGGTGATGACGCACGTGGACGAGGCCTTGATGCCGAGCTTCTTCTCCTTCTTGGCAATCGCGAAGCCCGGGGTGCCCTTTTCGACGACAAAGGCGGTGATGCCGCGGTAGCCCTTGCTGGGGTCAAGGTTGGCAAAGACGATGAAGAAGTCGGCCTCCATGGAGTTGGTGATCCACATCTTGCCGCCGGTGATGGTGAAGCCGTCGGCCGTCTCGGTGGCCTTTGTCTGCAGGGCGAACGCGTCGGAGCCCGAGGCCGGCTCCGACAGGCAAAAGGAGGCAACCGTGTCGGTGGCGAGCCGGGGCAGCCACTTTTGCTTGAGGTGGTCGCTGCCGTAGTTGAGCAGGGCCGTGTTGCAGAGGGTGTTGTGCACATCCACCATGACGCTGACGCTGGGGTCGACGCGCGCGAGCTCCTCGATGCCCACAATGGCCGACGTGAAGTTCATGCCCGCGCCGCCAAACTCCTCGGGGATCTCGATGCCCATGAGGCCCTGCTCAAAGAGCGCCTTGACAATAGACGGGTCCATGGACTCGGCCTCGTCCATGTCGCGCGCCTTGGGGAGGACGACCTCGTTGGCGAACTTGGAGACGGCGTCCGCCATGGCGGCCTCGGTCTCGGAGAGGTGGGTGATGGGCGTGGGCGTGAGGTCGGAGATGTCCACGGGCTGGGCGTGGGCGCGGACGGACGTGGTCGCGAAGGCACGCGCGGCCGCTGGCCTGGCAACGCTGGATCGCAAAGCCGCGGAGGACGTGCTGGTCGTTGCCTTGGACACGAGAACGCGTGTGCCGCGGACGGCTGGCCTCATGGCTCGTGTAAGTGAAGACGACATTGTGAGGGGGGTTCTGTTGCTCTAGGGCAATGTTGGAATAGGCAGACGTATTACAAGACGGGCAGAATGAATCTCACAGAGCAGATCAAGGGAAGAAAAGGCACAACCCCCGAAACATCGACGATTCATCGGCCTACGCAGAGGTCGGGCAGATCGATGGAGCCCCGGCTGGAGAGGTGGAAGAATGGACCCTCCAGCGCTTCAGCCGAGGGTAACCATCAACCCCAGCTCTTGGCTGCCGACTTCGCGGGGCGGACGAGCAGTGGAAGTAGATGGCCGCAGTTTTCCCGACGCCGCTTTGCATGTGACATCAGCATCCGGCGCTCGGAGAATTCCAGCCCCCGAGCCACGTGACCAGCTCCCCCCCAGAATTTCAAGATCCGCGATAGCTTCACGCGTGAGAGCGGCGCAAGTCCCAACCAACCCACCCACGACAAGAACCGTGCCACACCGCCAAGATGGTCGGTTCGATACTGCGCAACCTCTTCTCCCCGTCGACGCGGCGTCTCGCGCCAACAGTCACATCCGCCCTCCCAAGGACCATCGTCAATGCGTCGCCGCAGCGCTCCTTTTCGACGACGTCCCCTGTCTCCGCCACTCTCAACCAAGTCCTCCGCGGCTGCCGCAAAGGCAAAAAGGCGCGCCACGCCACGTCGCCTGCGCTGGCGGCCTTGCAGAGTCCCGCGATGAAGGGTGTCTGCCTACGTGTCGGTGTCGTCCGTCCCAAGAAGCCCAACTCGGGGGAGCGCAAGATTGCGCGTGTCAAGCTCAGTTCCGGCACGCACATTACGGCGTACATCCCCGGTGAGGGTCACAATATCCAGCAGCACAGCGTCGTGTTGGTGAGAGGCGGGCGGTCACAGGATTGTCCTGGTGTGCGGTACCATCTGGTCCGTGGAGCGATGGATCTGGTAGGCGGCCCGACTTTCCCATGCTGTGGGGGATATTGTGAACGAGTACTGACAAGGTCCAGGGCGGCATTGCGAATCGTGTATCGTCGAGAAGTAAATACGGATCAAAGAAGCCCAAGAAGGCGACGGTTGGTTAAGACACGAGGGGAGCGAGCATATGACGGAGCGTGTATCTCTACTGTACAAACAAGACATGCAAGGCACAGACGGCAAAGAAGCCGTGGATTAACAAGACTTATATCATTCTTGTATACATGAATAAAACATGCTCAGACATCACCTTGACGCCGTTTCGACTGCTTTCAGTCCGTGTCAAAAGACCGTATTGATCCTGTCCCATGACCCAGGTCCGCCCTGCCCAATGTGATCTATATAGTACAATTTCAATTGAATACCGAAACCTTTTTAATCCTTCTGTTGCTCCCAGCCCTGGGGCTTCTCCAGCCCGTTCGCTTCGAAGAAACGGGAGGTGCCTGTTGGGTAGTTGTCAGTAACAAGTCCTGCGAAAAATGCGGTGGAGAACGTACATGAGTAGCCCTTCCAGTCAAAGTTCTTCTGGGGGTCGCAGTGGCACTTGAGGTCAATGCGCGTCTGCTCGCCGGTAGGGCAGTGCGTGAAGGGGTTGTGATAGTAGGCAATGTCGTTGAAGAACTTGATCTCCTCCTTGGGCAGGAGCAGACCGGCGCCGATTGAGTGCACGGGGGCGTCGCCCCAGCGCTCGTAGAAGAAACCGCCGTCCTTGTCGAGGGACGTGAAGAAGTCAATGTAGGCGTCGCTACGCAGCCAGTCGAGGCTGCCGATCTCAAAGTTGGACCAAAAGTGGCAGCGGTTGTAGGTCTCGCCGCCGTCGTCACTCAGGAACTTCATCGTGTTGCCCTCGGCAATGTGCTCCGGGTGGTTCTTCATGAATTTCTTGGTGCTGTCCCACAGCGTGGGGATGGTCTCCGGGTACTCGTAGAGGCTGAGCACGAAGCTGTACTTCTTGTTCTCCTCGACCATGACGCGGAAGGGGTCGTAGTGCAAGTCGCAGTAGAGCTCGATGCTGGGCTCCACGCGCCAGTAGTACTCGTAGTTGAGCATGATGGGGTGGCGGAAGAAGAAGCCGGACTCGTAGCGGCACATGTGACGATAGCTAACCGAGTCACCGTAGATGATGCCGCGCTGCTTCATGTCGTCGCGCACCTTCTTGGCCTTCTCCTGGTCGATCCACTCGGGGAACGACCAGTGCTCCTCGGGGATCTCGCCATAGTGCGTCTTTCCGGACACGAGCGAGCTTGTCACCTGTTTGAACGTGTCGTCAAAGGGCTTGTCGTTGAGGAAGACCCAGTCGTAGTTGAAGCGTTTGTTGAAGCGATCCTCGACCTGGCGAATCGACTTGGCAATCTCCCAGACGTCGCTGTTGCGGGCCAGCGTGACAAAGGTAGCGTTCATGCGCGGGCCGGGGTCGGTGCCCTCGAGGTTGTCCCAGCCAGGAGCTCCAGGGCTCATAGCCAGAGGGTGCTCCGCGCCAAACTGGTCCTCCAGCAGCTTGGAGGATCCAGAGTAGCCGGCATGGCCAGCAGGCTCTGCGGGTGTGTCTTGGACCTCGGGAGCAGCAGGCGCCTCCTTGATCGGGGCTTCGGCGGGCGATTCGGGGCCCGGTTGCACAGGAGCCTGGCTTCCTTCCTGCGGCTGCGGCGCCATGGGAGCCTCGGGAGAGACGGCACCGTCGTTGACTTTGACGTCGCCAGTGTTGAGGCCGCCGGGCCTGATGTCGACGCTGTGATAGTCGGTGTGCGAGAGGAAATAGTATAGGCCGAGGAACTACGACAGGGTGTCGCGTGGTTAGCTTGAGCCTTGGGATCCTAGGGTGGCTGGCGGGTGTGCCTAGACTTACGACAACCGCAATGGCAATGTAGCGCACGAAGCGCGTGTTCCCCGTTGCCATCATCCTGACAGTGGACGCGAGGAAGCCTCTTTCTCTGGAGCCAGCGTGGCTACGGGCGATGGATGGCGCGGATGGAGGAAGGACGGTTGAACAAGCAGATCAGTCAGGGGCTCGTCTGACTGTCGCAAGATAAGGTTCTAGGATGGGCACGAAGGAACTTGAAGGGTCGAATACGGGGCTGGCCAGATGTCTCAGAAGGGTCGCTGGCTCAGGCACTCATTGCTCTGTCGTCGCACTGCCAGGACTAACAATGCTCGAAGGCCGGAATTCCGATGGTTCGAAATGAATGCTTTGATGGAGGGAGGAGGGGGCACGGCGCACAGTGGTGAATCGAGAACCGTGAGGGTGAGTTTTGGGTTTGACTGGAGGGACTTGTCACTGGAGGCCACGAATTGTGGGTGTGACTTCGTATTATCGACGCAACCACCCCCTGGACAGCGCATACCTGGTAGGGAAGGATGGCACGGCGAGGTGAGCAGGGAAACCGACAAACTGCCAAGCATTGTTGCTCTTGGTCAGCCTGTCGACTCACCGAACATTGTTTGTATCGTTTGCTACGAGAGTCGATTGACGTAGTTTATGCCACTCCTGTTCCGCCTCGTGGCTCATTCTGGTCCTGATCCTACCTTAAACAAGGTAGTTCGATTTGGAGTGCATCGGCGCGTGGCAAGCACACGCGTACGGATAGTAGCTTCCGAGGGCGTCGAGTGTTGGATGCAATCAGTATCCAACACAACGTGAGTCCGACGCTGACCTCGTCAAACACACAATGTCCGTTCAATACTGCATGGAAGAGGGCGGAACAGAGTCGACAATTGCTCTGGCGGTCAGTCCCACAAGCGCGGTTTGAGATCAGACCGTGGTAGGGATCTTTTAGCAGTCGCGTCCCCCATATTCATATCCGCGATCCGATATGACTGTTGGACGACAGACATCTCCTTCATGCATTCCAGTCGCGCAGTCAATTGAATCCTGCGTGCTAATTCATTGAGTACTCACTGGCCCCAATGGCGTACTGCCATACTTGCGACAGACACTTCAAGTCTGACGTGGCGCTGGGGCAGCACCATCTCGACTCCAGTCGTCACGTCTATTGCCGGAGATGCGACAGACCCTTTGGCTCTTATTCAGCGTGGGAGCAGCACGTGCGCAACTCCTACGCACACCTACGCGCACCATGCCTGCGGCTATTGCGATGTTGTGGTGGACCTCGACGACAACAGCGACCTGAAGCGCCACTTTGACAGGGTGCATCATCGCTGCCGTCCATGCTGCATCATTTCTCAGACTGCAGACGGACTCGGGGCCCATGACATATCGAGGCACTATATGTGCCAGGTGTGTGGGAAGTACAATGACACTGAGCATAACCTCAAGGCTGTAGGTACCCAGCGCAGCGCTCGATCTTGGTCAAGCCCAGTCGTCGAACATGGATGTAGCATCTCCGGAAACATAATGGCAAGTCCCTGACTTGCTTCGGCTGCTGCCCTCGGGCATTTGCAACCCACTTGGCCATGCTTCTACATTTGAAGCCCGGAGCGTGTAATGCAAATGTCGACGAATGGGACATTGTCTACTATGCTAATGAATGCTGCGAATACTGGGGCTATACATATTCCACCAAAGACGCCGTGTCCAAGTTTGGATGCCGGCGTTGCGACAGGACGTTCAAGAAGATGAGCGGTCTCCTTTGGCACGTCGAGAGTGACGCCTGCCAGGAACGTCTGGAACCGGGATGGCCGCTAGTTGTGGGACTTTCTCATTTACCTGCGAGATCGGATCTGAGAAGGGCTGGTTGTTGCGATACAGTACATTCTCTCGTACGAAGCTGGCTTATAACGGGAGCTGCAAGCGCACAGTTTCGAAGAGACGACCAATCCTCACGTTCTCCCGTAGGCGCAATGGGCTCGTTAAGTCCATCGAGTCAAGGTGCGCAGCAGCGCAATTGAGGACAAGCCCCGCGCTCTCCACCTCTGCCACGTACCGCCGACTTGGTTGAAGACTCACAATACTCTTCCCACGAGGTCTCATTTCTTCCCAGAAGCGAGTAATGTGCGGTCTAATATTCAAATGCGATACTTGATTCTTTTCCATGGACTCAATGGCAGATTGTGGCCCTCTACGTCAATCTGGGTTGCTCTGCGGTACCGACTGGCGATGCCTTCATGCTGCAGGTCCCGTATCCCAGACCTGAACCTGACCTCGGTCGCCTTGGTGCTCCTGTAGGACATCGAATCATAGCTAAAAGTAGCAGGTTCACTTACAAGTCTTTCAATCTTATTCCAGGCGTGAGTGTTTTACTTTATTCATTGTCCACGTCTCGCTAGGGGCTTTTCAAACAGCCCTGCCCCTCGCGTCCGTGTCCGTTGCATCCTCCCGTGGTGGGGACACCGAGACGGTGCCGGATCACCGAAGATCACGGCGCCGTTCAACGGCATGCGCCGGCGATTCAGGGCACGTCTCGTCCAAGCCAACCTGGATCCGATCCCAGCGATTTTTGGATAGAGAAAATGATTGCGATCGAGACATGCCACGACCCGAGGTAGGCCGGCCTCGTAAGGAGTCAGGAGTCCGCACAGGGCTTGGGCAGGCCAGGTCATGTCGTCGCCGCCCCTCAACTTTGAACTCGCGCCTCTGCCGCGATCCAATGCATTGGTTCCCACAGACAGCGCAAGAGTCCACTGTGACGTGGCCGTCAATTGGCCTGGCTAATCCTACTTCTGTCTACCAGAAGTACTGGGCGCTGAGGACAGGTGGACAAAATGCTCAAGGCAAGTCGCAAAAGTAAGTACATGAACTTCTGGGTTACCGAATCCGACAAGCCGCGCCTTTTCCTTGGAAAACCGGGTCGGGGCTGGAGCTGGCGGAACATCAACTTCAAGGAGGGTGAGACAGGGTTTTTGACTGGACGACGCGAGAGAAGGGGATCTATTTTATGCGGGCAATGCATCGTGCGCCGCTGACGGTTGACCGTTGTCAGGCGTGGTGTTGCGGGCTAGAGAGCAGCCAGGTCCATAGTGCGCTCGGTTGGATCTCGGACAGCGAGCAACAGCAGGTACAGAACGTGGTCATCTCCTGTCTTGAGTACGGAATAGATCAACTTGGGCACATGGCGAAGCCTTGCTAGCTGATCACCGCGCAGAGCATAATTCGTCATGACCAAACGCCAATTACCTCGCGCTTCAACAGGCCAATGCCACCCCAACCCAA